GTCTGTTAGTCGTTGCTAAAAATGACCGGATCGACTGTGGAGAGAGATTTCCGCCTAGATTTTTCTAGTCCGAGTCGACGAAATTTCCCAGGATGGAATGACATCAGCTATCCCAAAGGTGAACACTTTTCTACGGAGTAGTTACTGGGGACAACAGAGTGAGATCCTACAGACCTCGTGCCATCAACTGCAGTATGTGAAATCCGAGGGTTGCACAGAAGAAAGAGGTATCGAAGTTTTAAAAAAGCTCCCAAGAGTTAGACTGTTCGATAGATGCCAGGAACCCTCCCAATCGGACGCGTTCGTGCGAAGAAGGAAGAAAGATTAAATTAATTCCCCCCTCGGCCGGCAGTTCCCTCAACAACCCCCGATCGGAAGGGGGTGCGCTTCAGTTCATCCCTGCGAAGGCGAAGTAGAACCTCCAAAATGACCTGTCAGGAACGAAGGGATGGAAGAGGAAGGACGGGCGACAATCCCGACCGGGTCCAGGGCTGAAAAGGCGCGAGAGAATCGGAGGTGTCAGATGGGGATTTGCATCTATTATGCATCCGATGGATCTTGCCGGATGGGATGAAGGGAAAGCAGGGCAAGTGGAGAGAGGCAGAGAGGAAGGGGGAAAGGGCGAAGAAGTCCGGTTGTGATGGATTTTATTTTATTTTATTTTATTTTATTCTATTTATTTTTCATTTTTCTTCGTCGTTCTTTCATTATTAATTAATTAATTAATTTAATTTAGTTCATTCATGAATGGCTTGTCGGGCACCGACGTCATCGACTCGTCGGCAATGAGACTAATCAATGACTACGAAGTATGTGGTTCCATTGATCGCAACAATGGCCTTTCTTGCTTCCCTGGAACAGACTCAGAGTAATCTATAGAGTATCGACATCCTGGATAGGGAGTATCAAGATTTTTAGACCGACTTGTCATGCGGATGTAGGCAGATGTAAGTCAACGATGGCAGGCCGAATCCTGCAGCGACGATGATGCCATCTCTACTCGTCACCTGCTTGGCGGCTTCTTCTTTCTTTTTTTTCCTCTTCTCGTCCTGTTCTTTTCTTTCTTTTCATTTTCCTCTCTTCAACCTCCACCCTTTTCATCCTACTAGTAATTTCCTTCCCCAGCAATGCTCATCCGAGCCAGCCGTGGCGGATTCCCTTCAGCTCTCCACTTGGATGGATTTTAGCTGACGGCCTGCATGCCATGCATCTGCTTAATTAACTCCCCCCTCCAAATCCGAAATCTTATATCCTTATCCTGCATCCATCGCTCCGTCGTTCTCCCTTGGTGTTGTTTTTTCTTTTTCCTTTTCCTTTCGCCTCGTTTCTATATCTCGTGCTCTCTCCCCCTTCTTGACTGCGTACATAGACTCTGAATCCCTCGCTCGCATCTTGTAAACCATCCCAGAACATCGCTTTCTCTCTCTCCCCTTGATCCTATCCCCGCTTCTCTACAGGCCGCGCCTTACTCAAACCCTGTTGCCTTGCTATCCCCATCGGATCGGGAGGGTTCAAACTCTGATGTCGTCAAACTAACCCGCTGCAAGGTAAGCTGGTTTACTTTTCTTCTCTTTTTTTCCTTGGTTCGACCGTTGACCCACGGTTGGGCTCCGTCTCGTTGCGTATTCCCCTCGGGTCTCATTTAATTGCCACCCATTCCCCGGAGGGTCTGGAACACGGATCGGACGGAGGGTGTGCGAGAGATCGATGATCCTCTGCTTATAATTTCTCTGCCCAACGATGTAGCCTCAAATTTTTTTTTTCCCCCCTCTTTAAATAAAAAGAAAAATCCTCTGATCCAATCTAACGGTTGTTACCCCTGCAGCCCCCGGTTTTTACTTCCTTCTATTTCTTTCTCCCGAGCATTCCCACGGTGTTTTGGGGGCGCATTCCTCGGCTGTGTCAGCAACCGTTTTCTGTCTCACCTCCAGCATTCTCACGTTCGCATTAAGCAATTGAGTGCAGATCCGTCCGTCGCATGTTTACTGTTCCCGTCGCTTTTCCTTCGTCCTGCGATTCCACTCTGCCGGTTATAGGTCTGGTGGTTTGCCCCTTCACCGTGCCTGAGAGGGGCCTTTGGGTCCTATAGAAATCTTTTGTCTGCTTCGTTTCACCTTCGTCGGCCCTCAAGCAAGACGACGGATTTCTGAGTTTGTCGCAATGCCTTCCATATGGGAAAAGACGAAAGGCACCTCTAAGAAGGGATTTGACAAGGCATGGCACCAGCTCGATAAGCTCGGTGATCCGGTAAACCGGTTGTCCTATCGGGTGGGAGCCGAGGCCTTTTGGCCCATGACTCTCGACAAAGAAAGCGACAAAGCTGCCCGCATTCTGCGCAGCTTCTGCAAAGATGGTTTCTATGCCGAGGAGGATACCAGACGCCAGAGCACGGAAAGCGCCACAAGCAAAAGGTCCAGTAAACTCGATCGACCAAAAGGCAAACAGCGCGTGATCAAGAAGATTCCTACTCAGGTCATTCAGCAAGCAAAAGGTCTCGCGATCTTCACGACCATGCGCACTGGCTTATGGCTTAGTGGCTCTGGCGGCAGTGGTGTGCTTCTGGCTCGAATCCCCGAAACGGGCGAATGGAGTCCACCCTCCGGTATCATGTTGCATACGGCGGGTGTCGGCTTTCTGGCTGGTGTTGACATCTACGACTGCGTGGTCGTCATCAATACATACGAAGCGTTGGAGGCCTTCAAGAAGGTGCGCTGCACACTGGGAGGAGAAGTGAGCGCATCGGCCGGTCCGGTGGGCATGGGCGGCGTCCTCGAGTCGGAGGTTCATAAACGCCAGGCTCCCATCTGGACCTATATGAAGAGCCGCGGACTCTATGCGGGTGTGCAAGTGGACGGAACTATCATCATCGAGCGAACCGACGAGAACGAGAGATTCTTCGGCGAGCGAATATCAGTAACGGACATCCTCGCAGGCAAGGCGAAATCCCCGCCTGCCTCCATCAAAACCCTTATCCAGACTATCAAGGCTGCACAAGGTGATACCGATGTAGACGAAAGCCTGGTGCCCCCTCCGGGAGAAACGCCTGGTGACGCAGACCTCACACCGGCGGAACATACCTTCGGCATCCCTGCTGCAGACGACCCCGATCCGTTCGGTGTCAAAGCCCTAGAAGCGGAGGGGCTCTTCATCCGCGAAGCCGGCACGAAGACGCGGCCCAGTGTCGAAGCCTTTGACTTCAAGCCCAGTCCCAGCAGTCCCGTCTTTGCCACCTTCCGACGCAGTGTCGACAGCTCGCCTCGCAATAGCTGGCGAGCCAGCGTGCAGAGCTATGCCAGCATGGATCGTGGCACCCAGACCGACGTCGCTCCACCCACCGCGCCTACCTCCGTCAGTCGTGCATCGTCCCGAAGTAACCGCGATTTTTCAGATCGTTTCGAGTCCACCCCGTGGGAGACCGAGGAGAACCGCTGGGACACGATCATCCCCGAGCAGCGGAAAGAACAAGATATCCATCATCTTGAGCATGACCGGGACAACCACGAGGACGACGACAAGGATCTCCTGGATGACGACGATTTCGAGGTCCATGAGGTCAGCAGTGCTACCATCACCAAGCGTGATAGCGCCGCCTCTTCCCCGGTGTCCTTGGAAGATCCCACGGTCCCCGCCGAACTTCGAGGCCAGTCTCCCACCTTCACCCGCGCCCGACTCGTGACGATTCCAAAGCGCGCTCCTCCCGCTCTTCCCCCGCGAAACCCTCAACGAGCTCCCGTCTCCCTCTCGACGCCAAACTCACCAACCTCCGTCCCTTCGTCTCCCGATGGCAGACGCTCCGTGGCATCCACCTCCGGACTGGCATCGGTCGACGAGCTCACCGAACTCCCTCTGCATCCCAACAACGATACCTCCAGTCTCTCGTCCAAGCGATCCGACACTTCGGGACGGTTCCGTCGCGCTTCCCCCGAACGAGACGACTTCCACTCTGTGTCCAGTGCCCCTTCATCCGACCGTGCCTCCGACACAGAGATCAGCACCAACAAGGACGCTTCCATCTCTGACATCGCTTCGTCGAAAACCGATCATCCCATCGAAGTCCCTTCCACCGAGGACGCACCACTGGAATCCACCAAGACCATCACGGAGAACGATTCTGAGACTATCGCTACTCCCGCCGCTACCACCGTCCATCATCCTCAAGCTGTATAGACCTTTGGTTTCAGTCTTGCACCTTCCTGCTTTTCTCCGCCTTCTTTCTGTATATATTGCATTCTTCTATACCCTCGCAAATAATCCCGCCCGTCCTTGAGATTCGCCTATTCTCTGTCCATAGGACGACGACCTGATATCCTGACCACATGCATGTACCATTGTCAACTTCGTCATTTATCATTCTATCCATATCCACTATTGTCTTACTACCTGTCTTCGTTTCGGTCTTGATCTCGGCGCTATCTCTTGGACATGCTTTGGTTATATAAGATGGCTATATCATCTGATCTGGTCGTTTCCCTGTTATAATTTGTGTTGTGCTGTGTTGTATTTATCATTGTTCTCTTCTCTTCTTTTGTTAGCGTATCGGCGCGTGTTGATGGGATTGGATTGGGATTTCTCTTTGGCATGAGATACCTTGGCGCCTGGATCTTTCGTTATTTTGTTGGACGGGATGATGATGAAGAATATACCATATTACACTATACTACCGTTGAATACGACCGGGCAAGGCGCCAGGTTGAGTTTTGAATTTAATCATATCCCATTGCGTTGAACTCCGAAGGGCAATTGATATTCAGTATACTGCGAACGTTGATGCATAAAAAAAAGAACGTCTTTCTGGCTGATCCAAGAAAATACCCAACCGTCCAACCACATAGTAATACTCTGGAGGGCTCGGGACATCGAGGTCCTATATCAATGAGGACAGCAGATGCAGATTCAATCGAGAGGCGTTAATAGATCCTGGCCTTCAGGAATCAGCCAGGTTGAGCAAAGATAAAACACAAAAAGGGTATTTTTGTTACCTTCCACCAGCTCCACACTCTCTAAAAAGCAGCACCAAGCTGCCATAAAAGCTCAAGGTAATGAAGCAATTCACCCCAAAACCCCCGAACGAGACCACAAAGATAGAGCACAATCCAATGGCTGAACGGCCCCTGATCACCCCAAAACCAAGACCAAAATTTCACGATCAGGTCAGTCACCCAGAACGACCGAAGTCTCACCGTCAGGCCGAACCAAGACCACCCCGTCAGGCAGAGCCAAAACCACACCGTATCGTCATCTAGCTCCGGCACTCCTGCCGTGCGCAACTCGTCTCGAATTTCCGCCCTCCGTTGACTGATATTGTGCAATTTGAGAAGGTCTCTCTGATTCTCTTCTATAAGTACATCCATAATCGTGTCATATAGGCGTTTTTCGTTCAGCGACGGCAGGGGGTCGTTGTCTCTATGGGCGCGGTACTCTCGGTCGTGGAATTGTGACTGGCGCACCTGGACTTGCTGTTGTCGGGCTTGTATGCGGTCTCGCAGGGGGCTCTCGTCGGCCAGGAGATCGGTATTCTCGCGCCGTAGATTTTCGAGTCTTTCGCGGTCCATTTTGTTTGTTGGGATGAGGATGGGTCTGTCTAAAGAGGGACTTTCTTTGGGTGGGTGGCTTCTGCCGTTTGATAGTTGATGTATGAAGGATATAGTTGATATGGAATGGGTTGAGATTGGATATAGATGGATGTTCATCGTTGGTGGTCTATAGGAGGGTACATTTGGGTTGTTGTTTTCCTGGCCATTGCTCTTGCCTTTCACTAGGTGTTGTTGCTATAGATGTGGGATATTGTTGTCTGGTCTTGCCTGATTGTCTGTTCGTCAAATGAGCCGGCGAAGCAAGTCAATAGGATGCTAGGAAGGAGGTAGGACGGTGTATTCTTTTCCTTGTTGCCATTTCCTAATGATTGTCATTGAGATACAAACGCAGCATACCTACTCTGCTGCAGGATATATACTAAGCGTTGTCTTGGCAAAGAGAAGGAACTCCAATAATCGAATAACTCAATTCCTTCTACTCCGTATTCTACGTCCAGAATCCATCACAGACCAATTCTACTTCTCTTATCCCCCAACCAGTGTTCCCTACACTACCAATACTAGTCTACTACTTCCAAGTGGAGTGGATCCCCGCCCGATGTAACGATCGACGGTCTCCCCGCCAATCGACTCTCCCCTCACGCAAGGAGCAAGGATTAACCTCCGGCTTCCAGTGCTTATCACCCACGGAGTACCGAGTAATCCTACGCTGATTGCGGTGGCCCTAATTCCCGGCTTGCTTTAAAAAGGCGCCGCATTCCTTTCCCCTCTTCTGTTCACTCCCCGCTCCTCCCGACTTCCTGACCTAGACAACTGCGTCTCTAGGCTGAGCCATCTCAATGTCGTCTGCTTCGCTTGCTTTCAATCTCGGCCTGGCGGCTGTCGTTGCGGGTCAATATTTCCCGCCGACCCCCGAGGGCGTGAAGGTTGTCGAGTCGAAGCATCAGGAGGGGGTGAAGATCTCGTACAAAGAGGTATTTTGATCTATCTTCTGATGATCAGATTGTGTTGTTGCAATTGACATCGATTGACCGTTAATGAATCCGTAGCCTGGTATCTGTGAGACGACCCCCGGTGTCAAGTCCTACTCTGGTTACGTTCATCTGCCCCCAGGCACGTTAGAGGATCTGTCGCTAGATCAGGATTACCCCATAAACACCTTTTTCTGGTTCTTCGAATCGCGAAATGATCCCATCAACGCGCCCTTGTCCATCTGGATGAATGGAGGCCCTGGAAGTTCATCGATGATCGGCTTGATGCAGGAGAACGGTCCCTGTATCGTCAACGCCGATTCGAACTCCACGGAGCTGAACCCCTGGTCCTGGAACAACTACGTAAACATGCTGTACATCGACCAGCCGAACCAGGTCGGCTTCAGTTACGACACGGCCACCAATGGCACGCTCGATCGGCTGACAGGCAAGATGGACGTCTCCCCGTTCCCGGACGGCGAGGTTCCCGAGCAGAACAACACCTTCTACGTGGGCACGTTCCCCAGTCTAAACCAGTCTGCCAGTGCCAACACTACGCAGAACGCTGCCCGAGCGCTGTGGCACTTTGCGCAGACCTGGTTCTCGGAGTTTCCTCACTACAAGCCCCATGACGACCGGGTGAGCATTTGGACTGAGTCGTACGGCGGTCGGTATGGCCCGTCCTTCACGTCTTTCTTCCAGGAACAGAACCAGAAGATTGCCGACGGATCCATATCCACAGATTTCGATGCCCACTACATTCACCTGGACACGCTGGGAATCATCAACGGCTGTATCGACCTGCTGGTTCAGGCGCCCGGGTACCCCGAGATGGCGTTTAACAATACTTACGGCATTGAGGCCATCAACCAGACCATCTTTGACAGGGCAATGGACGCCTGGAGTAAGCCCGGCGGCTGCAAGGACCTGATCACCAAATGTCGTTCCCTTGCGGCCGAGGGCGACCCGAAGATGTACGGGAACAATAGAACGGTCAATGCCGCCTGCAAGGACGCCAACGATTACTGTTCCAACCAAGTGGAGGGACCGTATCAGCTGTTCTCTGGACGGGGTTATTATGACATTGCACACCTGAACCCGGATCCGTTCCCACCCTCGTCCTTTTTGGGGTATCTGAGCCAGCACTGGGTGCAGGGGGCACTCGGCGTTCCTGTCAACTTCACCGAATCCATCGATAGTGTCTACAACGGGTTTGATGCCACCGGCGATTACCCCCGGTCGGACGTGCGCGGGTATCTGGAGGACATCGCCTACGTCCTGGAATCCGGCATCAAGGTGGCTCTGGTGTACGGGGATCGCGACTACGCGTGCCCGTGGAACGGGGGCGAGGTGGTCAGTCTGCAGGTGAACTATACCGATGCCGATCTGTTCCGGTCGGCCGGCTACGCGCCGCTCCAGACCAACGCGACGTACGTTGGCGGTCGCGTCCGCCAGCACGGAAACTTTTCGTTCACCCGCGTCTTTCAGGCCGGCCACGAGGTGCCCGCGTATCAACCGCAGACGGCGTACGAGATCTTCCACCGGGCCTTGTTCAACCGGGACATTGCGACTGGTAAGGTCTCAACGGCGGCGAACCATGAATACTCCAGCGAGGGGCCCTCATCTACGTGGAATATCACCAATGAGGTGCCTGCTAACCCGGCACCGACATGCTACATCTTGTCGCTGAGCACGTGCACCGACGAGCAGATTGAGCGGGTGAGGAATGGAACGGCACTGATTGAGGATTATATCGTAGTGGGTTGAGAAGAGGCGGACGGACATGGCGACGCGGTTGCATGTGGAGTATTGATCAGTCAATAGCCAAGATAGAGTAAATCCTAAATACAGAGCATGGATGCATATTCACCAGATGGAAATACCTCGGCAGAGACAGTAGTGAAAGTAGGGCTCAATGATGCCTCAGGCTCCCAGACGGGTCGGCGGACGGAATAGGATAAAGCCGACGCAGCCAATCAGGGGCGCAAGAGGAATGGCTACGACCACAGCTGGCGGCGGGCGGCATAACCTTGATCGCGCTGTTTGTTTTGACCCAACTGCTGGTTGTCCTGAAGAGATGATGCTTCAACGATCATTGCCAGCCGAAGATAACTACTTTCGAAGTGTCGCCTTCCCTTCCTAGTCCTTCCTGCCTGCCATCCTTCCTCCTTCCCCCTCGCCGCATTCCTTGAGTTTTTATGGGCAGTCCCGTCCATCATCCCCTACTAGGCATTCCGACCCCCTCTCCCCCCACCCTACATTCCCATGGCTCGTTCATTGACCGACCGACAAGCCGATGAACTGTGAGTGGCATTCTCCGTATTGACTGGGGGGGCTTCTTGGGCCGGGCTAATGTTGTTTCGGGCTAGTCATAAGGCTATGATAGCGTACTTAATCGCAAATGACCTACCGGATACCACCGCGGCCTTGCGAAAAGAGGTGAACTTCGGGGAAGATGTGTTTAGTACGACGACCGCGAAGAAGTACGAGGGGATGTTAGAGAGAAAATGGACGAGCATTGCACGGTTACAAAAAAAGGTATATCTCTATAGATTTATCTATATCTACCCCATTCAGATCCCACATGTCCAGTCCTACCCCAGTTCTACCCTACCGCTTGGAGAAAACCCCGCATAACCTCTAATCGCGAACGGAACAGATCATGGAGCTGGAGTCGATAAACGGAGAACTACGAACCGAGTTAGAAAACACAACGCCTGCCTCCCGTTTACGCCGCAAGCAAGACCCGTCGTCGTGGCTGCCCAGCACCGCCCGGTATTCGCTAGAGTCGCACCGAGAGAACATAAATTGCGTTGCCTTCCACCCCTCTTTCACCTCGATTGCCTCCGGTTCGGATGATTGTACGATCAAGATATGGGATTGGGAGCTCGGCGAGCTGGAGCGCACGCTGAAGGGTCATACGCGAGCCGTGCGGGATATTGACTACGGCGGTCGGCGGGATAACGTCCTTCTCGCGTCCTGCAGTTCCGATCTCTCGATCAAGCTGTGGAAGCCGACAGACGACTATAAGAATATTCGGACGTTACAAGGCCACGACCATATCGTGAGCGCGGTGCGGTTTATGCCTTCGGGCGATCTGCTGCTGAGTGCTAGTCGAGACGAAGACATACGAGTCTGGGACGTGACGACCGGGTTCTGCGTGCGGACGATAAACGGCCATGCCGGCTGGGTGCGGGATATCAGTCTGTCGTATGACGGGAAGTTTCTGCTGTCGACGCACGACATGACGGCCCGCCTGTGGGACATTTCGAGCCTCTCCAATCCGGAACTCAAGCAGACGTTGCTCGGCCATGAGAACTTCAACGAATGCTGTGCGTTTGCCCCGGCCGCGGCATTCCCGTTCCTGGCCCCGTTGGCGGGGCTCGGCAAGCGCCCTTCAACAAGCGGGGACTTCATGGCGACTGGATCGCGTGATAAAACGATTAAACTGTGGGATGCTCGCGGGACCTGCTTCCTGACGTTAAGCGGCCATGACGGCTGGGTGCAGGCGCTGGTGTTCCACCCCGGGGGGAAGTATCTGCTATCGGTGGCGGACGACAAGACGTTGCGATGCTGGGATTTGAGCCAGCAAGGGAAATGCGTCAAGAAGATCGAGGCCCACGACCGCTTTGTCACCTGTCTGAAATGGGCGCCGGGCGTCGCGAAGATCGTCCAGGGCACTGACGGTGGCGGTGCGGAGGGCGGCGAGGAAGGTCATGTCGATATGCGCTGTGTTATCGCAACGGGCGGCTGGGATCAGAAGCTAAAGATCTTTGCCGGTTGACTAGAAAGGAAGATTTGTGTTTCCCGATTTCTTTTTTATGCCCTCTATTAGCGACTAAATGAGCCTTGGTTTGAGGCTAAACGATGAATTGCTCCTTTTCTGGATTTCTGATATTACGTAGGTTCATCATCATGGATAGAGATTGGAGGATTCTGTATAGATTAACGTAATTAAGCCGAGAGAATTGAATTCCCAGGAATGATCAAAGCATCTCCTGATGCAGCGAATCGAAGCTTCTCGAACCTTCTCCGGGCCGGCGGTCAAGCGACGTCACACGTCACACTTCCAAGGCTCCCAGGCTCCCAGGCTCCATCCGGACTGGCTGGCGTCACCTGAAAAGGCCGCCCTTTCATACTTCCATCGCCCCTCTCGTCTTCTTCTCGTCCTTCGCTGATTCGTGTCTCATCTCTCCTGCATTCTCTCTCTCCCTTTCGATCAATTTGGATCCTCTCTTGTCACGCCATATCCTACTATATATCCCCGATCAGTATACCACGACACCTGGATCTTGACAAGGTCCCTCTCACCCCCGCGAACCTTCTACGTCATTCGAGTTCTAACCAGCTTACTCCCTGTTTGCACAACCCGGATCATAACTGGAATTCCTTCCCTCCCCCTTCGCTACCCCGGGTGACTTTTGCACCTGCAATCTTTTCCTGTCATATTTATTTACTTGCGGATCCAGCGTTCATACCCATTGGGTTCCTCCAATTAGCGTTTTCGTTGATCTTGCTTTTCTGCCGGGCACTTAAGTACCTCGACCTGCACCCCGCACGCACGATCATTCGCACACGCACAACAATACACAATGGTTGCTGAAACAAAACTCTACGATTCCTTGAGCATCAAACCTGAGGCGTCTCAGGATGAAATTAAGAAAGCTTACCGGAAGGCCGCCTTGAAGTACCATCCGGATAAGAACAAAGATAACCCCTCTGCGTCGGAGAAGTTTAAGGGTATGTTATCCTATCCCCTTGTTGGTTTTTGACTGTTGCAATGGCATTGATGGCTAACGTTCTTTCTATATGTAGAGGTCTCGCAAGCTTATGAAGTTCTTTCCGACCCCGAAAAGCGCAAGGTCTATGACCAATTCGGCCTCGAGTATCTCCTGCGCGGTGGTCCTCCCCCGTCGCCCGGTGGTGGCGCCGGCGGCGCAGGAGGTAGTCCGTTCGAGGGTGGCATGCCCGGAGGGTTCTCGTTCGGAGGCATGCCTGGCGGCGGCGGCGGCGGAGCCCGCACCTTCCACTTCTCCACGGGTCCCGGGGGCGGCGGCCGATCCGGCTTCAGCTTCAGCTCCGCCGACGATATTTTCAAAAACTTCGCCAAGGCCGGCGGCGGCGGAATGGGCGGCATGGACGACGATGATCTCTTCTCGATGCTCGGCGGCGGGCTAGGCGGTGGTGGTGGTCGGAGTTTCCGCTCGAGTCGTGGTCCTAGCAGCTTCGGGCAGTCCTCTCGGCGCGCTCCGCCGCCTGAGCCTACTGTGATGGAGAAGGAGCTGCCGCTGACCTTGGAGGAGTTGATGCGCGGTACTACTAAGAAGGTCACGGTTAAGAGCAAGGCGTTCGATGCTAGTGGCAAGCGGACCGTTCAGGACGTGACCCTGGAGGCCAACATCAAGCCTGGTCTGCGGACGGGCTCGAAGATCAAGTACCGCGGCGTGGGCGACCAAGAAGAAGGTGGTCGTCAGGACGTGCATCTTATCGTTACAGAGGTAGGTTATCCCTTATTCACATCCAGCCAGCCTTATGGAGGATAAATACTAACGATCTATACAGAAATCAAACCCCAACTTCAAACGCCACGGCGACAACCTCATCACCACCGTCGACCTCACCCTTAAAGAGGCTCTCACGGGCTGGGAGCGGATCGTCCGCACCATCGACGGCAAGTCGATCAGAGTCGCCAAGCCAGGTCCGACGCAGCCCGGCCACGAAGAACGGTATCCGGGCTGGGGCATGACGATATCGAAGAAGCCCAACGAGCGAGGCGACCTGATCGTTCGGGTTAACGTCAAATTCCCGACGAGCTTGACTAGCGAACAGAAGGACGTGCTGAAGGACGTGCTTCCTAATTGAGTTCTGAATTTCGTGGATTATACCTCTTAGCATGGATGGCGTTTTTTGTTTTAGGGAGCGGTTGGCGGTTTTTGCTTTTGCTTTGCTCTTTGTATATGGTGTTACTAATGATCGCTGATGATGATGATGATTGGTGTTGAAATTTATACTCTATTTTGTAGAGCATTGGCAATAAAAGTATCTATCAATTCCTCGAATGCTGAATAGTAAACCGACCTCATAAATCCAAGCTAATCCCAAATAAGCCTAGCCCGAGCATCTGACTTATCTTATCGCTCCTCGTGACAACAACAATAATGTCGCATGTACAAATGACCTCCGCTCCGCACGCCGCAGCTCTCTTCTCCGCAACAACCTACCCAGCCTAGCTAGCTAAGCTACGAAGCACGGAGCAAGTAGCTACTTAACCAGACCATCATCCTACCCTTCATATTCCAACCAATCCCTCCTATATTCATTATCTACGGAATCATCCTCTATTTTATTAGACCCCCCTCACCGCAAGAACCAGCGAAAGACCCAAGACCAGGGAAAATGCGCCGCAGAATCACCTTCGTTCAACGTCCCGACTCACCCTTCGATCTCGACCAGGCCCAGTTATCTAAAGACGCGCTTTCCGTGCGTCAGGTGCTCGCTGCTCGTGAGGAGAGGGTCACGTTGGGCGTTGAGGAGGTTGCGGAGGAGAAGGTATTGTTTTTTTGGTTCCTTGTGGAGTGGAGTGGAGTAGTTGGTTGATGCTGATTTGTGATAATGAGGTTTCTAGATTCGAGATGTGTTGGAACAATCGCATCAGTTGCATGTTCGGTGGGCTAGTGAGGAGGTCTTTGATGCTGTGACGCCGTTTTCGAGTCGTGTGGCGCCCGGGTTGCATGTGCTGTGGACGCCGAGGGAGGGAGGGAGTGAGACGTGAGTTTTTTCTCATTCTTCATATGTTTCTTTGAGGGGAATGGTTTGTTCCTGGGCTTGTTTGACGGCTAACCGATTGAGTGGTTCCGGGATAGACACTCGCTATGTGCATTGTTGAAAGAGGTGTTTGATGATGGATTGAAGTGTTCGAGTCCTGAGGTTTGTTTCCTTGCTGAATGCCGACTGGGCTATGGAGGCATACATGCTAATTGCTCTGTCTCGGTATACAGACTTCATTTGTCACACCCCCGGTCCTCTCGACGCGGTTCGCAGCCACCGCCGCATACCAATATCACGCATTGCTTCCCTCGCTCGATAATCTCGTCTCTTATATTCAGAAGAAACTCTGTGTCGGGTCAGGCTCCGACGAATGTCTCCGCCAAGCGGCGTCGTTGACCTCCGCGGACTCACTCGATATCAACTACGATAGTATCTCTCATGCCTTGACGTTAACGGGGTACTGGTCTCGTTCACCGGACGGGGGATGGACGGAACAGATCCGGAAACCGGCTGCCGGGGCTGGTCAGGTCGAAGTTGGGCTTCTCAGCACCGATAAGGCCGTTGAGCCAGAGGAGATCAAGATGGGTGGGTTGTTGGGGGTTATTGGGTCGGATGATAAATTGAGTATGTCGGATTGCTACTCCTATCTCTGGCTGTATTGATGCAGGAGGAGAAGGCCAATCGTTGAGCTAACTGTCTATTCAGAACCCACCCTGTTCTCGTTCCCTTCTCGCCATCATTCGCTCCCCAACGAGGCGACATACTCCGTCTCGTTTCCTGCCCCTACAGGCTTACATCCTACAATGACCATCTCCATTCCTCGCTCGGGCCTAGAACCCCCACCGGCCCCGGCAGACGCGACCTGCGCACTCCACACCTATCTGACGCTACCGTCAACAATCTTCGGCGACAAGTACCAGCTCGCCACGACAGACCCGCTGTTCCTGAATTCCCACCACCTCAAAGCCCTCCGCGCCGTGGCGGGCGAAACAGACCTCGAAGCCCCAGACTGGTTCGTCCCGCGCTGGGGCTCGAACTGGTTACTCGAACTCGCCACGCCGGACCAAGCAGACCAAGACAAAATCCAAGACCAACAAGGGGACTGGAACGTGACCATCCCACTCCATCTGCGATACCTGCGCCCCTCGGAAACCGGATACCGAACGGCCTCGGTGCCCTGGCCCGTCGTCTTCTGGGCCTGCACCACGGAAGAAGGCACCAAGATGGGGACGAACCCATTCGATCGCGTGAATCTGGGCTGGGAGGGCTTGTTCGGTCCCAGAACGATGTTCTACCAGCTCACTCCTCATCCTAAGAGCGGTGATCAGGAGAATCAAAGACATCGAGTCGTCGAGGATCTAGAAGTCCCGGTTCTGCAATTGAAGGAGGGCGGGTTCTTCCAGGGTAGGACTATTGAGTTGGGCACTGTTGTTGTCATTACGTTGGGTTTGCTGTGGGTGCTTTGGAGGTTGGGGGTGGTTGTTCGTACTTCTTCTTCGACTGGACAGAGGGGAACTGCTAGAACTGATCAGAGGAAGAAGGCGCAGTGACTTGCCTTCTTCCCCGTGCTTTTGTGCGTGAGAGAAAGAGAGGAAGGGAACAAGAGAGACTGTGATTAGCGTTTAATCGTTTACGGCAAGATTTATTCGTCTTCTGTTTCTCATCAAATGCATGAGTTAGAATGCATGGGTATTTAACATTGCATTTATACATATATATGATCGACCTTATACATCGGTAGGCATTAATATCAGACATTGCACATCAATCATATCACACGTAAGACATTACATGAATCATAGATATCATAGATCAGACAAGCATGGCATGGCGTAGTTCAGTGTAGTGTCGGTTCACTTTGACTGAACTTATAACTAGAGTAGAAGTGAAAGCAGAAGTGAGAGCGGAAGACCAAGACCAAGATCATACTAGGTCCTGCTGCGTCTGTCCCTGCTCCTGTCCCGGCCCCTGACCTGGTAGATCTGTAGATAGGAAATTATCCAAATCGACTTGCTGTAGACCAGGGATGTCGATTAGGATATCGCTGAGCCATGAGAATCCGGGATAGTCAGCTAGGGAATGTGTGGATTCGGTTGTCCCGGTCCCGGTCCCTGTCGCTGTCGTTGTTCCCGTCGCAAGTGGCTGTTGCTGGTGTTGGTGCTGTTGATGTTGCTGATTTTCCTCAGCCTGAGAAGCAAACTGCGGAAGCGCAGCCGCCGCCGCCGCGGCAGCGGAAGAAGAATTCGTATTTAAAACATCGCGCAACGCCTTAGTATCTTCCTCTTTCCGCTGCTGATGCAACAGAACAAGCAAATACGCCGTACTATGAGCCTCGCGCATAACAGCCGTATCATACGCCGTGGCGACCTCCCGAAGAGTACGCATAGCCTCGTTCAGCAGCGCCAACGAAGCCCGATTATCAATCGCCAGGAGCGTGCAGACAATTTGGAACGGCACATTCGCCACCTGATGCCAGGGACTGATTGCGGCAACCATGTCGCGCGTGGCGCGGAGGCCTTTCCCCGCGAGGCTGAGTACCCGGTCGAGTAGTTTCCCCGAGATGATATAGTTGAGGGCTCGTAGGCGGCGGTAGATGCAGAGCATGAGGTTGCACTGGGCGAGGATTAACGGTGGTTGGATGTGGATGTCGTCGAGGACGTTGGCGAGCGCGGTTTCCAGTTCCGATGTGTCTGGGGATTTGTTGGGGTCGAGGCTCTCGGAGAGGGGGAGGAGGTTGAAGATCTCCGTCGTGTAGTCGGTTGGTCGCGGGGTGGGGGAGAGGGAGGTCGCACCGTGTAGCACGACTCGCGTGCGTCCGAGCTCGAAGGAGATCCAGACGTTGAGATGTCGTGCCATGCCGTAGAGTCGGCGGCGGGTTTCCGGGTCGCAGTGTTCCGGCGAGGATCCCAGGACGGTCGTCGTGGTGTCTGGGAGTTGCTCGAGATGCAGGCCGCTGGCCTCGACGAGGTGCATGAGGGAGCAGCTGGCCATCCAGGCGGCGTGCGGCGTGGCGGTCATGCGCAGGTAGCCGACGCGGAGGACCATGCCGGTGACGATGTCGACGGACGAGGCTTCAGAGGGAAGGTGGTGCTCGAGGATGAGCCGCGCGGTTTCGACCAGCTGCAGCTCCGTCGGAATGGCCTGGCGGCGGGAGAAGAGGTAGCCGAACGCTGCGACGCCGCAGAGCACCGCATCGTACGGCCCATAGGGCAAGGCGGACTCGTGGGACGAAGGCAGCCATCGCCGACTCACTTGCCGGAGGATGCTGTCGCGATCGATAAACCCATAACACGGATCGACTTTCTCGAAGAAGATGGCCACTAGGGCTCGCATCTCATCCTGCGATAGCGTCTCCGTCACGGGGACCGCCACGGGCGATGACGAGGGAGGCATGGACGGCGGCGGCGGATGGCGCGCCCCGACGTTCCACGCAAACATATGAAGTCGGGGCGCATTGGCTGGGTCGATCTTCAGTCCCAATCTCCGCACGAAGGCCGCGCCGGAATTGGCTTCCAGCGAGCTGAGATCAACCCCAGGGACCGCTGGGGGCTGGGCCTGGTCCTGAGGCTTGGAGGCAATCGGTTCATCCAGAATGCTACCGGAGCCCGACGGCGGTCGGAAAGATCTGACGTCTTTCTTCTTGCGCGACAGCAAATCATAATGGCAGTCGACGCCGAATTGACAGCAGGTGGTACATGGCTGGTCGCCGGAGCATTTACGTTTGCGCGATTGACATGACACGCAGGCGACTCGGGAGCGCTTCCGAGCGGGCTCCTGATGATCGGTCATAGTCTAGAGCATCTCGGGGTTTGGCTGGGAGGGGCGGGTCTTATCAGATGTGAAGCCATTCAGACTTGGGAGGAGTACAGAGTAGTCAGACTGTCAGAGACTCGGAGACCCAAGAGTAGTACGGGAGTAGTCAGTCCAGGCACGGGGTCCCATGCCCAATCGGGCTAAGCGCATTAGCTCCCTTCGTTATTCTTACGGAGTCACATTCAAGTAACTACTTAGTTATCCTCTTATCTCTACTCCCTAGTATCTACGGAGTACCAGATGGAAATCAAATTTCTTCGGGCAGACAGCGGACACAATGATCATATATGACAGAGCTGTCTCGACAATATCTAACTACGCATGAGCTGCAAGGGACGGACAACCCATAAGTTACGCGTCATACACAGCCCACATTCCAGCTATGTCATAAAATCCTCACCAGAAATGAGCTCATGCTTTGTCCTGTTGTTCATCAGTCTCAGCGAGGCAAACCGGTCACCTGCTGGGCCACAATGCATGATGTTGAGCCGGTACTGCCGCTGCTGCGTCCATTGCGTGCGACAGCACTTTGCAGGACTTTGCATAACAGAAATGTGCCAGTTGTTCCTGGATGTCGGAGGAAATCCTTTCATGCGGCCAAGCTCTCGATGAATCGGAGTCAATTGATCCCGACAAAGGAGAGTTATCATCGACTGGGGTTCGGTTCGTGGTGAAGCCTGAAGGCAAGCTGGATCATCCACCTGCATCCACCACCGTGAAGTCACTGTGGAGCAGGTACCTAAGACACCCGCACTCCTGTGTGCATCCCCGGTCCCAGCCCCCAACTGTCCTCGCGAAATTCCGTCCATTATATAAAATCCATGCCATTCGGAACTGTAGCTGAGCTGGTACGATGCGGGTCTAGAGCTATACTAGACGCTGCATGCGGACGGCATCAAGTTATAAGTAGCGTACATGATTCCGAGAGGACAAGGCTCAAGCAAGGCAAGAACTGCCCGCATGGAAATAAAAATAAGCGCCTCCTTGAGTTACCCAGGGACCCAAGTTTGGGTCGGACGGGGCCCCCGTCGACGCTACAGGGCAAGTGGCGGTGGGTATGGGTTTCTGTGACAAACACATATTCATATTGAGAGCGAGCATCATCGAACAAGCGAGATGAGATCAGCAGGATGGAGGGATCGGCCAGCTCCTTGCAGCGTCGACATGCTGCAATGGAGACGGACAGGATTCGCAATCATTCCGACCGACAGTACGGAGTAGAGAAGAATGATCGCGTTGAATTGGGTGAGAGAAATGTAGAAAGGAAAGAGGAAAAAGGAAGAAGGAAAAGAACAGAGGTTCGGTTCGCTCTACAGTGCTCCGTTCTGGACAGAAAAGGCAGTTGATAGGAGTCATCGATAGCGTTCCGATAGAAGGAATTAGTGAATAATAATGGCAAATGGGAATTAATTCAGCCCTGATAGGACAATCCAGACAAAGCAGACAAACACCGCCCCGTGACTCCCGCCGATCCCGCAGTGCCTTCCAGTCACCTGATTGGTTCCCTCCCAAAGAAGTCGGTGAACCTGGCCACGTGACCCTCAGTCGGGCCGAAAGTCGCACTTTTCCCTTTTCCGGCAGTTAAATTTTAATTAAATATCCCGACCGCCTCGACTCGCTCTCTCTTCTTTCTCCTTCTTTCTTCCCCCGTCCGTTCTTGACTCACTCATCTCAACTCACACTTCCTTGACCCCAGACTTGCATCGACTCGTCTTCCCATGTCAATTTAAATCACTTCCTTTCCCCTTTATTTATTTCAGTGACTGGCACTCCCACAGTCGCGCTTATGCGTTTGCATTCCATCTTCACTTCTCAGGTAAAGTTGCCCATGCCACCACCGATGTCATACCGTCCCCCCATACTGGACGAAAGCTCAATTGCCGTCGGGTCAACCTTGTATCATCATGACTAACTTTGTCTCGTGCAGGACTACATCTCGGATCAAATCTGGAAGGCTTCCGGAAACTACTGAACTCAACACCCACTACCCGCTTCTTCTCTCTCGTCACGCTTCTAAATCTATATTGCTATGTTCGCTCGACTCTTCAAGGCTATGCCCGCCCGGGCCTCTGCCTTCCCGTCCGTGAATGCCTCTATCCAGTCTCGGTTTATGGCGACGGTGCGTCAACAGCGTGCCGCCCCTGAACGCGCAACTTTTACGATCCGAGATGGTCCTATCTTCCACGGCAAGTCCTTCGGTGCTCGCTCCAACATCTCCGGAGAAGCCGTCTTCACCACCTCTCTGGTCGGGTACCCCGAGTCTTTGACCGACCCGTCCTACCGTGGCCAGATCTTGGTCTTTACCCAGCCCTTGATTGGAAACTACGGTGTCCCCTCCGCGGAGAAGGACTCGAACGGTCTGCTCAAGTACTTCGAGTCTCCTAACCTCCAGGCCGCTGGTGTTGTTGTGGCCGACGTTGCCGAGCAGTACAGCCACTGGACCGCCGTTCAGAGTCTGGGCGAGTGGTGTACCCGGGAGGGTGTGCCTGCTATCTCGGGTGTCGACACTCGTGCCATCGTCACCTACCTCCGTGAGCAGGGTTCTTCCCTGGCCCGTATCACCGTGGGTGAGGAGTACGATGCCGACCAAGACGAGGCTTATGTCGACCCGGAGCAGATCCATCTGGTCCGCCAGGTTAGCACTAAGTCCCCCTTCCACGTGTCTGCCGCCGACCCTCAGTGCCACGTTGCCGTTCTGGACTGCGGTGTCAAGGAGAACATCCTGCGGAGCTTGGTCAGCCGTGGCGCCAGCGTTACCGTCTTTCCCTTTGACTACCCCATCCACAAGGTCGCTCACCACTTCGACGGTGTCTTCATCTCCAACGGCCCTGGTGACCCCACTCACTGCCAGGCGACCACCTACCACCTGCGTCGCTTGATGGAAACCTCCCAGGTGCCCATCTTTGGTATTTGCTTGGGTCACCAGCTGCTGGCTCTGGCTGCCGGTGCCCGTACCATCAAGCTGAAGTACGGAAACCGTGCCCACAACATCCCCGCTTTGGATCTGAGCACCGGCCGCTGCCACATCACCAGTCAGAACCACGGCTATGCCGTTGATGCTTCCACTCTGCCCTCCGACTGGAAGCCCTACTTCGTCAACCTGAACGACTCGAGTAACGAGGGTGAGTATTCTTTGTTTAATTTGAAACCGAGTTCATATGCTAATGATAACCAGGTATGATCCACAAGTCTCGCCCTATCTTCAGCACTCAGTTCCACCCCGAGGCCAAGGGAGGTCCTCTGGACTCCTCGTACCTCTTTGACATTTACCTAGACAGCGTCATCAAGTACAAGAACAGCCAGCTGGCTTTCCACCCCACCCGGGAGACCACTCCCAGCCCTCTGCTGGTTGACCTGCTGGCTAAGGAGCGTGTCGGTGTGCAGCCTACTATTGGCATGCAGAACGTTGCCGCCACCGCTGCTGCTGCTGCCGCTGCTGCTTAAACAAAAGCTTTCAGGAGGTTCATTGTGTACATGGCGTCAGGGTTTTCTTTCTATGGTTTGGGCTGGGATTTGCTCGAGTTGGGTAAAATTGTTTCGTACATTCTAATTGACTATAGTCTAAGAATGAATATATTCTTCAATCATATTTAGCATTTGCTTAGTATCCACTCTCTTTTGTAACTTCACCATTCTTCAAGGTACTGTAGAAGAGACTGTATCACTGTAGAGACTGTCCCTCATAGAACAAATCATATCTCAATACCATTCATAGTTTCAATAAGTTGACTAGGTTTGTACTAAACATCCAAAGTCTAATAATAGGCTGCCCGTCCACTTCTTTGTTTCTTACACCCAATAAGTGAGTGGATTTATCTCTATTTCGCAACAATCGAAACCACATCCTCATCAGCAATAACATGCGACAATCCCACCCGTTGCGGAACATGTCTCGCGCTCGCTCCCCACACCATCGCATACTTGAACGTCTCCTTCAGCGTGCGGTGCACCTGGTCGCACACGTCTTCGATGGTCGATTGGTATCGCACGATCAGGGCTTCCGAGAAATCGGGCTCTTCGCCTTTTCTGTGGGGGTGTTAGCTTCATCTTGTTCATGTACTTATGTAGAGGGTATATAGGGGGTTGAAAGATAGAGGCAGGGGTGAGAGAGGTACCGTTTCGTGTAAATCCGGACCAACCGCAGTTCCTTCCACACTCGATCAACGACCTCTTGTACGCCCAGGTCCAGTTCGCAACTCATCACAGCTGTGTACGGTTCGCGGGCTAGTTGGTCCAGGAAGTCGAGACTGACGCTGTCGATCTTGTTGTATACGTAGAGGCTTTTTGTTCTAGCGTTAGTGTATGTGCTAGACTTGATCGGGTTGATGAATGTGTAGAGGGCAATCCTACCATCGAATGTACTTTCTATGGTCTTTCATGATCACGTCAATGAAGTCGTCGATTGTTGCTTTAGTTGATTTGGTCAGTACTTCGATTCAGGTGTTCAAGGTGTCGGGCCGTGATGTCCTACCGTATTCATCTCGCACCAGAACCTCGCAGTTCAGGATCTTATAGTCACGCAGCACGTTGTAGATCATCTTCTCGTCCAGATACTTGGGTGGGGTCTGGAACGTGATTTTCATTCCTCCGGCCTTTTTGGCTTTCAGGTAGATGTTCCTGCGTGCTGGTTAGAATTCGAAGTAATTGAAGGACGAACAGAAAGTTGTATCGGCATACGGAGGATCCTTGTTCAATCTGATTCCAACGGCATCCAATTCCGCCTCCAGCAATGCCCGTTGTTCCGCCTTTTTAGTAGCGTCCAGAACCATGAGAATTAAATCACTGGTCTACATCCACGCCAGTTAGCCAACATAGATTCTCTAAGCCTGATAACCTCTCTCTCGAAGACCGGAGAGACAAACCTTCGCTGCGGAAATCACCTGTCGTCCTCGACCCTTACCCTCAGCAGCTCCCTCAATAATACCCGGCAGATCGAGAATCTGGATCTCAGCACCGCCATATTCCAACACACCGGGGATGGCCGTGAGCGTGGTGAAAGAGTACGCGGCGGCCTCACTCCTCGTCTTGGTGATCTTGCTCAGGAACGTCGATTTACCGACCGATGGGAAACCGACCAGCGCGACTCGCGCATCGCCGCTCTTGCTGACGTCGAAACCTGCTCCGCCGCCGCCGGATCCGCCCGTGGGCTCTAGTAGTTGGGCTCGTAGTCGGGCGAGTTTTCTGGATAAAGAGAAAGGTGGGGTTAGTAAGTTTGGGATGGAGGATTAAATGGGACGGTGTAGGCTTACCCCTTCAACAGACCAAGATGGTACTCTGGAGGGCGAGTGTTAGGATGTCTGTACTATCGCCTAAAGTAAAAAGGTTGGTTCCGCACCTGTGGCCTTGTTCTCTGTTCTATCAGTTAGCTAGCTGCGGGGTCATTGTTGGAGGTTATTCGGTGTGATCGTGACTTACTCTGCGTCCTGCGCATCTCATCCTCAATCCTGGCGAAGGTGTTAGAGTCATGTTCAAATCCACCGTCTCCACGATCCATCCAGAGCCGTAAACATACTCCTTGATCTTCTCCGTGATATTCACCATCTTGACGGTTAAAAGAGCCCCGCGGACCCAACTGCCTCCAACAGGAACTGGTAACGTATGCGACGCCGGGGAGGGAAACGGCCCAAGAACAAGAAGGCAAGGGAAACAGCAAAAAAGCAAAAGAAACTCCCTATGGGAAATCAAAAGATGCCAGTCCACGAGTGGTGAGCAGCGCCAACAAAGTCCGGGGAACATCGTCTGCTATCAAATTCGTCGCGATGCCAAGCCTTACGTAATCCCCGCCCGAACTTCTCGTCTTCAACTTTCGCTTTCTTCTCTCTCCACTATTCTTCCAACCTTGCTTGTCCACAAGCTATCCCTCTCTCTCAATCACACACATACAAAATGGCCGACACGGACCTCGCCAGCTCCACGGAGCAACAATTCCACCCTACAGAATCCGGCCCCCCTCCCACCAATGACACCGAAACCGAAACCGCCCTCACAGTCGCCGCCGGCGGCGACAACGCCGAAACAGCCCTCGTAGAAGCAGCCGACGGCCAAAAGAAGACCAAAAAGATCATCCGACGAAAGCGCCGACCCGCCCGACCCCAGATCGACCCGGCGACTATCAAGTCCGAGCCGCCGCCGCAGACCGGAACGACGTTCAACATCTGGTATAATAAGTGGTCTGGCGGCGACCGCGAGGACTCGTTATTGTCGAAACACGCGGCGCCGTCGCGCTGTAACGTCGCGAAGGATAGTGGGTATACGAGGGCGGATAAGGTGCCTGGGTCGTATTTCTGTTTGTTCTTTGCGCGTGGTATTTGGTATGTTATAACCTGCTCTTTCTATATTAGATGGAGAGAGTCGTCGAGGAGCTAGCCAGCTAGCTATAATCTTCTGGGCCTGATAAAGCTAACACTTTCTCTACTGGAAACAGCCACAAAGGTCACGAATGCGAATACCTCCACCGTCTCCCCACCCTCCACGACCTCTTCAACCCGAACGTCGACTGTTTCGGCCGCGACAAATTCAGCGACTACCGCGACGACATGGGCGGCGTGGGGTCCTTCATGCGCCAGAACCGCACGCTCTACGTCGGCCGGATCCACGTCACCGACGACATCGAAGAAGTCGTGTCTCGCCATTTCGCCGAATGGGGCCAGATCGAGCGCATCCGGGTCCTGACCTCGCGCGGCGTCGCATTCGTCACGTACTCGAACGTCGCGAACGCCGAGTTCGGTAAGGAGGCGATGGCTCATCAGTCGTTGGATCATAGCGAGATCTTGAACGTGCGCTGGGCGACGGTCGATCCGAACCCGTTGGCGCAGAAGCGTGAGGCTCGGAGGCTGGAGGAGCAGGCGGCTGAGGCGGTGAGAAGAGCGCTGCCGGCGGAGTTTGTGGCCGAGTTGGAGGGGAAGGATCCTGAGGCGAGGAAGAGGAAGAAGATTGAGGGGAGCTTTGGGTTGCAGGGGTATGATGCTCCTGATGAGGTGTGGTATACGAGGACGAAGCAGCTGGAGGATGCGGGGAGAGCCGGGGCGGGTCAGTTGGAGGCGCCTGATCAGTCGCTGATGATTGAGGCGGCGTCCGCTGAACCAGCTCAGGAGTTCCAGACGCAGGAATCGACGGGTGGTGGGATTTTCTCTAGCTCGACGGTGGCGGCGCTGAGGGGACTCTCTGGAGGAAATGTCACGACGAAGCCGGCTCCTCAGGCGTCGGGCCCTCTAGTGGGCTATGGTAGTGATGATGACAGCGACTAGAGAGGGTGATTGTAGAGGATTGCGATTTTTCTTTTTATGATGTATAATAGCAGCGATACCTTGGGAATTTTGCCTACGTTTCTTTTCTTACAGGTTGCTGGTTTGCATAGAATGAGCATGGGTATAATTCGCTATGAACAAAACTCAAACAGAGAGGAGAGTATAAAACATCCACCTATGTTGATGTAAAACAAATGTATCGACTCGAAGATAACAGGAAAGAAATGCATGACATGACACATGACACGTTCGTCGTTTACATCTTCATCTTCATCTCTCATTTCTTGTTCCCAGATCATAGTACACACAGGATCCCGTGCGATAGTTATAGATGAACGCATTGGTGAAGTCGTCCGCACCGTCACCCATGCGGCTCTCATTGGCGAGATCCATGAGTAGTTCGTGGACCTGACTTAGGTACTTTCGTTCGGTCAGCGGTGCATTCTGTATGACTGCACGCCAGCTGTCCGGGTCCGATAGCCGTGTATCTCGGATTGCGTCCAGGAGGTCATCCCGGGTGTCGATGGCCGCGATGGGTCCGTTCAAGGCGTCTTCGATGACTTCTCGGGAGCGGAACAACGCTTGAACGAGGTCAGTATATGATCTTATACTCGTTTGCTACTAAAGGGATCGAAATTACCATTTTCGACAATGTTCCTTCGGTTGGACTTCTTGCTGCGATGTTGCGGCACCAAAATGCGCACATCGTTCACTCGCTCACTGGGCCCATTGAGATCAGGTTGGCTGGGCAGTCGGGACTGTCGGAACGAGTCCGTGACGCCTTCACGTTGATTGCGTGCCCGGATTTCGTTGCGAAGCCAGGGAATGAGTTCGGAACCCCTCACATCGAATTCCTCCTTGGGCTCGAGGCATCGAATCTTGAAACCTCGCTCCTGACTATCTTGCTTTACAATGACGATCCAACTGTGGTTGTGTTCCTTGTACTGAGTAAGGAGCTCTTCTAGCGAGGAAGCATCAATCGCGATTTCCGCGCTGATGTCAGCCGCCCAGAGATCCTGCGCAATCTTCACGCCAAGCGTGCGCAGAACAGTCGCGTCAAAGCTTGCAACGAGTACGTCGCACTATTGTTCATTAGCAAAAGGAGATGCCGAGGGAGAGGCGGCGTTCTACTCACTCTTCTGGCTCTCCAAAAAGCCCCAATTTCAGTCTCGTTTTGCTTCAGAGAACTCTTGGCGGGACCACGAAGATAGTCCAGCATGACTGAGTTGAGTTTATCCCAGCTTAGGTTGAACCCAACGGCATGTGTGTGCGAGCGGTTTGTTAAGACTTTGGGACGAAATTCCTTCACTAGCGAGTCATATCGACCGCCGGCGGCGAAGACATCCCGGCGTTTGCTGTCGAAGACACACTGGAACAGAATGCTGCCTCGGAAGAATTTGTCGTTCAGGCTACCGAGGGGGTTGATATAAACCTTGCGTTTTACATCAAATGCCTGAAGATACGCCAGAAGTAGGTTCAGCCGGACAAAGATAGGTGCCAGCCGTTCGGCATATGGGGTGCCCTCCATGATGGCGCGCAGTCGCTTTTGCGTATGCTTTGGAGAATCTGTCACATGTTAGTCCCAAAATCGATTCACAAGACAGATAGAGACGGACCTTTAAAATCGAATCTTGCCAGGTCGTCCAACGAGGTGGAAGCAATCCCGATGGCCTGAGATCGTAGTTCACTGCGGATCTTCGACATCGTCCACTTTCCAACGTTTAACTTGCTAATCACCTCTTTCGCCAAGGGGATCTTGGAGGGCGTGATGCGGCAAAACTCCATGATCAACTGGAGGAGATCAGAATGATTGACCAGGAAGCACATAGGAGCTGATCTCAGCGGCGGGAAGTCGTCGATGATCTCGTCGAGAACTTTAATGGTCTCTGCTTCCTTCAGGGCCAGATCAAGAGCGTTGTGTGAAACAATATCAAAGTCCACCTCTCTGTGGGTTCGAGGTTCGCCGCCATGGGGTGACTCTCTGTATACTGTACCGAACGCAAACGTCTTTTCAAGTGAAGCATCTTGCCGAGGAATCGCACGCGCATTGGGAAGCGTCAGGTCAAACGGCAATTGAAGCAAGTTACCGGTAGAATCCAGAAGGCGCACGGCACCATTGTTGTAATGTTGTGATCTGGGGAACAGCATCTGTCTCGCGTTTTCGACGGCCCCATGTCGTCTGAAGATTGACGTGAGTCTCTCCTTGACCAAGCCGTGGATGAGAAGCTCATTTGCAGCCGGCGCCCCATGAGAATCCATATCCCAAGCAATGTCTTCAAACTTCTTGGGAGACTGGGAGAATATTGCCGATAGGATTTTCTTGTAATCGGGAGAATTAGGATCCGACAGAAGGTGCATGATCGCCCGTCGAAAAGTTTCCTCTTCCACCTGCAGAGGGATTTGACCGCTGTGAAGAAGCTCCGATGCCGAGGGCCGTTCGCTAGGATTGTGACTCAAAAGAGACTCGACTATCCTGCCCTGTACGACCTTTTCGGAGTATTGGAATGTTGATGGAAGCGTGTGATTCTTCTCTCTGATCGCCCGTAGTGTCTGGTCTCGCTCCATACCCGTCGGCAGAGCGTGGCACATTTCGAAAAAGATTACACCCAGAGAATACATCTACATCTGTCAGCCTGTGTTTTCCTGTGTCTCCTTGAAAAGAGCTTGGACTTACATCCACTTTCTCATTATAGTGTCCCGTGAAGCCTGATTTCATCTCCGGCGCAACGTAGTACGTGGTACCAAGACTGCGAGTGAAGTTTCCTTCGAAGTCTGCGGTGGTTGAAGATCGTACGGCTGTCGTAAACTGCCCACTCGTGGCTAACCCAAAATCTCCGATGCGCGGGTTATTTGCTACATCAATAAAGATGTTATCGGGTTTCAGGTCACGATGTATGATGCCATGACCGTGGATGTGGCTCAGCCCGTCGAGGATCTGTCGGAACAGCCGCCATGATCTGTCGACATCGTCGTACAAACCATTTCGAATCAGATCGCGAAGTGTCTAGGAGATTCGTCAGTTCGAGTATAGGTGAGGTTATAAGGAGGAGACGGCGTACGTGTTTCTCGCAATATTCCATCTGTATGTAAAGAGTAGACAAGACTGGTCTACCTTGCGAGCCGGACATCACACGACTGAGATCTGCTCCTGTGCCACTTTCCGAGCCATAGGTTTCCGGTGTCTCACGCTTAAAGTTCTGAGAGGGTGTGGTTCCATCGCGTTCTTCGTCGCTGTCACCTCCAAATTCGATCTTTGGATAGCCACTGGAGCTGATGAAATCAAGTCCACCCGTGCTGTATTCATATGCATTGGAGTCCCTGCCAGAAAAATATCCGTCTGAAGACGATACAGCATCTTCGTCGATGTGACCATGATCCTCTTCGAGCCACGCCGTGTAATAGCGCACTACATACGGGTGATTAAGTCGGGATAGCAACATGATCTCCGACAGCGTATCCTTCAAGGCGGCGGCAGATCTTTGTGAAATCTTCTTAACGGCATAAAAGCGACCGTCGAGCTTGTTTCTCGCCTTTACTACCTGCCCGAAACCTCCTTTGCCCAAGCGACCTGCCTCATCGAAGTCTTGATTATACCGTGAGAACGCAGGTAGGCCATTCATGGAGTCTAGACGGGGCCGCCTCGGCAAGGAGATCGAGTTTGAGGCGCTTGAACGAGCAACCAAGGGAGTGTCGAGGCGGAAAAACTCCGATGGCTGAAGCTGGAAAGCGGTTGGCCGCTTCTTGGGATCAGGTCGGAAGAATTCATGCAATAAATCCTGCAGGGGAGCGGTGAGACCGAGTGTAGCCATCATCGCATTGGCCGATGTATAGCGCTGTAACACATCCAGTCCAAACCCCATCTGAAGAAAGACTATACCCAAGTCCCAAACATCCGTCTTGGTGGTAGGCGGGGCATCGTCGGGCGTCAATTCCGGGGGAAGCCAAAATGGTGATTTGGAGGTTGTTAGTGACCGCGTGCTTTCTGCAGAGTCCGGCAGAGTTTCCTCGATGGCCGCCTGTAGCTTCACGATCGTGCCACCGGTGGGGTTCCTAAACAGCATGATACGCCCACATTGAATATCTCCGTGGACGAATCCGCTGCGGTGGTAGAACTCCAGAGCTTCAAGAAGTTGGATAGTCCAGCTACGAACCATTTCCACGGGAGCCGTTCCGACGATATCCAGGAATTCAGAGAGCGAGCCCTTGTTTGCGTGCTCGACCAGCAGATACACCTTCCAGAAGTGGTCATGGGTATCCAGAGGATTCAAAGGTCTATATATTTTAAACCCGACAAACTCAACTAGATTGGAGTGCCGTAGCCTTTTCAAGCTTTCCAGCTTATCCTCACTAGTACGCATCTTCTCTCGGAACGTCAACGGGTCCAGCCCTTTCTCATCCAGGGACACCTCTTTTAGGACTAAGAGAGGAGCACAAGGACGAGTGTCGCAAGTGACCGGCCTGACGGTGAACGTTTCTTTCCTCGGAGAGGATTGTAGCATAGTCTTCCCATATACAGCGCGAAAAGCAAGAGGCCCTTCATCCGTATCCGTCATGACCAGAGGGGGATCGAAGCAGATCGCACCCGGTATGTTCTCCACGGCATCGAGGCCACTCTCTGGGTCCATTCCTGGCGTTCGACTCTTCCGTTTTGAGTCCCGTGCCTTGGTCCGTTCTCGGATCTTATCATCTAGGAGCTGTTGTAAAGCTCGTTCCTCCTCTGCCGAGGCGGCCTCCTGTTTCCGCAGTTCTTCCTGTCGTTCCAGCTCCGCTCGTTGATTGGCCGCGGCTTCTTGCTCCATGCGCTCCTCTTCTAGGCTAGGAAGATCCTTGTCTTGAGCTCGAGCTTCCGCCACGTCCTCGAGGACATCCTGTATCGACACGGCTAGCTCATAGATCATCTCGGAGCCCATGAGAGTCCTCGGTTTGTTGCGTATAATATCTTCGATTCGCGATCGAGCCCCCTGTCGTAGGTCGTCTATGTTTTCCAGGGATAGGTTCGGGTAGGTTTTGGGGTAGGTCGCGGGGAGCTCGACGAGCAATTCGAGGTGGACGTCCGGGTTGGAGGAAGCCCGCAGATGGAGTTTGAAAGTAACTTCGGAGGATTGCTAGAAGTCCAACTCGTTAGCAATCGCCCATCCGACATGAAGTCCGCGGGCGGGTTCATTTCGGGCACCTACTTGTCCCCACGCGGATCGCCGATGCTGCACATCTTCAAAGTCATCGCCGTAGATCGAGCGGAGGGCCTCGACCTCGTTCTCGTGGATTTCATGATAATTGGTGGGGGGCGCTACGGGCGATTCGGGGTTGAACTGCTTCTTTTCCGCTCGGGGAGAAGCGTTTGGGGGGACATGATTGGAATTCTTCTTCTGCTTGTGAGGCATCGCGGGGCGTTCGTTGGGCGGTGTGGAAAGTTAGTTTACCCAAGAACGAGACGAATCCTTTGCCACGAGAAAGCAGTGACAAAGATACAGCCGAAGCTGCAGCCCTCTATATTTCCAAAAGGGACATATCGTAAGAGTAATCGGGTAGCAATCGAGAGGGGCGAGATTGGGAGAGGGAAATCAAGGAAGGGAGAGTTAGTTTTGACTAGTTAAAAGAAAAGGTCTGGAGATGAAAGGCGGTGGGGGGGTGCAGTTGGCACTGGCACTTGGCCTAAATAGGCTTAGTTCACACGTAGGGCGTGCCCGGTGGAGTACATAACAACTAATTAGTAATAGTGAATTACTGAAAGGGTGGGCATAATTTATACAGTCGATCTAACAATATTATAGATAGCCATTGATCATTACACTACCATTAGATCTCAATTTAATCATATGATTACAGTACCTCCTATGAAAAGCCATAATCTTTAGTTATAAATGTAGATCATCAGCCCTAACAAACCTGATATAACAAACCTGATATACCAGACATAATAGAATGGACTATATTAGACTATATTCTCTCCCATATCCTCACATATGGCTCCATAACTGTTAAGGCCTCTTCAAGCTACAATTTTGCCCTTTTCTCTTTGATACAACTGTTTTGAACCATCCACGTCTTCATATCAGAGATAGATGTGAAAAACAATTCGGGATTCAAGATGCCAGGGCCGAATCCCAGCGGAGTAGAGTCCAAGCTTGCCAGCACGATGGCGCTAATGGATTTAGCGCGACTTCTGGGGACCGACCGAAAGGCAAAAGAAAAGAAAAAGAACAATAAAAGAGCGGTAACTGCCCAAATCACGTGCTCATACTGACCGCCTTGACCGCTTTAGCGCCGTCGCTGGAGAAAGCGTAAACAAAGCATAGCGTTCCACGTCAATCCTCCTCCCAGTCCTTGGCCCCCTCCCCCCCATCTCTACCTTCCCTTTGCCTCTTCCACTCGCCAATGGGGTCGCCCCGTGAAATGCATCTTGTGTCGAGTTTGGTAATTTGAATCACCCTATCCTGCAGACGCGATGCTGGAGTGGATCAAGGGGCAGAACGAGCAGTTCGCAGGTATGTCTTGACCGCGCCCCTCCCTCCCCTCACTGGCCCAATAATGGCCGTGCGATGCTCCCTAGACAACGCGGTTTCGCCCGTCGCGCGCTGACTTGTACTTGTTTTTCCGTGTTTGTTTTCCACAGACGGCTCAAAGGTATTGGAGCCACCGGAGACTCCTGCGCCCGTCTTTGCTATTCGCGCCTTCAAGAGCGCCCTCTTTGGTACCCCGGGGGCTGAGGACGAAGAAAACGTCCAGCGGGAACAGAATCCGAAGAATCTGGCGGCCAATCCCCGTCTGGGTGCCGGCGATTTGCAGAAGCCCCTTGCGACCGGAAGCGCAAGAGATGCTCCCAAGGTTACGACGATGGATGTCGATTCGGCTGTGAACGCCATGGCTTCCCCTACGAAGAGTATCCTTGTCACCCCCGGCACGGCGTCAAACCGGCGAAAGACCGTCTCGTTCGGTGAGAGCGTTGTCGATAACGAACGGAAGCGAGACGAGCCACCCACCAGATCTTCCAGAACCCCAACAATTTCGTCCAGCAACATCAGCAGTCAATGGTCCGGCTCGTCGGATAAATCTAAACCGCGGAGTAAACTCACGCAGGCCTTGATGGACTCCCGCGAAAAGTCCCCTGCCGGCTCAGAAATGGATTCCACGCAAAAGGTTGATCTTCCATCCGCGGAATCGAAAGTTGTGCCGTCATCCGAGGAAGATGGCAACGACGACACGGTCAACCTGAATGAACCTCGCTCTCAATCTGGAAAATATTGGAAAGCGGAATTTGACAGCTACCGAACGAAAACAACCCGCGAAATCCGGAAGTTGATTCAGTATCGCTCTGCGGCGAAATCGTACGCGAGAAAGAAGGATGAGGAGGCCGTGCGGCTGGCCGAAAAGCTGAAAGAGGAGGAGGTCAAAGTTGCGGATATGGAGCGTCACGTAACCCAGCTTGCCTCTACCATGGTGACTGAGAAATCCAATGCCGACAAAGAGAAATTGGTGCAGGAGCTCACCAAGCAGACGGCCTTAGCGCTACAATACAAACATCGCGTCGGCTTGTTGCGCAAACTTCTCGAACGACATGGTGTGGTGGGCGATGATATCCCTGGGTCGCCCGACGTCAGTGACGCACCGGTGGATAAATCATCGCAAGAGCTTCGCAAAACCCAGCAGGAACTGGGTCAGGCCAATGCGCGAATTGAAGAGATGAAAAAGCAGGAATCCGAATTCAGCAATTTGAAGAACCTTGCTCAAAGCTCCGAGCAGAAGGCGTCGGAGCTGGAAAAGGAAAACGTTTTACTCAAACAAACCCTGGCACGCGTGAAGCAGGAGATGGTCAAATACGAGGGACGACGCAAGGAGAAGGAAGCCAAACTCAAGCAAAGAGAGTCTAAACTTGAGACTAGAATCCAAGAATACCGGGAGCGATTCCGGACTGCCTCTCAACAGCACCGCGAGCTGGAAGACGACCTTAAGGCCTCCTTCAACGAGGAGCGCCGTCAAATGCAGGAGCAAATCGACCTGCTAAATCTTAAGGTCACCACTCTCGAACGACTTCCTGAACTTCGGGCCCGGACCCGACCTTCAGACAGCCCTCGTAAAAGCTACCCGGGGGTCGAGGTGTACGATTTCGCGCATACCAACCCTCAGAAGAACCAACACCAAAATGACGAGACGACCGACGTTGACGAACCACCAAGCCCCAGCCCTCGAGCCAAGGACCGACGCTCTCTTGGTCCCCGAACGGCACTGGGTGAATTGGATGTGAAAATGGCCAGCAAAGCTCTGGGTCTTCACGAAGACGACGACACCCATAACGACGAATCAATAAACATCGGACACTCGCCTCACAAGACGGCCAGAATCCACCTACAGGGCGGCGAGGACCCTGTTCCACCATCTTCACCCCCCGATGTCCAATCTCTCGAACCCTCCACCCGACCGCGTACAACAAAACAAAAATATAACCCGGACAGTTACCGTTCGTACCTGCCGTCCCATTCAACCATGACTTCTCTCGCCCACCACCTCGCCGGCATTGATGAAAGCCAACAAGTCCGCACCGAGCGCCTGCGCAACCGTCGCTCCCCTACGAAATACAGCCTCGACGCCCTCTCCGGCCTCCCGGAAACCCATCACCTCACCGATCGAACGCGCAAACGACAGAGTCTTAGCGCTCTCCAACGGGGCTCACTACCTGTGGACCGCCTGATCGCCGCTCAGGCACGACTTAAACGCCGAGACGAACACCGAAAGATCAAAGATGACGGCAAAGAGAACATTCGGGCCTACAGCACCAATCCTTGAATTCATAATTGTTTCTTGTTTCGTTCCGTTTCCGTCGCTGACAACTCCTTACTATACGTTCATTCGCTGGGTTATTGGGATGCGATGCATTTTCCTTTACATTGCTTTCTGTCTTTGGCCCTGTTCCTCTCTAGTATTTGGATTTGGCACGGCGTAGGAACCGGATGTGCGAAAAGGCGCTCTTTTTTTTTTCTGACTGATACAGTATTTCTTGTTTCTTGTCTCTACAACCAAGGTGGTTCATTTTGCGGACATCGACTACTTACCTTTTTTACTTTGTTTCCCTCTTCTTTTTTTCTTTTTCTTTTTTGACGTTTCTTTTGTCGACTACTGCCAATAAACATAGTCTTAATGTCTGGATATCATATACCCTGAATCAATCAAACATTCTCTTTTGTTTGTCTATTTGCTTTTTTTCTTTCTTTCATCTACATGATTTCCAAGTGTTCTAAATGGATTCAATCTGAATTTGAATTTGTGGTACCGGGCTATTTATTCGAGACCTCCATGCCTTAGTCTAGGTACTTATCTTGAAATCTGTCTGTATATTCAATCAATCCCCACTCGACTTCCAACTCAGGTGTACGTTTATCTTTCTGTTCAAGTCTCTGTTTACTCTACCCAGAAACCTAACAATCAACATCGCGTCTAAATTCTAGATTCTTTACCAGCTGATGAATTAGGCCTTGCCATCGCTGAACGACACCACGGCCCACTTGCCACTCCAAGCCCACTTCCGGGCCTCGGAGCCGCCGCCGCCGGGGAGTTGACGGAGACGCTCGTCTTCTCCTTCGGGCAGACCGACTACGGTGTCGGCTTTGCAGGTACGGAAGGCGAGGACGCGGACGCCGGACTTGGGGCCTAGAGGGCCGATGGCGGTCGTGAAGGGGGTGGTGGGGTCCCATGCGGCCTTTATTTTGATTTACCTCGATGTTAGCTTTGTCTAGGTAATGGAGTGGAGTGTTGGGTGGGGGAGAGGAAGGGTAATGGGCCAGGACAGGTAGGGTAGGTGAAAGTGACGAAGGATGGAAGACGTACATCGTTGGTCAACTTGCGGTAGTTGAGGTCGCCCTTGAACAGGACAAGCTCGCTCTCCTTGAGATCCTCGTGCAAGTCTGAGGCCACATGAGGCAGACGCCAGTAGCCGCCTGGCGTCGTCCAGAAGATGTGCGGGCGGATAATCAGCTTACCCTCCTGGTGAAGCTGGCTCCAGTGCTCGAAAAGGAAGTTCACCTCGGACAGTTCCTTCTCGGACAAGGGGTCGTACGTTTTACCGGACTCGTCGGCCGCCGTGTAGAACCCTTGTGGATCGGACAGGGCGTTGATGAGATCCATGAAGTCGGGCGGCGTCACGTCCGACACGAACCAGGGGATCAGCTTGGGGTGCAGCACCACCGTCGTCGCCAGACCAGCGGAGAGAAGGTATCCGGCCAGGATGAGGTCGACAAAGAGCTCGAACCCAGAGTTGTCCAGGACAATGTCGACACGACGCTCCTCCGATTTGCGCTCATTGCGCGCCTTGTGCAACACGTCAAAGGCCTTGCTGAGGTCGTTGACGAGGATATTCTTCTCGGCCGCTTTCCGTGCCTGGGAACCCTGCAGCTTCTGAATATCTTCGTAGGTGAGCGAGGTCAGCAGCGACAAATCCGTCGCGTTTCCCCACAAGCAGATCTCGCACATCTCCGAGAAGAGCACCCGTTCCGCTTGCTCGATCTGCTCGGGCGTCTTGCCATCCACGCCCTCACCCTTCTCCGCCTCCAGAGCCAGCTCCTTGTACCGGGCCGCGAGTTCTAGAACCGCGGGTCGCGAAGATTTAAAGGTCGACATCTTCTGGCGAGAAAAGACATCGTAGCCTTTCCAGTGCTTCGACAATGCGAAGAAGGTGCTGATCCGTCGGTCTGTTCGTTCCCATCAGTACACTGTCCTATCCCGGTGTATTCACATTTGTCGACGGAGGATCGAGAGAAACGCACAGAGGTAGCATTCGGAGTACAGCCACGGAACATTATGCCACGAGGGGTTCCCCCGCTGTTCCAACTCCTTGTTATAGTCGGCAATATCGGATTCGCCGTCGTCGACTAGAGGGCTATAAAGACACACCATAAGTCAAGACCATATTCTCTCAAGTTTACCAGGTACAGGAGGGGAGACAACGCACGTCAACTGTCTATTATGCTGAATCTCATATTTCAAGGCGGCCAACTTCTCAATGATTGCCTTTCCTTCCTTGCGCTTCTCATCGTCGGTGACATCACCAACGGTGCGATGAAGATCATCAATGGCACCAGTCTATCATTCAACAATAACCCCTCCATTAGCTCAGACCCAATGACTCTTGAGAGAAATACCACTCACCACAATGACAGGCCAACGGTCGTGGGCCGAAACCGAGGCGAAACTCGATTTATCGGAGGTGAGATATTGCGCTGACGGAGGAAAAAAAGGCGGGGTGAGTTTGAGCTGCGTCGGTGGGGTTTTCAATACTGGATGAATGGCGACAACTCACGGGTCTTGGGATCGAACTCCATTTTGAGATTATGCAAAGATGGAATGTGTTTCCTCACTATTCCGCTGCTAATGGATCGAGAGAGAAAGGGGGTTGAAGAGAGGAGAGGGAAGCGATGGAGGAAGATCGGGAGAGAATGGAGAATGACGTCCCCGGGAAAGCGCGCGCCGCGGGGTTGAAGCGGTCGGAAGTGACAACAAACTCAGCAGATTCTATTCATTCTCTATTCGTCTATTTTGCTGGTTAAGCCAAGAGACCGGTGTGCAAATTTAGGATAAAATAGAAGAAAGTTCAAAAATCAGAAGGCCAAGGGGCAAAAAAAAAAGAAGCCAAAATCATCCAGAAAATAATCCATTGTCTCCGCTATGCAAGAGTCAAATCATCATTCCATAAGGTACAGCTTCGTTGATATCCAAGTTCATTTCATGCATTTCCCTTCAATATCAGAAATTCTGTCGAGGGGACTGGCTCCCAGGTCTCCGTGATTCGTTTCAACCTCTATGACCGATCGAGGTATTCGCCCTTATACCTATATAATCTTCCCGTAAACGCCTTTCAATCCAGCCGGTTTTCATCTCACATCATGGACATGATCGAGTTTTGCACGTACGCCTGAGAAAAGAGTTAAGTTAGCCGGAGTTGAATGGATTAAAGGCAGTGGAGAGAAAATCTTACCATCGGCTTGATATCCGGATGAGGCACCGCCTCAAACACCTGGTATTCCAGCTTGAGCTCCGGTCCGATCTTGATGAAGGCACCCTTGTTCTCCGTGGTGTCGCAGTATTTGGGAGCAGAGAACACGGTGATGCAGCGGCCGTCGTGCTCGACCTCGTAACCGTCCATACGAACCTCGTGGGAACGGATGATCGCTTCCAGCCCGTTGTTCTCGCAGAATCGCTTCGTGACGTCGGGTCCGAACTGAAGACCGACACCACGCTTGCTGGGTCCGCGGCCAGGCTCCGTCTGGGGGTCGGTCCACAGCATCTCCATCATCAGACCCTGCTGGCCAGGCTGTCGCTGGTTGTGGCGGTTCAACTTCCGGATGTCGTCCAGGGTGGTCTTGTCGTCGGAGAAGAGACCGCCATGCAGAACCAGATACTTGTTGCCGATCAAGGTGGCCAGCGGTAGGGCGGAGAACGACTCGGAGAACACCTTGAAGACCGTCTCGTTGTACTTGGCCTTGCACTCGCCCTCGAAGCCGTAGACCTTGTTCATGTCGTCCGTCTCGTGGTTTCCGCGGTTCAAAAAGATGCCGTTGGGCCGCAGCCACTTGTAGGCGTACAGGAGCAAGGCAATCTCCGTGGACCACGACCCACGATCCACGAAGTCGCCGTTGAAGAGGTAGGCGTGGGTATCGGTTGGGTAGCCGTTCAACCGGAAGATCTCCAGCAGGTCAAAGAACTGGCCGTGGGTGTCACCGCAAACCGTCAACCGCTTGCCCTGGTCCACGCCAATCTCGACCATTGTGGGCTCGGCGTACACGATATCCTTGACGGCCTTGATGATCTGGAAAGCGTACTTGCGGTGGATCTTCTTGCCGTTCTTGAACCGTTCAATCATGTCGTCGATGAATTCCTGCGTCATCTCGTTTTCCAATCGCACACCGTCGTAGCTGGCGTCCACCGCCATCGAATCAATATCCAGGTTCTCAAAGGCCGACGGCGGGTCTCCGACTTCAATGGCCTTCTCGAACTGCACCCGACGCACGAGTTTCTCGCAATCCGTCAACTTGATCTTCGCATCGCGGTTATTCGGCTCCCTCTTCACAACGGCCTTGAAGTCTCTTAGAGCATCGCGGTAGTTTAGGATGGCGGTGTTCGCAAGGGCTCGTCTCCAGTAGGCCTAATGACCGTTAGCCGGGGAAGTCCCTCGATTGACTCATAAGTTTGTTCATCATTGTAGTTTTTGGTTTTTCGGAGCATGCTCTCATATTGCGCAGACCGGAACTCAGCCAGACGAACGGTAGCCGACTAACCTTGGTGTAGGAGGGGTCCAATTCTAAGGCCTTGGTAGCATCCGCCACCGCAAAGCCATAGGCCTCGAGTTTGATATGGCACTAGAGAGACCAAGCCGTCAGTACAACACAGTCTTTCCAAGCAGATTTGTAGTTGCCGAAAGTGTCACCAAGACATCCTGACGTACCTGGGCCCGGTTACTGAAGAACGAGGGTTCGCGATCATATTTCTCGATCGCCTGGGTGTAGAAGTCCACTGCCGTAGGCCATTCGTGCTCGGCGAAAGCCTTGTTTCCCTGCACCTTCAGCGCGGTGGCAGCTTCGAGATCGGAGGAAGCCATCGGCGGAGAAAAAGAGGCGAGCGATAAATGAGGGGAAGAATGGAAGGGAAGAGGGGGGAAAGGCGGAATTTAAGGAAAGTCGGCACGAGGGCACAAGAGTTCAAGGGCACAAGGGCACAAGGAGCACCACAAGAATGAGCCAGGAAATGTGCGCAGGTCCAATCCGGAAGACGAGAGAGAAGTGAGAGCGAGAGCGGGCAAAGGCGAGGCTTATCGCATTTTTGGAACGAGGAATCGATTGTTCCCCGAGCGCCCTTTTTCTCCGGTCTTGGCGTTGCCGCAAAGGGTTCGAGAAGCGTCTTTCTTTCAGCGTCACTTCCTTCCAGCTATACAGAAGCTCTTCCTCTCTCTTTCTCACCTTCTGATCCTGATTATAATCATCCACCATCCTCTTTGCCAACCATTCGGTAGAAAAACCTGTACATGTCCTACTACGTCGCCCCAAGCCAGCAGCGCACTCTTCGCGCCTGCATGGTTTGTTCCCTCGTTCAGCTTCACAACGTACGTCCGCTCCCTTTCTCTCCCTCTCCCCTAGCCAAGCATAAAACACAAAAGCTTCTCCCACTGTATTGACGCTAATATCTGTCCCCTGGCTTGCTTTCTGCAGAAATTTATGCGTGAAGGATGTCCTAACTGCGACAACGTGCTCGGCCTGCGCGGCAACAACGACGCCATCCAAGAATGCACCTCTCAGGTCTTCGAGGGCCTCGTTACACTGCGTGATCCGACCACGAGCTGGGTCGCCAGGTGGCAGCGACTGGACGCCTACGTGCCGGGAACGTATGCGGTCAAAGTGACGGGTTCGGTGAGTTTGACGGCTCCTATGTCCTGTGGTTTTGGCGTGAAAGGAAGATGAAGCTAACGTGTGTCAATTCCCTGCGCAGCTCCCCGACGAAATCATCGCCAGTCTCGAAGACTCCGGTGTCAAATACATTCCGTACGTGCCTTTGCCTTTCCGCTATCAGCTCTGTCTGAGTCGCCTTGCTAACAACTGCGCAGTCGGGACGGAAGCACAGGCGAGGAGGAGACTTGATTCGATTCGATACGTTACGAACTTGACTTATTTCGATACGGCGAGCCGAATTCGACTCGACTTTTCTTCCTTCCGACTATCCCATTATACTACATACATGCCATGCCACCCACCTACGTCAGACCCCCGCTTGCACGTCGAGCTCGCTCCTACTTGACAATCGGAGACCAGACGGGCCGGTTCAGGTCCAGCAGAATACATAAAATCGGAGTTATGAGGTTGGGTTTTCCTTCTCGTTCATATTTTGCGCTACGCTACGGGAGCATATCATTTTGGGGATATTTATGTGGAGTTTTTGCTACCTGTTCTTCGGGTCCTTTGACTACTTACCGACCTGTCTATTTCAACTTTCAAACTCAAAAAAACTTGACAAGTGAACTATTCGATACCCGATAGATCAATTAATGTTGTCTGAAACGGCATCGTATTGTTGCTCTCAAGCATTAGAGAAATTCGAGCTCTCTTGTATAATATGGAATCACGGCCTAGATGTGTAGAACAATCTGATATAACCGAAATAGTAAACGTCACCGGATTTACAGGTATTCATGCAGATCACGGGAGTAGACTAGGGATATGTCAAGCATACATATCTAGTATTCTACTTGATTATTTTTCTATTACTTTCTAGGAAAATACCAGCTTAGCTATCAAGTCAGTATAGTACTATATAGTATAGGACTCTTATCAGGCAGTGTCTTAGTAACAAGCAACTATTCGACAAGCCGCTGCGTCATTCTGAATTACTTTTGCACAGTAGATCGGGTGATTTCCCCCGGGCGATCAAGGAACACATTCACCCATGCAGGGTGTCTGTACCACCTTGCATACCAAGCCATCGCCATCTTGCCATTCCAGCCCCCGTATAAAGACCTACGTTGATGCAAACCCCGTCCTGCCCAGGCTAACTATTAAGCAGCCAACTTCATACGTCCCAACTTACGTCTTCGCAACTGAGAACCCAAGAGTATCATGACATCCGGAATATATCAACGATCGCCATATCCCTTGGCCGGATCTCAAAGGTCCAAAGCGCGGCCACTCTTCTATGAGAACGAGAACGAGAGCGAGGACGAGGACGAAGATGACGATGAAGTCTCCATTGCCGACCCCAATGCCATTGCCCGTAGAAGTCGAGAGCAAAAGGTCCTTGTCCTGCAGTGGACGTACATGGTCCTCGGCTCATTTCTGGCGCTGGGCATTTGGGCGATCATTCGAACTCTATCTGGTCGCCGATAACTACATACACACCGAGTATGTATGTACATGTGCGGAGGGATTCCGCAGTCCTCCAATTCACTACGTCGAGGCTAGAAATGATTCTAGACCTTCGAATCAAAATCTCGAAACCCCCTGAGAGATGGTGAGATGATGAGAAACCATCCTAAGTTGAAACCACGCTGAAACCAGAGCTTCAAGTTACATCGATGATCCTCATGTCCATGAAGCTGGCAAGCTGAAACAAAGCTCAGCTGATCTGTTGCAGCTGGTAGTGCAGCTTCATGTACCCACTACTGCACCGATACAAAACCCGAAAGCACGAGTCAGTCGGGGCATGATTTTGCAACATCAAGGGAAAAGATGGGTGTCTAGCGCAAACTTTGCAACCCAGACTCTAACACCGGTACCCTCAACGTGTGTCAACTTCGAGTTCAAACTCAAACCGAGTCCGCCGATATACACCGTAGACGCGGTCCACGCTTGAACTTCCTTGAACGACACCGCTCGATGGCTGGATTTTGGCAACTCACGCTCCTAGGCGCGCATCATGCCATATTTGCAGGATTTGACGCCGATCGGTGGAATTTGGTTCCTGCAGTGGAGACTGGGTGGAGTCAACTGAAGATCGGCAATGTTTTGTTCCTTTGGGCCGGACACTCCCCGTTCTCCATCAGTCAATATGAGATGCTAGGGGACGATCTTATGACGATATGATAAGTATAGTGATCAGTGTATCAATTATATACAGAAATGCAATGTGAAAATGTAGGTAGTATGCTCGTCGTAGCGCCAGAAATTCGTGAAGATACCAAACCGTCATAAATGTACAATGGGTGAAGAAATAACATGTTAGAGAATACAGTATTCAAATATAACTCCTGTCGCCGAATGGTGACTCGGGGAGTGATTCCCGCGTGAGAGAGATCGTAGATCCATCGCTACCTGGCGAAGTAATCACGGTACCGCTGTCCTTCAATTCGAACTTGTGAGTCGGAGTTGCAACCCGAGTATGGTTCGATTTGACCCCGGCGTTGTTTTCCATGGCATCGCTTGGATCCCTCGACTCTGTCCACGTCTCCATTTCGACCGTCCGCACAACCTCCATACGATCCAGCGCATTGCCGTAATGGCGCGACTCATGCTTGGAATTCTTGGAGCGACCGGTCGAACCCCACAGCTTTTGAGAGGGGTTCTGTTGGTCGTACGATGCGTAGTTGCGGCTGGATTGAAGCAAGCGAGGCAGGAAGAATGCAATGAGTGGCCTCAACGCAGGTGCCGACGCACAGATCTTAAAGATAGTTAGTACCGAGAGCGAAAGAGGTTGGAATGGAAGAAAGAGCATACCAAGCCAATGCTTATCTCTATGGTCGCGGCCAGCAAGACCGGCCATCCCAACCAAGTTGTGTCGTAAGAGGCAACCATACTCTTCCACACATATACCGTCCGAATCGAACCCGCGACGTTGACCACGATACCCAGTCCAAAGATCGAGATCACTGCGATGCGTTGTCGGGCGGGAAGCTTCAGGTTCCAGATCAATGGCATAGGAAGAACCGTGGCAAGGAAATCGGTAAAGATGTTGACGACGCTAGCAGAAAACACCATATAACCGTCGTTCATACAGTGGTGTGGATATTTCGGCATGAAGTCCCAGTACGCGTGTATAGGCCTGATTCAGACAATTCGTTAGCAAGTCGTATAGATTGCAAGGCCATAGTATGCATCGGAAAAATACTTACTTGCATTGGAAAATGGATAGCACAGTGAAGAGAGTGCAACAGATCGTGACAAAAACCATGGCGACGATCAAGACAACGTTGTACCACCGGTACAAGCCCTTGCTACCACGTCCAAGAAGGCGTTTGCAAAACCATAGAACGGAGAGCTTGGTGATTGACGAAGCCAAGGAAAAGAGAAGTTGGAAGGAAAGGTTGAGTTTGGAATTCGTGGGAATCCATTCCAACGGAACATCCCACATGTGTCTATCCCATCCCCACTGCTCGGTTGCCATCGATATGACTGCGCACATGCCAATTGCAAAGATCTAGTGACCGGGTCAGCAAATGCCAGGTCGCTCTGTGATTCGCCCAAGCATACCAGAGCAATCACGATCAAGATATCATCAAATCCAGGGCTGCATGTGATTCGTAGACGAGTATAGAGGCGAAGGCAGGTTACGACGAATGCCAAAGAGGTACCGACAACGTTGACTATGAACGCAGAGTTGCCGCGAGTCGGGGGATCGGTATAGTTGGGTGTCGGCCATGACATCAAAACCTCAGGGGGTGGAAGCCGCATGGTGATAGATAGATTATGTTTTCGAAAGCTGTCTAAAGATGTCGATTGGAGATTCCGCAGGGGGGTTATAAGAAGGAGCGCTGGTGTCAATAAAATTGCGAAATGATTCAAGTGAAACCGACAACCCCAGTCAAGTGGTCATAGTTTGCATGGCCATTCTCCGTGTTAACGATCTGCTGTGAGGGATGTCAAGTAGAAGGGGCAATTAAGCCACCAGATCGCCGGCTTAATTTCGTAGACAAGATAATGAGTCTAGACGAGGGGCATCTGGCGAGAAGATATACCATTGTCGGCCGTGCCCACTCCCTTAAGGCCCGAGTCAGTAGAGAAACACCAGCAGTGTGGGCTTTTTGGAACCAGGGACACGGTGCCATTATTTGTGATCAATTTGACTTTCGTGAAAGACCCCTCATGGGCGCACAATTTCAGATCCAGGAACCCACTCCAGACCAAGGGCAGCCAGACGGAATAGCAAACCCTCCAATGATGGTCGTTCGCCACCTCCACCAGGGATGGGACAACCTGTGCAATTGCGAAAGCAGCAGGGGACCCGAAAACTACCGGGGTTTCACGCACGGCAATAGGCAGATCCAGCGACCCAGCGTTCACGTTTTACTCCACCGGCACGGCCAGACGATCTGAGGTCCCAAGGCCCTCGGCGGGTGTCACTGGATGATTTCCCGTCAGACTTGCCAAAGCGATGCTTAGAACCTTGGTTCAGCCCAGGGCAGGTCAAAGCTAATGAGACTCGGCGTTTGAGAGCCTCGAGGCATTGGTTGCGGTCCTCACTGAGATTTGCAGGCGATCCCTGAAAAGGGTCGTAACGAGAGAGACCGAGAGGACGGCTGCCTGGCATCTCGATGAGAAAGTACTCAATACGGGGACATTCTGGTGCTAGTCCAAATCAAATGGACACTATGAAGGACTAGTAGGGATGTGAACCAAAACAGAGACAAGGATGGTACTGCGGTAGGAGCAATTTGGTGGAGGAGGAAAAGCGAGTAAATTGTGGGAGGGAGAAGGAGCCGGTCCGTGACCCCTGGAGAATTCCTCCGTCTTTGCCTCTTTTTTTCGCCTCTTCCCCTCGCCGACTGGGAGGATCGACACCGGTGACTTTGGTTCCTCCTCCCTATTATTTTTTAATCCAGATTAGCATGTCATATGCCGGCAATGCTACCCTCCGAGGCAAAATGCCGGGAATTGAGTCGTGGACAACGTGTGAACTCAACAGTCAAAATTCCATCTTCCCCACAAGTCCGCCCCTTACTTCGTAAAGCAATATTGAATATCTCACAGTCTCGGGATCATGCAATTGTTCAATCATCCGGGGAAAGAGGGGCAATTAAATTAATAAAATAAGACTCAGGCTATTGCGCCCTACGATCAGCTGGTCCAGGACTTATTGACATTAGTTCCCACCATCCACCATTGCAGTGATGAGCGCTCCGTACTGTGTACTGACTACTGAGTAGACTCCCCTTGACTCGTGGGGCTTTAATGTTCTTCTCATGACTGCGTCGGTAGGTAACAGGCTACCTACCCAACTTCCATCTGCACGTTCCCAATCCCGAGGTTACGTTGCTTAAGGTTCTCTAGTCGGAATCCTTCGACATCGTTGCAACTCCAACTCCAGTGATGCCCGCCCGTTCTATTTCCGATGGGACGCCGGAACCAATTCGAGGGAAAACATGGGACTGTTGACATGTGCTGCTTTTCAGCAAATCCGACCGGAGGAACTGGCAGGTGCGGCGGTTTTCCCCCAGTCGCCTTGCGAGGGTGGATCGTCAACAGCCGTCGTCTTGGTCTGGCTTTGAGTTTTCCAACGTTGATATAAACCAAGGTACCCATTTTGCACCAAGGAGGCAATATTGGGTTTGCACGTTGACATGTGGGTATCGAGTCAGGTTCCAACTTCTCGGGTCTGAGGCTGGACAGACTTTCCATCCATTAAGGTTATGCTTTGCATTTCCCTTGAGCCGAGTCGACTTCACGGTGGTAGATACTAGCGTCACGAAGATTGTTCTGTCATCCTGAGGGTGAGATGATCTACCCTGATTAGTAGAGTTGGCCGTCTTTCGATTTATTTCTCTATTTTGAGACCACGCACTGATGCGCAGAATTACCTAACGCAATAACAATGACTCGGTGAAGGGGATTTCCGGCCAGACTGGTGACTTGCTACCAATAAGGCGAAAATCTGCCAAATCCCAGGTCAAAGCTAGTTCCAGATAAAGCCTGGATTGGCTTAAAGGATTCTCAAATAGTAAGCGATCAGAGCATGTGGATCCGACAAGCTCAATAGTCGATGAAAATCATCAACCCACTTATCAGGGAACGGGTCTGATCACTGATCTTCCTGTGACATCCTGGGTGATCAAGTGAAAATGAGCTCTTTTCGCAACTGACGACAGAGTACGGACTATGCTCTTGTCGTACAGTGCACGTATAACAAATGGTTTCAATCATTGCGTCAATCAATGCCAAATCAAATATAGCAGCACATAGTTGAGTATTTGGCACGAGGATCATCAAAAGAGTCGCCCTCAACATCCATTTCCCCTGCTAATCCCGCAAAACAACTCTAAATCAAGCATCTATTCACATTGAGGCTTCAATAGGCACTCGATAGACAGGCATCCTCCTTGGATACAATTGAAGAATCCATCTAACCGGAGTACAATCTAACATTTCGCAGATCGCAGGCATCTCAGGGGCAACGGATCAAGGGAAAGTATGCTTTACCTTTCTCACTCTCAGAACCTAGATCAAGTCCCTGAAATCCGTTGATTTTCGATGGCAAACCTACCCCCCAGCCAATTTACACGCACAGTCAACGCTGTGTTGCAATCTCCACCACCAGTGCCATCCGTAGGTCTCCATCTGACGGATGGACCCAGCGTCATACACACTGGCATTCTCGGATGATCGACCTTCAACTTCTATAAGGCCTACCTTACATTACCTATCCAGACACACTATCTCGGCTCCCTCATCGGCACATCCAAAATTTTCAAGGTTCTCAGGGCCTAAAGTTAATTGAGTATCGGGGATTCGGGGAGGAACTGGTCACTCAGAACCAATACTTGATTCGGGTCCGATCAAACCTTTTCCTTCTTGCATTCTACCCTCTAAATCACACTCACTCGGACGAAAGTCTCGGAAGATGTGGTGGCCAAACCATGGTTATCAAGTGGCAACTTCCCGGCAAGCTATGCAGGGACCAACGCCAACTACCTTGAACATCCCATGAATTGGAGCAAGAATCTTCGGCACTATATGCCGCATACAAATTTTTAAATGCGTTGTTATATAGAATAAAATTTCCGAATCTTGGAGGTATCTCCAATCGATGTGGAGCTGTCTTCACTGCGACGTCCTACTTGATGTGGTCAGATTGAAGTTAAAGCCATACCCTACCATTCTATGACAAAGCTTAATTCGACTAACTACCCATTCAGGGGTATAAAGAACGGATGCTCTCAACTGCCGAGTCCCTAGATCGACGCAATACTTTGTAGATGAGGCATTTTCTTTTAGCTTGATGGAATTGATTCGGAATCCAAATCACATATTTGTAAGAATCAAGGTACGGAAGCTTCAGAACAGCTCTGAACGGTTCTAGAACCATCAATCTTATGAACGAAGATTCGCCACTTTATATTATTCGATCAACAGGTTTCAGTAGCACACTCGGGTCAAAGAGCAGAAAGCCCGAGCGAAGCTAATGGAGTACATAATATGAGAAAATAAGCATACAAATGTTCTGATTTCCCAAAGGAATTTTGACTTTCTATTATTTGGTGCCTGAGGTGCAGGCTTGCCAATAGTTCAGCATTTGTCTACTCCTCTATCTATTATCTATGTATGTAGCACCTCGGAAGGCTCTTTTCTGATATATAAATCCAACACCTCAATATTGCCGAGTAATTTCGAATGTCCGGGTTAGTACATAGTAGCAAGTATAACTCTCCGTATGAGGAGATCCATCAAATGATTCATCGCTTTGACTAACGGCAATTAGACCATGTTCCATCTCGTTGAACAATATGTAATCAATATATGGGAGTCGGCTGGACCACGTATGCAAGTCTCAGAAGATACACACAAGGTCAAAGAGAAAGTAAATCCCCTTGAAAGTCCTGGAGAGCAACTGTGGTTATCGAGTTGAATGGATAATACATCCATTATGCCAACTATTATCATATGCAGTTCCTTTGGCAGCTATCTTGCCATTGCGAACTCACCTAAACGAAGTGCTTTGGATATTTCGCGCGCTTTTACTCATGGAGAATAGAAGATATTTACCCTCAATCCCAGACTCACCGCCGATATACCTCATTGCGAAGCAAAAGGAAGAAAAGTATGATTCTGAAAGAGCCACGAGCCTTGCTTAACACTACCCAACTGGATTGCTCAACTGCTCTCCACCCAAGTACACAAGTATTGCCACCCGTAGAAAACTTTACTGGAATATGTTACACATACGGAGTAGTTCTTCTTGGATGACCGCACAGATCTCAGAAGGCTACGTCAGAATGAGCGAGATATTTATATATATGTATATCGCCTCAACGTGTGCAACACTGCCCAGAAATCTGCCCGAAAATGTAACATGTCGGTTTTATTTGGGCTGGGTGGCGGTTCACCTTACCCTCCGTGCGTCATTATGGGCCGATTCAAGATACCTCAGCTTGGGTTGAGTGAGAGTGAGGTTTTCCTTGAATGTTGAGTATTTTGATGTAATTTTCGAGTATAAACAATGTTTAAATATTTCTATCTGGTTGAATCATATCTGCCGGGTAACTGGATAAAATACTAGAATCTACTTCTTTCGGATATTTGTGAGCATTGGGATGAATGTCGTGTCAATCTACCTTCCGGACGAAGAATGCGATCCGACGATATTTACCCCTCACATTTCAGCGGAGAAAAAAAAGCAAGAACATGCATTATGCACAAGGCATTGTGTTTGACTTGGGATGCGCTCCAGTGTCAATTGCTTTCTTCTATCAGTCTCCAAGCAGAGCTGTGGGATTGTTTGGTTTAGAAGATCGGGGTACAAAAAAAGAAAACTGAAGATCTGAGAGTGACAGTAAATTTGGATCATCCGGCCGACCGATCACGTTCACAGCGGAAACCGAGAGACTGTGGGAGTAAATGCTTCGAACGGAGTATGTATTAATAAACCCCAGAAAACCGCGCGTTCGTTGTGCGATATTAAGAGGTATTAATTGACCCCACCGGTCAATACAGACACGTAAATGGTTTATAAATAGTAAATCGGAATCTCGACTAGTTAGAGGGGGAAGATCGAGATGACGGAGAATTAATCGCGATAGCATCGTCGGATGGCCATTGCGAGTGGAAATCTCGAGAACTACGGCGTACTCCGAACACCTTCACATCCTGGCTCTGTTTGTCCCCCCTGGCAGGACAGAATGTTGTACTTGACTACATGAAAATTGAGACGGTGCAAGCATGTTGATCTCGACTTGTCAGATGGAGCGGTCGCCAATCAAGACATTCGCGGCGTGTCGCGCGCCCCAGTATTTTGGCTGTGCACACCGGCGATTCCATTGGCCCACAATTTGTTTTCAGGTTTGGCCACGGCAGAAGATGTATTGGATACCCTGGCGAGTTGAGTTTGCTGTGCAGAGTACACGAGGTCGGTGTCTGGAACAAAGTATGTGTAGACAAAGACTCGTATGCTCTTTGTTTGGATTGAAGCGGAAGTACCGGCATGAGAAGGCCATGAGATGTTTTCGCCCGAAGAGCTAAGTTGCTAAGCCTAGTTGACTCTGACATCCTTCAGGGGCTTTATTTCATGTGCTTCTGGAGCCTGTCAGATAATATGATCGAAAGGCGTAGACCTTGAACACGACCTGAGTGCTGCGTTACTCTATTTTCCTTGCAAGTCGGCGACTCGCTCCAAGACATTCTCCTGCGTCGGGCCAACTTTAAAAGCTGCAAATCAGAATCAGGGACGAACTCTATTGCGTGTCATCCATGCGCAGGGGGAAATGGCGCAGACGCTCAGCGGACAAGAAATCCAAGATGAAGAGCAGCCCGTGTGTCTGGTACATAGTAGACTAGTAGTGCATGGGGATGCTTAGTCGACTTAGCAGGTGTTTGCCCATGGGGAATCATCATGGAACCATGGTCTGCAAGTGAAGACAGTTTTGACACGAAGAGATCCATGAAAGACAAGACAAAAAGAAAAAGGAAAGGGTGCGCTGGCGTTGTTTCACATTCAGGAGAGACGAATGAGCGGGCCTTGGATGGAGCGGAACGACCCGTATGACATTTTAGCCCGCGTGGCGCAGTCGAACGCCGTTGTGCAGCGGTGAAACAGGGGACCCAGACCGATCCATCTGCTGGCGGAAAGAGGCAACCATTGCTCTTTTTGGCCTGCGGGATCCATTCCTCCCTGACCCGAGACACTCGCACCTTCCTAGAGGGGACGATACTGTACTGTGTACTCAGTGTACACTGTAGGTACAGTATACCTACCTACTGTATGTGCTATGTAGTATGTACCCAGAGGAATCCTCCATACACAAAGTACCGTACACGAGTATCCTGTACAAGGCTTACTCGATCCAGAGGAATTAATTTACGAAGCCCCGGGAGGCGGCGCCTCTTTTTTCTGTCAGATTCCTGTAGCCGATCATTTTTACTACTTGCACGCTGGAGTCTCACGGCTCAGTCCACTTTCTTCCCCTTCCCTTCCTTTCCCTTCCCTTCTCATCTTCTTCCATCGCTTGGGTATGATCGCTCTTTAATTTCCCCTACCTACCTACTACTGTGACTTTATATTATTAGCTTCTCTCGTTCACGCTACTGGGTTAGCGACCTCTTCTGATAATATCACTCGTCCATCTCCTGTCCTTTTCCGCGGGAGAACAAACTTTTACTTTTTGATTGTTTCATTTGCTTACTCCCTCTCTTCGATCTCACCGGCCCTTCTCACTCTTACGCCATGGAAGGCAGCTCGGCTCCCCCTGCAGATGTCGCAGGTCCAACTGGAGACGCCGCGCCTCCCGTCCAGTCTAACGTGCACTCTCACGCCGTCCATCACGATCAGGGCACCACCACCCCGGACGATAAATCGGCCTCCTCTTCCACTCGTCGTGTGCACATCACTCCTCGTCCAACCTTCATGGAGAACCTAGCCAACTCTCGTGACTCCCAGTTCATGCTGGACCGTCGAAATTCCAGCGAGATCGACCGTTACTTTGTAGGCCTTCTCCCATGCCGCTTGCCGACTCTGTCTGGCGGGTCTGGCGCGTGCTGACTTGCCCTCGATTCTATAGCACGGTCCTCGCGATCTCGACAAACACTCAAAATGGCCCATCTTTCTTCGAATGCACGGCAGTGTCTTGCCGAAGTTGATTCTTCCCCTGACGTTTGTCGCCGCCTGGTCGACTGTCATCACCTGCATCGCCAAGTTTGTCCATGATAGTAAGTCGTCTACCGATGTCTAGAAGGTCAATTCCAGTCTAACCGCATCCTAGTTGGAATCAACAACATTCTGCTCACGGTCACCGGTTTCGTGGTCGGTCTGGCTCTCTCCTTCAGAAGTTCAACTGCGTACGAGAGGTAAGCTGAGCGCCAGTGTCTTTCCACCGGGTTCATCAGGACGTCCCTCTCTAACTGTCGCAGATGGGCCGACGGCCGAAAGTATTGGTCACTTCTCATTCAGACCTCCCGCAATCTCGCCCGTACAATCTGGGTCAACACCGCAGAGCGAGAGGGAGAGCTCGGAAAGGAGGATTTGCTGGCAAAACTGTATGCTTGGCGTATGCTAAAAAGGATGCTAAAGAAGCGCACTGACACTGTCTAGCACGGGCATGAACCTCATTCTGGCCTTTGCCATCTCCCTTAAGCATAAGCTCCGATTCGAACCCGACGTGGCTTATGAAGATCTTGCGGGTCTCGTAGCCTACCTCGACACCTTCGCCAAAGAAGCTCATGATCGCGAGCACTTGAAGCCTCCCAAGAAGTCTCTGTGGAAATCGGCCGGTGAATACTTGGGCGTCTCATTCGCCGAATCTAACCCCAGGAAATTGATCAAGCGGTCCAAGAAGCCCTTGGGACATTTGCCTTTGGAAATCCTGAACCATCTTTCCGCATACGTCGACAGATGCATTGCGAACGAGACCATGTCTGTTAGCCTTCATCAGGGCCAAGCCAGTGAGTGAAATCCTCCAACATGCCTGGAATGGGCAGCAGCTAGTCGCGGGTTTTTTGTGCTGACATCCTCAAGTCGCTGCGCTGTCTACCTTGAATGAAGTCGTCACCGGCACCGAGCGCGTTTTGGACACCCCTCTGCCCGTCGCGTATAGCATTGCCATCTCCCAGATCTCCTGGCTCTATGTTTTGGCTCTGCCCTTCCAGCTGTACGACACGCTACAATGGGTCACCATTCCTGGATCTATCAGTAAGTTCACCCTGACTCCGTCCTTCCTACCGGGGTGTACTAACATTATCACAGTTGCCGCGTATATCATCCTCGGTCTTGCCACTATTGGCAGTGAAATCGAGAACCCCTTCGGCCACGATGTTAACGACTTGCCTTTGGACACGTATTGCCGACAGATCGCCCTAGAACTGGATATTATTACCGCCATGCCGGCGCCCAAGATGGACGAGTTCGGCACTCGTGACGACAACCTTGTGCTCTTCCCTCTCAGCGCCTCCGGATATCCCGACTGGAAGAACCGCAGCGTTGACGACATCCGTGCTGCGTTGAAAGCCAAGGTGGTCGCCAACACCCCTGAGACGGCGTATTCCGATGCGTCTACCGTCGTGCCCAGTGTTGGCAGCACCAAAAGCAAGCAATCGGTCTAGAAGACAATTTTGATTATACGACATCAGTTTCAACAAAAACGACATCAGCATGAATTGTCAATCAGCGCGAGTCCCTTGTTCTTTCTTTTCTTCCCCTCGTTCAGATATCCCCCCTTTTTATATTTTATCATTTAAAGCCAACCAAATCTCCTGGAGCATGCGAATTGGGCGTCTTAGATCAACTTGGGTTTCGGTGTTATGATGTATTTTTTCGAGAAAAAAGGGAGTCTTGTCGGTCGTTACAGTTGCAGCACTGCGTTTATTCTGAACATTTAACTAGTCTTAAGATGTTGGATATGTACGATCTTTTTCCGTTGTCTAGAATGTCCATGTCGAAGATGACAGCTGAATATATCTGTGGTTCGTTCTTTCAATCTTGGTTTCGTATGATATGATATGATGTACGCTTCTTGAGGTTAAGTTTTCCTCATGGGATGCGGAGTGGATAGTGGTAGGTGTAAACCTTAAGTGATGCTCCCACCCAGCGCATTGGACCTTCGTGGTAAGATCCTGTGCAAGACATGTGTCCCACATCGTACAGCGATATCAGTCTTGGCGGTTCCTGCAGCACTGCATCTAACTCCATGCCTCTGAAGCGACAGAACTATGCATGGTCAGGGCATGGATTATGCGCGCTCACACGCGCATCAAGACCAGGGCCACTTGATGATCCAACTCCCATACCTAATGGCAGGAATACCCGTAGTCTCGATGACCATCTCATCCCTGTAATCCCATCCCTATGACCCCATCCAATAATCATAAAAACTTATTGCCCTTTTCCTCTAGTGAGTCCCCATCTACCGGAGAGAGAGAAGGAGGGACTACTCAGGAACAAACAAATTTCCACCATTCCCATTCACCAACGCGCCTAGATAATTCCCCTTCGCGCACACCCGCCACGCCACGCTGCCGACGACCCCTCCGCCGGCGTTTCCTCCGATCCAGGAACTCAGCGCCGCTGTCACGGCGGGGGCGTCGGCGCTGGGGACGCGGATCCAGGCTATTTTGGGGATGGTAGCGGGAGTGGAGGTGGGGGGAGATGATTGTGTCTGGGGCGTCTCGGACGTGGTTGTCGGCGTGGTTTTGAGGATGTCGATGGATATCGTGGAGCCGGTTAGGCCGAGGAATTGGGTCAGGGCGGAGGTGAGATAGGTGCGTGCTGTGAGGGGGTCGAGGGGTGCGGATTGGACGGAAGGGGAGGTGCCGGGTTGGTGGATTCTGGATTTTTTGGGTGTTAGTTAATCACGGTTGGTTAAAATTTAGTTGGGCAGGGTAGGAGTATGTACAGTTGGAGTTTGAAATATGTCCATGGGGGATTCCGCGATGTGAAGCTAGTGACGGGTGATGATGAGGAGGATGGTTTGGCTGTGGAGGAGACATCGGCATCGGGGGCTTTCCGTTTGACGGATGTCGGTTCTGAGGATATGCTTGGGGACATTTTGTGGTAGATTGATGGATGTGATCGCAATGCGAGAATGGAAAATTGGGTAGATGACTTGGTAGAGACGGATGGTTTGCGCCGGAAAAAAATGTCGGAGGAATTCCCGTGATGTCACGGCGTGTTTTGCGATTACCGTACGGGTTGTGGATGAGGCCCTGGTGCGGTTCTTGGACAACCACAAAACTGAATTTCCCGGCGTTATTTCTGTAAAATAGCTTCTTCAAGCTTTTTTCGTGCTTTCTGCAGGAATCCATCTTCGCCTTCGCTTCCAATGTCCAGGTCCGAAATGCTGACTGTTTTGTCACGCGATTTCAGCCCGCGGGTGACCTCCACGCTGGACTTGGGGACTTGGAAGACCTGATTTGGCGATGATTAGTGAAGTTGAATCGATGATGCATTCAAGAGTAGAGTTCCCTTCAGTTCGTATTCATCACTTTGAAGTGGACTGAGCAACATACCTGCGCCAAAACGCGCGACACGGCCGTGTTTGCTTCGCCATTCCTCGGCACCGCAGCCACGCAGACATCAACCCGTTCTGCTCCTATTGCAGTAATGCCCTCTCGATTGCCAGATGCATTTGGCTTGACATGACAGGAGATGTGCAGGCTGTACCTCAGCGGAATACGTTGACTGCTGTTGCGAGATTTGGTGGTGACATTTTGGACGAGACGCAGGAGGGGGAACGAGGGTCCGGACATGATGGTTGTGGCTTGCAAGATTGAGTTCTCAACTCGCGATCGAGCAATTCATTTATTAATGTGATAAGCACCAATGATGCATAGGATGATATACAGTAAAGGATGGCGAGGTCAGTGGAAGTGTAAATTGGCAGCTGTCAGCCCCGGACCGAAGTCTTGGCTCCCGAGATCGAACTATATATTTTCGGGATGCCGAGAAGATAAACAGACTCCCGTATAGGTACATGCTCTCTGTTAGTAGCTGAAGGCGCTGAGTGAGTGGACCTGTATCTGTAGCATGAGCCTGCATTAGGTTGACCAGAAGACGTTAAATGCTGATAATGCACTTTCACAATTTACTGTACAATTGCCCGTGCCAGGCCTTTGGTATAGATAGAGAATAAGGTATACCTAGTGAAGGGATTTCTGCTATGCTGGAGTTAGATAAGAAAGTCATAGAAAATTTCAAGAGAGTGAGCCGGAGAGGAATATTCTTTCAGAAAAGAAGAAGTGGACTGGGGCATTGTTGTGTTGTTGTCTTCGTAGCAACCAGCCAGGTTTTCACTTGCAAGTGCAAGAAAACATCAACAAGGCAGAGCAAGCACCAGTACTTTGCTCCCTCTCTTCCCCCAACACTTTTTGTCCGGTAAACACTTCTGTTTGTGCCTTGCAGTCATAGACCGGCAAATCACTTCATCCTTTGTTCTTTAAGGTTTACCAGATTGTCTCTATCATTGAAAACGCCTGGCACATGAGCATACCTAGGGGTTCAATCAATCTGGGTGAAGTTCGTTTGTTGTGAAGGTGCCGGAATGCAAGCAGCTTGACTGCCCAGAGTGCTTGTTGTCATCACTGCGCGGATCTGAGTCCGGACCCTCAAATCATGACCTCTGAGCCGAAAGTTGGCGATGCCACCCCTCTCCTCAAATCTGCACCAGCCAATACCAATACATTAAATACGCAAAGACGGAGCCAGGAATCTTCCAGAGCAAAAGCCAGAGCCAGAGTTAGGCCTAGGCCACAGAAGCATACCCCAGGAAGGCCCCGATTTCTGAAATATGTAAGTCGTCAGCCAGCAAACCTAACTGCGTTTCTGTGCACAGTGCTTACTCTGCCATTTTGTAGCCCCTCAGATACATCCTACCCAAGCCTCCTATGCTATCCGGGCACCCTGTTTCCTCTGAGGCTGCTGCAATCGATCAGTCAGGTTCCATCATGGTCAACCGACTTGATACCGACGACACAACTGCCCCTAATTCCGAGCAAGAGAACTGGAGCATAACCAACCTGCCCGACATTCTGTATGTCTTGCGTCCAGGAACCGAACACCTCAAAAGCAGACGTCGCGTCTACAACAACATCGGCCCCATCTTCGGTAAGATGCTTCGTAACCTCCCCGTCCTCCCAACTCGTATCTCCTCTCAAGTTGAAGGCTGGCGTCTGGAAGCCTGGATGCGCCTGGATCGCCGGGTGACTCCGGCAGATATCATGGACCGCGTCAACCCTCTCTTTCGCGTCAACATGACTGAGAACGATGTCGAATACCGGCGCCGCCTGTTCCGCGAGGCCTTCCACATTGCTCTCTGGGGAAACCAGAAGTCTATGAATGAAGTCGGCCGTATGGTGATGGGCATCGGACGTGACCCCAAGATGAACTCCACCAGAGGCTTGACTCCTGGTCTGATCATGCCAGCTGAAGGCGAATCTGGTGGCCGCATCCCCTTGCCTCCACCACCACCTCCAGCTACTCGCATTCGCAACATCCCTGACCCTGAGGCAATGAACCCCATGTCTGGTCCTTCAGGGCCCCTCATGCAGCCGAACGCAGCCGTGATGCCCCAGTACCCAGGTCAGTATATGTCTTCTATCAAAGATCGCGACGACGCGACAGACATCCAGGCCCGCCGGACTCCCATGAACGGCTATATTAGGGCACTGCATCATCGACGAGACCTCAAGATCTTGTATGAGACTCCTCCCAAGGCTAAGTTTCGTGCGGTAGACCAGTCCGACGGCGGATCCTCCATGGCACTTGTGCCCCAGCATCGCACCCCTGGCAGCGACCGCAAAAGAAAGATGGCCTTGGATCCTGACGAGTAAGTGTCGTAGGCTCCGCTTCTGTGCGAAGCTAATTCCAACATCCTAGTGTTTTCAGCCCGACCCCGCGAGTAAGAAACAAGAGAACCTACCATGAGGACATCCCGCCTTTCCCTGCATATCATGGTGTCCCGATTGAACTGGCATCCCACGAGGGACCCCCGGCTCGTTCCTTCCCAGCACCGGTCGAACCTGAACCAGAGCTTGAGATGACTCTCGAAGAGTACTTGGAATACAAAAAGCTTGGGTTCATGGATTTCTTGAATGGCCGCTATTGCGATGACATGGATTTCCCCCAGAACCGCGGCGTAGGAGCTTGGGTGCAATCTTGAGATGTCTTTTGATCTGGCTCTTGGATCCTGTTTTCTGGATTGACCCTGGATTGACGACCGTTCGATTTAGTGAATGACGTCAGACTGTACCTTGGAGACAGCAGGCAGATTCTAGGCATCCGATGGGTTCTTTGTTTGGGAATTATCTGTTTTGCATTCTGTTCACTTTCTACTGGTGGATCCAGGGAGTTTTGTCTTGTATGTGCACCTACTTGAGCTCAAAGTTTTTGTGATTTTCTTGTGTATTCAAGGCAGGGGCTTTACATATGTACAGCAATACCCTAGGCAGCTCTTTGATACAGATAATATGGAGCTTGCCGTTATCAAATGTCATCTTGCCTACAAACGAAACTTGTTTGTATCCTATCGTCCTCCTCAAAGCGAGTAAAAGAACCTTCGAAAAGTCTTCATCATCTAGAGTCCTTCATTTATCCAATATTCCTTGCATTTTTCCGGTTCCAGTCATACATCAGGACACTACCCGAACAAGCCTAGAAATCGACATACCACAATCGCCGACCTCCACCCAGCCTCTTCTGGAGGGCCCTTAAAGCAGTAATGTCTGCTGTGACTGGAACCATCAGTCAAGACCTTCCCAGCCTCCTTAGATGCGGCCGCCAATTCCCCGACAGCCAACACGTGGGTTCTGGGTCGAAGCTGCTAGTGCGATCGACCAAAGTGGGTCTGGCAGATCCGGGGTAGACATGACACTCGTGCTGCAGGAACAGGTCCCGAAGGGAACGGCAGCGCAGACAGCTCGACCACGGCAGATAAAGTATTCGATATGGGGTTCATTCTAAAGAGGGAACCTGGGAGAATAATCAAGATTGACAAAGAGTTTTGAACGGCTGTCATGGCTGAATTAGGTGGCGACGAGCTCGACCGTGGAGGCACAGTCGATGTTCCGAGCTGCCAGGACAAGTGAATTCTCGCGAGATCTCTTGTTTAGTTCTCATAGCCCTAGTTCCTGTGTTATTACCAGCCCCCCGTATTGTACTGGGCTGGCAGAAAGGAAGAATAGACGCTGTTGTGGTCCAGGCTGGCTCTTTCCCCTTCGCATGTCGGTCTCTCTCTTCTGGGGAATCTGGGTTCCTTCTCTTACTGCATTTCTTTAGATGCATCGCTCTTGCTTCTCTTAATACACAATTGCAGTTCCGTTGGTGTTTATCGACTTTGTTCGAGCTTGCAGAGCTTTTCCATTGATATCCATGTTGAAGCACGAATAGTTGCGTCCCGTTTCGAATCCAAGAGGCATGTCCCCCCTGCAGCCTCAGGTAAGAGTGTCTCGCTATAAAAACATTTCGCATACGCGAACACACAGACAGGGTTGCATGAAGCTGAAGATCATAATGCAGAAGCCCAAGATGGCCAGATCAAACGACACAACAATGATCCTGAAGCCCATCAAATCCCCGGGTGTGGGCAAAAAGACAAAAGTCACGCCGCTCAAAAAGGGTGAGCTGGCGCCACACTCAAGAGGTCAGCAGGATACTAACACTCAAGCAGTACCACGACAGGATAGTCCTAGGGCGAATGATCCCCTCAACTTCACCTCGTATCGTCCTGACCAGGAGCATTGGTCATGGAACAACCTTCCAGAAGTCCTATATCAACTGAAGCCCACCGAGAAGAGAAAGAAAGGACCCGAGCCGTCTCTCCTGACCTACCAAATCCACGGCGAGTACCTGCGGGACCTTCCCGTGCTTCCCGACAATATTGCATCCAACGTCGAGGAATTCCGCGTCGAAGCCTGGATGCGTCTCGATAGACGTATCCAGCTGAGGAATATCAAGGACAGAATGCACAAGGATTTCAGAGTCTCGGAGAATACCTTGCAGCAGCGCAATGGCCGGTTTCGCCAGCACATGAGAATGTTGGCTTGGGATTCTGGAAACAGAAAGAGTCAAGAGTTCGAGGCCGAGTTGATGAAAGATCTGTTGGCGAATGATATCGACCCCTCGCTCAATTCAACCCGGGGCATCACGCCTGGCCTCATTAACCCCGTGCTTGGAGAGGCTGGGGGTAGAATTGCCCTCCCCACTGAGTACAAGCGACGTGAAATAATTGAGGGGCGATCAAGCACTTCAGAAGAAGGCAACAGCTTGGAGGAGTCAAAGGAAGATGCCCGCAAGGCGTCTATTTCAACCCAGGTGAAGAGAGCTCGTGCAAGAGACCCGATGCCTCCCCCTTCTTTTGGGTGCTTTCCACAGGAGCGAGAGCCATGGCCGGAAACTGCACTTCCGGAGAGCATTCGTGGAATATTCATCGACCAAATGCTGAAGAGATGTTTCAGGGGCGAAGGGTACCTCTTTCAACTGCCGTATATGTGCGAAGCTTCTGATCCGAACGTCTGAATGAGACTCAATGATGGGACAATCTTGTTGATAACACATCTGATGCGATGTATGCATGACTTGACGATTTTGATTGAACCTTCAATCTCTGCTTTGTTCTGTTGATCATCTCTTCCATCTAGGGTGGCATAGACGGAGAGATATACGATATGAATGCATGGAATTGTAATTACCCCGAATTCACTCTTATAAATTGCGATGGCTATATAAAGATAACCGAGACTGCCGAAGCCTCACCACTTGGAATATGTACAGAGGTAGATGAATAGTGAATGTCGGAAACGGGTCGCCATTCAGGTAATGGAGTAGTGATGAAAGTGAAATCCTGATGAACTTGGCTGCCATGACTTCACACTGGCGCCTATTATTCACCATTGAGCACTGCCCCCTGAGCACCCTAAACAAACAAAAGAGATTTTAAGGGAATTGTAGAGGATAGAGTCAATATTGAAGAGAAGAACACAAATCAGGTCTGGAAGTGGACACGCCTGAAGGTTTGCAACAACTTATTCCCTAGTTGGGTACTATATCTGTAAGCACTGCACTGTGCCATAACCCATGAGCCGTAATGCCTTATCGGGTATTATAGGTAAATCGCAATCTAACAAAGGCTTCATGACTGTGGGTGAATTACCAAGGCAAGGTGCCTAGCAAACGTAAGTATTCACAGCGCGAGTATTCACGGAGCTCTGTTTCTGAACTGCTGGCTGCCTGTTGCTAGCGACTTATTAAAGAAGGCAGCAATCCATTCATCGGTAAAGACTGCGGCTCCCTACTTGTTTCTTTCCGGAGGGTCTCATTTGTTGGTAAATTCCACTCTCTCGTCCTTTGCAGTCCCCTTCTTATCCTCCTTCGCCCCTCCACCTAGTTTACCACACTATCCATACATCTATCTTGTCCATGTCTGATTCTAGCTCTTCTCCAGAACATTCTTCTCCCTGTGAGTGTCCGCCATTCATAGTTGATAGCGTGTGGATAACTGATGTGACATTTAGCAGCCTCTGGTTCAAACAGCCCTTCCAACTATTCTTGCCACCGTGAGATTCCCATCCTCTAGAGCTCCGAAGCGCCTTTCTAACAACCTGTCTAGACACCAGTCCCCCAGACGAGACTCACACCTGTTACCATCCTTATCATTCTGGATTCTCGGAGGGCTATCTCCCACCTCTCCTTTTTCGTCTTGATCCCCCGCAAAACCGAGAAGATGGCATTGTAACAGAGCTGGAAGAGGATGGAGCGATCGTACAAGACCAGGAGGGAGCTTCCATTCGCGACTTCTCTTTCCTGCCTCGTTATATAGCGTCAAACCCACCCACATGGCTGATCGAGTACTGGATGCGTACCGACGCCCGCCTGACGTATCGCGACATCAAGGCACGCATGACCGCTCCCCGGGACCAACAGCCCACCGAGAATGCCCTGAACATGCGCCGCGAGAGAGAAGTCCGTGGTCCTCTGGGTCTTTCCTGCTGGGCCGCCCGTCGGGGCAGGACCAGCCGCGTTGCTCGCATTGACCTGGAACGCATGGAGTGTTGGACCTATGATCAGGTCCATATGAACACGACCATGGAGGTTGAATATAGGTTCGTTGAAGGAGCCGGGCACCCGGTCCCCTTTCGTCTGCGATCCAAGTCTCTCGCCTTAGACCCTGTGGAAGACGTATACTATCCTCTGGACACGTTTGTCGGGGACGATGGCACTCATGTCCCCTCCGACAGGACCAGGACGGCGATGGACACGTTCTTTGAAGTCTCTGAGAGAGCACGGGAACAGGGTTTGGACTCTTGGCGGCGTCTTCCTGCTGAGGATATCCCCGTCGCTTGGAAGCAATATCAAGAAAGACCGAGGCGCCTTAGTGCTAGAATCATTGACGATCAGGACGAGGGTGAGGCTGCTGAGGAGGAGTCATCTGAGGAATCAGTTGGTGATGTATCCTCCCAGGAGGAAGCGGATTACGAAGACCCCGAGTAAACTCCGTTGGGAGACCAGGGTTGCCCCTGGTCATGATTAGGGTATTCCCCAGAGCTTAGTTTGCTTAAGTGGAGGTACTATGATTCCATCGCGCCGGCTACTAGTTCGCACGCTACTGTTCACTGTGGCCTGGGTGTACTTCTTCAGTCAGCCTAGACCGGCTTTCTATCAGTTTCGGGTCTTTGGTTCTGTTTTGGCAAAGCTTTGTTTTCCAAGTAACAATTTGATTCAAATTAATATTGATTATTCGTCGTCAGTTTTCACTCGTAGGCTCGCGTACTAAGACTAAAGAGATCATTCTACTATGATGGCAATCTAGAAAAGCAAAATACTGTCTAAACTGGAGAATCCCGTGGCAACACCTCCCTCGTTGACGTCCTTGGCCTTGGTTCGCATGAGCCACCCGCCTTGCTCGTTGTGGAGGACGGTGCCCCGGGCCTGATCCCACAGGATGGTTCCGTAAACGCCCAACTCCCCAATGACGTCGCCACGGATCACCTCTCCATCGCTTCGCAGGGCCACATTCTTGGCCTCGGCGGGGGGATGGATCAGCTCCATCAGAATCCAGCGCTTCCAGTCAGTCTCGGGGATCGAACGCAAGAATTCAGGGATAGCAGTCTTGTAGACATTATTGCCGCCGCCTTCGCGCTGCGGCTTGAGAACGTGGTTGGCGGCCGTCTCAGGGTTGAGGGCAAGGTCCCGACCACGCCCCGTAGAAGAAAGGTCATACTGAGGAGCAAAAGTCGCCCGTAGTCTTGCGATGACGGACTGATCCACTTCGGCGAGGAAGCTTGCCAGATGGTCGGGTCCGGTGGTCTCCGCAAGTACCTGCTGAACAATCTTACAACCCGACAACTGATTCAAGACGGTGGGGCACTTGATCGCAGCAGACCGTTCCAACTGAAGGCGAGCGTCCCAATCCCGCTCGCTTGTATAATCACTTGGAGCGTAGAAGCATCGGAGATATACCGTTGTGACTTCGAAATGGCTCGACGCGTGAGGGGGGCGATAGATCAGAGGGCGCGAGGGGTTGGAGCTAGGGATGGTCGTGTGGTCCAGAATTTCCGAACTCAGCAGACGGAACACCGGGATTTTGTGGTATTTGGTGATCCGTCTCAGAAGTGCCAATTGATCGAATGTATTCCTCTCGCCCTCCTGGACCACAAATAGAATGCAAGTCGGGAGAGCCGGCCTGCATTTGGACGCCCCGTAGGCGGCATGTGCAGCTGCCAATCCCGCAGAGAGCGTCTCGACCGCCGTATTCTCAGGGGGCTTATTGGACTTCAACAATCTGTGAGACGGGTATGCGATTGGGTAACCCGGAGGGGAATCCAAGAGCTCGGTGTGCAGCTGGGTCACGAGAGACGATAAACCACCAAAGGAGGCCGAAATGGTGTTGAACTCCACCTGCTTCAAGGAGGGTGCAACCGAGCTGGACGGAGTATGCGCCATGTAATCCGAGCGGAAAAGGCCGAGCGACAACGTTTGAACATACCCCTCCTTCTTGACTGCCAGATGCGTCTTCCACAAATGCGAAACAAAGTCGTCCACATCAATAAGACTACAGGTCAAAAGAAGTGTTTAGTCATGACATCTCGGCACTCTCGCTATGACTCGTTCTAGCTAAGCCACACAATAAAAACAAACGACGTAGTTTCGGAATGGTCTCTTACTCTTCCATGATCTTGCCCAGCCACTCCTCGTTACACGTTATCATGGCATAGAGGTGGTTGTAAACGGTCTGCAAGGCCCTAGCCTCGTCGAAGCAAGCTCTGGGGAAGGGACTTGGGAATAGGGTGACAGGAGCATTGGTCGCAAGAACTCCATGGGGATTGACCTCCTTCGATACGAAAGTGGGCGCCGGGCGAACCATGAGGCCATTCTGCGTGGTCCAGTCCTTAATGGTGGTTACCAAGAACTCCCTCTGGGCGGAGTCCAAGAGAGGAGGGTAATTGGCGTAGATCGAGTCACCCATGATTGAATGTCGTACGGAGACTGGGAGGGGAGGCGGAGGGGGCCAGAGAGAAGCAGAAGCGACATTCTCGATCGATTAATTCCATCGGACTTCCGTTCATATCGGCGATTAATAATGGAGGGGTCAACGATTATCGGCCGCCCTCTGTGTCCACCGCCTTATCCACCGCTTCTCGCTCGGCGGCAGAAATCCGGCGTTTGACAGCGGAATCGCTGCGTTTGCTTTGCTTCTTCCCCAACTTTTCTCCATCTCCTCTGCTTTCCGGACGCGTTGCAGCTGGCGTCGCGCGCACCGTGATTGTCACAGGAAGACCCGGGACTTCGAGGGTGTCCCCGACATCTGCTTAGCTTGCCACCTCTCACTTGGATCTCTATCCCGATCCAGTATCCCGCACATCGGACTTTGGAATCTACCTGAACTTGACCTCACTCTTGCTTTTCGGGTCTACTACGCGTCCTCTTCAGAGCTCGTTCTCATCTAGATGTAGTGTGCAACAAGAATCTCGAAGCTTGCTCTCATTTAGTTCACATTTGATCCATTCAAACTAATCGCAGGGCGCTGTCAGATCGATTTGAGACCTCCATGATCGCACAGTGAGCTTTCCTTCTATACGCGCTAGCAGATTCTCCAGTCTGAGGGAAAGTTCCCGATCTAATGTCCGATTAGACAACATGCAGGTTGTTACCTCCGATCCTCTAGACTGGACAGTCGATGAAGTAGTCAGATTCCTCTGTCACAATCCCGACCAACCATGGTCTCGGTCGGCAACCGGTGGCCCTAGGCCTGATCCCGCTTCCTTCGAAACCGCTCTACGTGATAATTTCGTGACGGGTGAGGTGCTTTTGCACGATGTACATAAAACAGAACTACGAGAGGACTTGGGTCTGAAGACCCTCGGCCACTTGAGTTCTATGCTCAGAGCCATTCGCTATTTGCAAGATAACTCCCTCAAATATAAGGGCAGCATGGGGCACCCTCATTCTCTTGAAGACCGGCAGAATGACCCGTCCTCAACGCCGTTTTCTCCTATGGGAGTGGCTCCTCGTTTGCCTTCTACTGTGCACTCCGAGACTGGTCATACTCCTGGTAGTATCACTCCGAACCGTGGGGACTCGCGAGCTCACAGTATGGCGATGACACCTTCCGCCCTCATCAAGCCTCATAGCCGCGAGGCAGCTTTGACCAACTCACCAGCCAAAAACCAAGTCACTATGCGACCAGAACCCACGCCTGATACCGTGCCGGAATCGCGCCAGACTCCTGCCGTTGAGCCGGATTTGAGTCTGGCAAGACGCAGCGAGGCCTCTAATCCCGACTTGCCCGCTCAATCACGTGGGCACATCACCATCGATAGCTCAGGCAAAAAGCGGCTCAAGCTAGAACCTCCATCTTCGGCTAAGGTTCAGGATCATAAGCAGATTTCCAAGACCGCGGGGGCCCAGCACGGCAAGGTGTGGTACATGGGACCAGAACGTATCTCACATTCTGACGTTTTCTATTCACCTAACTTGGATGACAATGATCGATCATTCACGATGCTAGGCTCAGAAGTTCCAACGGCAAAGCGCCATTTTGTGAACAAAAGCCTAAGCTATTTCTATAAGCAACAGCCAATCAAGCTCACCTCAGACGGAAGCGACAATCACTTCACTAAATGGGCCATGGTACCTTACAGCAGCAAAATGGTTAATGCAGGCAACCCAAAGCTTTTTACCTTGTATACATCTGATAAGGAAAATGTTACTGTGAGTAAGGAATCAATGCAAAATTGGCCCCAGTTCAGTACTTTGCAGCCTGGGTCTCACAGTGACTCGACGGACGATGCGGACCGTCATGGTCCCTACGCAAGTCTCCTCCAGAGATACCCGCCTCAAGAGGATGACCAAGACACTTTACCTCTGTATGGTGACTCAGGATCCGAGGGTGAATACGATGAAGCGACATTGCAGGAAATGAAAGACGAGCAGCAAGAAGCAGTACCGCATAAAATGACAGAAAATGAAATGCGCAGCATCATTGCGGATTGCATTTCTGACTACAAAGCAAAGTGGCACCAGAATGGCCAACAGAAGGAACAAGCAAAAGCCCAGAAATTATGGTTAACAGCAAGGAGAACCAAAAGCACCAACCAGAGAATCAAGGTGCTAAATCAAGAGACAATCATTCTGCAAAAGCGCTTGGAGAAGTTGCAGGAGCACATCTGTGATAGCACGTATTCTGCACGGGCCGAGCTAATAGACCAATGCCAAAGCATGGAACAGACAGTGATGGATATAGAAAAGAGCAAATGGCGCGCGTCGATTCTTGAACAGGAAAATTGCCCCCCAAAGGCATCTCCCCCCCCTCGGCGCCCATATGTTTTTAAACCGCGACGAAATCTTGAGGACGAGGAATCTCTTCAGTCCGACTCCGACTACTTGACCGACGACAATCCGTACGAGTTCATTGATGACACATCTGCCGTGGACGAGGCTTCTCGTGAAGGCGACATGCCAATGACTACACCCTCGACATCGGACAGTGACGACGATATCATTAGCCCTTCGGGGATCCGTCGAAACTCCAGGAAACTCAGAAGACTTCCTTTTCGCGAATCCAGTTCTCCTCTCCCTAGCCCAAAACGCGATATAACGACTTCGTACATTGATCTAACAGCAGAGTCGCCTCCTCCCGAGGACTTCAAGATCGAAACACCCCCCTTGAACCCCGTTCAACCAGTGGTCTCAAAACCCCTTGAGGACCCTTTCGTCACTACTAGACCGAGCCCTTCGATTTCCCCGGAGCCTGCACTCGGTCCAAGCCTAAGAGTTGAAATACCCGTCAAGGCAGTCGGCGGCCCGCCGAGAGACCTCAAGAGCAGGGCGTCACCGCCTCTGCCTACCTTAAACGATATTAAAGGGATCAAACAGATGCCGTGGGACTTTCTTGAAGAGCGCAAAGACCGTGTCAGACTACTTATAAAATTACTAAGCAGTTTGCCTGACGGGGAAAGAGAGAACTTGGTCTCGACCATCCCAAAAACCAACCAAGCAAAGCTGAGAAAAAACATCTCGATCGCTCTGAAAAGATTTCTGGAGAGCCAAGAATGCATGCCTCATATGGACGAATCTGAAAGCAAGATTATTATGCGAACTGCATCGCTTTACATATCTTGGGTAAACTGTACTCATCTTCAGCGGAAAAAAGGCATCCCAAAAAATCTTGTAGAAGACACACAGGAAGATCTTCATCAAGGGTTTTCCCAGTTTTTCGAGGAACTTTGCCGGCGTCTTGTCCAGATTCCTTGGTCCCCACGGCGGCATTCACCCACCTTTCCCGGAGATGCCCGTGAATTTCAGCATTCAATGAAACATATAAGCGCAGTCGATCGTTTCGAGCAGCGACATCCAAATCAAACGGCGACACCACACAAGAAGAGAAAAAGGGAGATCAAGGAAAGCCAGACCACCAAATTGAACCAGCAAAGCGCACAGATGCGGGTTCAGCTCAACGAGGAGCAAAGAAGGAAAGTTGAGCAAAAGATGGAAAGCATGGGCGTAAGCAATAACGACCCGGCACACCAAGCCGTCAGCTTTAGAGAACCCATCATCTACCTGGATCCGCACATTGGCAGTCGTGTCATGCCTCATCAACTAAGTGGTATGCAATTCATGTGGCGGGAGCTGTTGGGGGATGAGAAGGGGCAAGGCTGTCTGCTGGCACACACCATGGGTCTGGGGAAAACGATGCAAGTCATATCTCTTCTGGCAACCATTTCTGCAACCGCGTCTTCAAATGACCCCAACGTTCGTGAACAAGTTCCTCCTGATCTGAGGGAGTCAAAAACCCTCGTTCTCTCCCCAGTCACGTTGATTGAAAATTGGTACGAGGAGTTTATAATGTGGTGTCCTCCAAATTCGCCCATCGGACCGGTGAGAAAGGTCACGAGTTCGAGTGCATCTCAGGAGAGGCTGCAGACTTTGGTAGACTGGGATGCCGAGGGCGGAGTACTTATAATGGGTTATGAGCTCTTTCGGTCTTGGGTTATGAACAAAAAGTCTGCTAAGAGGGATAAGCCAGCTATACCCGATGAGCTTCACCATAAAGTCCGGACAATGCTCTTGGAAGGCCCCAATATTGTTGTCGCCGACGAAGCCCATAAGATGAAAAATGCGAATACGGGAATCGCCCAAGCTACCACGCAATTCCGCACCAAAAGGCGCATCGCGCTGACTGGCTCCCCTTTGGCCAACAATCTGGTTGATTATTATACCATGGTTAACTGGATTGCAGAGGGCTATCTGGGCGAATTCCTGGAGTTCAAAGCCAACTTTGTGGAGCCTATAGAAGAAGGCCTCTACGCAGATAGCACTCGCTGGGAGAGACGAAAATCCCTCATCAAACTCAAGGCCCTCAACAACAATCTTGAACCCAAACTCAATCGCGCAGATATCACTGTTCTCGAAGGAAGTCTGCCCCCAAAAACGGAATTTGTCCTTACCATTCCTCTGACTCCACTCCAGAAGGCTGCATATGATCTGTATGTCGTGAGCACTCTTGCGGGGAGGGCAGATGAGTGCGTTCAAAGCACGAAACTTTGGTCTTGGCTTGCAGTCTTGAGTTTGTGCAACAACCACCCGGCATGCTTCAGACAAAGGCTACTTGACCGGGCCGGTGATGCTCAAAAGCCAGATAAGAAATTAGAGGAGCCCGAAGGATCTCCGGAAGCTGAACAAATCCCTGAAGCTCCCCTTCCTGACGCAGACAACCTGATGTCTAAACAAAAGATGCTGTTTGCTGCCGTTTCGGACATGAACGCTCTGGAGCTATCATATCGGGCGCAGATCTTGGACAGGATAATCACCGAGTCAATCAACGCTGGCGACAAGTTACTTATCTTCTCCCAAAGCATACCAACGCTCGATTACATCGAGCGCATGTTGAAGATGGCCGGACGAAAATACCGTCGCCTAGATGGACAGACACCCATTCAAAGCCGCCAAGATGCAACCAAAAAGTTCAATCACAGCTCAGATGAACATGTCTACTTAATCTCCACACGCGCGGGAGGATTAGGTCTCAACATTCCCGGCGCAAACCGTGTTGTGATATTTGATTTCGGATTCAGCCCGATGTGGGAGCAGCAGGCCGTTGGTCGTGTTTATCGCCTTGGCCAGAAAAAGCCGGTCTTCATATACCGCTTCATCGCCGGTGGCACTTTTGAGGAACTGATATACAACAGGGCAATGTTCAAGACGCAGCTTGCGTTCCGCGTTGTTGATAAGAAAAACCCTGTCCGTGCAGCGACCAAGCCCTTGAAAAATTATCTTTTCCCAGCCAAGCCAGTTCCCGAGACCGATACCAGCGAATTTCTCGGCAAAGACCCTCAGGTTCTAGACAAAATCTTGAACGATAAAGATACTTACCCGATCCGCAAGATTACTCTGACAAAGACCCTCGAAAGAGATGACAATGACAAGTTGTCATTAGAGGAGGAACAACGTGTCCAGGAAGAAATCAGCGACATGACTCTCAGACGTACCAACCCCGCCGCATACCAGAGTTTAATGGAGCAAAGGCGAAGGGCAGCTCTGGCTGCGGCCAGAGCCGATGCAGCTGGGAGTTATTCCATGCCTTACATACAACCCAACATGCCGTCCGCATCCATCCCCTACAATTCGCCTTTCAATCCCCCCAACTTTGTTCAATATCAACCACAACAGCAGCAGCCGCAGCATGAGCAGGGGCAGTATGAGCAGGGACAGTATCTGCCGCAATATCAGCAGCAGCAGCCGTTGCCTCTGCCCGCTCCACCTGTTGTCCCTTCCAATGCACATAACGACGGTCCTCCTCCTTTGGCGCCCGATATGATTACTTACGAGTGAGACCATGCGGTGCTTGCATCTCTTTGACATCGAACTCGTACAATCTTCCTTTTCCTTTCCTGTATTAACATTTCATATTTCTCATATCCATGTTATTGAGCGGGCTTGTCTTTGTTTTTCTCCCAGCTAAAATTCCCCCGGACAGCTTTCTTTCTATTTCATATTTTTCGCTTCTTTGTTCTCTCGTTTCGGTAGATATCTCGTTCAGACCAGTTCTCTTATCACGTTTTCTTTTCTCTTGTACCCTGTCATTCTTAGGGGCCCGTTTAGTATGCATATGCAGGCAATCCTACATACATATCTTACCTAATGATCGTGAATGCATAATGAGGAGCGAGTCGAATTCCTACATCGATTGAAGTAAAACCTAGGCTAAGTAAATCTTCAGTCCACCTTAGTAGAAGCTAGAAACGGTAGTAAAAGGTTGAATAGATTCACGTAATCTGGCATTCCTGACCAGCAGCATCGCCATCTTGAGATTGAACAAAAAGAAGATTCTAGAAGCAGGACCCGGAATACCTCGCTGCCTCCTATCCCAAAAGAGAAGAAATCTGCCTAACTACATGGAAGACTCGTATGAATACTCCCTTCAGTTGAACGTCAACACCATGGCCGGACCAGAGACGGAACGGTTAGATCCCGAGACGATAGGTAGAAGATAAGTACGAGATAATGGAGACGAGAGAACCCGAGCCCCCAAAAGTTGAAAACCTTAATCAAGTGAGAAGCTTCTCAAGATCAGCAACACGAGTGGCTCTCTCATCGGTCTTCTTCTTGGTGGCTGTCTCGCGAAATGCCTCCAGCATCAGCTTACGCTTCGTCTCCTGGACCGCGAGGACCCGGTCCTCGATACTGTTCTCCATGACGAGGCGCCATACAGTCGTTTCGCGCATCTGTCCTAGACGATACACGCGGTCGACGGCTTGGTCTTCGATTGCTGGTGCCCACCAACTGTCGGCAAGAATGGCTTGGTTCGCGGCGACCAGGTTGAGGCCGACGCTGCAGACACTGAGACTGGCAAGGAGGACTTTGCAGTTGGGGTCACGCGAGAAGCGATATGTTGAGTTGTCACGGCTCACAGAGCTCATTCTACCGTCGATGCGAGCAAATCCGATGCCGTGGCGCTCCAAATGAGGCTGGACGAGATCGAGAAACGATGTCCACTGACTAAAAACGACTGTCTTGGTATCAGCAGCCTGCCCCTGGGCCGTCAGGATCTTGACAAGAGCTTCGATCTTGCTGCTTGGGTCGTCCGGGTCTGCAGAAACACTATCGTTGTTCTCGCCCATCTCGGCGGCAGGGGACACCAGGGTGGTGGTGTTTTCAATTTCGGCTCGACACATAGGGCATTTGTGCTGTCTGTCGATGACTTGCTCAATACACTCTCGGTCAAATGAATGCCCGCATGCGGTAATCACAGGTTCTGCGAGGGTATCCAGGCAGATCGGACAGGTCTCCTGACTCTCAACCCTGACCTGCAGCATGTCCTGGAGAGCCTTGATGTTTTCCGGGGTAAGAGGAACCACCTTTTCCTTCTCCAGCAGTGCAGTGATGCTATCGATGCGCTTCTTGCAGAGTGCCCAATGGTTGCACACTTGTCGAAGCCGCAGAATAACCTCGAGAAGGTTGGAGTATGTGGTGCCGGTCTTTTCTTTGGATTTGATATCCAGAAGCATGCCCTTCGCCTCGGCTCTGTGTGATCTGTTAGCATACCAACGTCATATTTGTGAGCGATTTCTACTTACTGGAACATGTTGTACTTCTCTTCTTCATGCGGGTGGAACTTGACCCGAAGAACACGAGATGTGAGAGGCGGCAAGCGCAGATTGACGAATTCCATGTCCTTTCTGCGACGTAAGCAAATAGTACACATCAATGTCTGCAGTAGCAAGCGTGCGTTAGGATCGTCAGACATGAGAGGCCGAATCAAAACGCTATTGAAGACTGCCATGTCCTCTAAACCACCTGTAAGCCCCAGGAAGCGGACTTGGGAAAAGAGATCCTTGAGACTGTTCACAATGGGAGTTCCAGTCAATGACCAGCGAGAATCCGCAGGCAAGTTACAAGCAGCAAGGGCACCTTTGGATCTTGGGTTGCGCACTGTGTGACCTTCGTCGAGAACAATTCGACGCCAGTGTACGGAGAAAATCCCTTGTTTGGGGGGCGCCTTGGCCTGGGGGTTGTATTCCATCGCAAGTGCACCATAGCTTGTGATAACCACGTCATACTGGTCCAGGTTTTTCGCCTCCTTCTTTCCTGCGCCATGGTACACATGCACGCGCGGGGTGTTCTCGCTGCGAGTATGTTCCTGAATTTGGTTTTTCCAGTTGCTCATGACTCCTACAGGAGCCACAATCAGAGTGCATTTGGAACCCCCTGCCGTCTTCGGTTGAGAATTCGCCAAAATCAACGAAATGATCTGGATTGTCTTTCCAAGACCCATGTCGTCCGCCAGAATACCACCACTAGCAAGAGGGGGTGCAGTGGATGTGGAAAAGTTTGTGGCAAGATTGGTGTAATTAGAGCCTTTCCTCTTCCACAACTGGACTACATCCTCAGATCCAGGGCCGGGCAGGGTAGGATTTTCTTTGCTAATCATCCAAGCCAGTCCCTGACGCTGATAAGGGAGTAGCTCTGTTGAAAGCGCTGCGGGAGTATCCACCATAGGCATGTTTGCCAAGTCCGACTCGTTCATGCCAAAGCTTTCAGTCACTTTACCAATCTCACGAGGATTGAAAGTGCTACTTTTGCCAATAAGGTCTTCAAGACTCTCCCCATCCTGAAGACCCTCCCCGCTAAAGAGGTTAGCATACAAAGGATTGTCGCCGGCCTCCCACCCGGCTCCTTTGCCGCCTCCGAGAGCACGAGCTTTTTTGGCGGCTTCCTTTCGCGCCTTTTCGCGTTCCTTTTGGAGGTTACGTTCATCACGCTCCCTTTGTTTAATAGTACCCAAGGGCAGTCTATCGGCCGTCATTCTCTGCTTTAGCTCTTGGCTCTGTTGTGGATCACTCGGACCGAAAAGTCGCAGAGAAATAGGACAATCAAATGCACCAATGATGCCTGTCAGCGAGCCCTCAATAATCAGCGACTTGGTGTCCTGTACGGAGACTATTAATGATGTTCAAAGCATTGAAGCCACAGATAGAAAGGCATTTGCGGGGCATGCCTACCATGTATCCCGCCAACTTGGCCGCCGTGAACCGAGGAATATGGCCGATTTGGGCCCCCATGACATTCAGCACTTGGATAGCGTTCCGGTCATATGGGTTGTGTGGTTCTCGCCTCAAGATGACATGCTCTCCAATAGTGGCATGTCCATTGTAGAAACGAACGCCGACAATCTTTGAGGGCATCTCACCATACAGCACGGCGTTGTTAGACATTTCATCATCCGCTCCTTGAGTTCCCATGATCTGATCCGCGGCATGCTCTTCTTCATCATCATCGGCCGCATAGTTCTGGGACGATTGACTCAGGGGCACGAAGTCCGTGTCTTGTCCGAATCGCTGCCCACTGACTGCGCGCGGGTACTTGGGAGTGCGTCCTGGGGTAGAAGTACCGTCACCATCATTGGAGGTAAGATCAACATGGTTTATGTCGCGCTTCCCTGAAGGTCGACCCATGATGGCGCTTCCAGGGGAGACAGATTAGATGACAACAAAGCAAAGAAAGGACAGAAGAAAGAGAATTGACCAGGAAAAGAAGAGAGAAATGATAGATCAAACGGAGGAACCACTTGCGATGCGGGATCCATGACGGAACAAACAGCGCTATCCCCTATATGGCCTAGTGCGACACGCTAAGTCACGCTTCCACGTGATGTCCCGTGATTGTTTTCATCTAAACAGACATGACGTCATTCATCGCATTTTCTTCTACGAAGTTTTGAGATTTGCTGGAAATTGCCATTATCTAGGGCCAAACAACCTAATGAGGACTTTTATGTGTTGAATATCTGGATATAATCTTCCTTAACTTGCCAAGAGAGGGGACTCAATGTTCCCAAATGCCTATGATGTTGAGTATTAAGGCCTCCCTGCTAATTTTTGAAAGACTCGCGGGTATTCACCCGATCAATGTCATATGGATTGGCGTCATACAAAGCCTCGACATCCGCTGTCTCCATATGCGACTTGATCGATTCTTTAGATCGTATGTGGTCAAGGCTTGAACGTGAGCATGACGAGGCACGGTCCTTTCCTCCCACATCCGGCGCTGATCCTAGGGCTACTGAAGTTTGACCGGAGGGCACTTCATCCACGACTGTGGTAGGGGACGTTCCTTTCTCCGGCTCAGTTGAGGGCGATTTCTTTGCCACCTCCATTAACTTCCTCATGAACGCATCGGATTCTGCGGCATATTTGCATCGCGCCCTGATGGCCGGACCGTACTTGTAAAATAGAAACGGGAAGGGTGCGCATGCAACAGCCAAGAACGCAGGGATGCTAGATGCCCAATGTACACCCAGGTCCCTATACATGTAGCTGGTGAAGAGAGGGAATGCTGCGGCGAATAGCGAGCGCAGAACCGCACTGGCTGCCAGCACTGAAGCCGCAAATATGGTATAGGCATCGATCAGATAGTTCATCAGGCTCAGAAAGACCAAGACCATACCGAAACCAAATGGCGCCCCGGCTGCAATGCTTGCCATCCAATGTACCGATGGGCCATTGGACCAGGCAAACCAAAACAGGCCAATAGGTATGGCAATAGCCGCCATCATGCACGGGGTGAGACGCGACTCAGGCGGCGCAAACCCGCGATTAGCTGCCGCAATCTTGATGTAGCGTTTGTTGTCATAGATATTGTAGATCACGGCGACTATCATGCCAACCATGATTCCCAGAAACGCTAGCCCAGATACCCCCTGGTTCCAGCCCCGTTGCTGTTTGTAGACAATAGGGAAAGCGGCGAACATCATAAACAAGGTCCCATAGATGATAGCCTGATAATCTGTTAGATGCCGCAAGACCTATTAACGAGGGATAAGATTCGGAGTGGCACCAACCATGTATGTGGATAACAAGATAACTATTGGCTCTCGGAAAAGGAGAAGCCACGGACGGGATAGTGCGGTCTTGAAAGCCTGGGTAACCGTCTGCTTGCCTTGTTCTGCTTCAATTTTGCTTTTGTAAACCTTCCCTGTCGTATTCGAGAGCTTTTCTGCGCGCCGCTGGAGGAGCACCGGGGCGTAGGTTTCAGGCACACACAAACAGCAAAAGATCCATAGCACGCCCGAAAAGATGGCCAGGAATCCCATCACCCACTCCCACCCCGAGTTCATGCCAAGGAAACCGCCAATGATCGGTCCTAAGACGGGTCCCAGAAACGGGGCCGCGGCAAAGATACTCATAGCTAGCCCACGATGACTGGCAGGAAACAAGTCCGCTATCACACCGCCGGCATTGGTGAGCGGAGATGATCCAAAGGCACCAGCAAAGAAGCGGAATATAATGAGGGACTCGATATTCTTGGACCCGACAGTAGCAGCGTTGAACACTGTCAACCCGCAGTAGCTGACTGCAAAGAGGTATTGTCGGCCCCAGAGCTCACTCATAGGCGCCCAAAAGAGTGGCCCAATAGCGAAACCTGCTACGAATAGCGACACTCCTAGCGTAGCCACCGTTGTGCCGACCTCAAAGTCTGTTATTATCTGTTCAATGCCACCTGTATATGCAGAGGAGACACATGATACAGCCAACGTTGCGAAGGCCATGGACATTGTGTAGAACCATTTTGTTTTCGCAGGCGCGTTCATAGGGTTTCTGGGGTCATCTGGAATCCAACTGACGATATAGGGGTCATCTTCTGTGCCAGATCCGGGGTATGGATAGTCGCATATCTCTTGCGTGAGAACGCCTTGGTCGGTGACGAGGCGCCAATGGGGTATGCGAGTGGGCTTGACAGCCTCGCCCGCTACAGACGAGCTCATGCGGGTTTTCGTAGGGGGGCAGCTTTTCAAAGTACAATAAATTTTGTATATCTCTGGTGTTCCCGCCCCGTCTGTCTGTTAATGCTTTCTTGTCTGGTTTGCGCGTTATGCGCGGAACGGACCGTTCGGGGTGTTCAAAAGAGAAAGGAGAAAATTCGATTGTTCTGCGCAGCAACGGGATACAAAAGGACCCAAATTGAATTGACAAGATGGTTTAAAGGGATAGCAAGAAGAAAAGCGAAGAGGAGAAACGGGAACTTTAGCGACTATCCGTTCTGTATGTAGCCTAGAACTGTACACGGAGAAGCAATGCTCCGTAAGCGCCAGAACATGTGGAGTATGACCTGATACCTTTCCTCTCGACGGCCATGATCGAACGGAGTTAAAGGCAGACAGGCATTTCAATGACCGGAGAGAAGGCTGAAGGATTGTGCCGCCAATACGGACATAAGAATTCATAGCATAATTCCGAGCGAAAAGAAGAGACGATTGGTTCCAATGTGCAAGGATCGGCTGAAAGATGCCGATTGCAGGGTTCATGTTGGCCGTTCAGCAAGAGACCTTGCTGGTTACTGTTAGTCAGTCAATTCGTATTGCAGTTTTCCTAGTGTCGACGACTTGTCGAGAGGAGAAAAGCAAAGACTGTGGGGGTTTCCCCGCCGGAGGGGATTTGGAGACTGGAGAGTCGGCGAATGCGATGCCATTATTGTTCAAGTGGAACTGCAATCCCCAAAATGTGGAGTACTACTTATTATCGCCGATGGTTCCCAGACAAGATAAGATGATTGCTGTTTGTTGTTAGCTTCTCGCGGTAACTGAGGAACATCGTCGATGACACCTGATTCAGATTGTCAGTACCATCGTTTTTGATGGTGCGACGTTAGTGCTGACTTCTGACGATGGCTGGATATCATTGGAAATGATGATATCCATTGAAATTCTAATAGAAAACCACGAGGGTTCAAGGTAAGTCACATCCAGCGGGTCGTACTACAGATGCCACGAGTTTGTGACACTGGAAAGGCAAGGTGATGATGCTAGGAAGACGAGAAAGGCGAGGAAGAAGACAAAGAGGAGGCAAGTTGTGCAGTCACAAGTCTTACCTAATACTCTCCCAGATGCATGCATTGGCGATCCCCAGATTGACGTCAATTTCTGCCAACAAAACATGCAATTGAACAATCAATTCGATGAACAGCTCTTCGATACATCCCTTGTTGTATTCTTAGACCAAAGGGCTTTATCTCACCAATGTTTCAACATTAATAGCACTGTCCACCATTCATTTAGGCATTATTAGTTTCACTCCCATGGCCGATCCTCTTCCTCCATCTCACCTCCACATCCTCCGCAGTCGTCGCGTTCAGATCGAATCGCTCATTGATCATGGACACGTGAAACCCGTCCTATTGTGGCATCTAATTGCTTTCTTTCTGGTGCTTCCGGCCTCTGCACTTCTAGTCTCTCGTTCAACCCGGGCTCGTTACTTGCGCCCCCTCATCCTTTTCCTGATTCTTGGCTTCTCGGTCGAGGCATTCCAGTCTCGACGGACTCTGCTCGGCGCCAATGGATATATTGTAGGGCTGATCGTCGCCTGGTGGTCAACTTGGTTGATGACTCTGCTAGTCTTTCATGATGTCGAACGCGACTTCCGACGCATCGAGCGCAGGCAATTGGGGAAAGGCGATAGTCAAGAAAAGTCGGTCAGTGCGCGATCAAGACAGCATGCTATTCAAACCCCAGAAGCCCAGAATGTGCAATCCCAACGGCCACCAAATGAGGAGTATCCTGAGCCCCTCGTGTGGCAGACATACCCTCGCTCATGGTCGCATCGCCTCAATTGGGTTTTGGGTCTTTTGCTCAACCTGCGAGGTCCTGAGTGGAATTGGCGCATTTCAAGCGTTGGTCCTTTTCCTGCCTCGATAAGCACACAACTTACCCCGAAGCATCGACGATCGCGGAGCCAGGAACATCGCAAGAAACCCCCTACATATAAAGATGGTCGGACTCGCATCCGCGCGGTAGCTTTCGGCTTTCTCAAGACATACCTGACTCTGGATGCAATCAAACTGCTGATGATGCGCGATCCCTACTTTTGGGGCATCATCTCATTGTCGCATTCGCCACCGCCACCCCCAGTTACCTACATCTTGCCCCCCATTCCCGGCTTGTTTCGCGTCTACCGACTCGCTCTTTCTGGCATTGGGATTTACGCAGCCCTTGTCTTCGTTACCGCTTTAAACCCTCTTTGCTTCTTGGGCCTCTCCCGTGCATTCCCCAATGCCGCCCGGGCTTTAACGGCTGTCCCATTGGACGCTCCCTGGCTATACCCAGAAACCTTCGGTCCCTTCCTAGCTTCCGTCCTAGACCACGGCCTCGCCGGGTGCTGGAGTCGGTGGTGGCATCAACTATTTCGATTCGGCTTTCTCTCGACCGCCCAGTGGCTAATCTCATGGCTCCCGCGACGATTAGCCACCCATGTTGGTCTCCGTCGATTCCTTCTGACCTTAATCGTCTTTAGCTTGAGCGGCTTGATCCACGCCAGCGGGAGCTACACTCAATTTGAAGAGACGCGGCCCTTGTCCGGCACATTGCTCTTCTTCCTTTTGCAGGGAGCAGGTGTTGTGATTCAAGACTTGGCTTCTAAGGTTTTGGTCTCGGCTCTTTTCCAATCGAAGCCAGTTCCTCGCTGGCTTCGTCGGACGTCAAATGCGTCATTCGCGTTCGGGTGGCTCGTCTTCTCAGGTGGCTATATTGCGGATGATTTCTCGAAAGGAGGGCTCTGGTTGACAGAGCCGTTGCCGGTTAGTCCGTTGCGCGGGTTAGGGCTGGGCGTCGAGGGTGAGGGTTGGTGGTGTTGGAGTGAACCGTGGTTCCAGTGGTGGGATGATGGGACATTTTGGGGACGAGGGCTGCGATTCATGTGATGTTTTTGGTGTTTCGGTTCATTGATATAGATCTGGAAATATTGGATATCTGGGATTCGTTACTGGTTACATAGACATGGTTTATGCATTTAGAAACTCGCATACATCGCTTTCGGGGTTCTCGTTGGTATCCATAATCAGATAGAACTTATATATAGAATCATTGGACGTATAGATCGGCCTATAGTTAAGTTGATATTTTTCTTAATTATACAATAAAGTGTATTTTAGGACTCGCCCATCGTTACGTCCTCCTCGTCCTCATCATCCGTGTCCGGGTCCATATTGAGAGTTGGCAGTTCATCGTCGCTTTCGTCGTCGCCTGCTGAAGCCATGGGCTGCGATACTGCTGTACCGGACAATGGACCTCCAACGGTAGTTGTAGATGAGGTATTGACGCTGGCAATCTGCGCGGGCGGAGCCTGGGTGAATGTGGCCGACGAAGTAGGAACCGGGATAGCTGCGGTGCCTGTGAATGTATCCGGCGATGCTCTATCCACGGAAGGCTGGCTCGGAGCGGCGACGACCTCGTTTTCAACTCGTGGCCTCTTAGTCTGCCCATTTGCTTGTCCCGTCTTGCCAGCGCTAGATGGGGTAGTGAGAGGCTGGGGTTGATCATCGCCGTGGCTTCGCTTGTTGAGAGATGGCACGGCCGGCTGTGACTCTTGGATGTCCATCAGATCGTTCTGAAGAATTGGAGTGGCAGACTGTTTCAGAAATCCTGTATTCAGAGGTGCTGCGTGAGGCACAGACGCTGGCACAGTCATGTCGTCTTCATCCTCTTCGTCTTCGTCGATCTGAGCATATCCACCAAGGCCGGATGATGCGTTCGTTAGCACGGGCATTCTGGGCCTGATAAGCCCTTCCACCTCCATTTGTGCGGCATAGCCTCGAGCCAAAAACGGAATGATGCTGGCGCCCATTCCACGGCCCTTCACAGGTGGAACGGGATTGAGAACGCTAGCTAACATCGCATTCTTATCAGATGTCATGATGATCGTCCGGTCGATTTCGGCTCGCAATGACGGAGCGAGGTATTCAGTGGGCACACTGATGAGCAAGGCAGGAATGAATTCCGAGGCAGCTCGTTTGAGATCAGGGAACGATGACGATGGGCTCAGTTGACGGCCTGATTTTAGGCCAGGGTTCAAGAAAGTATCGGCATTGGCCGTGACTTGATTTTTGGATTTAGCCTTCGAATCAGCAGAGAGTTTGGCCGACGGACTTTCATCGCCCACAGGGGGCAAGAGATCAGAACAGCATGTGTGAATTAGGTTGGTTAGAGAAGATACGCTTTGTTTCGTCAACGAGGAGCCCATATGCATAAACAAGGCGCGGATCAAATCGTATATAGCAGTCCGAACCTCCCGGCTGGACTTTTCCGCTCGGAAGACCCAGAGCGCCTGTTCGAGAATCGTTTGTCCTACCGGGACAGCGCCGGTTTCCAGTTTCTTCACAAAAGTTACAAGCAGGTTTAAACATGCGGTATGAATGCGAGGGAGCTCAGCAAATAGGTTCTCTCTTTCCGCGCGACCAATCTGAGGATTAGTCTGGACCTCGACTCCATTTGCCGGGACGGTCACCGATGTCAGTCGCGAAGTTAAGTCCAGGATGGATCCAATGGGGATAGACACGGTAGAGGCCGAGGGAGTGTTCAGAAAAGCCGATAGCAGTCGCAGCAGCACGACGAGTCTATCCACACCCGGCCCAGTTCCCTGCCATCTTGGAAGTCCCAGGGGATCTGGGCCCAGATCGCACACCTCTTGGGTATAATCTTGCGGTCCCGCATTCTTCCGCATCGACGGGTCAGTGGACTCCCATTGCTCGACCACAGCTCGAAAGACGTAATGCGCGGTTCCATGAAGAGAAGCAATTGTCATGTGGCACGCATTCTTCCATTCCTCTCCTGACGTATTCTTGGGGGCACAATTATGAAGCAAGACGAACAATCGCTCAGCAAGCGCCACCACTGACTCGGGGAACGTTGGCGAGGTCGAACCGATGATTATCTGCAGGAGACTGTGAATCTGCGCCGAGAATGGGCGGAAGATCGTAGGATGCCGGCCGATCAGCTCTCCAAACGCGTGCAGGACGATCTCCAGAAAGGGTGTTGCATTGGATTTCAGCGTTCTGATCGGTTCGGAAGAGGGCTTGGTCGAAATCAGGTTCAGAGCCGAGGTGACGAACCCTGGTAAAGAAGGTGTGGTGATTTCGCGCACGAGGGTAGGATACTGGTAGGTCAGGTGGAAAATTCTGGTCAGGGTGATGACGGCCATCTTCTTGGTCGACGTAGGGTCGGCTTTCTGCTCCAGCAATCGGGTCAGCGATCGTTCGATTTCCCACACATGGCCTACAGTCTCAGTCTGCAATTGATCAAGTGCGTACCGTCAAGATCGCCATAAGACCGCGAACAAACGGCTCGCATCCTCGCAGGATTTCCCATTGACCGGCCTCCACTACGGCCTTCACGAGCACGACGGCTGTCCATCGGCCTTCCGGAGTTCGATCTTGCAGCAAGCTTGCCAACCGGGTCATCAATTTATGCACTTGCACCGCATCGTCCGAGTCCGACTTGGCCGACTTTTGCTGCTGAGGCGAGGAGAGCAGCTCCCCGCAATTGCTCAAGGATGTCGCCAGGCATGATGCGAGGGGAGGCAGCTGTTTGACGGGGATATTTGTCAATCGATGGTTGACTGCATGAAGGGACATTGACAAGGATGCCATTTTGCGCGGGGACGGACAGCGACACAATCCGAGGAATGCGATGTGATGCGATGCGATAACTAAAAAATTGATTATTTTTTGGCGGCAGAAAAACCCGGCGCTTGGACCACATGAAGCCGCGGTACGGTACGTAACCGGGTAACAATACGAGCGTGACGACGTCCCCCTGGCGAAAGACCGAAGATCACCGCCGTCACTTGGAATTAACCTTCCCTCATTATTTTGTCCCCCTCCCAATCTTTTAGTTCTTGTTTCTGTCGGAGCCTCGGGGTGGGCATGTGCTATGGATGCTGTTCCTATGATTGCCCTCCCCTTTTCTCAATCGTCTTTCTTTCATCTCTGACCTCCCCTCAATCATGGCTGTAAGTATCTATCTAGCTACCTAGCTACGTATCCTGGCTGCCTGACCTCCCCTCTTCACCCTGAAATCGTCTCCCCAAGTGACTGACATATTTCTGGGGAACGATAGGATAAGGGGCACCGCTATGTCGCTGCTCTAGACACCGCGCGCTGTCAGAGTAGATGGGATGAACTCCCCGAGCTCATTCGAAAGGTGACCAAGCATGCGCCTCAGAAGTCATGTAATTTCTTGCCTCCCCCGACTTGCGATAATGAACCCCTCGGGCATAACTAAGATCGGTTTTCCCGTCCAGGTCTTTTGGAAGTAGCTTCGGCTGAATACCAGATCGCTGCCGAGTCCCAAAAACGATTGTCAACTGCTCGGCCTTCATCGTCCTCTACCTCAAGCTTGCCCGAATTGATCCCGTCCCTGCTATCCACGGTCGAAAGAGGAAGCGAGTCGAAACAAGACACATTTCAAGCGCAGGTCTGTCTAGGATGGGTACATTGGACACTCAATGAGCCTGGGTTAGCGGCGGCTCGTCTACCACGGAATTTCGAGGAGACTATAAACGACCTTGCGACCGAGGGGCCTATCTCTCCGTGGACCGAGGTTTGTATCGTAAAAGGCTGCTACCTCAAAGGTAAATTCTATTGTCGTACAAGACGTCAGACAATACTGACTCCGCGTCTCTGCTAGGTGCTGCTCAGCACATGGTTTCTAGTGCCATTGAGGCTATCGACACCTTCAATTCACTCGTACCCTGGTTAACAAGCCACGGCGAAGCGTCTTCAAACAACCCTCAGTTCCTACACTGGTCTGAAAAGCTACTAGGCGAAGGCGCATTCCTTGCTAGCGAAGAAGCAATCAAACAAGTCCCAGTCCTTGATGGTGGGTTGGCGAAAACTGCCTTGAAACTATGCAGGCAATGGTCTTCCCACCCCCTCGTCAAGCAGGGGATCCCATCCCCTGTTCAGCATTATGACGGCGACCGCGAGTCAATCTCAAAGGCGGCAATTTGGAAGTCTTATTACGGCCTTCTATCCGCTATCTTGATCCATGAACTGGAATATTACCCTCCGGCGAATGGGCCAGACCGCCCGCAGCTCTCTAGTGAGTTACGACGTGTGGAATCACTCTGTGAGAGCAATCTCCTGCGAGAAGCCAAATTTCCCACGGCCGACTCTCAGAATACCCAGGTTGAAGATTGGGTTGAGCAAGTGATCCAAAATTGGGAAATTCTTTGTGGGTCGGGCTGGACGGACGATGATCTCGGCGAAGGAGGTCAAAATGCAGTTGGCCGGAACGTTCTCGACGTATGTACCAACACGCGCAATCGGATGGCAAACGTGCTAATATCGACTTGACAGATTCTTTACCGCGCAGCTACCAAGACATACCATTCCCACCTAATTCTCCGTCGTCTCTTCCACGTTCACTGTGCACTGGCCGACTTTGACCTCGCTTTGAAAGCTCTTGATTCCTATGTTGAGATCGTCACGAACGCCAAGGAAAGGGCCGAGAAGGCTGCGCAATATGGCGATTTAGAGAATGATGGAACTTTGCTCAGAACCGTCTCCGAGGGCATTTCGATGCTTTGCTGCTTCGGTTCGGCAAAGGAGGCCGAAAAAGCGAAGGACTTGACCTCTCTTCTGGCAAAGTTTGTCGAAAGACATGTACAAGAGGACCTGGATGATGACCAAGAGGAGGGAAGGATCACCATCATCCCGGAATCGAGCTCAACTAAATCCCAAGCTGTGTCACCATCTGACATTGCTACGGCGTACAGAGGCATTGGCATTGGGCTGGCAAACTGGGCCCACTGGACTCCTATAAACGAGGATCGGAATGACATACGAGCCGAAGCCATTGATTATCTGGAGAAGAGCATTGCTCCCGAGCTGGAGGAAGAAACCAACTTTTCTTCACTTTATTCGCTTGCGCTTCTTCTAGCAGAAGATCGGGACTTGGACGGTGCAATCGAATACGTCAAGACTGCTCTAACTTCAAATACCCAGCCGGGTGCTAATCAAGGCAATTTCTCTCGAGAACGCGATCTTGTACCCATGTGGCATCTTCTTGCATTGCTCTTAAGCGCAAAACACGACTTCGACATCGCAGAGCGATCCTGTGAAGCTGCATTCGAACAGTTCCCATCTGCTGTCACGTCTCTTGCGCACAGCGATCGACGACCGCAAAAGCAACAGAGCAATTTTAGAGAGCGCCCCGGCTCTCCTGGGTTGGACCATGCCCTGATTGATCAGCTACGGGGCCGCGAAAAAGAACGCATTATCGAGACCCGCATGAGCCAGCTTGCATTCATTGAGCTTCTCGAGGGCCCAGAAGCTGCAGTCAATCATAGTGACCAGCTACTGGGCCTCTTTGCCACCCTCTTTGGTAACTTGAACCTCGAAGCCGACGAAAAGAAGACTGCATCGGTCGATCACCTCACGCCGCCCAAAAGCTCCGCGGGCACTGTGAAAAGCCTTCGCGGAAGCATTTTTGGCCGGAATAGGGGATCTCGAATCGGAACCGAGCACGCAAGCGATATTCAGTCGGGCAGTGTTAATACGTCGACGGCCCAGAATGAGTCCTCTATCAACATGGACGGGGGACCCTTCATACATGTCACGGATGAGGATAGGCAGGTGGTTCAAGGAGCCCCTGCACCTGTCGCACGATCCGATTCCAAGAAGCTACGAAAGCGTAGCAGTACTCTCAGGCAATCTGAAGTTCTCCCAAATCAACAAGCGGGTCAGATGAACGGCGAGTTGAATGCTGCCAACCCCACAGAAGTCAACAGTTCCCCAGGAGCACAGCAATCGTCCGATGACGGGGGCCTGTCCCAAGACATGGTAGGACTCGCAGTCTCGAGTGCCGAAAAGGAGCAAAGCGTGCAAAATTCAAAACAGCCATTGCGCCCTGCTGCACATAATATCAATCACAAGAAGTACCCTTATCCGATAGGCCATGCCCAGCAGCCTCCTGAGCAGGATGTTCGATTACCAACCTCATATGGATTTGATTCACCCACCAGGGCGATCACCAAATTTCCTATAGCCCAGGCCCAAAAACATGCTCTTTGCATTCTAGTCAAAACCTGGCTTCTTATCGCAGGTCTTTATCGACGAGCGTCCTTGTTTGATGATGCTCGCGAGGCGTGTGATGAGGCGGCCAAGCAAGTCACGCGATTCGAAGGTCTTTCTGCGGTGCAGGAATCATCAGCAAGGACTTTCACCGAGCGTGCGTGGGGCTCTCCGAAGAGCTCCGAAGAGCTTTGGGCTGACCTGCTCACCGAACAAGCGCTCTTGTCCAAAGCTCAGTCACGTCCTCATGACGCGATGGACTTGCTTGAAACCGCCTTGTTGCGTGATCCAGATCATCCGAAAGCCACCATTACCCTATCCAATTTCCTGCTCGATATATGGGATCAGAAATTGCCCCTTGAGCCCCCAGAGACAGAGGTCCAGCCGGACTTGTCAACACCGTCCTTAACTTCGGCAACGAAGCAAAGCTCGGGTCCCAAAGAGCAATCGTCGCCGACTACGGATGCCAACGTTTCAAACGGCGACAAGCTGCCATCTGCAATCCATGACGAGGAACCCAGACTACTCAATCGTATTGCGGCCCGAGACAGGGCGTATGGTTTGCTGTCGGCCTTGACCAAACGGGGAAGCTCTTGGGATAATACCGAAGCTTGGTATGCTCTTTCGAAAGCCTTTGAAGCACAAGGACACATTGAAAAATTGAAAGAGGTGCTGTGGTGGTGTATTGAGCTGGAAGACCGACGACCGATTCGGCACTGGTCCAACATCGGTTCTGGTGTATATGTTCTCTAATGAGGAATTATCTTCTCTGTATTTAAATCATTGACAAGAGCTATAATATTTTTGCTTTTCTGGCTTAGAAGCAATATATATGTGGACAAAGACGACGTGCATCGTCTGCTAAAACCAATTCTACGTAGCCAATTCTAGAAACTGACTAGTAATAACTGAACGACCTTGATGAAACCAAATCTCGCAATAGGAAAACTTTATTTACACACGTCCCAGCACAAATCGAACTAGGGGCATTCCTTACGAACTCAAAGGACAGAAAGAACCCGGGGAGAGAACACAGCAACTTTCTTTACTCGGCTATGCTACAGTTACCGGGGAGCGGCAACGGGCTCCCAAGCGGAGTACTTAGGGCGGGTGCTAAAGAAACACATCAGTCAGCATTTGCGATGGTAAGATCACGAATGGGAGCTGACTCACGTCGAGTACGTCTTGAAAGCAGCGCGGCTCAGAGTCAGGTTGGGCCTGTGCTCAGGCAGCTCCCAGTTGCGCAGGCCAGTCTGCATGAGCTTATCGGCAGTAGGGGGAGCATCAACCATGTAAGAAATCCAGGCGTGCCTGAAGAGAATGCGATGATTAGCACTTGCATGAGATCAATGTAACATGAGATGAACACATTTGGGTGTTCTTTACCAGCCAGGCTCGAGCTGCGAAGGGTCATATTCCTTCTCCTTGTAGTCCACCCACCGCGTTCGGACTATCCCCCGGTCAGTACGGTCCCTTAGAACCAATATGAGCACTACTCACGAGGGAGTTCCTCCTCCATGTTCTCGAAATATTTGTTGCCGTAGCGGTCGGTGCCAATCAAGGTACCGGCTTTGGTATCACCTGTAATCGCGACTGGGTTAGTCCCCCGCAACAACCGGTCCGGAACACTGGAACGTACCAATGTACTATTAATTCCAAGCAATTGTCATCTAGAGTAAGCATCTGGCGAATACAGATCGATTGACTGTTCCCATCCGGGTCGATTCCGGGGATAGTGCGTACCTGCATTTGGTGGCCATAATCCTGTGGAGGGGGAACGTTAGCGATGTCTCGCACCAATGTATTTCGGCCAAACCTACCTTGAGGCCAATTCTTCTCAAGTTCCGCAAAGTCCGAACGATGGTCGACATCTTGGGCGATATACAGCAGCGAGCTGGAGCAAGTCGTCGGGCGTGCAGCGGAGATCCGAAGAAGTCGAGGTTGAAGGGAGACTCGATGCGGTCTAGTGCCCACCCCCGTGCTGCTGTTTGTCCTGTTTGCACCAAATTTCTCCGGCCTTCTGGATGGTCAACCTTCACCTCCAATCTACAATTGACATTGACCACCTACTCTCCTCGCAAGATTTATACTAACGTCGGAGTCGCTACGGCACGCGGCTTTTCAGGATGTTTGGACGCATTGGTGGCCAGGCTTTTCGGTGTACCGTGCGCAGGCCCATTGCGCGGAGGAAACTCTGTGAGCGCAAATTCTCGGCGTATACAGCGAGCGCCGCTCCCAGCACCACTGGCGCTTCGACAGTCTCTCCTCTGGGGAGTATTACGGCGGAGCTGGATCGGATTGCGCCATGCTTCGAGGTTCCGGCTTCTAGGATCACCATCCTGGATTCTCCAACCTCTTTCTACAAAACGCTCAAGGTGGGTGTCTTTGATGGGCGAGCCATTGAGAGCGAGCTTTAAAACTGATTCATTCACTTCTAGGATAAAATACTGAAAGCCAAGCGACGCATCTATCTCTCCACATTGTATATAGGCAAGACGGAATATGAACTTATTCAGACCTTGGACCAGGCTCTACGTGACAATCCCGACCTTAAAGTATCCATCCTGACGGACTGCCTGCGAGGCACGCGCGAAACACCCAATCCCTCATGTGCCTCATTGCTTTCTTCGCTGGTCGCGGAATATGGTGCGGACCGAGTAGAAATCCGCATGTTTCATACTCCGAACCTCACAGGCCTGAGGAAAAAATGGATTCCCCGTAGAATCAACGAAGGCTGGGGTCTTCAGCATATGAAGCTGTACGGTATCGACGATGAGATTATTCTTTCGGGGTATGAACATACATACATCTTTCATTTCTAGGACATCTATAGACTAACCTGGGAACGTGCAGAGCGAACCTGTCCAGCGATTATTTCACCAACCGTTTGGATCGGTATCATGTCTTCAAATCGAAAGAGCTCGCCGATTACTATGCTCGCATTCACTACGGAGTCTGCAACCTCAGTTTCCAGGTCTTGCCCGACCCTCACAATCCATCCGGCTACCTTTTGGATTGGCCCATAGCCAACGGTGCCCCTTCTCCTCTCGACAATCCCGAAGACTTTATCAGCTATTCTTCAACAGTCTTGAGTCCGCTCATCCAGCCCTCCAACAAGCTCGCCCTCCAAGAGAAGAAACCGGGCCAAACATTCGTCTACCCCGTGGCCCAGTTCACCTCGTTGATGAAACCGGACACCTCAACCGAGTTTCCCGCCGTCACCACCATCCTGCGATTACTCTCTACCTCCTCCGCTTTCGAAGGGGCCCGCTGGCTTTTCACGGCCGGCTACTTCAACATCCACCCTGTCCTTTCTTCCCTTCTGATCGCAAGCACCTCCACTTCCGAAACCTCGTCGACCACCCGTGGCACCGTTCTGACGGCCTCGCCTTGGGCCAACGGCTTCTATGGCTCCTCCGGCATCTCGGGCATGCTTCCGGCCGCCTACACCCATCTCTCGGCCCGGTTCCTGGACCGAGTCGCCGCGGCGCAGAGGACGAATTCCATCCAGCTCAAAGAATGGCGCCGCGGAACCGTCGGCGAGCCGGACGGCTGGACCTATCACGCCAAGGGGCTGTGGATCACCCTTCCGAAGGAAGAGCATCCGAGTCTCACCTTCGTGGGTAGCAGCAACTACACCAAGCGCAGCTATAGTCTCGACCTGGAGGTCGGCGCCTTAGTCGTCACGGGAGACCAGGAGTTAAAGCGACAACTCGGCGCGGAGACTGAACGGCTGCAGAAGGACTCTCAACCCATTTCCCGCGATGATCTGAGGGATGTGGAACGTCGAGTCAGCTGGAAGGTTCGTCTGTCGATGTGGATTGTTGAGAAGGTGGGAGGCGCTTTCTAGTTTTGTATTTTTTTTTGGGGCCCATCACCGACCGGGTTCGGTTGCGATTTGGACGGCGTGTTTCTTTCTTCGATAGAATCCGTATACCCTTGTACTCTATAATAACTGTATAGTGATTTATATAGACGAGTCATGCCGAGAACGAGTTTCAGTTTTCTGCCTCAAGTATCTTTACTAATTAGTATAATCGGAGACAATTGAATATATCGTCATCTATCTACATCAACGATTCACACCTGAGCTGAAGAAGGACTTTTTTATTGCGCAGGAAATGAAAACATATCATGCACGAGAACATGAATCATGACTCAAAGAGACCGGGACGCCGCTGACCGCACTTTTTTGAAAACCAGAAAATATTAAACAAAGAAAGGTATCATTGCGATTTCGTGGAAGCATGATCATGTTCAGGCCTGACCAGGAACCTTTCCAGACACGCGCGCCGGACCCAAGCCCTGGCGCACCTCGTCGAGCATTCTGATTCCGATGGCCTCGTTGCCGTTCTTGCCTCGCTTGTTCTTAGCACCCTTGCGCTTCGCCTGGGCACTCGTGTTGTTGTCCCAGCCGGCGAGGAAGTCGTCCATGACATCGTTGAACCCACTGCGAGGCGCCACCTCTCTGCCGTTTGCGTCCACTAGGCTGGGGGCTTGCGACGAGGCAGTGGATACGCCGGTCATCCCAGTCATCCCGGTCATACCGGTCATTCCACTGACCATAGAGGCACCATCGTCGAACTCATCCTCTTCGTCTAGCGCGTAGAGCGCTTCGACCCGCTCAAACCGGTCGTCCAAGAGTCGGTGTCCTTCCGTCCGAGCAAGGGCCGAGGAGGACATGGAATACGCGGACGGGTTCGTCATAGCACCCTTACGCTTCTTGCGGCGGATGGGCGTGCCGCCGACGGTGAAGATTGTGGATGCCAGCGTGCTGCGCTGCTCCGAGGGCATGATGCTCGGCGGTGCCGGGGCATCCTTGGTTTTGCCGTCCTTCTTGAACTTGGCAAACTCGCGCATCCAACCCTGATCCTCGGGGTGCATGTCCGGAGCAGGCGCATCGTGCTCGGGCATTTCTCCCGGGGCAGGACCCTGAGCATTCGACTCCGAGTCCATGCCTGCGTGGAAGGCGTCCGACCGATCGGTCTGGACGGGGGCCTTCTCGGTGGCGTCTGATTCCCATCCCTCGTCGTCTTCCTCATCGAAAAGCGTATCCTCCCAGTCACCAGGGTCCATTTCCTCCGCATGCGACGTCAACTGCCCGAACAGATCATCCTCATCTGCATCATCGACGAACTCCTCGTCCTCAAGCGCTTCCAGTGTCTCTCGGAGTCGAGGATCCATGTTGGGTTGGAATCCCGCGATTTCGTCGGGTACATTCTGTTGATCCTGGTATGTCGGTTTGCGCGCATACGACGAAACGGTCGAACGCATCTCGGATCCATAGACGCTACCTCCGCCGAGCTGACTCCTCGAGTCGTCCATCGACATCCCCCGAAGCGCATCCTCCAGCTTTATCTTCCCCTTGCCCTTCTCCTTGGTCTTGGCCTCGACGAAATGCGCATCCCCAGCGCCGGTTCCCAGCTCGCGCAAATGCTGCATGTAATCATATTTGGTGTCATCGTAGTAGATTCCGTAATTGGCGGCTTCACCCTCGTTTTTCCGAACGGCGCCAGAGCCAAATTCCTCGGCCAGATCGTTCAAGTTCCTGGCCGCGTGGGTCGAGGGCTGTGCGCCGGGGGGCGGCCCCTTGACCGCATGGAGCACACGGTCGTCGGCTTCCGGGTCGTGGATTAGCGGGTCATTTTGGGATCGGTGGAAGAGCTGGTATGTGGTTGCGCTTTTCTTGTCGCTGTTCACTCGGGCATCAGTATCTAGAAATCGGATTTCGGTGTGGTTGAATAGACTTACATCCACTGCTTGCGAGGAGGCATTTTGAAAGGATGCGGATAGTACCGCTAGTTCAATCGTCAGAGTTCCTCGTTTGGTATAGCGGAGTTCGCAGGGTCAAAATGTCACGATCTTGAATTCTTTGATGAGGGGAAATTGAAATTGAATAAAAAAAAAGTGGGAGAGCGCACGGGTCACGTGAGCTCTTATCGGCCCAACGAGGATTTTTGCACTGAGGACCCTCAGGACAATGCAACCAGCCCGATGGAAGACGAGCAGAGTATCTGCTATTAGTAGCAATCGGATCGGCCTAGCAAAAGTCCTTTCTCTCTACTGATCCGCATGAACCTCATGAGGGAAAAAAAGAAACCCCCGGACCCGCTGAGTCAGCATCTTTATCTTATCCGCCGCGGGGTCTTCCGAATTGGGCATATCGCAAACCCTTCAAAATTACTAATTCGGACTTTCTTCACTTTTCTTCCTCCCTCCAGTTCCCTTCCCTTTCCCCTCACCCCGCCCTATTTTGCCTTCCCTTTTGATATTCTTTGATTAAGGCCCTCGTCTACATAGTGGACGGAAACCACTCAACTCGACTGACCACACTCTCGCACCCCCCACCGCCACCATGGTTCTCGCCAAATCCAAAAACTCCGTGGGGCTGGGTAACAGCCTCATGAAGGATCGATTTGGCAAAGGAAAGCAGTCCAACATGAAGAAGGCCTCGTACAACCAGTCAATCGCCCGTAAGGATCAGAATGGAGAAACCTACGTCACCAATGCGCCCCAGGAAGCCGCCTGGGTGAAAATGCGCAGTATCACGGAACAGGGCGCACTCGACGAGTTCTTGAGTACGGCCGAGCTGGCCGGCACCGATTTCACCGCGGAGAAGATGAGCAACGTCAAGATCATTCACGGCGACCAGAAGAACCCCTACCTGCTGTCCGCGTCGGAAGAGCGAAGCGCCGTTAAGAAGCACAAGGAGAACAAGAATCGACTGACGGTTCCGAGACGGCCCAAGTGGGATAAGACGACGACGCGGGAGCAGCTCGAGAGCATGGAGAGAGAAAGTTTGTTGAACTGGCGCCGAGGATTGGCCGAATTGCAGGACAACCAGGATCTTTTGATGACCCCGTTCGAGCGTAACCTGGAAGTTTGGCGTCAACTGTGGCGAGTTATCGAACGTTCGGACCTCATAGTGCAGATTGTCGATGCGCGAAACCCGTTGCTCTTCCGCTCTGAGGATCTGGAGAACTATGTCAAGGAGATTGACCCCAAGAAGAGGAATTTGCTGTTGGTCAACAAGGCCGATATGCTGACGGAGAAGCAACGAGAGGCCTGGGCGGACTACTTCGACAAGCACGACATCAGCTTCCGGTTCTTCTCGGCCCACTTGGCCAAGGAGCTCAACGAGGCTCGAGAGGCTCGGCTTTTGCAGGGAGATGTCTCGGACAGCGAGGGCGAGGCAGAAGATCTGGCGGAGGCCGCCAAATCTATGAAGATTCAGGAGGAGCAGGCCGAGGCAACGCCGGAGCATGATGGAGGACTAGAGCTTCCCGGTTCCAGCAATGTGCGGAGAACAGAAATCTTGAACGTGGACGAGCTGGAGGAGCTCTTCCTGTCCAACACGCCTGACACCCTCCCCGACAGTGACAACCCGGACGCGCAGCCCAAGCAAAAGACCACCATCGGTCTGGTGGGTTACCCCAACGTTGGTAAATCCAGTACCATCAACGCCCTCCTGGGAGCCAAGAAGGTGTCGGTTTCCGCCACCCCCGGTAAGACCAAGCACTTCCAGACTCTGTACCTCTCTCCGGAGATCATGCTCTGCGATTGCCCTGGTCTGGTGTTCCCCAACTTCGCCACGACCAAGGCGGAGCTGGTGGTCAACGGCGTGCTTCCCATCGATCAACAACGTGAATTCACTGGACCCTCAGGGCTCGTCGCCCATCGCATCCCGAAGGAGTTCGTTGAAAACGTCTACGGTATCAAGATCCACACCCGGCCTCTCGAGGAAGGCGGCACCGGCGTCCCCACCGCGAACGAGCTGCTTCGTGCCTACGCGCGAGCCCGTGGTTTCGCCACGACAGGTCAAGGCCAGCCCGACGAATCGCGAGCCGCTCGATACGTGCTGAAAGACTACGTCAACGGCAAACTGCTGTTCTGTCACCCGCCGCCCACTCCCGAAGGCCAACCCCCCATCGACTCGCACAAGTTCAACGAGGATCTCTACGATACGGCTCACCTGCCCGCCCGACGACAGGCGATGCTCGCCAAAACCGGCCACGTCGAGCCTACCATTGACGATGATGAGGAAATTCTGGACGAGTCGTCGGCCGCGCCCGTGCCCGAGAAAGGCTTCCGCTCGCGCGACCTCGACACGGGCTTCTTTGGACCCGGCTCCAAGACGTCCGGCGGTCGTCTGACCCTCCCATTCAACCACCAGTACACCGACCAGGGCCAGGAGATGCGCAAGCACCTCACAGGCCGCAAGGAGCGATTGATGGTGGCCCTGGAGCGCGGTGTGGACGTGTCGGAGGTGCGATCAGGCAACTCGAAGAAGCACTTCAAGGGCAACAAGAAACAAGCCAAGAAAAAGCGCAACAACCCCGCCGACGATGATTATTAAATCCGACTCTTGACTCGCGGGCGAGTTTCTTTTTCTTTTTCTTTCTTTCTTTTCGCTTCGTTCTGGTTTCCTTTTCTCTCTAAGTTTTTCCTTGGTTATGATATCTACTACCTAGATATAAGGTATATTTGTGTGGCGGTTTAGTTACCGAGGATGAATTTCTCAAGTTTATGACATGGCAGCGCAACGAGGAAGGGACATGCTATTTCAACACAAAAAAAAAGTACATTGTTTGCGGTTACGGTCATTTCTATCTTTGGTTTTTATTGTTGTTATTTAATTCATGGTTCATGGTTCATGGTCATGGTTTTCTCGAGGGGGTGAAATATCAGGGCCTACTTTGCTTGGTCCATCCCTTCTTATGAATGATATAGATATCTAGCTGTTAGCTTCCCTGATTATTCTACCGGAGTTATAGTTATGCCTAATGCTTCCATATGAAGATGAATCAATGATGGTGCTCTTTTTGTTTTCTTTCGAGTGCGAGGGTCATGTAGATTGTAAAGTCAGTACTATTAATAAGATATGATTGCATGCATGCATGTGTCGTCAATTTGTTTGATGGCTTGTCCGGCTAACTGATACAAACTAGAACTATTTCTTGATTATCATATCTCCTGTCCTTCTTTCACAGATGGCTCTTAGGGTTGGGATTCGCAAGGCTATGCGCCGCCAGCACCCGCTCTCCCTCCTCCCGCTGCCAGTTCAACCGCTCGATGATAGCGTCCTTCCGGGTCCGGTTCTCGCGACGACCCATCTGCTGCAAATGGACCTCATCAGGGCCGTCAGCGATCCGCAGCGTCCGGATCATAGCCCACAGGTTCGCCAGCGGAGTATCCTGACAGACACCGGCGGCGCCGTAGGCCTGCACGGCGCGGTCGATGACGGTCAGCGCGGTCTGGGGCACCAGCACCTTAGCCTGGGCGATCTGCAAGAGGGCCGATTTGGCATCGCCCTCGTCGATCTTGATGGCGGCGTTCAGCACGATGAGGCGCGCCGCGTCGATCTCGATGCGCGACCGCGCCACCCACTCCAGGATGACGCCGTGGGCTGCCAGGTTCTGGCCAAACGTCCGCTTGCGGTCGTCGTTGATGCGCGCGATCAGCCACTCCAGTGCCTTCTCGGCTGCGCCGATCGTGCGCATCGCGTGGTGGATGCGTCCCGGGCCCAGGCGGCCCTGGATGATCTCGAACCCGCGGCCCTCGCCGAGGACCATGTTGGCGACGGGGACGCGCACGTTCGAGAACGAAATGTGGCCGTGGCCGTGCGGTGCGTCGTCGTAGCCATACACGGACAGCATCCGGTGCACCGTGATGCCCGGGGTGTCGGCGGAGACGAGGATCACCGACTGCTGTCGGTAGGGGTCGGGGTTGGAAGGGTCGGATTTGCCCATGACCAGGTAGACGCTGCATCGGGGGTCACCGGCGCCGGAGGACCACCATTTCTGAATGAGATAGGTTGATTAGCGGGAGGAAAGAGGCGAAAGGGAGTTGAAAAAGTGCGAAACTCACCGAACCATTCAGGACGTATTCATTCCCCTCGCGGCGAATGTTCAACTCAATGTTGGTGGCATCGCTAGAAGCGACATCGGGCTCGGTCATGAGGAATGCAGAGCGAATCTTGCCGTCCAGCAACGGAGCCAGCCATTGCTGCTTCTGCGCCTCATTGCCGTACTTGGCCAGCACTTCCATGTTGCCCGTATCGGGGGCGGCATTATTCGTCGCCTAAACCAGGTTACATTGTCAGAAAGACATAGCTCGTAAAAGAGAAGGGAAACCCAAGAAACAACGAACCTCGGACGCCAACTTGCTTTTTCCAAGGTACTCGGCCATCAGACCGTATTCGAGGTTTGTGAACCCAGCGCCCTGAGAGAAATGTTTCTTAGGCAGGAACATGTTCCACAGACCCAGCTGGCGGGCCTTGGTCTTCAGAGTCTCCAGGATGGCGGGGTTTGTCGTCCATCGCTGCTTGCCTTCACCCAGCTGGGCCTGGAAGGTGGGTTCGGCGGGGATACATTCTCTCTCGACGAATTGCTCGACCTGTGGAAAGCGACCGACGAGTTAGATGGAGAGCGATGGGGAATAACCGGGGGGTTGAAGAGGACCATACCAAGTCGAGCGTCTTTTTGGCGCGGTCGCTAACGAAAGGCTGGGCGATGGGGGGGATTCGGGTAGAGGCAGACATGATGTAAAAGAAGATATACTAGAATATTATGGGATTGAAGAGTGATAGGAGATAGTGACAGGAAGTTGGAGGAGAGCGGCGAGGGAGGAATTATAAAGGATGCGGAGAAGTGGAGATGCCGAGGTTGGCCTCGGCAGTCCAACGTTGAAGGAATGGGCTGACCGGATGGATTATTGAACAATGTAATGGCTACGCGGATCCCTGTACAAGCACAAATGACAAGAGTCGGTATTCCATTCGTAATTCCAGTCCCAATTGAGTATCCCAGTCCTTCTATGCAGACACAATAACACACAGCCCGGTGAACCAGAGAAAATAACATAAAAAACAAATAGTGACCCCCAAGAATCCATCCAAACACCAGACCAAAACCCTGAAGAAGGTATGAAACGAAGTAAAAGACACAAGAAGAATAATCAAAGTCCAGAAGCAAAGCAAATATTAGGCCCATCTGCGCCGAGTCTCCATTCAATCATACGACTGGCGCCGTTGCGGGCAGCCACCCTGAATCTCATCCAATTCGTTCCATTCAATAATTTCACGAGCTCGACTCGGTGCTCTTCGGGTGGCCATGCTCTGCTGACGACTGTTCGAAGTTCTTCTTGCCCAGTTTGGCGAAGAGCGACTGGGGCTTTCCGGCACTGTAATCAAGCGCGTTAGTTCTCGAACTGATGAAAGTTGTTGACTAGCACCAAAACAAGACCGAGAACATACTTCTTGAAGCGCTTGCCCTTCAGATCACTCAGCTTCTTCGAGCAGGGGCTCATAATGTCATCCGACGGAGAAACGTAGTTGGCGGGTTGCCTGGGTAGGAGTCAGTCAGGGTCTGGTTTCCAACACATGCCGTCGTATTACTCACTTGTCGCCGCTGTCCAATTTCCCTTGCAGCACTGCACGATGATATTCCATGGAGTTCATGTTGGCCGGGGCGTTCTTGAGCTCTTGGGCCTTGTCGGCGTTGACCAGATGCGTGTTGGTGGAGCGATCGGTGAGGGGATGCGAGGGGGAGTCCATGGCGACGTGGTTATGGAAATTGAGATTTGAGTCTGAATGCTTTCTTTCACTTCTTTTCTTTCTTCTGTTGGTTGATTTGAAGATGGCAGATGAGTGGGGGAGAAAAAAAGTGCTGGCAGAAAGACGAGGGAAGAAAAGTGAGGGAAGAAGAAGGTCGACGGGGCGGCAAAGAATGAAAGTGCGGCCCCAAACGATTGTTGGCCTGGCAACCAACTTTACTCGGCCCTTTCCACCCAACTTTCACTTCGGAACTCTCCCTTTCACCATGACGTTTGTCGGATCTGCATGCCAGGTTTCATTGTCTTCGCCTGTCTCGTGTCTCGGTCGCTGGGGTCACTGCTGCCGCCACCGACTCGCAGGATTCCACGCTCGCGTCATCCGCGAGTTCCTCGTCCCCCGTCAACACCGGCGGACTGCTGTGCGACCGGAATGGCGGTGCCACCTCGGCGTCTATGGCATCTACGGTCGCCCTGTCCACCTCTGCCTCCTCCACCTCCGGGCTGGACGGCTCCGAGGGGGGCGTGGGAGGCGCATAAGCGGCGGTCGGACTGAGAGGCCCGTCCTGCGAATCGTCCGATAGATTTCGTCGATGACCCTGCCCTCGGTGGGACGAGGTCGGTCGAGTCGAGCTGGGACTCATCGACGGGGAGCCAAACAGGGGAGACGAAGATCGGAGGCTGTAGGACCGGGACACCATGTTCTGTACGCTGGGGAGTTCCATGTAGCTACTGACCGCGCCGCGCGAGAAGAGCACCAGCGCGAAGCAAAAGAGGACCATGATGCTCTGGATGACGGAGACTCGCTTCTGGAATACAAGCTCGTCGGCGAGCACGCCCAATTGTGTGCTGATGGAATAGATTTCTTGGTGATATTGAATCCGCTGGTGCTCGAATTCCAGCGCAACGCTCTTCCAGACGTGGTCGTATTGCTCACGGAACTGTTTCAGCTCGTTCAGAACCGTCACGTTCAGATTCTCCAGAAACGTCGAGGTTTTCCCCAATTGCCGCTTCTCGACCTTGCTGAATGCATCACGCAGAATCCGGGACTGCTCTTCGATGTAAAGCAGCGAGAGCGTGGAATTGGACTCCAGCATTTGCAGCCGCTTATTGACCGATTTGAAAAAAGACTCCTGCGTCGTTGGATTTGGCGAGGGAGGCTGAACCGCCGCCGGACGCACCGACTCCGATCCACCACTGGGCTCATCCTTCACTACCGTACCTGTCGCTCGCGGCACCGATTCAGCGGTCGCATTCTGTGCTGCAGGGTCCGGGGACGGTGGTGGCGGAGACGAAGCAGGGGAAGGCACCACGGTCGTTTCCGCAGACGCCGTAGACTTCGCCTCTCCAACGGCTTCCGTTGTAGGGGCATCTGAAGCTGTTACTGGGGGCGCAGGCACCTCTGTGCGGATGATTGGTGCCTCGCTCGTACGCGGGGGGTTCTGGTATGTCGCGGTCACTTCTCCGTCCAGTTCAACCGGGTCAGTTGAGGCGCCCCGCGCACTGCACGTATCTATGGTGCTCCAGGGTGCTGGCAGTAGTTGAACCTCGACCTCTCCGGCCGGATTGAAGCAAACGACTTGGTCTGAGGGTATCGGATCCGGCTCTTCTACCGGGGCAGTCTCGGCTCCCTGCGTGAAAGACTCCGCGCCCTTCTCCGGCTTCACATCATGTTCCACAGGGCTCGGTTCAAGCGTTTCCTCGGAGACGTCATCGTCGACTCTGCTACTCTCACCATCGTGCTTATACTCCTCCATCATCGTAGTGCCATGCACCCGGATCAAACTGAGCGGGCAGTAGAACTCATGGCCGTAGTGAGTCAGGAACTCGATCTTCAAATACCGAGCCCAAATGAGCGGATTCTCTACCGCAAATGCCTGCACCTCCCGAGTATTCCTGGCTTCGTAGATTCCAAGCTCCCTCCATTGATCCAGTTTGGCCGGGTACCGATCGGAGACGCTGACCCGAAAGGTGTGGAAGATGGAGCTGAAAAACTCGTAGTTGGCCAGGACCACCGTGTCCACCAGAATGTCATCGCACAATTCCAAAATCAGGAACTTGTTGTTGGCGCGACACTCATTCAGCATATAGCTGTCTTTGTTCTCGATCAACACCGACGACGAGCCTTTGCACTCGGGGTTCGTCTTGAGAACCGTAGCCGCGCAATCGAACGACGCATAGTTGAACCGCTCCTTGCACGTGGTCCCAGCGTCCTTTCGACGAGCTACACCCGCCGGCGATATGCCATGTGCGAGAGAATCTGCTCGCTCTTGGTCCGTCTTCTCGCGGGCGTCATCGTCGTCATCCGTCTTCCGCGCCTCAGGCGCCCATGACGTCGGTCTCGCAGTTTCGGCCGTGTCTGCGCCGAACCCGCCGAAATCGAGCTCGATCTCACCATCATCCCCGAGCGAGTCCAACGCATTGTTGATCCCCGTGGGCCGGCGGCGGTCTTCCTTACCGGCCGCGCCCGCACGCCTGCTCCCTCCGACATCAGCCGACTGTCCGGCCTTGGCTAGATTCTGCTTTTTCCAGTCCTCGAAGGACAAGAAGTTGGCGTTGTCCAGGAGCGAGTCGGTGTCCAGCTCGTGGTCCTGCCGTTCCGTCGGTGCAGCCGCCGCGGTCTCCGAGATTTTGACTGCGTCGGCGTCGTCGCCCTTGGTCGGCCCCTCAGTAGCGGTGTGGGAGGAGTCTAGTTCTGGCGTCCGTTGCCACCGCGTCTCAACGCAAACAGGCCACTGGATGAACCCGGCCTCGGCCTCTCGCCAGTCGCGTGCCAGGCAGATAGGTGGCGTGTTCTCTCCCACGGCGCCTTGAATCCAGCTCGAGGCCAGTGCGGCCACCGCGACGGAACTGGTGGTCCACGGAGCAACCAACATCATCTGATCCGGTTAAATTTTTTTTGTTGATGTTCGTATCACACCACCGAGATCGAGAGGCACCGAGCCGGCTGGATGGGTGGGCGTCTCGTTGGGGTCACTCGACTAAGTCAGGGAGCGTCGCATATGCATCGTCTTCTGTAGATCACAAGTGAGGTAATTAGCAATCAAGCTCGGGGAAAGGCTAGCCAATCGGTGACCAGAGAGAAAAAGACGCAAACAGAAGGGGGGGGACACTACAGAATTAATGTCGGCAGCCAGTAGGCAATTAATTGTACGCAAGAGGGCGAGGAGCTCAACAGCTCAACAGCTCGCGGGCGTCGGAGATATTGCAGCAACGTTTGGCTTTCGCGAGGAAACCGGCTCGGACCCATAACCAAACTTATCTGTCTTCTCCGCACGGGGAGGGCGCTCACCGCCTGTCCACACCGCCTTGTCTCTACGGAGGACTGTATCTACATCATCACAAATGGGTGCTGAAATCGAGGATACTTGACACACATATACACATACAATGTTGAACAGATGTACGAGTCACTTTTGCTTTGTTGACTTGAATCCTATCAATAGCCCCGGCCCACTTCTCCCGCTTGATTGTCCCAGCTAATTACAGTACAGAGAAACCAGTCCAGTACACCTGTGTCCTCGGGTAGATCCAAACGAAAGAATGAAGGGGAAAGGAAAACCATTCTCGTAGCTTTTTTGTTGCTTTCTTTCTTGTATTGGTTGTAGTTGATAATTGTTGTGATCGCCTCGCCCGTTGCGCCGCCAGTTCTGCCCCCCGTTCACGTTGAACCTTTTTGCGTCCTGATATAAACGAACATTTTTCAAACTTCCCCAGGATGTCATCTCCTCCAGGCTACCAATTGATATGTCACTTTTGAACTGCTCGTCGCCACCGCGTCCTTGTTCGAAGAGTGCTGAAATAGTATACAAGAGTGGAAGAGGAAACACGAACGTCAAATGTGTAGAAGCCGCGTACAAAGGATCTATCACATGAGAAGAGGTAAAAGAAGAAGCAAAGGTGTTAATGTTGGAATCATAATTTCTGTTAGAAGATAATCGACCGAGCGGAGAATAAAATTGTTGTGTAAGATAATAAAGAGGAAAGGAGAATGAGATAAAAGGAACACGAAGATTTGGAACGGATTGTGTGGTTTTCTCGGCTTTTCTTCCCAAGCGAGTATTATGCGGAACAGCAGGACGAGGACAGGTTCGCAAGTTGGCGAATTAGACGACGCAACTCCGGCCGAAGTTAGAGATGCAGGTCGTGCCAGCCACCAACGAGATCAAGATCTTCGTCGACGCTACCATCGTAGCTATTAAAGGACTTCACATTAGACTTGGGGGACTCCATGGCATCACGCCGCCAGCCCTTCTCCAGGAATGGGCGGCGGCGGCGGCCCTGAATAGGTTGAGCATCCTTCTTGGCCCAAGAGCCGTAGTCAAAGCCCGAAGAACCGAGACCCCAATCCTTGCGGCGGGCCATGTTGGTTTGGAACGACTTCTGCCCAAATGGAACGCTGGGCGATTTGTAGTTCCTTCGCTTATCGCCCAGTGCTGCCCATTTGTCGAGACTGCCCTTCTTGGGGGAGCTGTCCGGTGATTGAGGCGGCGTCGCGAGAGGGGTGACCCCAGGCTTACCGAGCATCGGCTTCTCGTCGAATTCGTCCGAGTCGTGAATTGGCTCTCCGAGGTGTTGAGCGCGAACATTCAGGATAGAGGAGGTGCGAGCATCTCCGAGGCTATGCAGAGGCCCCGACAGCTCGGGAGTGTTGCTTTCGTGACTCCAGCTCCGAGAGTTTTGTTCGCGTCGTGCCTGCAACGCAACGTCTTCGCCCTCGGATTCCTCCTCCTCATCCCACAGATCGCTCCAACTCTTCGAAATCTGGTCTTGCTTGTTCCGGCCAAACACCATGGACAAGGACGGCAGAGGTTTGGTCGCATGACTTGGCAGAGATCCAGTAATCGGGACAGGATCGGATGGCGGGGGGAACCGAGGCTCAGGCTTGTGAATAGCGGTGGAACGGAATGAGTCGCCAAGAGCAGATTCGAGAAGAGACGCCATCGAGGGGGTACCTTGCTGGACGGAGAACCAAGAGGTGCCGGCAGTCTCGGATGGGGGGAAGAGATCTTCCGAATAGCTTTCGTTGTCTGGGATGGCGGAGAGTTGACGGATAGCCTGGGGAGGGCTGGATTGAAGGGCCTTGGCCCACGGGAACGAGTCGCCTTGGTTGATATGGGGGCTCGAGATGGAGGGCGTGCGGAGGGGCTCGCGGTTGGCGCTTGCGGGTACCACTTCGCGGTCGTCGACGCAGAATTCATCCAGTTCATCGTCATCAGTGGTGAAAGAGACGGTGCGTCGGATGGCGTCGCGAACGCCAGCAAGCGAGCGCTTCTCGGGATCAATAGCCAAGGCATATCTCAATATCTCGAAGGTGTCCTGGGACATGTTGGTGAAGATATCGAAGAGAGACTGTCGGTCCCGAACGTAGTCCGCAAATAGCACGTCGGATTCAGTCGGCGTGGCGAACGGGTTGCGTGCGAAGAGAACATTGAGCAGGCAGATGCCGATCGCCCAAATGTCGGCCTTGGCGGGAGAGTAGCCGTTGGAGGCAGGATCATACTGCTCCGGAGCCATGTAGCGATCACTCCCAACGCAGGCCTCGTAGCTCCAGGCATCACGAGTAACCAGGCCCAAGTCACCGAGTTTCATGGACCCATCCTGGGCCAAGAAGATGTTCTCGGGCTTGATATCGCGATGGTACAAGCCATTCGCGTGCATGTATTCGACGGCACTGACGAGCTGCAGCATGAAATCACGCACGTGCTCGGTCTCGAGGGGTCCGCGGTTGAGTCTGATAGCCTCGTACAGGTCCCCGTTGGCGCAATATTCCAGAACAAGATACATGTGTGCATCGGTTTCGAAATAGTGGACAAGGTTGACGATGTTGGGGTGATACCCAAGGCGGCGGTGACTGTTGAGCTCCTCGAAACGAGCGTCGAAGGCAGGCTGGATGACGGCGTCACCCGACGGCTTGAGCATACATTTGATGGCAACATCTTGACCAGTCTGGATATCGGTCGCAAGGAAGACCATCCCAAAGGATCCATGGTTCAACGGGGCAACCGTGCGAAATCGACCATCCAAAAGCTGGCCCTTGATGAAAGTGTTCTTGAGGCAATCCATTGCGTGTGAAGGTATTCAAATGAGGAAGACGAGTCCGCGATTCCAACGAGACGTTGACCTCCGAGAGAAACCAAGAAGAGAAGAATAATGAAATGCAAGTGAGGAGAGCAGAAAAGAAATGAAAACAAAGCAGTAGACTGTTGGCTCAAAGTCTCATATAAATATCGAAAGTGAGGATATGATCACAAAAGAAAGTCAAAAAAAGAGTAGGCACGAAGCGCAGTTCAGGAACCGGCGAGGGTTGACAACACTAGGAAATTTGAAAGGACTGTTATAGGTTCATCGGTATATCGTCTTGCAAGAGTTGAGGGCAAAAGCCAAATGCTGACAAGTTATGAAAACTGAAAGAGTGTGTCGAAGAGAAAGACAGTGTCCGGCGAGAGGGACACGGAAGGGAACAAATCGAAGAGACGGAAAAACGCTGCGTAATATCGTAATTTTTTATGCTGGATGTATAAACAAGGCTCGTGAAAGGGAAAATATAAAACGGCCTTCGAACACCAGGTTGAAGGACCGAAGTTGTCGTGACTCAGGAAAGGAATCGAGGTTGAGCTATGACGACAGAGTCATAGGTTTGCCTGAGACAACAAAACCCAAGGCGGGAGGGAAGGCGGAGGTGATATATAAACAATGCTGAGGCTCTGGACAGCTGGTACCAGGCGTCTTCAGCCCTGATGCTTGGGCAGGTTGAAGATCCGAATACCAGCACCCGGCCCAGGGAGAGGCGAAGGAGGTTGACAACTAAGCAAGCGTCGAACTCCGGAGCAAATCGAGATCCTCACACGTAGTATCAATGGGCGATTGAAACGTAGCAGAACTTCGGAGGATGAATGGCAGAGAGACGAAGCGTCGTGGGTCCGCAGTGACTTTAAGAGAGGTAATTGGCTTGATATGAGTCACGGTAGGTGTTCGAAGGTCCCGGAACAAGGCAGCGGACGAGAGGCGAGTGAAACGATTATTGAAAATGGGGGTTTTCTTTTTTTTTTTTTCCTAGTTTAATTTTCCACAATGAAACCGAGGACAAGCTGATTCTGAACTAAATCAAGGCCTTGTATAGGTATTGTCTCGCTGTTGACAGAAAGTTGAGGGCGAAGTTGAGATGAGTCTGATAAAGCCCGAGAGCGCTTTAGATGGAGAGTTGACGAGAGGCGACGGGAGGCGAGAGGAAGGGAAGTGGGAAGGAGGAAGAAGGTAGGAGTGATGAAGTCGGTGAAGATGGGAGATGGGACGAGGAGATGGGAGAGATGATGATGATGATGATGATGATGAGAGGAAGGGGAAGGAAGTAGGTAGGTAGGGAAGGGACGGGATGGGGATGGGATGGGACGGGGAGCGCGGATAAGTTGGCAGGCGATAGGGATAAGGAGGTCCGGATGATAGCAGGTCGGACTGGCAGGTCGTCGTTGATAGGTAATAATGGAGTCGGTTGAGGGGCGAAAGGGTCGAATGAAAGGCGAGACGGCAGTCGGAACTTTGGATGGGGGGGGGGAGGGAGTGGAGAAACCAGTCACTGCGGCGAAGGCGAGAAGATGGGCGAACGAGCGAGAAGCGTCGCAGCTCGGCTTTTCCATGGAGTGACCACCTTGGCCCAAAAGGTGGGTGCCCCGCCGGCCAATGACGCCAGACGGTTACCGTACCTCGTGGATTACGGGTACAATACGTGCGATCTCCGGTCGGCCCACCAACTGTCCGAATCCGGCTTAGGGTCGTAGGGGACCTTCTCGACCTGCATCCATCGACCCCCCCTGAATGATTCATCTGTTGCGCTGCCAGCGAAACGATCGGCCCTCGTCATGAGTTTCTCTACCTACTTCGTAAAAACTCAGAGAATTTACTGAGTATTCGGTGGAAATGAAAATGAGAGAAAAATAAAAGAAAAACATAATCATCAGGTACATACGTCGTAAGTATCGCCCAACCTCTCCCTCGGTGGTGATCAGAAAGCAATTACATAATGCTCAGGCTGAGTTCAGTTCGGAGAAGGCACGCACTTCCGACCTGGGAACGGTTTCAGTACCTCGCTGTACAGCCATTACGACATCTTTCGCTCTTACGATTCATAATCCACCGACGAGTCATCCGCGGTGGTAGCTGTCATGCCGTGGCTGGAATCTAGAATTCTCATTCCGTTCACTAATTACCTCATACGCCATGATTAATTGCGCAACCGGCAGGCTGGCAGGCTGGCAGGTAAGAAAGTATGCTACGCAGAGCAAACAATTGCCCCGGGGATCTGTCGTGATAGGGAAGACCGGCATACAGGACTGGAGGACCATGTGTTCCAGGTACTACTCCAAACCACAAAGTTTAGTATCAGATAGTCACTTGGGGCTACTTATCTGCTCACTTCCCCCCTAAGATTATAGTTGCGACATAGTTTAACTTTTCGGAGACAGGAATCAACATCGATCATCACGACTTACGGGGTACTAGGCACGCTACATGGAGTAATAGACATACTTAGTAGGTACTCTGTAAAGGTTTTGTTTTGATTATTTAAATTTTGGCCTTGAGTAGAGTTACTGAGTGCTGAGTACTCGTAAGGCAGGGAGACCTGGCTGCCCAGGCAAGCATCCCGGAATGTAACTGGGGGTCAACTAAAGGAAAGGTTCCTGCAGGTCCGGACAAGGGTCTCGGCGGGAAAGCACCTTTTCGTCACCCCAAGTCCAGAGAACATAACACTCGTAATAATACTAATGCACCAGTTGCACAACTACGAGAAACCCCCGTCGAGGATCAACCGCCGGGCGCCCCCTCCCCCTACAGCGTAGAAGGGACTAGACCGGATTCATCCTGGCGGACCCCACCTAGGCAGCCGGACAGGTGATGACTGATGCTTCCATTTTCATCGGGTCTAGTCCCCCTCCGGTCGATGGCGGAGCATTGGGTGGCGGAAGGCGCTACTCCCATTCCGGCTGAGTGCGCTGGCACTAGGCCCCGAGAGGCCAATCAGGGGGGGACGAGTTGGTACTATTTCCAGGCTGCATGACGCCAGCACCCAAGTTGGAGGTGTCGTGGCCAATAATTGCACCATTCGTTGGGGAAATTCGAAGAATAGAAATAAAAAATAAAAATAATTCCCGGGGCAGCCAGGATGATCATTCCGGATTTAGGGGCGTATGGGGAAGATGAGGTGGTCGCAGATTAATTTTGAGACGATGACGGTGCAACTTAGTATTATGTGTACACTTAAGATGTTACAGATTGGTCGATTATCATTATCAGCGCTGTAGCAAGCGCCGTTGGTGATTGACTACTCCGGTGTACTTTGGACGGCGCAGTCACAGTACCTCTTCCGTTACGGCGTACCGCTATCTATCCTATCTCTTATCAGGAGCGATCAGGTGAATCGTCCCGAATCAATTTCTGCTGGGGTTCCAGTCCATATTTTGAGACCGGCCTGGTAGAGTTTACATTCTCGTGGTTCAAGTCCCGCCAGTCCCAGGGAAACCCCATGAGAGAGAGGCAAACAACTCAACAACGGCTTTGTGTGGCACAGCTTGCGTGATCAACATTCAATCCCTTATCGCGCGGCAGAGAGACTGCGGGGATTTTCCCTCTCGTTGAAGAGTGATGATCGTATGTCAAGGCGGGGGAGAGGAGGAGGGGAGAGATAACCATATGATGTTATGGAGTTATGAAGCGGCCTGGAAACAATCAATAATGCCCGTCCATCAAGCGCCCCTCCCCCTGGTTGGCGCTTGGAGTTTGGACCGGGTGTGTTAGATGCGTTCCCGTGTAGACACTACACTAGGCAGGTAGAAACCCCCGTGGCTGGTATGTCTCCGGTATGCATGTAGGCGGGTGGTTACCCAAGGTACCTGCCTGACCATAGAGGCATGTATGGGCACCGAGGTATCTGGAGGTTGGCGGTGAAGGACCACAGCTTGACCGCCTCCCGGGGTGTTGCCTGCAAGGTTTGTCCTTGCAGGCCGGCGTTGCGTGTCTCTCCTGCGCCTGCTGCCGAAGAAGGGAATTAATCCTCTTGATTTTTTTTTTTAATTTATTTATTTATCTTTTATTTACTGGTTTCATTTCGTTTCAATCTTACTCCGTACTCAGTATCCATCTAACTTATTTTCTTGCTCATTTTTGGGCTCAGCATCTCGTTGACATTGATTCTTATTCGATCACAAAAGGTTCGAATTTGACAGCGTGGAATGGGGGCCATTCAGCGGGAGCATGAACTGTCGAGACTGGGAGCACCCTACTTGTTACTCGGATAGGCAGGAGGTCGGGGCACATCCACGAGCTGGAAAGTTTAGATTGGAGAGGACGAGGGTTTACTGAGTAAGTACGGAGTAGTAAAGGCAGTGTTTATTGACACTTTACGAGGCCGCTCGATAATCATTTGATGAGATGAACGCGGGCATCACGCGATCCCTGGAAGCTCCCACCACCTCGAGAAGAGCTCTTCTGAGCCACCTATGAGCATCCTCGTGAATGTTCATGGGGAGGTGACAGCTGACTCTGGATTCGTTCGTCCTCCTCCTTCCATGGCTTTCCATGCCATTCTGTAGCACGGCCCTCGCGGTCCTTGGAGAGGCTGGCCACATCATGATGATAACAATCAGCCATGCCGATGACGATGATTGGGTTTCGTTTTAATAAGGGGAATAAGGGGCAGATAACTACCTTTTCTACGCTGGCTACCCATCCCTGGAAAGTCCCCGGGAAGTCCTGATTACAGGAGGTGCCAGGGTCCTGGTCATGGCCCCCCTTTTCTGGGGTAACTAGGTAACTATCGAGAATGTGGCGATGATCGTGGATCGATTTCCCAATCCTGTCGTTTGTTGATCTTATCGCTATCAGCAACGGCCTCCTGAATGAGGAGTGGTGTCCAGCCCTTTGAAGGAGTGCATATCACAACTCCGGGGTCCGGATAGAAATCGCATCATCATGTACGGATGTACACTTGCATACTGATATCTAAGAGGTGATACATCGCAACGGGCAAACAATATGTAGTTACCCCGCACGGTGGGAATTCCCCGACTCGGGGCTTTCCCAAAAGGAGGATCTTCCCTGTTCCCCGGATTGGCAAGCACATGACTGGTCCTTTGGTTTGTTTGTTTGGTTCTTATGTCAATCGTCCTGTGTACAGAGTACTGTTGATGCCATCAATCTCTCCATGTCTTTCAGTCCCACTCCCTGGGTTTGCCCCCAGATACGGATGCTGAATATCCAAACTCCCACTTCTCCACCTCGGGAATCGATCGACAACGGACGTCAGACATATCCCATCTCCAACAGAAAATCGCGCATATCATATGTATGTCCTGAGTACAGTATGCACTCGGTGCAGGGTGTACTGCCGCAGTATGCCTCCTTGCATCCATCGGACGGATCGCATTGGAGTCGTTGAGGGGTTTCTGAACTCTGAAGACTTCAGACGTGACCCTAACGCGCACAGCGTTTGGTCGAGGGAGATCGCTGCGTTCCACCTGTGCGACCACCCGCCTGGAGGGAAGGGGTTCGTCCTGGAGAAGACTCGGTGCTTATCTCGGCACCGAGAATTGGAGTCGGACTGGATCTGACGAGGACCATGTTTCACATCAAGCACCGGTCTGTGCAGCCCAGTCTGCATGCGAAACAAGATCGAGCATGTTCTGCTATCCCGTGCACCCGTATGCATCGCGCTTTCCATGGTCCTCCTGCACTGATTTTCAATATTTATGTCGACCGGATCATGCACGGGGGCGATATGGTGCACAAACAAGATATTTACACTTCTACTCTTCAAAAGTCAAACTTTCCAGCAGATCCCCCTCCCCACCGCAGCCCTATGCTACTGGCCTCAGGCAGCCTCACAGCTTCGCCTTACTGTCTGCTGCAAGCTGCACCAGCGCCCCATCCGAACGAACCACATAGTGTCTGCCTTCCTCCCACCCCAACCAGGCCTGCAGCGTCTCTTGCCCACCGGTTCCCGGAGCCAGTCCACCTCCGGACCAGGCCCCGTCGTCCGCGGCAATAGGCAAGGCCGGGGTCTCAGTCAGATGGACCGCCGACCGTTGCTCGTACCCGCTCTCTTCGAGCTCACTCTGTTCCAATACCGGTGTCGCGCAGGCATCGGTACCGTCGAAAATGGCCTCCCACTCCGCGCGGGTCTTCTCTCGAAACCGTTGGCCAAACGCCGCTCGCAGGACTGGCCAATTGGTGCGGTCGTCTCGCGATGGCAGTTCTTTGGGGCTGAACCCGAGGCCCTTCAGAAGCGCCGCGTAGAACTGAGGTTCCAACGCCCCCACGGCAAAATACTTGCCCGGATCTTTGGTCTCGTAGGTGTCGTAGAACGGACTCCCCCCGTCCAGCATGTTCTGGCCGCGGGGCTGATTCCATAGTGGCGTGTGGCGGTTCAATCGCGGCATCGCAGCCAGATACGCCGACCCATCTACCATGTTCGCCTCGACGACCTGGCCGCGTCCCGTGTGGGAGCGTGCCAACAAAGCCAACAAGATTCCCTGAAAGCACATGGCGCCTCCGCCGGCAAAATCGCCCAGGATGTTCCCCGGAGCGTACGGGGCCTCGCCCAAGCGACCCAGCATGGAGAGGACGCCGGACACGGCAATATAGTTGATATCATGACCAGCCATGTCCTTATACTTGCCATCGCGGCGGAACCCCGTCATCCGCGCCACAATCAGACGAGGATTATGCTTGAGGAGAACCTCGGAGGGTGAAAGGCCCAGACGTTCCAAGACCCCCGGACGGTAGGGGTCGATGAGAACGTCTGCCTTGGCCAGAATGGACAGCAGAGCACGGTGTGAAGCCGAGTCGCGTAGGTCCAGCGTGACGGATGTTTTGTGTCGGGTTAACTGGTCAGCGCTCACGGCATTGGGCCGATCGATGCGCAGAACCGACGCTCCGTAGTCGGCCAGCAGAAGGCCTGCGAATGGGCCTGGATGGTCATTAGCTTGCATGTATGGAAGCCAGTCCGTCGGATTTACGGAGTAGATGAGGACGAACCCGGAGCAAGACCTGCCAATTCTACGACACGAACTCCGGCGAGCGGAGGTGATGATTGTGATGATGCAGACATTATGATGTTGGTGCTTTCGTATACAGGGGGTAGACCTGGGTTCCCATACAGTTGGAAGGAACTGTTAAGATATATTTCTATCTTCCTCTCGTCCTCCAGATGGCCCGCCAGCCGAGGTCCGGGGCACGTGCGGGGAAGGCTTAGTCAGGAACGCATAAATCTGTGGTTATTCAATTGATAATTCCATGCCCAAAGATTTTAGTTATAGAGATGCAGATGCCCAGGCGCAATTTACCAATCTTCATCTCTACCCTCGGCCTCACCCGCGTCGTAAGCATCCCCGAGGTCGTCGCCAAACGCCTCAACCTCGCCGACCTTCTCCCCCGTCCAGTGCGCCGCGTTCTCAGGGAAGTCCTCCACATCCTCGACTGCATTATCCCATCCATTCTCGATGCGGTCCTCGGTGCGGTCCCAGCCGTCTTCGATTCGATCGGGGATCTGCTCGACTTCGCCGACCTAGATATTAAACGAGATGGGTTAAAATGCATTGATTCTATGCTTCGCGCTCCCCTCACGCAGCGATCAACACACAGGGAGATTGCTTACCTTTTCACCAGTCCAGTGGGCCGCATTCTCGGGGAAATCTTCCACCCCTTGTTCGAACTTCTCCTTGTTTTCGTCCCAGTTGTCATCTGTCGTCCCTCCCGGAGGGTAAATAGTCAGCTGAACCTGTCCGAATAGCCAACTATCACTCGCGGATAGGCAAAAACAAAATATGATAAATGATCGACATTAGAAGGGGGGTCATCACGTACGGATCTTCTCTCCCTCGTGCATCAACAGCGCACCACCCGCAACTCCGACTGCCGCGCCCGCCGCACCATACATCAACCCGTGATTACTACTCTTCTCGGGCTGCTGCTGCTGCTGTTGGGGATAGTACTCTCCGCCCCGAGATCCAGATCCCTCATACCCGTACCCGGGCTGGCCACCATACGAGGGCTGACCGTACCCGCCATATGACGGCTGCTGGCCATATCCGCCGTACGAAGGCTGACCCCCATACGACTGCGGCGGCGGGGGCGCACCGCCCGGGTGATGCCAGGTTCGTTCGCCGGTCTGCTCGTTGACGTAGAAGTAGCGGCCGCTCTGGTCGTCCCAGCGGGCGATCCACGGGTACGGCAGGTCGTGCGAGGCACCGGGCAGAGGACCGGAGGGAGGAGGCGCGGAATATCCACCGCCGTAGGATGGTTGCTGCTGCTGCTGCTCGGGATATCCTCCGTATCCACCGCCGCCGCTGCCGCCGCTGCTTTCACCGCTCTTGGATTCGAGCACTTTTCCGACGAGTTTGCCGACGAGGTCCATGGTGGGTGTGGATTTCTGTTTGTGTGCTTGTGGGTGTGGTGAGCCTGGGGAATCAAAGAACGGAGGGAAAGATAAAGAAAAAGATGATGATGATGATGAAAAAAAGGAGAACTAGTTCAGAAGGAAGGAGACGGAACAAAGAAAGGGGAAAGCTAATATACTTTATAGGTGATGAAAGAATGTCGGAAGGGGAAAAAAAAGTGGCGCGAGGGGGGGGGCTTTGCAAAATCAATCAAACAAGACCCTCGTTTCTGCTATCTAAAATAGCTTGACTGGCCCCTCCTTTGGGGCAGTCGAGATCTGGCATTACCTCATTGGGTCATTTAGTTTGTTCCAGAATCATCGTTTGAAAGCTTTTGGGGTTAGATTGCAGGCTAGTGTGTGTCTGTTTCCAACGCCAGTTGCGACCAGAGCCTCTATATTTATTTTCCAGTAATGACTGTGGGGTCTAACTGGAGGGGACACTGCCACATGTCTTTGGACTTGCCTTACTGTTAGGCCCAACGGACTCCTGAATCTGCCATTTTGCCTACAGGTATACGGTATACTGAATGATCAGAATTGTTGGGTTGGCTCGGTCGGCACGTGCCGCCTTGGCCCGAAGCTTAACTTGTGACTTAACCATATAAATTTATAGACAAAGATGGATTGCATTCACGCAGTCTCATCATCCAGACTCGTCTTAGAATATCCGCCAGGAAGGTATGAAGTGCCACATACATAGAAATTAGAAGAAGAGAAGAAAAATCAAATGTAAGAATTCAAAGAATGGAACAATGAAGTGTAGCGGAATAAATATCGAAAACATTTCTCCGTAAAAGGATGTCACATCATCATGAGCACGGGCAGAGCCACAGCTAGCAAGGCGCCGGCTGCGTGGCTGAGTCTAGCCTGGCGCGGTGCTGCGCCGGTGAACACGGGCGCCGGATGCTCGACCGTTGTACTCGGAGCTACCGGCACCCGCGATTCACTGGGCGAGGGCCGCACAAACAAAGTCGATGACGAAGGGCGAGGATGGGCGATTCCAGTTCCAAGGACAGGGCGCTGGGTGGGCACAGGACGAAGATAATGAGTATAAGTGGTGTCCGCGTTAGAAGGCGTGCCGGCGCCCCCTTCTGGACCAATGCCGACCGATGGGCCAGATCCGGGTACGGTCTCGGTCACCGCACTGACGGGCATGGTAAGAGTCAACGTGGTAGGCGACGGTCCGCATCGAGTGCACACCGTTACCGTTGTGGTCCATCCCGCCGGTGGAGGGGGAGCAGCAGCAGCAGGAGCGGTAGTCTGCGACTCGAGGGCAGACGGACGGTTGGTCACGGTGGCAGTGACTGGCAAGGTGAGAGTCACCGTCGTAGGGGTTGCCGCGCATTGCGTGCAAACGGTCACCGTCGTCGTCCATCCCTCGGGCGGGCTGGGAGCTGTCGTCTGTGCCGCCGATCCCGGGGGAGGATTGGTAACCGTGGCCGTGGCGGGGATCGTTCCAGGACAGTACGTCGTCGTGTAGGTCGTGGTAATCGTGGTGAACCCTGTCGGGCAGATGCTGGTATACGAAGTGACAATTACGGTCGTGACGGTGACGCCCTCGGAACTGGAGCCATTGGGGTTAGCTGGAGCCGTCGTCGTCTGGGGCCCATTCGTGACGCCAGGGGGCATCGTGATAGTGCCGCTTCCATGATTGGATGCAGTGCCGGTGGGCGACCCCGTTGGCTTGCCGGTCTCATTTGAAGACGAAGCGGTGGCTCCCTGCGATGGAATAGTATATGATTGGCCGCTGCTGCTAGGGTGGTTCCCTGAGGGGCTCAAAGTGGTGGCCTCGGAGGTGTGCGAGATGGTAGACGACACTTGGGAGGTCCAAGTCGTCGAGCTGGGTCGTCCCGAACTGATATGCGAGCCGGAAGAGACACGAGTACTGGAGGCACTCGCACTGGTTGATGGGCTCGGGTGGCGCGACGTGGGCGTTCTAGATGGCACCGAGCTGCTAGAATGACTGGTGATGGTCGAGACTGTTGACGTTCGTATCACCGGGGTGGACCTGGTTCGAGACGTGACCGGCGAGGTCGATGGGCTGGGTCTTCCGGAAGTGACCGGGGACCTCGAGGGAGTAAGCGTGCTGGTCACCTTCGTAGTGGCCGACGGACTGGGATGAGAGCTTGGGCGGCTGGTATGCGACGGCGATGTGGTGGCAATAGATGAGGAAGTTGGTGACACAGTGACTGGAGTAGACGTTGTCCCCGAGGAGATAGGCATGCTGGACGTGACCGGGATGGTGCTGGAAGGGATCGCAGTGGGAGTAGGGTGCGCGGGATCGCGTTTGACCAGGATGTCCTTCATATGCTCCGCATAGGCAGTTCCGTTGATCTGGTTTCGCTCCGATGCAGTGGCCTCCCAAAGCATGATGCCACCGAAGGTATCCGGGTAACGACCCATATACTGTGCAACCAGAACGTCGACCTCTTCGGGAGTGAGATAGTATCCCGGATTGGCAGCGTTCTCGCTTGCCGGAAGTCCAATATACAACTTCGCCGCGCGATTGCCCCCGTTCTCAATGACGTTGACCCATGCATCATAGTTGAAGCCACCATTGCCGCTTCCGGCAACGTTGAAAAAGTCCCGGGCAGAGCATCCTGCGGTGTTGTAGAACTGGACCCAGACAAAGTCAAAGACAGACGCGGCGATTGCGAGGCCCAATTGTTGGTCGGGGATTGAGCACTGGGGTGCGCCAGAGATGTAGAAGGTACGGTCAGGGACCAGACCGAAGTGTTCCCGGAATCGATCGATCATGGTGGCATAGCCTGCGGCAAATCAGAAACACGCCCTGGCCTTGTATAGACGACGGCGTCAAAGTAAAGAACTTACCAAAGCCACCGTTGTGCTCAATATCAAAGTCAAACCCATCAACAACAACATCACCGAAAGGGCGAGGACCATCCATGGCCACCCACGCATCGTCGATAGGTCCGAAAGCTCCCCAAAGAAAGTCGGTAAATAGAAGCGCATCCATTTCAGACAAGATCCTTTGGCTGTCAGGACTTGCGCCCCCTAACGACAGCAGAACTTTCTTGCCCGCTGCCTGGCAAAGGGGAATGTCCTCTACCAATTGATGGCAGCCAGAAAGAAGCTGCGTTTTGACCCCGCCGATCTCGTAAGTGTTGCCATCGCACTGATTGGCAAAGTTACTGCCAGGCCATCCGCCGGCACCCTGGCCGGGGAATACGTTGATGAAGCCCAGGTTAATGATGTCTATCGAAGTATCTTGACAGACTTCTCTAAGGCGAGGTTGATCATTTCCTTGACCCTGAAAGAAGGTTAACACTTAAACCCAGACACAAGGTGCACAGTTCAGTTTCTGACGCCAGTAAGGGGACCATACGTAATAGACGGCAACGTTAGATTTTGACTGGGCATCAAAAGCAAACGCTGGCGAGGCGAGACATGAGACTGCCACGACCACGGCGAGAGCCTTCTGGGAAACCATGACTCTTCTTTTCTCTTTCAGAAGACCAAGACCGCAAAAGGTAAAAAGAATGTGATTGAGAAAGGGAATGACAAGCGGCCAGAGGCCAATTCAATAGGTATGTCTAGCTAAAGAGAGCGTGTGTGCAAACAAGTCAACGAAAGGACGCAGACAAAAACGCCTGCTTGGACCGTTCCTACGAACAGGAGAACAGGTTGGACAACCGGAGAGAGAGAGAAAAGAGGGACCAAAAAATATCATAGCGAGAAAACCGGCTGGAGTTAAATATACGGACAGCCCGGGGAAAATTGGCAAGCATTCCGGGCATCCAGCGTCTCACCACCACAGAACTGGTACAACCAAGTCTGCCCGCGCACAACTAGGAAATGACAATTGGGGGGCTCAGAGTTTACCGAGTTTAAACAGGATAGCAATCTCTCCATAATTGCAAATACTTGAGACCAACGAGACGCTTGGGGTTAGCGTGCCCTAGGATGAGAGTGATATTAGGGGACCGATTGGTTCAGGGAAATTGCCATCATGGGGGATACCATGGCCGAACGATATCTGTTCGTAAAGAGGGGTCATATCCTGGTATAGAGCCGCACGAGACAGGGACTAGAAAATCTACGCTAGACTTTAGTGACGAGACTTGCATGAGAAAGGTAAGAGGGTTACCACAAGCTAACTGCTCCTGGACCCAGTCCGACGGGGTGTCGGAGGAGGGTCCGGTAACCGGCTCCATCAGGATAGCAATGAATTCCTGATTCTAGCGACTGGTTAGTGGTTACTCCGGAAGGAGACCGTTGAAGGTAAAATGAGCCGAGGACTTGATCGACGGACAGCATCACGGATGGAAATGAAATGCGGGAATACCAGGAGGATGCCATGACGGATGGACGTGGCCACCACATGGTTGGCGGTTGTACGAAGTAGTTAGGGAGAAAGAAAGAAAGAAAGAAAGGAAAAGACTAAAGAGAGAGAAGCAGAAATGCACTAGTCCCATCTTGGCTCTAGTGGCATTTGAACCCAGTCAGGAACACCAATCAGCGAGAACTCCAAAGTACACTAGTCTAAAAGGGGCAGTCGCACAACCAACGGGCGAGTCACCTGATCGACCCGGATCTTCGCCGATCCAAACAGAATGAGAACCATCTTCTCTCCACTCTCCGGTCTACATAGTACATACTAGTCCGGAGTATCCTGGACAGTTCCTACAATTGACCGATCTCAATGAGTCAGTATTTCCAAATGATTTACACGAGGTTACATCGACGCTCACTCCGTGCAAATTTGGAGGACCGCAATCTCCGCTAGCCGCATCAACTGAGCACTGACCCTCTCCGAGGAAAAAGAACCACCGGGGCAGCATTTTTCTTAGAAACCCTCTTACTCTTAGCGCCTCGGACTCCACTGTTCATATGGGAGATGAACCACGGGCCAACGAGATAAGGCTATTAGGCTATGTCGGACGCCACGCTTATGGCAGTCACCAGCCTAGTACTATCTGCCTCTAGTCATCTCTGCGTGGGAATGAGAAAGGTGCCTAGCATGGTGGGAGCCTACCATATAACCCTGTCATATTGGATAAAAAAGCTCCGCTGTATATCCGAGGACCCTCGCTTCGCTGTCCTTTACATTTCGGCACTTCGCACACGAAGTGGGCGCTTTGGGTCCTTTTGTTTTATTCGTCCAGAAAACTCGCCGTACGCCCGGGTTTTAGATGGAGATAGGGAGAGACAAGAAAAACAGGAATCAAATAGTATGGATCTCATGGCGAGCGCTGTGCGTCCTAAGGTTTCCAAATGCCGTCCCGAAGCAAACAAAGGGACGATATCTGCAACATGCAATCTCCCGCCTTTCACAAAATTGAAAGCAGTACCACCTTGTGTGACGGGATGAGGCCGTTAGAGATTGCGAGGGCCTCCCGCGGGTGTTCATCATACGATCTACATACTGCTACGGATCCGAAAGGCTTGGCTACGTTTACCGAAGCCGAATTGAAGTTCAGAGTATTGAGCGAATCCGATGTGCCTGGGGTTTGTCGACCTTTGGCGTGCGATAGGTGCTAAGTCATAGTATCACATTGTACGTGGTGGTTGAGAAAGGCAAGCGACGACAGCTAGCTCGGTCGGCCTGCGATACATCTGGTCCAGATTCAACCGACTACTAACGATCCCATGGGTAACCCTTGAGGCTAGTATTGGTGGAGTGGACATTGGGCCTGACAATTCAACGGGTTTAAGGCAAGCTGATCATCTATGTGAAGAGAAGCCATATACTGTAAGTCTGTTGTAGATCCTGACTACTCATAGTTACATTCATATCTGCAGGACAAGAGCAGCAGGTAAACCGAAAGAGATCTAACAAGCCTGCTATTTATGACTACATACGACTATCTCACTATGCAATTCGCCTATCATGTTTGTTGGAAAGTCTATAAAGGGTCGTATGTTTAAGCATCGACTTTGGTTGCGAAATAGCTACTCAAGTACGAATGCCTGTAAACGGGATAACCTTGTAAACGGCCGATATGGACTGAGATATGGAATGAAGGAACAACTGAGGAGCGAATCTCTAGAGGTATATGTTTCTACTGTGACTTGGTACAGCTTGATCTGAACAAAGTAAAAAATAAAAAAAATCAAGACCAGAACACCTCCTTCAGCAAATCACACATCAATGTGATCGACCTCTTTCCCTCCTTTAGCACCCCATCCATGGCTAGGAATGGGTGCGGCATTCCCTTCATCACTTGCAGATCCACCTGCACGCCAGCCTTTGTCAACTTCTCTGCATATTGCTCCCCTTCCGTTCGGAGAACGTCCAGCTCGCCCACCATTACCAACGCCCTCGGAAGTTGAGACCAGTCCCCCCGGTAAAACAGCGGGCTCGCCTCGGGGTTGGCCCAATCCGCCTCGTCAGGAAGGTAATGGTTGCGATACCAGTACATTTTGGGAGCCGGAAGTGCTGGCGTGCGTTCATACCGCCGGTAGGACTCATTGTTCTCGACCGTCGCTGTGTTATCTGTGACTGGGACAGAGAGTAACTGGGCAAGGAAGTGAACGGGAGGGGACAGTGTGAGCGCCTTGTGCGTGATAATTGAAGCGAGGTTTCCGCCAGCAGAAGAGCCTCCGGTAGCCATCTTGGAGGTGTCGACGGAAAGTCTTGAGGGACCATCGGCTAAGAGCCAGAGCAACGCTTCCCAACAGTCGTGTACGGCAGCTGGCCAACGATTTTCGGGGGCCAGCCTGAGAGAATTAGCCACTGTGACCTATAGGTAATAAAAGTATTTCCAGCGCATAGCTCGCCTACCGATAGTCAACCGTCACGACAACGCAGTTTCCCCGCACGCATAGATTGGTGCATACGGGGTTCTCCGTATTGATGTTCCCCAGGACCCAGCCGCCTCCGTGGAAGTAGAGCATTACCGGCCATCCCGACGCGGGCTTTTCTCCCTTGGGAGTGAACGCTCGCAATAGGATCTCTGGGCCTTCTGTTTCTCGTCGCTGAATGGTGATATCTTCCGTCTTTCCGACGTCGAGCAGCGGGCCACCACCGGGGATCAGGACGCCGCCAGTTCGCGAGGCTTCAACCGGTTGAAGATGAACCTGTTGTAAATTGATGACATGCTGGTTGTAGAAACTCACATACTCCGGGTCCAGAAGGTCTTTCACCGAGTTGTGAAGAGGGTATGGAGGTTGGGGATCGTTGGAGATGGACATGATCTTCTGAGTAACAGGTAATGACACTATTTTGTATACGAGAGAGTCACAGAGAGAGGAAGAGAGAAAAGAGTGGAGGCGAATCGAGTAGAGAGGGGAAAGGATATGGGGCCTTTTTGCCCTCATCCCCTCACTGCGATAGTTACATCGCGAGGGTTCCATTCCGCAAGGGACGAGCAAGGGAACGTGGGGGCATTGTTCTCCAATCTTGATAGAGAGGGCGAAATCCATAGTAAGTCCGTTCAATTAGCGGCCATTGCGAGTCTTCCCATTGGAACGCGGCGGAGACGTGGGGGTGGATCGCGGCGTCGATAAGCCTATACAACAATAACAACGGGTTTCCCCGCAGAGCTTCGTATTTGACGATCTTTTTCGGCAGACATTCTCACCGTTTATTCACTTGTTGCATGTTTCATCGCCCCTGGATGTGACTCTAAGTCTCCACTAGATACCGTCTTTCCTACCTGTAAGGCACAATGACAACGAAAAAGCCTCATTTCTTACCGATAAGGCCTCAGGGCCTCTTTCGGACATGTATTTTTAAGCCATCGTTCTGAATGGCGTGATCAACTCTGTTCGGTTGCAGTCACAATGGACCCAGGTACTGAAAGATCGTTGGAGAATGATATCAACCGACCGCGACCTATACCACGTTGCAGTGCAACTCATGTGAGCACACACACACTATAGTGTCAATGTATCAAGAGCTCTTCGTATTAAGCTGCCGGCAGTAACATCAATGACATCGACAAACTCTGTAAGGTGGATGTATTTTGCTGAGAGTGAACAAATGCTTCAAGGTGAGCTCGGTATAGATGCAGTCCCAGGGAGATGCGAGGCCCTGTCGGATGTAAATAGCTTGTATTTGAAGAAAAGCTCAGAAGGAATAGTGACTATAGATAGATGCGTGGCTGCGAAAATGCTTCCACTGAACACGGATGTGGGAGTCCGATGTATTGGTGCCGTATAGCAGTTGGGACTGAAACCCAAGCCCATGGATTGTAGATAAACCGGTAATGTCATGATTAACTTGTGACACGAGGTCGGCACTTAAGAGAGGTCGATAATACTCTTCGTCCATATAGGCTATCCTATCATTGGTACCGGCATTTGGGAGGAGAATCTGGACCGTTGGCGCGACGCGTTGGATGCCCTTCATGCCAGAAATATGGCGATGATTCAAGCCGAATAAATGTTAGAACGCATGCATAATTGTATCCTTGCAGGAAAGAAAGAGGAAGAAGCAAGAGAGAAAAGTTGACGATGCGTCCAAATGGGCGAGTCCGCTCATCACGTGGAGTTTCCTCTTTTCCCTCTCTTTCACCTTTTCGTCCTTCGTCCTTCGCTGTTCATTCCTTCATCCCCTGTCTTCTCCTTGAGGAACATCCATTGGCATTAAGATGCCCCCTTGATCCCTGCAACATTCGCACCCCATCATTTCTACCAGGAAGTTCGGGTCTCGCTTTGCGACTGGCTTATCACCACGCGGCTTCGCTCTCAATCAAGGGAGAGATTCCCCCAATCCCTTCAAAGGCGCGCGTGTACTGATGGGATAATTCAATTATGAGCGCCCTTCTCTTCCATGAGGTTATACAGATCCAACTTGTGAACCTTAATGGGTAACCAGGGATTTTCACACCAATCTTTAACCCCTTGATACTCAAGTATGTGGGTTTCTTCAGGGTTTTAACCTGCATTCCTGAGAAACGGCGCTCTCAATCCCACACAGACCATCTCTATTGAAGCTTGCTGCTTTTGCACCATGCCTCATGCTTATGCATTCCGGCCCCTCTGCTTCCGCGTTGACGCGCCCAAGGCGCTCAATCACCTAACTCATTTAGTATGGGCCTGCCAATCGTGCTAGACTGATCTCCTTTTATAATAATGCCTGCGTGCTTCTTGAGCTCCCTGAAAAATAATTCTATGCCATTTGGAATCTCAGCTCTTTGCCAACTCAGACTCTCGCATACTCTCTTTCATCTTTGGCCATCCATCTTGTAGTTCCCATCGGTTGCCTACTTTGATACTCTGGTGAATGCTTCACCATTCTTGTTGATGGGAACTGCATCTTAGCTGCTTCGAGCCTTTTCTCTGGAGTCAAAGCATGGCTGGTCGATCGATGTCGCATAAGAAAAGCGGATCATGGACCAAAGTTGTTATTTTCGTCTCCCTATATGTCTTGCTTCTGGAATCACTCATCGAGTGGGCACTGGCGCTATATCTCTACGCCTACCGACATGTTGATTCGAAAATGACCCCGAGTCTTATTCTCGCTCTCGTGGCGGTAGGCGCATCCATGCTCGATGACAAGGTGCACGCTGATCCTGATCCTAATTCTTAGTCGTTTCTCACGGTTCCGCTCGTGGTCCTGCATAGCATTCTCGCTTGGCAATATAACAAGGTTGCCGGGTTTGGAAGCCAAAAGGCCGTTCTCCATAAGGCCTGTATCTATCTACTGCGATTAACAATTATTGTTTGGTTAGCTGCTAGTGTCGCCGGTCTAGTAGTCGTTTCGCAACAGGTCTCATGTCTTCCAGAATCGGCCAGAGACAACTTCTGGAAAGAAGGCGTTAGCTGCGCGCTTCACCGAGCTGTTGTTATAGTCTCTGTCATCGCCTTGTGAGTTCTCTCCCCTATCCACGCTTATCCCAACCATCATTAACTTCAATTAGTATTACTGTGTGTCTTTATTTTTGCTCTAGAGAGCTAAGTGAACGCCCATATGATGTGTCCTTGCTGGGCGTATACAAACATCCACGAGCAATCCGTGATGGCAGCTTCATTTCGAATTCAACAATGCAAAGTGACAGTACATTGAAAAGTGATATTTGCTACGTCTGCCGCCGCCCTGATGCAGCCTATGGAAGTAGGGAGTACCAATACTCTCCAAGCGATACAATGAAGAAGTCCACAATTCTTCAGCATCCCACACCAATTCATCCAAGACCGCACCTCCCACTCGATGTGGACCCTGGGAGTGAGAGCAGCGACATCCTCTCGGGATCAACAATCTCACCCAATGGCACTCTGAGTAGGAGATCACCAGGAGGGAGCACAATCAATGACATGAGCTCTATCTGCCGAACACCCACTGGTGCAACATCAACGGTCATGCATGATCCTTTTTGGCAACCTCCTCCCCTGTTTGAGCTACCTGATGGCGCTGGAAGCTCATCCACCTCTGTTCACAAGAGACAGAAATCGTCTTTATCCTCTATCCGCAAGCTTCTCCCAAAGACCTTTCCGTTATCACTGCCACTATCTGCAGACCCTCAAATACGCGCCCTGGCAGATCCCAATGTCCCACGCGACCTCGAGAAGCAAGTAGAACCCGAGAATGTCAACGATCCGAAAGACGATATTCAACCGCAGCCAGAACCTTCTACCGAGCAGCAACGAACGGAATCACCCCCTTTCGCAAACAATACGGACCCTCCAAGACCGTCGCTTCCACGGTCCATGACAACGAATTCTGCCGAAGCCCCCGAGGCTGTATTACCTGCACCATCTAACGTACACAGATCCAACACCACGCAGACAGGTCCCATTCAAACCGTCTATCAGCGTCAGCCCAAGTTCACCTCGGTCCCTATCAGCCCCCTTACGCTCCACCCTCTGAACAGAGCCCCCAGCCATAGAGCCTCCGTGGTGGAACCAGACAGGATCGTTAACCGCCAAAGCATGCTACACAGCGACAGACGTCGAAGTCATTGTCAGTTCGAGCCTGTTCAGATCCCTCGCTACACCAGGAGTCAGCACCTTCCGCACACTCGATGGTCCAAGCGGAGCCGGCCTGAACCACGGCGCATGTGGTCCCAGTCCCGTCGAAACGACGCCGAAGTCATCTACCCAAGCACGCGGCGATCTCGCAGCAGTACGTGCGGCGGCTTTTCGTCCTCTGGCCATCTAGATTGCATACGAGAAACAGGCAGATCTATGGACGAGCCTCGAGGGGATATATTCTCAGATGACAACACTTACCGAGGTACCTCCCGCACTAGCATGCACAGGTACTAATAACTCAAAAAAGTCTGCAGGTCAGACGTATCTTGTACGGATAGATAATGAGAAAGGGAGGAGCGAAGAGAAGGGAAGAGATGAAAACGCTATTTCAAGTCTGACCTTGGATTAATATTTCTTGATTCTGTTTGGAGCGAGCACCTTTATTCTATGTTCAAATAATGATCTCCTGCGGGATGTGATGGCTATGGCTGATCTGAATAACTAAATGAGATGTATGTGAATTATGTCGATTGGAAGAATGAGTCTCTTGAGCATAATGCTATATGCTACAGTTATATGCTGTCTTTGGACACCCCAAGACGCCAGACGAATCAATCCCACTCACGATCCTGCCATATGCACCAGTAGACTTCATCAGAGCCCACAAATGGGCCTAACTCTTGGGCCCATGGCCCAACCCACTGTGGGCTGATGGCCCAGATTTCAGGCCCAAGCCCAACCATCAGGCCCACGATGGGCCCCCAATGGGCCCCCGCAAAAGCCCAATTTTGCATAAAATCTTGGTCTTGGCGTTCATAAAGCTGCTAAATAATCAAAATAAAATACTGTTTTTTACATCTGTTCCAGTTTGTCGACTGAACTTCTTTGTAACCTTGCCTAAAGCAGTAGGAAATTCTAGGAAATCCTCTTCGAATTAAAGAAAGTAAAGCTTATTTTAAGCTATTTACTTATAAAAATCCTATATTCCGATTGTTATAATGGTGTACGGGTGGTTCGTGGATGGAGTTAATGTAAACTTGTCTAGATATATATTTCAAATATAAAAGGGTGTGTGTATCTTCTTGACAAGAGAAAAAGTAAAAAAGAAGTTACTTCTGCTTATTCTGATTTGTTTATTCTCTACACGAAATGAAAGCTCATTTTCTCTATTTTAGAATTCTAATCATAAACGACAGTATAAAGAAGTGAATTTGAAGGAATTTAGCTCTTTGTATCAGTATTCTATCTATATATCTGACCGGATGAAAATATTTTGAGGGTATCTAAAACCAAGTTGGGCTGGGAATGGGCTATCAGTGGGCTGTTCGTGGGCTTTCGTGGGCTTTCGTGGGCTTTCGTGGGCTTTCGTGGGCTTTCGTGGGCTTTCGTGGGCTTTCGTGGGCTTTCGTGGGCTTTCGTGGGCTATTCGTGGGCTTTCGTGGGCTATTCGTGGGCTTTCGTGGGCTTTCGTGGGCTCTTTGTGGGGTTTCCTGGGCTATTCATGGGCCCTGATGGGCTTTGTTGGGCCTCGTTGGGCCTCGTTGGGCCAAATACACTTCACTTGTGATATGTAGGCTTGTTTGTGTGACTTACTATCAACAGCTAAGTAAATCAAATTATTAGAAATCCTTCTTCTAGTCATGTATCTATCTCCTTTACCCTTCTTTTTTTCTTTATTTATGTGTTGTATACTTACTTTATCATGTCCCAAAGCCAGCAATCTGACTTTGCATCATCTCTTTATGATGCAGAGATAGATAATCTAACGTTTCTGACTTCTTCAAATTACGCAGCTACTCCATCTGGCAGCCAGCATCCATTTGATGCCCTTGATCCTTCGGCGTCTTCATTTATTCGACCAGCTATTCCTCTTACAATTCCATCCTCTCTTGAACGCGTCGGGCCTGATCGAAGAAAGGCATATGTGCTTTACAACGAAATGACTCATAGTGAATGGGTAGACTGGTGGTTACAAACTGATTATGGGTCTAAAAGTAAGATACATTGGGACTCAAACCATCTTTCAGATATTTGGAAGCAATATGATCAGGTCGCTTCTAGTATAGACGGCGCCCCAAAGGTCATGTGTAAACGCTGCAGCCAAATCCTTGAACATCCTTACTCTACGAAAAAGGACATTAAAGGGAAGGAAGGGCGTCATGGCTTATCAACAATGACAAGGCACCTAAAGACCGCTGCGTGCCAACGGTTTGAGAACAGACAGAAGGATGAAATCATAAAATTCCTACAAAAAAGGGTATATCTAATATTCTATTATTATACTTCTTTAACTAATAGTTAATTATTCTACTAGGAATCTGCTCCGACTGACGTTCCTTTCTCACAACCAGCCTGGGAGGAAAAGATTTTATCATTTCTTACAATTAATCGGCTTCCCTTTTATCTAATCGAGCATCCAACATTTATAAGCTTGATTAAGATGGCCCACAATGCACCCAATATGCCACAAATCCCATCTGCAATGACGATCCGTCGTCGGCTAGAAGTGCTAGTCAAAGACCGGCAACAAAGGGTCCTTAGGATGCTTCCTTCAGGTTCAAAGATATCAATTGCGCTTGACAGTTGGACATCTCCATTTTCCCAGACATTTCTAGCTATAACTGGCTACTTTATTGATGCTGATTGGGTATATCGGGAAGTACTTCTTGGCTTTAAACCTCTTCATGGAGCACATACTGGTTTAAACATGAGCAGTGTTGTTCTTGAAACACTGAATAGTCATCAAATTCAAGATCAGGTCTTTGGATTAACCAGTGATAATGCATCAAATAACAAAACACTGGCTGATTCCCTCCAGCAGGCTTTATCTAATGATGTTAATATTATCCGAACTCCTTGTCTTGCTCATGTTATCCAACTTAGCCTGAACCAGCTTCTTGACCGTCTCAGAGCAGTTCCACAAAACAATACTACAGAAACAAAGTGGACTGATCGGCTGTCATCTTCAACCAAGGCAAATACACAGCACCAGAAGCATGAGGTCTCTTATACCTTGAACAAGGTCCGCTCTCTGGCAATTTATATCCACGGAAGCCCTTCACGCCGGGAGGCATTCAACAGTCTCCAAACAGACGGTCTCAAGCTTTCACCAATCCAAGATGTAAGAACTCGATGGAATTCAACCTTTCTCATGCTCCGTCGCGCGAAACGACTCCGCGATATCTTTACACAATTTTGTGCGGACTATGATTGCGAAGAGATGGTACCAAATAATGAGGAGTGGCGCCAAATCGACTATCTTCTCTATATTACTGAGCCGTTCTTTCTCTATACAACTGAGCTATCAAAGACTCGAGAGATTACAATACACCTCGTCTTCAAGATCTATAATGCGCTCTTTGAGCATCTTGAAAAACTAATGAAGCAGCTCCAGCGGAAGTGTGTTCCATGGAAAAAACAGATGCTTGATTCTCTTGAAGCTGGTCGATCAAAGCTTGATGAGTACTACTCGCAGACAGATAGAGTTAAACCACATATCTATGCGATTAACACAATGCTTGCCCCTGATAACAAGTTCCAATTCTTCCTATCTAATGACTGGAATAAACAATGGCGTGAACTTTACCGGATATCTTTTCAAGAAGCTCTGATTCCTTATCAAGAACGTCTCTCTACTATTCAAGGCTCTGCTACTCCCCTTACCACAGCCAGACCAAGCTCAAGGCTTAAAAAGATGTTGAATGAGCACAAACCACAGCCAAAGCCAGTGAGGGATGAAATGACTCAATATCTTAATAGTGGTATGTTAAACACGTTATTTTTCTTAATCATATACTAATATCCTTGAAGACACTATTGATATGGAGCCCCTTCAATTCTGGAGAGATAATGAATATCGATTTCCAGCTATTGCAGCCCTTGCACGGGATATTCTCTCTATTCCAGCAACAGGTGCTGGTGTTGAACGACTTTTCAATACTGCTCGAGATATCTATCATTACCGCCGCGGTCGGATGAAGTCTGAGACAATTGAGGAGATTATGATGTTTCTTTGTACATCAAGATTTGATCTCGAAGACCAAGAGGCAGAATTTCTCAAGAAATTCTTCTCTATCTACGAGATCGAGGCAGCAAAGGAAGAGAAGGATGAGAATTTAGAGGAGGTTGAGATAGAGCCGATTAGTGACACTGAGGAGCAAGAAGATGAAGAAGTAGCAGTGATACAGAGCCATACAGAGCCTGAGTTACCAGAGAATATCACACAAACACGAGCTTCAGGAAGATTCAGAAAGAGGAAGAATAGGGAGGATGATGAGTTTGAGTATCATTAATATATTGAATTACTGCTTTTTAAATAGTATCTTAATAACTAATCTCTGCACGCTGACCGCTTCAGCAAGTAAGAATATAAGATATAACCAGGCGAAGTAGACATTACAACGAGTCAATGATTGCTTTTCAAGAGAAATAATGTAAGAGAAATACTCAATATTACAGCTAAAAAATGCATAAATTATGCAGTCATGAGATCGGAGCATGTTTGCACTGTTTAGCCTAGTTTGGGGGCCCATTTGGGCCCCATCTAATGGCCGTGGGCCCCTGGGCTCAGCCCATAGCCCATTATGGGCCCTAAAACCTGGCCCAAAGCCCAGCCCATTTGTGGGCTGGGTTGGGTTGGGCTTGGGCTTTCGTGGGCTCTGATGAAGTCTATGCACCAGTACAAACAGAATAGAACCCCCCAACCCAGAATGAATAATCAGAAAGATGACCCGTCCCCAAAATAAGAAAAAGAACACCGGAAACAACCGAAACTAAAAGTCGAGCACGAAGCAGAGAAGATCCGATCATACTTTCTTCGCACTGCCACTCTTCTGCGCATATTTATACTTATAGCCCTGCTTGCGTCGACCCTGTTCATCGAGTGGCGGCTCCTTGGGTTCCTTGACTTCCTTCTCGCCCCAAGACCACATTAGAGCTCGGCTCATTCGCTCTCGTTCCTTGAGTAGGAGATCCACACGGCGCTCCCATTCCTTTTCGCGCTTCTCGACAGATCGCGCAATACGTTGATCCACCGCCGCGGCTGTTTCGTCTTTGACGGCGATGACGGACTCGAGGCGTTCGATCTCGGCGCGCAGAGATTGCAGGTCTTTGCCTTGGTTGGAGCGAGAGGTGCGCAGGGACTGGAGATCAGCCTGGAGGTTGGATTCCCGCTTCTCGGCGGCCGAGAGAAGGTCTCGCAGTTTGCGGGTGGAGTCGGCATGGGATGTGCGGAGGGTGGAGATGGCGGTGGCATGGGCCGTTTGGAGACTTTGCAGCTGCGCCTGGTGAGTCTCCTCGAGCGCAGATTCTTTTTGCCGTTGGACTGGAGGCGATGGAGGAGGACTGGGTTGCTGCTTTTTCTTTTCCTCCTGGAGACGCTGGATGGTGCCCAGTGCCTCAGAGTGTGCATCCTTGACTTGGGCCAGTTCGCGATTGGCCTTGTCGAGGTTGGCCTTCAGGTCTTCGGCACGTCGGCTGAGACGGGTGTTTTCGCTCTCGATGGAGTTGATAAGAGTGTGCGCTTCGGTGGTTTGCTCTTGAGATCGCGTTGCTTGCATTTCCATGGCCTTCCGAACAGATGAGGCATCCTTCAACTCGGCGTGGAGTTTGGTAATTTCCTCACGGAGCAGCTCCAGTTCTGGATCGACCGGACCTTTCTCTTTCATGAGGACATCGGCAGGGCGTGTCGTGGTGGGTTGGCCCAGATCTTTGATCAGCTCCAATATCTCAGTGTAGGTGTTTCCACCCGTCTCGACGGGGAGGTCCGCGGCCATGGCCTTGAGAGCATTCTCTTGAGCCGTCATCTGCGACTGTGCGCGGGACAGGTCGGCTTCAAGGGTACTGTTCTTCTCTTCCAAAGGGCGATTCTTGGTCTCCAACGAAGAGATCCGGTCCTCAAGTGTGTGGTATGCTTGATTCGCGCGCTCCAGGTCGGTCTCGAGCCTCTCGATCTCTAGTACCTGGTCGTCGATTTGCGCCCGCAGCCCATCAACCATGGTATTGTTCTCGCGCAGTTGTTGCTCCTTTACGGTGGTGAGTTCTTGCAGTTTCTCCAAGGTTTCGTCCAGAGCGGAATCCCGTTTCTTCACTTGCTCCTGAGTCATGGTTAACTGCTGGCGCAGGTGCGTGATCGTCTCCAGCCTCTCGCTCTCCAACTCGGTAGAGGAATTGCGATTTTGCATTTCCTTATGCATGTCCCCAATTTGTTTCTGCAGGGCGCTGAGCTCTGACGAGCTGATGGACGACCTTTGTAGAAATGATTCTCTCTCGTCATTTTGCTTCTGTAGCAGTTGAATCTGTTCGCGTAGTAGCGTCTCGTCGCCACGCTTAGCATGCAACTCGTCTAGCAGGCTCGTCTTTCGTTGAAGTTCCGCCTGCAGATGTTTGATCTGTTCTCCAGCCGAAGCGGCTTCCAGGACCCGCCGATGGTTTCTCTCCAATTGCTCATCCCGGTCTCGAACCGCCCGTTGTAGATCGGCAATCCGTCGACGCAAATCCCCATCGGTATCCTTCCCTTCTTTAAGCGATGGGGTCCGTTGTTTCCGAACCGACGGAGTCGCCGCCGTCCCTAGGTCGTCATCCGGGTTTTCTTCGATATTCGCGAGATGCGTCACATCTTTAGCTAAACCACTGGGCCGGCGGAGTAAATGGGACGGGGTGGACATGTCGACAGGGGGGCCGAATTCGCTGTACTCGCCCAGCTCCGGTTCATCTTCGATCGCCGGTTGATGGAGTTGGGAGCTCTGCTGCTGCTGTTCTTCGTGTGCGTGCGTTTCGTCCTGTGGCTGGGTCGGAGGCTGGGTCTGTTGTTTCACTTCTTCCGCTGGTGCAAACTGTTCCACCTCCTGCTCCTCCCGGTCCTTCTGCGGTTCTGAAAACTGATTCTTCTCCACTTCTTTATGCTCAAATATGTCCGTGTCGTCTTCCCCCATGAGATATCTCTCCAGGTTCGCGGTAAAGTCCTCCGGTCCGGCGACGTCCGACAATCGATCCTCTTCATGCGGCAATCGGGGTTCATCTGGGAGATCCTCATCGAAATCCTGCTGACCACTGGGAAATTGACTGAAATCCACCGTGTACTCCGCCAGACGGGCTTCTAGTTCTCTCAGCGCGCGGTCGGGGGAAGACGCTCTCGACGACCCCGGCGAAGGGCGGTTCCGCAACCGCGACTTGTCGGCGGGATGTTCGGACGCGGGAGTTTGAGATCGCTCGGGAGAGCCTAGCAGGTCGTGATTTGGGCCCGGAGGAGATGATGGCATGAAAAGGGGGGTGGCCAGCGTGGACGCGCCGATTGTGTCGTGCGAGGTGGTATCGGCCATGGTGATTGGGGGGGGGGGTTCCTTGGCTAGATCTTTATTGTATAGGTAGGTTGGATCGCGCTCTAACGCCCGGAGCGAAGGGATCAAAAGTTCATGGATTGGAAACGCCCGAGTCGCTCAGGCGCATGGGCTGGACTGATCAAGACGGAGTGGAGGGAAGTTCCACACGCGATGCGCAGAGACGAGATGTGGACGCCGGATGTTTCAGGCCACAAGGCACCTTGTTTACGGGGATCCCGATCTGGCTTAGTGCGATTGATTTGTATCTTACATGTATTGTCATAACATACGTATGGTACCCTGGATTGTATTGCGGATACTAAGAATACCTACCTAGGTACCTTACCTGTATGTACTCTTACTCTCTCTCTCTCTCTCTCTCTCTCTCTCTCTCTCTCTCTCTCTCTCTCTCACTTGGAAAGGTCATGCGAAGATATCTACATGAGATCATAGAGAGCCTGGACTGAATTAGCATCCATGTCATCCGCAGTGGAATTGCTCTGTACCCATATGAAACAGGCAGAGCCTATGCAAGGGTTAGAATATTGCACCTCAACTTCCATGTCAGAAGCCGGAACTGGATCCGATCAGCATCGAGGAGTCTCGAAGATGGCCCGAGTTAGCCTCGAGCATTTCGATGTTGGACAGGGTCCCGCCATTGGGCGCTCTGCTGTGGGAGCAAGATGTTTATAAACCAAGGCTTTTCCTTTCGAACCAAAAATTAGCAAGCACTTGTGGATCAAATCCAGGCACATCGCATTGGGGTCTATCAGAACAACTCGCCGCAAAGATGATTTCACTGAGACCATATGGGATACCTATACTGCGGGAAATGGCACCCTTGACTGGCCGTCCCCTTCATCGACCCTCGGAGATGTCTCGCCAAGTTTCTGCTTCCTACAGGCAAGGCTTAATGCCCCAACAGAGATTGTTCCATAAACCCTCATTTGTTGGAGACAGCCCCCGACAATGCCCAAATTTCGATCTCCAGGACAAAGTTTATGTTATCACGGGAGGCGGGAGGGGGCTAGGTTTGACAATGGCAAAAGCCATTGCGCAAAGAGGCGCCAAAGGTTTGATGGACCCAAGAAGGAGCATTGTCTAAGCAAATCCTGACATATGAGTGTCATAGTGCATTGTTTCGACAGACTGGTTCACCCCGACCCGGAATTCTCAGTATTACAACGAGAGGCTGAGGGTGCCCGAGGCTCGCTCCATTACCATCATGTCGACGTTCGGAGTCGTCGGGTACTTGACCAGATCATTGCAGATTTCGTATCCAAGAGCGGACGTATAGACGGTCTCGTAGCAGCATCTGGGGTGCAACGGGCCAAGGCAGCAATCGACTATACGTCACAGGAAGTATCCGAACTTTTGCATATCAACTACACCGGAGCTTTCATGCCCGCCAACGCAGTTGCCCGGCAGATGATACGCCATCGACAGGGCGGGTCAATTGTATTGGTCGCAAGTATGTCCGGATTAATTGCCAACAAAGGATTAAATTGCGCCGTGTATAACTCCTCCAAAGTCGCAGTCATTCAGCTGGCTCGAAATTTGGCTATAGAATGGGGTCGATCTGGGATTCGCGTCAATGCCCTATGTCCCGGACACATCATCACGCCCATGGTGCAACAGAACCTGGCCGAAGTACCGGGGCTGAAGCAGATTTGGGAGCACGAGAATATGCTGGGTCGATTGGCTGCTCCGGAGGAATTTGCAGGAGCGATTGTGTTTCTGCTCTCCGAAGCCAGTAGTTTCATGACGGGGACCAGCGTTGTTATCGACGGGGGACACACGGCGTGGTAGGAAAAGAGAGAGAGAGAGAGAGAGAGAGAGAGAGAGAGAAGAACAGGGGAAAAAGGGATGAGTCAGCCACCCTCAAGGACTCCTGTTAATTGCGCCTTCTGTTTCTAACTCTCTCGTCAACTTCCGTCGTGGTCCCTTCTTCTTTCCCTCGTCTGATTTGGAATGGTTCTTTCCTGGTTTCTAGGACTTCATGGACATAGTCCATCTACTATATAGCATGCTAGACCGAGACTCGCCGTCGGTGGGGCTCAGCTATCGACCGTCATCGACCTCCACTGTCTTTTACCACCCCGCAATTTCTCTCACTTGAACTTTCTAATTTTTACACCTTCATTCATTACTTCTGACAATGCCTCCGGTTCGTCCTCGCGCCGACCGATGCCGGGTGGTGTGTTATCACCAGACCATTTGCCCCGACGGTCAGTATGTCTCGATGCTGCCGCTGATACAGAATAACACGGGCGTTACACATGTCATCCTCGCAGCCTTCCATCTGAATGCTGATCCCAACCATATCACCTTGAATAACGATCCGCCTAGCCATAGTATGTACGATACACTGTGGACCGAAGTGCCGGTGATGAAGCAGAGCGGTGTCCGGATCATGGGGATGCTGGGCGGCGCGGCGCAGGGTTCGTTTCGCAGCTTGGACGGAGACCTGGAGTCATTCAACCGCTATTACCAACCGCTACTGGCGGTCATCCGACAGTTCCAGCTGGACGGCATGGACTTGGACGTGGAAGAAGAGATGTCGCTGACGGGAATCATTCGGCTGATCGACCGGCTCAAAGCCGATCTAGGAGACGACTTCATCGTGACGTTAGCCCCGGTCGCAGCCGCGCTGTTGGGTAGAGGAAACCTGTCGGGCTTCGATTACGCCGCCCTGGAGCAGCTGCGGGCATCCAAGATCAGTTGGTACAACGCGCAGTTTTACAACGGATGGGGTCCTGCCGATGATCCACGCATGTATGTGGCCATCATCCAACGGGGCTGGTCGCCGCAACGGGTGGTCTACGGCTTGTTGACGAATCCCGGCAACGGATCCCAAGGTTTCGTGCCCTTGGAGACGATGGGACCTATACTGGGCCGCCTGGTCGAAAAATATCCAAACTTCGGCGGCGTTATGGGCTGGGAGTACTTCAATTCCAACCCGGGAGGACGCGAGAAGCCCTGGCAATGGGCGGCGGTTATGTCGCTAAGCATGCACATGAAAGACCTGTTGCGCGCGTGGAAGAACTAGAGCAGTTATTTTTAGACTGCATTACTATATTTATATAAAGAGTAGATGAACATGTGTGTAACTAGCAGTCACTAGAAATTCCAAACGAACGGTACTTTCTCTCGTGACAGCGATGTCGTCATAGCTCCGGCCGGCTTCCTCATTCTCGCGGTTCCTGCGCGTCTTCTCCGTCTCTCCGTCACCGCCAGAACCCCCGACTAGAACACAACAATCGACCGGAAGTAATACAGAGTCGAAATGTTTTGATTGAGTATCTCCTTACCTCTTATCAATACCCCCTGAAGCGAGAATGGCATCCCTACCGCGCGTTGCCGCTGCCACCAGCTCGGTAATCCTGAGACTGGCGGCCTTCATCTTTCTACGCTGGGTGCGTTGCGTCTTTCCCCTCTTTTCAGGAACGATTAGAACTCATGCCGAGTCGATCTGCAGATCCCTGGTCATCATTTCCCCCGCATAGTCCTGACTGCACTTGCGGTGTACGTCACGTCGCTACTGTCGCTTGCATTGGCCACCGATCGACCCAAGGCATCTACATCCAAGTCTAGTGAGTGAATAATCATCTTGCAGTTTCCCCTCAGTGCTGGCGATGAAATGCTTATGGAGGAAATCTATTGCAGAGAATGCTCAGCCACCTTCACAGGGCAGCGTGCTTAAGACGCTATTGACGGGCCTGCCATCCGCCACCTCCCGGCGCGCGACACGATTGACCGTACTGATCAACCTCGCCCTCACGCTGCTCACCCTCGATTTCTTATTCCACGGGTTAATCCTCTATCCTGGTGATGATGTGGTACTTTCACGAATTGGCTACGTGTCTCCGACAACCGCCAGTCTTCTGGTTCGAGAGCCTGATGTCGCCCAGTTGCCTCTAGTGGTACACTACCAGGAAGCGGACATCCAATCTGCGCCGTGGGTGGAAGAAGGCATTATCTATTCGCTGGACGAATCGACAGACTTCACGGCTTCTGTGACTTTGCGGGGCTTGAAGCCATCGTCCCGCTACCGGTATTCGCTGTCCAACAACCACACTGGATCGTTTGTGACCGCACCTCTCCCCGGATCGAAATCGGCCAACCGGCTGTCTTTCTTGACGTCCAGCTGCATGAAGTCGAACTTCCCCTACAATCCCTTGTCCCATCCATTGCGCATTCCGGGGATTGAGAAGATGACGGAAACCATCCGCCAGTTGCCGGCTTTGCTGCGACCGTCCTTCATGCTGTTCCTCGGCGACTTCATATACGTCGATGTGCCCCAGCGCTTCGGCTCGTCGGTCTCTCACTATCGCAGCGAATACCGACGCGTTTACAAGTCGCCTTCGTGGTCGACTCCTGACGATGCCCCTGCCATCGACCTCCCCTGGATTCACACCCTGGACGATCACGAGATCGCCAACGACTGGTCAAAGGGCAACGCTACCGCGCCGTATCCCGCCGCGGCCGACCCCTACATCCACTACCATGTCAGTGTTAACCCTCCCATCCCTCCGAACCCATTCGCTACCCCAGAAAACACCACGTATTTCTCCTTCATCCATGGTCCAGCCTCGTTCTTCATGCTGGACACTCGCACCTATCGTTCGGAGCCCGCGAAGCCCAACTCTACCATCCTAGGCTCGGCCCAGTTGCAATCTCTCCTGGCCTACCTCGCTCGTCCTGAACCGGCCGAAGTCCGCTGGAAGGTCATCGCCTCCAGTGTTCCATTCACGAAGAACTGGCACATCGGTACCACCGACACCTGGGGCGGGTTCCTGGATGAGCGCCGCACCGTATTTGAAGCCATGTGGCGCGCCGAGCGCGAGCTCGGCGTCCGTATCGTCCTGCTGAGCGGCGACCGGCACGAATTTGGAGCCACGCGGTTCCCCGATCCCACGCTGGACTGGACCCCCGATGAGCTGCATCCCAACACGGCCGGCGAGGGCTTACATGAATTCAGCGTCGGCCCGCTCAGCATGTTCTATCTGCCCATTCGAACGTATCGCCAGACCGACACTGAGGATGTCACCGTCAAGTACCTTCCTGACGGCAACGTCAAGTACGGGTTGATTGATATTGACATCCAAGATGAGACGGTGCAGACTTCCCGGGGCACGTCTATCAAAATCCCTAGCTCCGTCCTAACTTACTCGCTGTACATCGACGACAACGTCGTCTGGAAATACTCTCTCAGCGTGCCATTGCCAGGGTACGAAGCTCGAGTGGCAGCCGCGGCGTCGGGGAAACACCCCCGTCTTCTTCCGGGCAAGGTCGTAGAGGATAAATCGGAAACAGGCTTTGGACATATTTTTGTCAAGACTACGGTCGGCCGCATCGAAGCGGTTGTCGGGCAATTTCAACGCCAGATCATGGAGGCGCTCTATCGCTTGATGGACCGAGTGAAGAAGACGGAGAGGCTAAGCTAGATTGCATCAATGCTTTATGGGCGGAGTCAAAATTGGTACGTAAGATGGTGTGTACTACGTGAGTAAATAAACATAAACAGCGTTGGTTTAGCATTCTTAATTTCATGAATTATCCAATTATTCTTCCTGAGTAGACTGCCATAGAATAGACAATCCATCCTTTCGTTCTGTTGTCCGTTCATGATACAATCCATTCCCCTGGGCAAACATGCAGGAAGAGAGGAAAAGAGAGAAAAATAGGATAGAGAAAGAGGAAAATAGTCACAGAGGTGTAAAAAAGTATGTATAATATCTCAAATTGCATGAACAAGAACAGATCAATGCACACACCCAACGCCAATCCAGATGCTAGAAGAGAGAAACCGTGGTCCATGAAACGGCATCATCAAATAAGACAGAGCATAGAAGGTAGTACGTAAGTAACGGCATCGGAGAAAAGACAAAAGAAGAACGAGAAGTCAAGAAGATCATCGACCTCTGCCGCGACCTCCACCACCGCCTCCCATGCCTCCCATCAGTCCGCTCATTTGGCTCATCATTCCTTGAAGATCCATGCCGCCCATACCAGGCATTCCACCACCGCCTCCGCCACCTTGTCCCTGAAGCATCTGCATCATCTTGGCCATATCGCCCATGCCCGGCATCCCGGGAAAGCCGCCACCGCCGGCGCCGCCGGCTCCGCCCATGGCGGCCATACGTTTCTGCATGGCAGCCAGCTGTTGCTCCTTGTTGCCGCCTTTGAGCATGTTCTGGGCACGCTGCATCTGCTTCTTTTGACCGCCGACGCGCTTCGCCATCCCGGCCATCATGCGGTGCTGCGAGAGGAGGTCCTCGACTTCGCGCACAGAGGTGCCGCTACCGCAGGCGATACGCACCATGCGGCTAGGCTTTTCCACAAAGACCTTGCCGTCGCCGTCCAGTTCCTTCGTGGTCATGCTGTCAAAGATGTAGATCATACGTCGGAGTTTGAGCGAACCGTCTTCGTCATCCAGGCCCGCGGTGAGGTTGGACAAGCCGGGAATCATGCCGGAGAGCTTGGACAGGGGACCCATCTTCATGATAGACGTGATGTTCTCGCGGAAATCGCGAAGCGTGTAGATACCCTCGGAGATGTGCTTGTAAGTCTCCTTAGCGGAGGCCGAGTCCTTGGTGACGGCCTGCACGTGCTCAACCAGTCCGGCCATGTCACCCATGCCCAGGAGCTTCTGAATGAAAGCCTTAGGCTCGAACCGTTCCAAATCCATCAAGTGTTCACCTGTACCGAGGTAGATGATGGGCGTGTTCGTGGCGGCGACGGCGGAGATGGCACCACCTCCGGCAGCGTGACCATCCGTCTTGGTGATGATGATGGCTCCAAAATCCGCGGTCGCCTTGAAGGCGGCCGACTGGGCCTCGGCGGCTTGACCGATCGTGCTGTCGAGAACCAGGATGGTCTGGTCCGGGGTCACGGCGGTCTGAATCTGGGTCATTTCGGTGAACAATTCCTCTTCCTGCTTGTGACGACCACTGGTATCGACGATGATAACCTCGAAGCGCTCCTTCTTGAATTTGGTGACACCCTCGGCCGCCACCACGGCGGGGTCGGTCTGGGTGAGACTTCCGTAGTAGGGGATCTTGGCCTTGGTGGCATTCTGCTTCAGCTGATCAAAAGCACCCGCTCGGAAGGTGTCGGCGCAGACCAGGGCGGTCTTGAATCCTCGCATTTGGTAGTGACGGGCCAATTTAGTACAGGTAGTGGTCTTGCCCGCACCCTGCAAACCCACGAACATGATCACGTTGGACCGACCCTTCTTGGGGCGGAACGGCTCCGCGTGCGGATCAACCAGGGCGACCAGCTCATCGAAGACGGCTTTCTGGATCAGGCGTTTCTTATTAACTGCGGAGGGCAACGACGAGAAGTCCACGCTGGACTTGATCGATTTCCGGAGGTTTTTGACCAGGCGAACGTTAACATCGGCTGAGAGAAGAGCCGAGCAGATCTCCTTGAGCATGTCATCGAAAGCCTATGCCAGTCTGTTAGAATACGGATATAGGTATATATCGCATGAGCGAAGAAGGCACACACCTTCTCATCAAGATTGTTGGACCTGGTCAAATCATTGACGGCGGCGTTGATCCGCCGCCCGAGATCCTGAAGGACCATGGCGTACGATGTGATCTAGCACAAGGGCACAAAAGATGGATAGGTATGCAAGATGGTGCGATCCCAGAAGAAGAGGACGAGGGGTGTGAGAGAGATGAGAGATATGAGGGAGTGACAATGGAGAAGGCGAAGAAGCCAGCGAAAGGCCGAAGGGGAATGCGGAGAGACCCCCGCCAATCACAGCTGGCAACGGGCCCTTCCGCCTTTCGTCGTCCGGAAGAAAAAAGAAAAAAAAGAAAAAGTGACTTCCCATCAATCTTCCAACTCTCATTATTCAAACCCACTCAAAGTTCGGACTACGAGAGTCGGTTAATCCACTACTCTCTCCTCATCATGGCTCCGGCTTTTGGCAAGAAGCGCAAGGTTTTGGACGGCATCCAAGGAAAAGCTGGCCGGTCCAAGAAGTTCAAGAAGCAGCGCGACTATCACAGCAGCTCCGACGAGGCAGAGGACGAGCCTGCCACCGATTTCAAGGCCGTCAATTTGGCCGATTCAGACGAAGAGGAGACTGCGGTCGCCCCGAAGAAGCAGAAGCCGACCAAGAAGCCGACCAAGCCCACCGGCGCATCGTTAAAATCGAAAGCGGAATCCAGCGACGAATCCCCCGAGAACGACGAGGAGGAAGAAGAAAATGACGATGCTTCGGGATCAGATGCATCGGATGATTCAGACGACGATGGCGACTCCGATGTATCGATGACCGCCCCCAATGCAGACCGCAAAACGCTTTCCAAACGAAACGACCCGACTGCTTTCTCGACCTCCATCTCCAAAATTCTCTCGACCAAACTTCCCACCTCCGCTCGCGCCGATCCCGTCCTATCCCGCAGCAAATCGGCGCAACAAACAAGTACCGAAATCGCAGACGAGAAACTCGATAACCAGGCGCGGGCCAAGCTGCGGGCTGAGAAGAAGGAGGAACTCGATCGCGGCCGAGTCCGCGATGTCTTGGGTGTTGAGCGGGGTCAGACGGGCGCTGTCGCGGAGGAAGAGAAGCGTCTGCGCAAGACCGCCCAGAGGGGTGTGGTCAAGCTGTTCAACGCCGTCCGGGCCGCCCAAGTGCGCGGAGAAGCCGCAGTCAAGAACGAAAGACAAAAGGGCACCGTCGGCATGGGCGAGCGCGAGAAGGCAGTCAACGAGGTCAGCAAGCAGGGCTTCCTGGAGTTAATCAATGGAAAGAAGGGAAAGCCGTTGAATATCGAAGAAGCGTGACGGCCGACTTTCGCTCTACTGCGATCCGAACTAGGCATGACTGGGGCGTTTAAGGGTATTGCTTTATTCAGGTTATTGTTTTTTACCCCTCGAGTTTTTTAAACATGTACATGTGGATCAAAAGTCGCTCTTATTTACAGGTTTTTGTCAAATAGATTGGAGATGAGAGAATACCCTATACTATAGTCTTATTTTCAAGCGCAACAGATCAACTCCAACCGATGGAATGCCAGTGGCTATTGCCTGCCTTACCATCAAATGCACAACCATATCGTACATATTTCCCGTCGTTCAGGACCCAGTTCCCGCTCTCACGCCTTGATAGGGGCGCTTTATTTCTGCTCGAAGTCACTCGCCTGCAAGTTCCGAGTCATCGAAGGCAACCGGACCACCAATCCGTCGAGATCCTTATTCACCAAAACTTGACAACCCAGGCGGGACGTTTCTGTTAGGCCGAATGCCAAGTCAAGCATATCGTTCTCATCATCGGATGGTTCTTCCATCTTATCGAACATGTCGGGGTCCTCGACTATGACATGGCACGTAGAGCAAGCGCACGAACCGCCACAGGCTCCTAGTGTCGCGAATTCAAATATCAGTAATCCGATACCTCGTCGCACGGGTTTTTAAATGGGCTCCGAACCTTCCATTTCAAGGTCATTGGCTTGCGCAATGTCCAACAAGTTGTCCCCTTCGGCTACTTGGAGGTCGACCTTTGTCCCGTCCTTATCGATGAAAGTCACATTGATTCTGGTGCAATTATTGTTAGCGACCAGTCCGATCCTTATTTGCATATCAGAGCCATTCGGATATGACTCACTCTTCGCCCGGCTTGGGAGGCGTGATATGACCATGGTGGACGCCTGCTGTCGCCGAGAAGCTACGCCGCCCCGAGTCCAACCTTTGGAAGGACCCCCGGGTCTTCGCTGCCAAAGATTGTCCCCTTGAGTCTAGTCCGAGTCGACGGGGAGCAATTGCCCGTGTGGACGAGCTGAGGAACCTCATCGATTGAGCATGACGCATGCGATCTCCGGGGATCGTCCGGGGAACATGTCGCAGATTCAAACACGTTTCTCTCCAAAGGGACATGGTGAGGAGTCCAGTGAGGTAGGTTTATGAATCGAGGTAAAAGATAAGAAAATTAGAAGAAATAAGAGAGGACGTGAGATAGAGGGGAGAGAAGAGGAGTGGAGACAGGGGAGGAGAGAGCGAGGGCGCGGAGAAGAAAAAAAAGATAATCCCGAATGAAGGCGGGAAATCCGGACATAATTATTCGCTGCTCCAACTCCTCCTGCCTTTTTCCCTCCTCCACTTCTCGCACGAACTCCCCCCGAACCACGCCAACTAAGCTATTTTTGAGCTTCAGAGCTGAACACCCCCAACTGAGGACGGGTTGCACCTACCGACGCCATGTCTTCCTCACAGGGGCCCAATCCTTTGCGCCCGTACTATATCCCGCCTGCCATGGGCCTGGAGGTCACCAACGCCTCGTCCCCTCCAGATGCGTCATCGGCCCAGGTGTTTGGCAGCTCGGCGCGCGACCTGCTGCCGGACTTGGACTACTCGGATTATCTGGACAATTCACCATCGGTGTCTAGCTGGCTGCGAGATGCTCTGGATCAGGGTATCTGGCGTTATACCAGCATCTTGACGGCGCAGCCTTTCGACGTTGCCAAAACCATTCTACAGACCTATGTCGCCCCAGACTCCTCGGAGGGACCGTGGCCGTTGGACGAACGACGGAGATCCGGAGCAAGCGCTCGGGGTGCGTCGTATCACGATGATGAAGATGAGGACGATGTATGTACCAAATGAAATACCTTCTTGTTGGGTGAGGCAGAGCCCATAGCTAACGGCGCGACCGGTACCGCCTATAGGAGTCGTTGTCGTCGGACGATGAGAGCAGCTATTTCACATCTGCGGCCCCTGCCGTTTCTTCGCCGTCAAGTTCCCGCTCTCGAAAGCCTCGTCGTCATATCACCGATCGCAGCGGTTACATCCCATCTTCGACGCCCTCTCGCCATGCTCTGGCCATCAAGAATCAATCCTCCCTCATGGAGGTGTTATCGCAGTTGTGGTCGACCAGCGGTCCTACCTCGCCGTGGAAGGGCACCAACACGACATTCATCTATTCCCTGCTCCTCCCAACGTTGAACACATTCATTCGGAGCCTGCTATCCGCCATTGTTGGCTTACCGGAGGAAGATATCTCGTCTTCCATGACCGCAGACATTCTGACGTCGACTTCACCGGTCGCTACGCTCCTCCTATCCTTCATCTCGACTTCCCTGTCGGCCATCATCCTGTCGCCAATTGACACCGCCCGCACGTTCCTTATCCTGACTCCGGTCACTCACGGGCCTCGCTCTCTTCTTCGAGCCATCCGACAAATCCCCACCCCCAACTGCACCATCCCTCCCCATCTAGTCCCTATCACCGTCCTTCACTCCAGTCTGCCAAATTTCATCACCACTACCACCCCACTTCTGCTGAAATCGTACCTATCGCTTGACCCCGTTCTCAACCCATCTATGTGGAACCTGTTCACCTTCCTCGGATCGGGCCTGGAGCTGGCCGTTCGATTCCCGCTGGAGACGGTTCTCCGCCGCGCACAGATCGCCACTTTTACATCGCCTAGTCTGCGACAACAGGCTGCGGGTGGACTGGCGTCGCCGAGCGCGGCCACATCGGCGGCTCAGGAAGTTGAAACCATCGTCCCCACTCCCCAGACATACCGTGGCGTTGTTGGCACCATGTGGGGGATTGTGTATGAGGAGGGGACGCAAACGCCATCGGAAGTGGAGCAAGCACGGGCAGCACTCAAGAGACCCGCTGCTCTGCGCAAACGTCAAGGTCAAGGCATCCAGGGTCTCTACCGGGGCTGGAGAATCGGCATGTGGGGGATTGCCGGCATCTGGGGCGCCAGTCTGCTTGGAAACGCTGGTGCCGGGGACGAAGAAATGTTGACGAGTGGTGGACAATTCTAATGCGAAGCCCGTAAGACAAATGACGGGTGGAACTTGTCTATAACAACACATTCTCCTGCATCACATCCCATCTCATTTCTTCCGTGTATCTATTGATATTTCCGGCACGCACACTCTCCCTTCATGCTCTCTTCTCGCTTTCTCTATCCTCCTCTTCGTCGGATGTTTATCTGTTATTGTACTGATCTAGTATGGTCAGGACTGCATTCCTGTTCTTCACATATAACAAGATCAGTTGGAGTGACGGCGTTGGAGGTATATCTATTTAGCCTGTACATAATATCCCTCCCATTGGAATCCTTTCTCTTATTTGCGATGCTTCGGTAACTGGCTTATGTTGATATTCAATCCTTTTTCGTTCGTTCGCGAATTCCGTACATGGCACACATGCATTTAGGATAAATCATGTTGAACATCCTTTTCAGTCGCCCACTTCTCTCCGTTATCGCGTAGAGATTCATGGCGAGATAATAATGATGATAATAACGATAGTGGAATTCAGATCCAAGAGAGCGATATCTCCCATGTCATTTCACAAAATCCGAAGACATAGTATTTCCTCCAATGTATATAGAAGGTGAATAACTGTATCCAATACAAAAGACAGAAGTCAGTCAAATCGCCAGCCTGAGAGAAAAAGTCCTCCATTCCATAACCTAAATCTATGTATAAATAGTCCCAATCAAATGTCGAGATCGCAAGAGTAGAGAGAGGGACGTATCTATCTAATATTTCCCTCCTTTTGGTTCAATGTAGGAAATCAAGAAGCCCTGGATTGTTTCCCGCAGGTCGTTCTCAGTGGAACGTTCTTCGCCCCTTTTTGTGTGAAGAAAGAAAAAAAAAATTCGTCCGAAATCATTCAAGGAAAAAGAAAGTACAGAATGTGCAAGTCATGGAACGCCTGTCATACACCCATCCAAGTCATTTAGGTTGGTACGAGACGAGAGGAGTTCATTCCACTCTCGTGTGTCCGCATGTTTATCTCTGCCGAGAAGTGCTTTCTGAAGTAGGAATCGACGGAGCTTCGAGGTCTCGTTTCCCGAAGAAAGATGAGAGACTGGAGTAAAACAAGAACCGCATCTCTCCCTTCGTCAGTCGAGCAAATGAAATGTATAATACAAACTCAGACATTCTTGAGTCAAGTTTGGGTATCATCGTAAAAGCAAAACAAAAAAGAAAGCGAAAATGAAACATGATTATTTGTCGGCAAATCTCCGGTCGAAGTATCGCAAAACACCCATCACGCTGGCTGCCTCGACTTCCATCGCGGCTCGCGAGGTCTCCGCCGGGGCAACGTCCTTGGGGTTTGGTAGCGTGTGAAGCTTGGGGAGCCATGCGGAGATGTCATCGCTGGCCCGAGAGAAGTTCGGGTGCCGCGACAGCGTCGTGAAAGCGTCCGAATATGAAAGAGTCAAGGATGGGGTCTTGGATTTAGCGGAGTTGGCATTGACAGTCGATCCGCTCCGGGGAGGTGGATTCGAGTTCCGGGACTGACAGCATCCACCGTCGGCGCCCTTACCGCCGCAGCAGCCGGAGGAGGCAACGCTGGCGGAGCGGGATGCCGCCAGCGTCTTGCAAAAAAGGGTACGTTGCGGGTCGGACATGCATTGGGCGCAGGTGCCCGGGCCGTTGGCGCACGGATTGGTTGCCTGGCTGATGGGAGGCAGAGTCACCTCCGAGCGAACGTCGCCGTCGGACGGGGGCGGAGTGAACTGGGACAAGTTCTGGATTGGGGCGAGTCGGTTGGTCTCGAACGAGCTCCTTTGCTCGCGCTGCTCCTCCTGAGCCGCCATCTCGGCGCAAATGCACGGTGTTCCGTCCTGGCAGAATCCGCAGGGATCGACCGCGGGCGACGAAACGGCCGTGGACGTGTCTTCCTGGGCTTGAGGCGCCGCAAACCGCGTTGTAAAATCAATCTCCATTTCCTCCGGGTCAGGCTTGATCTGAGGTTCCGGTCGGACGGCCGCCGAAGTGCTCGGGCGTTTCATATCGCGAGTTTCGATACCTGGCATGCTAAATGCGTCCTCGATGCATTGGCAGTGAGTTGACGAGCAGTTGCTGCAACCCAGGGGCACCTCCTCTCGCTCCTCGTGGGCATGACTCGATTGCGCCCTTTCCCGAGCTTCACGGTCGGCCGAGGACCGAGACTTATCACTCGAAGCGGCGTGATCGGAGACAGAGGAGCGGAATTCCTTCACCAGGGCTTCCTTAGCACTTCGTTCGACGGAGACCTCCTTCTCGAGGGCGTGGCAGCGGTCTCGCCACCATGACATCTCAGTACGGCATTGCTCGACTTCGTGGGACAGGTTGGAGATCTGCTCCTTGAAGGCGAGTACATGGATGTCATGCTCGTCTTCAATCTGCTTGATCTGATCCTCGAGTTCGTTGACGCGGGCGGCTCGTCGCTCCCGAAAGGCTCTCTGCGCAGCTCGATTCTGGGCTTTCCGTTTGGTCGGGGGCGTATCGGTAGCAGGCTTGCGACCGGGCTTGGGGCGTGGTGGAATTACCCATTCCTTGGAGGTGATCGAGCCGGGTGTGCCCGGACCGGGAGAAGGTGAAATCGCAGGCTTGGCGGCCAGTGCGGGAGCCAACGGAGCTATCGAGGGAGCCGGAGTGGTCATGCTTAATTATTATGATTAATTAATCCTTTATTATTAAGATGCCTGAAGATAGAGAGAGAAATCCTCTCGAGGGAGGCGAGAGGAAGTCTGCAGCGCAATTAGTGGTCATGTCCTGACGGGGAGGTGCGGAAAGGAAGGAAGACGGTGAGAAGTGCAGAAGTAACGGACCAGGTGTTGGTGGTGTCACTTGATCGCTTCGGCCGGAAGAGCGGATGTGCGCTCCCTCAAGCCGGTAAGCGAGATGAGTTTTGGAGCCAATGCTGGGAGTGAGGTGTTCCGCGAGCAATTCGATCTCAAGAATCGCTCGACCGTGAACGTGGGCTGTTTGACAGAGCAAGGATGGCACGAGAAGACCGACGAAGAGAAGATTGAAGCAGGGAAGAGGGAAGGAAAGCGAGCGAAGGGGGAAAAGAGGGGGAAAAGTGGAAAGACGCCTGGGAAAAAGGTCGATCGGATCAGATTAGATTATCGTGCGCTCGCCCCGATTTCGGAAGGAGCAAGTGGACTCGCTTGGGCCGCCTATTCGTCGACCCGTGGATGCTGGCCAGTTATCAATCAATGGCCTCCTTGGGGAAGCTACATGCATACGGAGTACAATCAACTGCTTCGTAGGTATCGACTCAAGAGTAGTTACAATGCATCTATTCCAGTATACCAATTACTCGTACTGCATCATCATCACAACGGACTTGATCACTTGAATTGTCCTCCAATTCCCCTACGCATTGTGCAATTCCCAGCCGGTGAGTCACGATTGCATACCTCCCAAGACTTCGTTCATGGGCCCGCGAAAATTCTGTTCCTCCCAAGACACCCGACGGGATGGGATGTGGGTACTACGTGCCCTCCCTTTGGATGTGCGTGTGAAATATTCTCACCCGCGATCGCCGCCAGAACCCCTGCATTCAACAGGTTCAGTCGATAGCTAGGATGGAATCAGAGCTCTAAATCTAAGACCTTGAACAAAAACATTAAATTGGTAGCCGTAGTTTATTTGCCTCTACACAAGGCGCACTCTGCTCCCTCGAGTTCATTCTTGAATTTTGACTTCATTCCCGCGCAACTGGACGATTAGAAACGGAAACGTTGCCAGCCAATGGTACGCAGAGACAACAGGATCCATCTTGCCTTCCTCAATCCACTTGACCCGACGAAAGAGCGAGGAAAGGCCAGAGGCAAAAGTGAAGAGTTCAAGTCCAACAGAGTAAAGAATTCCCTCGGCACGGCCAATCCCTCCATCATCTGATCTTATCTGATCCGGGCCTTTCCTCATTGGGCACGGCATCCTTGCAGGGCGATCATTAAACAATTAATAATTTAACATTGGGAAACGCGGACTCTTTGCCTTAGCCGGGTCTAGCATAGTCCGATGGGCCTCCTTCCTGCGAAAATTCTGTTTCCAGTTTTCATTTACTAATAGGCAGTCACTCGTCGTTAACGGCTGGTTCTCCCGGCGGTGATTCCAATTCCCGAGTCTCTTTTGGGGTGGTCTTTGCCGATGAACGGAATCCATTGGGCGAATTCCGGACCGACTGACTCGCTGGGTTGACCGACTTTTGATAAAGCCATCATAAAGCCGTCGGAATAGGCAGACCGGATCATGTTCGAGAACAGTCGGAGTTCGACTGTCAACAGCATTGTTTTCTAAGGTTTCCAATCGGAGTTTTTGGGGAACCATCCCATGCGAAACTAGTGCCGTCGCCGCTTTGCGTTGAGCAAGGGGGCTTTCAGATCCCGAATTGAAAGCAGTTACTCGTTTTGTCCCTCGGACTAAGTACTAACAGAAGAACTAGGTTCTTGATCCTTGCCTTCGTAAGACTGACCTCCTCAACGTTCCACCGATAATCGCCGTCTGGTCCCGGTGAACTTGGGTTATCATTGAAATTTTCATCTTGTGAACCCACTGCCCCTTTAGGTATTCCACTTGACGTCATGTCAGAGATAGTTCAAATTAATTCACTACACACACAGACACCTTGCACTACTCTGTACTCATACTCCGTAGACAGTAGAAATACACCGGTTCGCTCGGACAATTTTTCCCAATAAAGATACAAACTCCACTACTTCGTCACTGGCGTAAATATTAGTATTGCCATTAGCAATAATGTGAGCATCGATTGCAGAGTGCAAACCCTAAACGACGTCTTGCAGCTCCGTCAACCGCGGCGCCCCGGCAGACGGAGGGAACGAGAACTTGGTCTGGACAAAAGCCTTCTGTAGGCCCTGCTCTCGTCTCTCGAACAAAGCATACAGCTGGGGCATATCCTCCAGGCGCACGCGATGGGTCACCATGTCCAGCGGATTGATGTCCTGGCGTCGGATAAGTTCCAGCAGATGGTGCCAGTATTTGTGCACGGGCGCCTGGCCGTTGCCGATCAACCGGATGCCGGTTTGCATAATGGCTCCGATATTGAAGTGGTTGGTCTAAAGGGGAGTCCCTTGTGTCAGACATCCCGAGCTGAAGTTCCGGAAGGGAAGGGCATGATGACTTACGTATCCAGCGTAGATTCCCGTAATACCAACGCGTCCGAAGGGGCGGACGCTGGTGATCATTTCGTTCAACAACTCGGACGTGTCTGTCTCCATTCCCAACATCATCTCAAAGTAGTGTGCCCATCCTTTGGCATATTCGCCCGCGGCGCAATCCAGGGCGACATCAGGACCGCCGGGAACCATTTTCTTTAGCTGCGAGGTGATCGACTCCCCTCGCGGCAGTTGACTGAAATCGAGCGTCTCGACTTTCGGATTCTTAGATTGCACGAAATCCAACCGCCACGCTGCCTCTCCTCCGTCGATCAGTATAACTCGACTGGCTCCTTGAGCAAAACTGTACTCCACGACCATCTGCCCGATCGGCCCTGCACCCCAGACAGCGACGATGTCACCGGTCGTAACCCCGGTGTCGACAACACAGTGATAGGACGTAGCCAGGACGTCCGACAGATAAAGACCCTTTTCGTCGGGAACATCATCCGGGAGCTGCAGCAGGTTCACGTCGCCGTAGGGCACGCGAACATACTCGGCCTGACCACCGGCGAATCCACCAGTGAAATGGCTATATCCAAACATGCCTGAGGTGCGTTTACCGTACATGGCATTCTCAATGGTGTTTTCGTTTGTCCTTTCGCAGGTCGAGGTGAGCTGCTTTTGACAATTGTTACAATCACCGCAGGCAATGGGGAAAGCTGCCACCACGCGATCCCCAACTTTGACCTTCTTCGCTGCCGGTCCTACACTCTCGACCACTCCGCAAAATTCGTGGCCGAGTACATCCCCTTTCTCAAGCTGAGGAATGACACCTGCGACATGCGTGAGTTCGGGTCACTTGGCAGGGTGAAGTGCTGGCAAGTCATACCATGATAAAGATGGAGGTCACTCCCACAAATTGTACTCCCGGTGATCTTGACGATGACGTCGCCTTCATTAATGACTCTGGGCTTTGGCATCTCAACTGTCGCCATGTCAGTCCGTGTGTGCCGATAATCAGTTGGTACCCAATTAAAAATCCATTACTCACCAACCTCGACGGTGTTCTTGCCCTGCCATACCGTAGCCTTGATCTTCTCCCCCGTTTCTTGTCCGGACTCCCCCTTGGCGTAATTGCTTATGTCGGTGTCAATGGTGGCATTGTCCGAATGCCCCACGACCTTCTCTGCAATGTTGGCAGCCTGAGATACAGCCATCGTGGAACCAGAAGAAGAAAAATATCGTCGATCAGAAAATGCAAGAAGAAGAGCAAAACTTAATATGAACTTAAGGACTCCCACGCTAAGAAATGAGCGCGATGGTCGCTTTATAACGGTGGCGATGCGTCCCCGGATTGACTGACATCACGGTGAAGTCGACGTTCTTCGGTCATTCTTGGAACAACCAGCTTCTGGCCATGTCCGGGTCTTTCCCCCGCAAGAGGTCTTTGACCCATGGTTTCTCCAGCATCTTTCGGGTTATTCGTAAACATTGTCAAATTCAACTTCGTTCCCAAAAGAAACTGTGAAGTGAATGTCTCCGGCTTCAATGCGTCGGCCCTCGTCGAGTCGTCGGCGTTCAGCATGCAGCTATCAGGTTCTACAGCTGCGTCATCGCGACCAGTCTGCATCGCACAACTCAGTCAAACTTTCGAATGGACCAGCGAGATGACGCATTGAGTCTCGAGTGTGCTGCATGTCGGCCGTGGGTGTAGGGCAGCAACTGTCGGTCCAACGGTACGATTCCAGCGCATTGAATCTGATCCGTCACATCTTCGCCTTTGGGTCAATAAGTGCCTCGTGCCAGCTGTTCAGGGATGCCGTGACGTTCCAAGGGATGCCAGAACGATGTTTTCTTGTCCTTCATAAACCCCTGTGGTTCCACATACTTGATCCCCCTCGTCCTTCATTCTTCCCAGCAGACTTTCGGTTTCTCTCTCGTGGCTCTCCGCCAGCAGATACCATGGTGAAACATAAGCACCTCGATCGCATTCTGAACCACGTCTTTCCCAAAGACCAAAAGCAAGAACAGCATCATCATCATCACTATCAGCAATGCCATAACTGTACCAGCAATGGCCCCAGCCAGGTGCCTCAGGGGCCTCCCCAAGGGATGCCGCATCAGCCCCAACAGCGGCCGACGCCGCCCGCATCTCCTCCAGGTGGGTTGATTGCATGTTTTACTTCTAGTAATCTTTGTCCTCTTAGCATAGGGCCGGAATCCGATCGCGGATGAGCACCTGTCCCCCAATTATCCCCCAAACCTACTGCATACCACTGCCTAGATCTGCCAGATGCCACACCGATGGTTAAATTCCAATCACTGTCCTTGAGCGCCGATTTATCTCCTGTCCCGTAGCCCAGTTTCTCGATATGATCTATTTATCAAATTCCCCTTTGTGTTTTTTGTTGAAACAGAGGCCGTTCGCTCATTTTCCAAACAATCATGACCCCGAGCCTCCGAAGCAATCACTCTCCATACCGTTTGATTTCCTTGCGTTCTTTTTGCTCTTTCTGGTAATTATTTGCAACCAGCATGCTTACCAAAATCCTGTTCCTATCGTTGCTTGCAGCATCTCCGGGTATGACCCAATATAAACCGCCGAGGACTCCGGCATCATCTGAACCACAGAGGGTTTTTGCTCACTTCATTGTAAGCTTAAAACCTGTTCTCGAGGATCCTATCAAATTGCATTGACAGGTTTTTTAGGTGGGCAATGCATACTCCATGACTCCGCAACACTGGGAGACCGACATAATTGAGGCCTCAAAAGCTCATGTTGACGGGTTTGCGTTGAATGTGGCTCCTCAGGATGACTATACTGATCGGGTACTCCAAACGGCGTATGATGCCGCCGAAAGGATTGGCAATTTCTCCTTGTTTATTTCTTTCGACTATGGATCTGGAGGTCCGTGGCCTGCGGACAGAGTGATCAACACCATCAATGCGTATAAAAGTCGGAAGGCACAATTCCACTTTCATGGAAAGCCCCTGGTTTCCACGTTTGAAGGAGTTGCCAATGCAGGTGATTGGCCGAGGATCAGGAGTGTTACAAATTGCACATTTATTCCAAACTGGACCAGTATGGGGCCGCAAGGTATCAGCAGCGTTCTGAACGAGATAGACGGTGCGTTCAGTTGGGACGCATGGCCCGTTGGAGCCAACGATAAGAACACATCAAGTGATATAGCATGGATGAAGGCTCTGGCAGGAAAGCCATATATGATGCCTGTTGCCCCTTGGTTCTATACAAACCTTCCCCAGTGGCATAAGAACTGGCTCTGGCGAGGAGATGATATGTGGCACTATCGATGGCAGCAGGTTATGGAGCTGCAGCCTTCGCTTGTCCAGGTAGGATCCCCTCTGTCAATTTCTTGTCTGGCCTTTTGCTCACACATATATCTTGCCCAATCTAGATCCTAAGTTGGAATGACTATGGGGAAACCCATTATATCGGACCAATTTATGACCCTGGAATACCCGATGGAGCGGCACGATATGTCCAGAATCATCCACATGATGCGTGGCGGGAACTCTTGCCTTATTACATTGACTCATACCGCCGCAATTTGAGGGATCCTCACAGTCAGCTGAGGTCGGCGTCCCCGGGCTTTTACAATCCAAGGTACCCCATGTCTTTCACAGACAAGATCGTCTACTGGTACCGATTGAACCCCAGCTCCGCGGGAAGTTCTGAAGGCACCACCGGGAACAACCCAGGTGCGGGTCAGCAGGTTTTGGCCCCTGGTCAAGTATCCCAGGATCGGGTATTCTTCAGCACATTCATAACCCAGCCGAGTGACGTATATGCCCAAATCGGAGGTGAATCACCGACATTCTTCCGGGTGAAGACACCAGGTCTCAACCACTTTTCCGTACCGTTCTACGGACAACGAGGCCCCGTGAAATTCGGTATCAAGCGGAATCATCAGGAAGTAGCGACAGCAACTGGTCCTCCTATCACTGATCAATGTGTTGGTGGCATTGTAGACTGGAATGCTTTCGTGGGTTCCAGCAGCTAGTGGGGTTGGGGGTTACGGAACCGGTAAGGATCGGATGATCATACGGACGAGGAATAACTAGCGTAAGCGAGCTATGAATATATGCGTGCAATCAATGAATGGTTTTTGATCTTCGAAAGGGATGGTTCCAAGTGACGGTGTGATCATCTTGTAGATGAATGGGCATGTGACGGGTATGACGTGCTTATCAGTTTGGTTCCTGAGGCCTGCGGAGAGCTAAGCCGAAAGCGGCCCCTCCGAGGCAAGCTTCCCCAACTTCCCCAGCCGTTCTCTCTCTCTCTTTCTCATTCCTCCTCCTTTCCTCTCTCACTCACGCATTACTTCCATTTAAGTATCTGCCACCCATTGGATCTCTTCCTACTGTACCCATCACCGTAACTTACTCAGTTTTGTTCCCTTTCTGCTATCTCATCATGACCAGGAAAAGTGTCCTTGGTCTCCGGGATTCTTCCTTGGCTTATCGCCTGTCTGGCCAGCTGCCGGAAGAAACAGCTGCATACACCTCAACCCCTTCTGTTTCTCCCCGTACAAACACTGAGAAAATTTCCCCTGAGGATTATGCTAAACCATACTGTGATTTCATGACTACGAATCCCACCATCTTCCACGCGGTCGACGGCTTTACCAAACAGCTGGAGAAGAACGGATACAAGCGCCTGCCAGAGCGGGAGCCTTGGACCTCCAAGTTGGAGCGTGGAGGGAAATACTACGTTACCCGGAACGCCAGTGCCTCCATTGCGTTCTCGATCGGAAAGGACTACCAGAGTGGCAATGGTTTGGCTATCATCGCCGGCCACATCGACGCGCTCACCGCCAAATTGAAGCCTGTCTCAAAGTTGCCCACAAAGTCGGGTTATGTCCAACTAGGGGTTGCTCCGTACGCAGGTGCTTTGAGTGATACCTGGTGGGATCGAGATCTCTCGATCGGTGGTCGTGTACTGGTTCGCAACCCTAATAGCGGCAAAGTCGAGTCCAAGCTGGTTAAGTTGGACTGGCCAATTGCGCGAATTCCAACGCTTGCTCCTCACTTCGGAGCTCCCTCGCAGCCGCCTTTCAACAAGGAAACCCAAATGGTTCCCATCATCGGCATTGACAACTCGGATCTCTTCTCGCAGGAGACCCCATCGTCATCCGACGCCGCTAGCGGTATTAAGCCTGGTACCTTTGCGGCCACACAACCAGAGAAACTGGTCAAAGTTATTTCTGGTGAGCTTGGTATCACCGACTATAGCACCATTCTTAGTTGGGAGCTCGAGCTGTTCGACAGTCAACCCGCGCGACTTGGTGGCCTGGAGAAGGACTTCATTTTCGCCGGTCGCATCGATGACAAACTCTGCTGTTATGCTGCCCAAGAGGCTCTCTTAGCATCGACCGACGACACGTCAACCGGCTCTGTGAAGATGGTGGGAATGTTTGATGACGAGGAAATCGGTAGCTTGCTGCGTCAAGGAGCCCGTTCCAATTTCATGAGCAGCGTGATCGAGCGCATTACGGAGGCCTTTGCACCCGAGTACGGGCCCAACGTTCTGTCTCAGACCGTGGCAAACAGCTTCTTTGTCTCCTCGGACGTCATCCACGCCGTCAATCCAAACTTCGCCGGTGTCTATCTAGAGAACCATGCTCCCCGGCTGAACGTGGGCGTGGCCGTGTCTGCCGATTCGAATGGCCACATGACGACAGACAGCGTGAGCTACGGCTTTATGAAGCGCATCGCCGATCGCACCGGCTCTACCCTGCAGGTCTTCCAGATCCGCAATGACTCTCGTAGCGGGGGAACGATCGGTCCCATGACCAGCTCTCGCATTGGCATGAGGGCTATTGATGTCGGAATCCCGCAGCTGAGCATGCACAGCATCCGCGCTACGACCGGAAGCTTGGATCCCGGCTTGGGAGTGAAGATTTTCAAGGGTTTCTTTGACCACTTTGAGGAAGTCGACAAGGAATTTGCCGACTTCTAGTTCTCATGTCCTTACCAAAGAGACGTTATATATCTATCCTATATAAACGTACGAACTCTCTATAGATATTTCACACCGGTCATTTACGACTCAATTAGAACATTGCTGGTATGAATTGCGCACTCGACTTGGAGCTTTTAGTTCACATTTGATTAGTTCATTGGTAAACAAGTTGTATCCTAATATATTTAAATGTTATATCTCTCAGTGTATATATATAAATCGAAAGGAAAAAAGAGGTTAGAGAAGATCATGTAAAGCCGAGTATGACTCAGTGAACCCTGAAGCGGGTGAAAACATAAGAAAACAAAGTCAGTGGATATCAAGATGCTAGGTGGTTTGTGTCATTTCCATATTTCAATTCTCCTCCCCTTCGTTGGAAGCTCCATTCATTCCCCGTCATATCAATATCATCGCGACGGTGACGACGAGGAAGACGATCCATTGCGAGATTCGATCGTGACGGCAGCCTCTTTGAGCTCCTGCGCCGTTTTGGCCTCTTTCAGCATGAGTTTCTCTTTGCCGTTGGCGTCGGTCCCCGGCGCAAGAGTCAACACTCGATCGGCGTCGGAGGTGCAATGCCCGTATTCCAGGTCGTCCATGGCCGTGATGGTCGTGGATACGGTGCCCGTGCCGTTCCAGTATGTGGGAGCGTGGCCGTGCGACAGGGGCGCGTTGCCATAGTCCGGGCCGCCGGTGCTTAATGTCGAGAGCAGATGTGGGAGGATGCGAGAGATCAGCGGGCGGAGGGTCGGGAGACACGCGCAGATGATGCCGGTGTTGCATTCGATGGCGGACCAGGTTGCCGCGTCGACGTTGTCGTCTATAGTACGGAGATTGTTCCTCGGTTAGTCCTGCGTGGTCGTGATGGATGGGTGGATGGATGCGTAGGTCAGTATTGTGAGAACATACAGGTGGGATCATCTGAGTCCGCAATCTTCTTCAAAGCGACGAGACGGCAAACGCTTGTGACACAGACACTAGGCGGGGAGATTCGTCGTTAGACATGGTCGAGAACGCAGAGGCTAAATGAAGATAGGGTTTCAACTTACAATCCGCCCAACGCAAAGATAGACATCAAGGCGATCTTCTGCCTCCTGGGAAGATCCAGTGCATACAAGGCCGGGAGGGGAATGAGCAAAATGGCAAGGTCGGTGGCAATGTGCATGGAAGCATTCGAGAACCAGAGTCCTTTCGAGCTCAAACAGTACCCGGGCAGCGAAGGGTCCCAGAATTTGGCCACGGGGATGCAATTGAGAAAGGCACTCAAGACGGCCCACGTCCCGTAGGTGGCCAGCACGCCGATCATGATCCACGAAATGCAGCGCATACGTCTCGTGGGGAAGACACGCCAGTACTGCATGAGAATGGACGCTTTGGCACAGAGTAATGCGGCGTTGTAGAAGGGGATGGTGACCCAGAATGCCTGTCCAAGTCCAGGATGAGCTCGAGCTTTTGACCATGGAGGATAGGAGTCTCATGTCCTTACCTTCATCTGTTTGAGCATGATGGGTGGTGGGATATCTACAGCATGCATACCCACGCCATTGAGGGCCTCCACGATGAACAATGCCATGAAGACAAATGACAAGATCTGGCTCAGATCGTTAGCCATGTCTCTTGTGTGTGAATCATGCGGGACAACGCCAATGTCTTACCAGGGCGATTACAATCATCCAGTCATTCGACTCCATCCGGTTCATCAGTCTGGTCCGAGTGTACAGGCGGGCAAGGACAAAACATGTTGCCAGAGTGGTGAAAACGACACTGATAGATAGCCCTTTAACTCCCCCCGGCGACAGATAGGTAGTGCCGTCGCTCCGAGGGAGGACTGTGTTGTGGTCAGGGCTCGACATTGCTGCTCCTGGGAGGACTTGGATAGAACCTCACGACACGAAGGACCGACTCGAGTGAGATCGTGACAGGAAAGTCAAATATTAGACGTTCATGCAGGCAGGCACCGGAATCTCAAGCCCAACCAGACGTGCATGCGCCGAGTCTAGGTGACACTGTGTGAGCATGGAAGACCTCAGTGGCATTTCGTGGAGGGAAGAAGCACGAACGACTGCGGAGTGGATAAGAGTTATAAACGTTTTGTCCTAGGGTCCCAGAAACGGCCAGGCTTCATGAGGGATTAAGTTAATACTAGGCACCTGGGCCGTGAGAACCCTGGCTCAGCGTTTCATTTGCTTCTCCGGATTGGTGGAGCGACGCCTCGACAGGGACAGGGACAGGGAACTAGGATGTACGAAAAAGATAGAGAAAGGAGACCAGGAAGAGTATGAAAGGAAAAAGCAAGCAAGGGAGAGGGCAAATAAGCAAGTCATGGATAGAAGCCACTGTCACATTTAGGATTGATGGATAGAGCCAGTGCGCATGGGTTATGCCTGGCCCAGTTCACTCTATCTTTCCCTATTTTTCTCTCATCGGGATTTTTTTTTCTTTCGTGTGTCTGTTTCTTTTTTTCGTTTCTTTTCTTTCTTTTTTTGTGGAGTCCTGGCACTAAACTTGCCCCCCTGCAACACCAACAACGGACAATCAGGCGATAGGTCCCAGCCCTTTGGGGTCACTAAGGCTGATTTCAACGTCAATGATCGGCTCCAACAGAGCCCACCCGCTCAGGGAAACCATCCGGTCCAGTCAGAAGGAAGGGGGATGGGTGGAGAGGTCAATAGATTGACGATGTATCCAAAACTTTCCCACAGGAGGGGAGGTGGGCCGTGCAGGCCAGAAAGATGTATGACGGCCTACAGTGTTCACTCTACATGTGCATTGGCCTTGGTATGCATGAGCGTAGTCCATGGGCTGTCATACGATGTGTACAAGAGCTCCTGCTTGAGCTGCCCGACAGTGCATAAGACGGACAGATCGTGGCGAAGGGAAGGAAGGGGATTAAACCCCTTTTTACCCTAGACTTTTCTGCCTGTGTTAGCTGGCTGGTGAGATTAGTGAGGGCCCAAACATGTGCATGACCTAGTCAAGCAAAGAGACAGGGGGGGAACTGGAGCCGAGCTTGTCAGTGACTCAATCATTCGATTTTCCAAGTGCTGCAGCAGGGATCATTTCCGAGTCACCAACAACGGGCCCCTGCTGCCACCTCCTCTCCTGGAAAGGGGTCTCTCTTCCTTCTTCGCAGAGTGATTGAAGTCTGAATTGCTTCAATTACCCTACAGGGCATCCCTTCGAGCAAGGGATACAGGGTATACCTAGGTTTCCCTTCTTCCAGCTTCTCTTCTCCCCTTTTCTCCTCTCGAGCGGGCGATGACGTTTGTTGGTGCTTTTGTTTTTGTGTCGGCATCTCAGCAGAACCATTCCGGCCTTCCAAAAGGATCAGTTTGTGGGAAAGATGCGATGTGTCGAGTTTCTTTTCCTCCGGGGGTGATAGCGAGCCACATTGGATAACGGACATGCAGGGGATGCAAAGTACCGTACAGCCGGATGACAGCTTCCACCTGTTGCTCCACTCCAAATCCACCAGATCAGTTTCTATTCTCGCGCACAAAGAGGAGAGAAAGAGATATGGGGAGACAGAAAGAGGGGCAAAAAAACGTCCGGTCGAAGTGGGCCCGGTCCATTCAGGCGAAAGTTGATACATCACATTTGCTCCAAATGTCTCGCTTCAATCCCGGGACGATCAAATTTAGATCCGCCCAGAGAAATTATTGCTTCTTCGAAAAGCCTAATGATGTTGTATTCGCTTTGGGGTGTTTCCCCCAGATATTCGAAGGCCAATAAATGTCGGTTCTATCGACAATTTAGACTTAATTATAGGTTCCTGATCCCAAGCCTTGAGATGGTGGCACAAAGTCCGCCACTGTGGTTAATAGCGTTCCCACCCCGGCATCCGATTGACAATGGTGGCGATCGCAGCTTTGGCCTTTTACCGTTTCGATAGTCTCTACTTAATCGAGTGCATAGAGACTATCTATGGGATGTCAGCTGTCCACTAGATCTGACATGATGATGGGCTGGGAGGAAGGGGGAAAGACGGGGTGGCATCGTTGTGTAACCCTCGAGGAGCACTAGTCTCTCGTGTTATTTCTGTTTGCTCGATTCAAGTCTCCCAGAGATCAGATCGATTGGAAATGCACGGGGAGGCGAGCGCGTTGCTAGTAGCTTCTCGCTGCTGGCTTTTCGACTATTACTGTACACCGTAGTTTAGGTCGCACAATCCATGCTCTTAGGATATATAGCTCATGCTCTTATCACGCCAGGTGTTTCTGCCAGTATTTAGCACCATCTGAGCAAGTGTCGGTCAGAGAGGTGGTAAATTGCGCTCTTGGGTTCAAGAGGGCGCTAAGAAGCAGAGATTACTTAGCTCATTCTCTCTTGGCTGGCTCTGATAATCTCAGAACTTGGAAGCTGATGAGCTCTAAGCAGGGCCCGGTGCTCTATTATGATCTACACAGCCGTGATCATCTCGTATAGGACAATGGAATGCAACTCTGCCATGAATGAGATTCATAAGAAAAAGGGAGGAGTCCAAAAAGGAAGCGCCTTGGCCACCCATGTGACCTGTACTTCGAGTTCATAAAATTGTGCAGAACACCTTACTCTCTGTCAATTGTACTATACGGAGTACTCCATACAGGGCAGATGAGTCTACATAATTTACCTTCTTCTATCGGAGACGAAGGTGAAACCAGCTCATTAAAGTTGGTGGGGGTGTGTTCACCCAGTTCACAAGAGACAATTCCCCTCTTCCTGGTCTTCAGCCTGAAGATTCATCATACAGTGAGGAGAGTCTTCGATTGACTAGTCAGGAATCGCTCCTGCCACTACTGGATGTGAACAGACTGTCCATGATATGGTGTCCTTGACCGACAAGTTTGTTTGTGCCACCTCCCCTATCTCGTAGCCCTAATTAAATCATGTGCTTGCAGGAAGGGCAAACAAGAGCAAGCACACATTTGTTTGCTATTCCCATCACTCTTCAGCACATCTGCACATGCTAACTTGACTGGATTAAAAATCCTCCTGTCGATCCACATCTTCATGTACGGTGCATGCATGTACTTTTGCTGTCAATGCGAGTCTGCGACCGCGGCCCTCCCCGGTTGACTCGGCGATAGCATGGATGCTGGTTTGCCCTTGCCACGCCGGGGATTCTGGTCCCAGATTAATGACTGGTTCAAGCATCTTGTGTGAAGAGTCTTGGATTATGGATTGCAGGGTTTGCCCTTGGTTGAGGATGCACAACGTGCATTGTGTCCGCTACCTCCGCAGGCAGAATGGATGTATATCCAGAATGCACCGTCTTCTTAACTCGCAGCGAAGTGATGGAAATTGTAATGATTTGTGAATGTTACGTGTCACTCCAGGGACTTCACTCAGCATTATCATTTAGCGAGGAATGAAAGTATAGAGCTAGAGAATATTTGAGTTATAGCATGGGGTACGGAGTGGAGTAGAGACTGATTTGTGTTCAAAAAAAGTACAGGAATGCATCGATCTAGTATTAATTTCAGTTACTGTTGTAGGAATATAGGTGTACTGGCTGGGAATGTCTTCTCTCGCTGTCCTTCATAAGCTTTTATTGAATGTCAAGGATTCATGATCTACAGTTGGCAAAGTATATAATTAGCTGGTTGACTTTGTTCTAGGGAAAGTGTATCCTGTAGATCGCGTATATGGTGTATGGGCACATTGAGAATGCAGGCTACCGCCGAGCTTCTGGGAGAGACATCTCTCCGCTATTCTAAGTCCTTGAAGATGAGTTATATATGTCCCACAATCCGATGTTGCCTAACAGGTGCCTTCAGTGTCATACTAGTAGTAAGGCAATACTTGACTCTACTCGTTTCTCTGCTTGCAAATACTAGTAGCTGTAGGATTGCAGTGGTTACAACGGTATACTTGTAAACATAGCCTCGGTCCCTTTCAAGAGGATGATAATGAGCTGTTTCTATTCATTAAGTTCAGGCGAATCATGCAATCTAACGGTCTCTTTCCGAAAAGTACCAGAATTTCGGATTCAGAATCCACGCGATCGTTTCATTGTCACGCACAGGCACTCTATATGACTGATATATATGTACGTTGATGAGCAGGAAGGAGGTTCCGATGATAGATCAGACATGCGTGGTGGTAGAACCGGGAAATGCCATGTGCATGACGCGACGGTTGAGCCCCCTCGGAGAAGGAGACAACGACCTGTCTGATTGACCTGAAGACTTATACTTTTGGTGCAGAGTCCAGACTGGAGAGTTGAGAGATGAGAATCGAAGGCCGCAAAGGTCCTCCGATAAGCCGACGCTAAGATAAGGACGACGCACGGATCACCCAAAAAATTCCCCTCGAAAATCGGGACGCATCACAATTTGAATCACCTCACTTTCTTCCTCCCACTACCCCACACGTGCGTCATCTGGCTTGTTCTCTGCTTGGTATAATTCTAGTAAAGCGACCGGAGAGCAAGTCATATCCATCATGGCGGACTCGACCACCACCACGCCGCCTAAATCCGTCCACACCATCGTGCTTGACGCCGGCCCCATCCTCAAAAATACCCCGCCGCTATCCACCCTACTCGCACAAAGCGAGGAACTCCTCATCACTCCGTCTGTGGTCGCCGAAATCCGTGATCCCGATGCTCGCGCTCGAGTGGAAACCCTCTACCTACCATTCTTGAAGCAGCGATCCCCCTCTCCGAAGAGCGTGGCGATCTTGAGCGAATTTGCCCGCAAAACTGGTGACCGCTCCGTGCTGAGTAAAACCGATATCGAGGTCCTGGCGCTGGCCTATGAGCTGGAGTGCGAGCGCAATGGCGGCGACTGGCGACTACGGAGTGTTCCCGGTCAGAAACAGGTGAATGGCAAGCCCCCCGTGAAGGAGGAAGAACAGAAGACCGAAGGCGAGCCCGAGTCAGCTGAGATCAATTCCTCCGCCCCTGAGATGGATACCGTGGCCGAGGACCTCAAGAAGACTTCGCTAGAGGGTGGTAACGAGGAGTCGCAAACAGAAACTCCTGCCGCTGCCACAGAGACGGCGAAGGAGGATGCACCCGTCGATCCCTCGGCGGCTCAGGCGCTCGAAGAAGAGCAAGAAGAGGAAGCCGATGCTGCTGACGACGAATCGGATGGCGGAGAATGGATTACACCTTCGAATTTCAAGAAGCGACAGGCTCGCGATGAAGGAAGCTCCTCGGCAACCCCAGAGCCCAAGGTGATGCAGGTCGCAACCATGACAACTGATTTTGCGGTAAGTATCACTTCCTTTAGGATGATATGAGAACCGCGAACTGATAGGAAACTCCAGTGCCAAAACGTCTTGCTCCAGATGAACTTGAACCTGCTTTCGACAACCACCTTGCAAAGAATCAGACACCTCAAATCGTTCATCAAACGCTGCCACGCTTGTTTCCTTACCACCAAAGACATGAGCAAACAATTCTGTCCTCGCTGCGGAAAGGACACCCTTACCCGTGTCTCTTGCACCACGAATTCCAATGGACAGTTTACGATGCACCTGAAGAAGAACATGCAGTGGAACAACCGGGGCAACAAATTCAGTGTCCCCAAGCCCGTTCACGGAAGTTCCAATGGAAAATGGAAAGGTGGCGGTGGTAAAGGCGGCTGGGGAACAGAACTTATCTTGGCCGAGGACCAGAAAGAATACACAAGGGCCACGGCAGAGGAGAACCGAAGACTGCGCAAAGAGCGGGATCTGATGGACGAGGATTATCTCCCAGCTATTCTGACCGGAGAACGAAGCAGGCAGGGAGGTCGCATCAAGGTGGGCGCCGGCCGAAATGTGAACTCAAGAAAGCGGTAAAGGCACCCATTTATGACCTTCTTTCTCTCATTTTTCCTCTTTTGCATCGACACTGGAACGGCGTTTGGCCCAAAAAAAGTATCTTTCCTGATGTTTAATGATGCCCATGTGGGTTTATGATGGGTTTACGATAAGGGATTGATTTCGATGGATTCATAGAGCACATAGGCATATATAAGGATATAGATCAAAAGCGAATTTCCTCTAAAATATGGCCGCTGGGCTTTTCCCAACCAGTATATCAGAAATCGAAAGGTCTCGGAGAGATCTCTTTTCGCTTAGTTCACACATTAACACCATTCGCCATTTAAATGAATCGAAATGTCAAAACACCTTTTGCCCGTCGAATTTCAAATAGTCCACCCTTCGACAAATTACAACGCAGCGACCTCCTTGTCTGTGATCATGTGTTAGCTTGACGTACGACTCCACAACGGAAGCAACACTTCTTCATACCGGGCTGCTGGGTCAGAAGCAGACCATATCTCTTCTTGAGAGTGACACGGTGCCTATATCGATGCGATACCCTGGTTAGCCAGCCGTTTCCTTCAAGCGATCGTATTTCTAATCCTTCGCTTCACCATAAGGGTCGACGAACCGAGAGTACTTGTCATCGGGAGAGAATCGGGCAGGGTGAGCCGACTTCGTGACGCGGCCCTGGGTATCGACCTTCTTCAGGGTGTAGACCCTCTTGCCTTCGGCATCAAGCGAGTACTATCGGATATAGGTTTAGCGGTTGTAGGATTCAGGATTTGCGCAATCGAACGCCGAGCGCAATGGGTCGACATACCATAAGATGCATCCTATATTAGAAGCACACGAAGTCAGAAATCTGTAGATCCATGTGTGGTCATCGCATCATCCTCGGATGAAAACTTACTTGAAGTGTGTTCTTGAACAGACTAACGGGTGGATTAGAATGATGGGGAGAGATTCAGGTCGTCCAAGTCGTGCCGCAATTCTCGTCCGGAGGTTTTGGGTGGATTTTTTTTTCTTTGCTGCTGGAAACCCGCCGTGCACAGACCACCCGAGCAAGTAGCCAAGCTGAGTCATCCGCGAACAACTTTTAAGGCTGCCCAAGCGAGCGATTTTTTTCTTCTTTCTTCTCTTCCCTGCAACACCACAAATCAACCTTAGAACAATCCGAAGGTCTCGGGATCATAATGATGAGCATCCCCGGTCGGATTCCAACATGATGCGGTTGGAGTATTCTTGACGGATTGCCAATTGTATTTAACCTCAATCACTCCTGGTCTTTCACTAGACCTGTTGGATCCCCCTCCAGAAACAAAGATTTTCTGGTAAGCATCAGCAGCTTTCCTAAGCTTGTGAAGTGCTTGCATTCAATCTCCGGTGATGACTACCAAACTATACCCAAACCTAGGCAATGGCACCTTGATTTCTAGCTATTGTCGATGATGGTGTGTATTTGACTACAACGGTATCTGAGGAGCATTGAATTCAACCCACTTTGCATTGCATGGATGATTCGTAACGAAGAGTTCCGCGGCTGACTCTTCGCTTGATAGTAGACCTTGCATATCAATTCCATTATAACCTTTTACTGTCTCCTCTCCCTTAAGATCCACTAGTTTCTCATGGCTTCCAAGCCCAACTCTACAACAAGCTCCGGTCCTGAGGCTGCGGCCGGGGCTGCCACGCCGGATTCCTCGCGAAACAATGCACGACCTGCTCGCCGTCCGCGGCCACCCAGACCCAACTACAAACACATACACCGTTTCCCCCTACCCGTCAGCGTTCACCCGCTCCCTCCTCTGATCCCCCACAATCCTCTGTCCATTGTCAGCGTGCTCCTGTCGTATCTGACGTACTTTGTGTCTCCCCCGCATCATGAAGTATATCCCGCCTACTTCGACTCCAATACTTCGTCGGTGCACGTGACAGACGAGAAGGCCATCCGGGCGCTGTGGGAAATGGGTTTCTTCGGCAAGGGCACTTTGAGTCGAAGTGAACCGAGCTGGTTAGAACGGGAGAAGAAGAGGAGGGGGCTGCTCGGAGGGGTTACTAGTGAAGAGGCGACCCGACAGCGAAGATCCGAGCGTCGTGAATTGAAACTGGAGCGAGCTCGGATGGAGAGAGTCGCCATCGAGGAGAGATTGAAAGTAGAGGCGCTTGCGCGAGAGACCGGCGTCATGCCGGCCGATCAGTCTACTATGCCAGCAGCCGCTGATGGTGTTACTACTGGCGCTGCCCCCACCACCGAAAAGTACTCTTTGCGAAAGGCTAAAGAAGCCCGAATTCAGGAGACACGGCAGGCGGTAGCACAGAGCGAAGAGGGTGGCTCTCCCGGAAAGAAGGCCGTGCGGTTTTCCCCGGTAGTTCAAGCAAAGGAATTTGCCTCAGATTCTATCTTGCACCTACCGGACTCAAGCCCTCCGGAACAAGATGCCGGCGAGGAGCCTGTGTTGGAAAATGAAGAACACCTTCAGCTATCTAATGAGGAGGCTTTCTTTTTGGTGTATGGACTGGGTGCTCTCCAGGTCTTTGATCGGAAGCAGAATCGCGCACTATCCTCCACCGCTCTCCTTTCAACGTTCTGTCAGCACTCGTACTTCCCCACGCGCAATCCATCCACGGACTTGCACCCCGACGACCCGTTTATGGTCTCGTACGTTGTGTATCACCACTTCCGCTCTCTCGGATGGGTCGTACGCTCCGGCGTGAAGTTCGGAGTTGACTACATCCTTTACAACCGGGGACCCGTTTTCTCGCATGCTGAATACGCAGTTGTGGTTCTTCCGTCCTACGAGGACCCCTACTGGTCCGCAACTGAAGAGCGGCAAGCGCAGTGTGCCCAGAAACAGGCCCGTAGCTGGTGGTGGTTCCATTGCGTCAACCGGGTCCAGGCGCAGGTGAAGAAGACCTTGATGGTTTGCTACGTCGACATCCCACCTCCCGCTTCGGATGATCCGACGGCAGCTTCAGAGGGGGATATTGGAGCCCTCCTTGGCCGGTATCAAGTGCGAGAAATGACGATTCGACGATGGGTGCCGAATCGGACACGAGACTAGGTACGGAGTCGCCGGTGGTGCTATTATTATCTTAGTGATGATTTTTCATTCTGTACATAATATGTCGGACTGTCTAGGCCATGTAACAATATGTAACCATTCAACTCATTAATTCTCTTGCGTTGCTCGTCGACGCTAAAACCGACCGGGCAATATTACATGGTCACGTGGCGGACGCGTTCCTCGCGTTGGTTCATGACGGCCACTGACGCCCTCTTTTCCGCTGGATTCATCGCTGCCGGGATCATGAATTCCAGACATGGTTGGTGAGGGAGCATTGATGGATAGAAGAGACCAGAAAAAGGAAAAATGAAAAAGAAGGAAAGGCAAGGGAAAATGGAGACCCAACAGGACAGTCTGGACATTGCCAACCTGCAACGCGTCGCGCTGGGGCAGGTAAGTTGATTGATCCTGGTCGGTTTCTGGTGGCGTTCTCATGTCGATCTCTCTCGCTCTAGGAATTTCCTCATTCCCAACTCTCCCCCCAGCAGCTCGAACCTGTCGAAATTTCTCTCTCCGAGACCCGTGATCCTCCGTCTTCACGAAATCTCGACGATTCGGTGTCGCTCGCAGCGCCGCATAGCCCTCGGAATTTATCACCGTCGCATCGGTCCCGGTCCTCCCTGTCGCCCTCGGGAGAACGACAACGACAGCATGATACGGTAGCATTGAAAAACGACAACCGACCAGTCGATCAAAATCGTGTGCCCTTGCAACAACCAGTGAAAATGAGTTCTGCGGAAACGGTGCCTTCCGACACTCAGGTCATCTCTCAATCGGTGTATGACGACCTCATCAAACAGAACCAGGAGGCTGCCGCCCGCAATGAGACGGATAATAGTTTGGCGGATCGGGCAACGCTGGCAACCATGTATGAGGGTGATAGTGGTCACATAGATCTGCTAGCGGGGTTCGACCACATCAACACCGACACGGCCAATGCCGACGAGAACGAGGACCAGAGTAGCTTCAAATTGGGCGAATCATCCCCCATGCATTACCAGCCGAGTTTCTTCCCCGAATCCCAGCGCTTTGTGTCCAAGACTCCCGCGACGGTGGTGAAGCGCAGCGAGACCGACGGCTTGAATACGGGTTCTCCTACCGTCTCCCGCAATCCACTTGCCTCGGATGTCGGGTCCAGCGGTGGTATCATGGCCTTAAGTCAGGTTTTCAGAGCGACTCAGGCACCGTCCTCTCCTCTGGTCCGTGGCCAGCATTCCGATCCCATGTCTGATCGGCCTTCGCCCAATCTTCCAATCCAGGGTCACCCGCTTGCCGCGACTCTCTCCTCCCCGTTGAATCACATCGCAGCAACCTTTCCACGGGACTCATCAGAGCCTCAGCTGAACTACATCACCGTAAAGGAATCGCAAGCAGAACGCGAGAAGATATTACGGGAGAGACTGACGCGCTCGGCGGATTATGTCTATTCGGAGGATCATAGTGATGGTGAGTTTGATAAGGAGCCTAGCTTTGTTGAGCGTATGGCACGCCAGCGAATGATTGACCAGGAGGCTGCAGCTCAGTTTTCGGGGCTTACAGCCCCCGCAAGACCCCCAAGCCGCCGGGGCAGATCAACTGGCAAGGCATCCGAGGAACCCAATCAGTCGGCCGCTGCTGTTCAAGAGGGTAGGCAGCAGACCGGCATTGGCGCCCTACCGACAGACGAAGCTAGCGAGGAAGAAACAGAACATGAGCAAGAGCGTCATCAAGCAGTGTCCAAGACTCCGGCGCTGAATCCTTCAAACGAGGAAGAGAAGGAAAATTATGAAGATCCTGCAACGACTCCGCGCCCTACGGCGACCAACGCACATGATCGCCTTTCACAGGTATTATCGTTAGATGGAAGTCCGTCCCCGAGACCTAGGAAGCCGATCAGCGCGCCTGCCGACTCCCAGCGACAGTCTCAAGACGAGACCCGGGACAACCTCATGGGCGGTATTGGCAGATCATCACAAATTATGATGGTCGAGGATTCCCAACAATCTCCTAAGCATGATCAGGATGAGACGATCAACAATACTAATCCAGAACCGTGGACACAGTACGCTGCGTCACACCAGAATTCGCAGATGCCGCGGTCGTATGGCCCCGAGCATACAGTGTGCTCGCCCGAAAAGCCTACTCGCATACAGTCCTCTCCTCCGTCGGCATCTCAGCGAAGCCGGGTCTCGTTCCAACTTGATCAACATAGGCGGTCTCGGGGGAGGTCTGGCTCGGCCTCTTCTCGCGAGTCCTTAGAACATCTTGCCCGGAATCCTATTGCTCATGATGGCACCATGCTGCCTGGCCAAACCAAGGAACCAAATTCTACAGGAGGGCTCGAGAAGAGTTCGCGTTCTGATCCTCGAGAGAAATCGTCGTCAATGCCCTCTCGCGTTGCGGAAACACCAGTCCACCACGCAAGGAGCTTTGGAGATGAGATTCCAGCAACAGATGTCCCAGAAACAAGCCCCAATCGACTCCAAAATGATTTGATGGACCAAGAAGATGACGACTTGCCCCCTATTCACCCGACTGTGCACGAAAGAATCTCCCATTCTCAGCCCGCAAATCCAGACAGCTCATCTCCCCTGAAAAGCCGACTTAATTCTAAAATCCTATCTAGTCCGAGCGGGAGGCAGCGCAGGGCTTTGACCGAAATCGCAGCTGATGTTTCACCTCGGGCTGGACTAGGTCCTTTTGACGTCGACATCAACATACTCTCTGCCGACGATCGGGAATTTAGGTCTGCGATTGATATGTCCCCAATACCACCCAGAAAGAAACGCCGTAGAAATGATGGCAGAAGTATCTGTGCATCTGATTCTTTGATCCCGGTGACACCTCGGCCGACTTCCTATCTTCCTCGCCTCGAAGAAATTGAACCGACTGGAACGGGAGAGCCGCAACAACCAGAACCAGAAATGGCACCGGAGACAGTCTTCGAGAAACGATCGAGACCTTCTCGGCGAAAGGACCCTTGGGATCTAGACGACCCCCCCAAGGCCCATATACCACGAACTGGAGGCCCTAGGCCACTCGCGCGCTCTCTAGAAAAGAAACCACAGCGATCCCGTGAACCAGCGAAGGATATCGACGTTCAACCCGCTGTAAGCCGCCATCACCAAAGTACCAGTCCGGATCCTTTGGCACAGCCTCAAACAACACCGTCAACTAAAACCCTACTTAAACAACCAAAGCACAACGTTGCAAGCGAGCCAGTAAGGATAGAATTACCGTCTGCCGATCTCGTTCAAGTTGCTGTTAATCAGGTGTTTGCTCCCTGGAGTGGATCAAAACGAGCCTACTATCCCGCGACTTGCTTTGGTAAACCATTTGGGACCTCAAGCACTAGGTACCTTGTGAAGTTCGAGGATGCTGCGCCTATTGAAGTTCCCATGAGTGCTGTCAAAACCTTGGAATTGAGGGTTGGTGATGCCGTCAAAGTGGATATGCCTAATGTTCCCAAGGTCACGCACATCATTCGAGGCTTTGCCGACAAGCTTGGCGCGGATGAACTTTCTATAGAAGCTAACAATGGAGCGGTGCCAATGACTGATGTTTATGGGCACGCAACTGCTATATTGGGACCAAAGCAACGGAAAAGTCTCCCCAGCGGAGGACTCACAGGGCCTGAAAGCGTGGTCAAGGTTCCAATCTCTCGGATCTATTTGGACACAATCCTTTGGAACCAACTCAAAGACCGCGCATATTCCTACAACTCTGTGCCGATCCAGTCCGACAGCAGATTTCAGACACCCTCGGAGAGACACTCAACCCCGATCTCCCCAAGTACTCGATTGTCTCGCAGCATCCGGTTTTCGAACGGCGTCTTCTCAGGGATGGTATTCGCTGTGTCTTATGGCGACAATAATGATACGAAATCACGCATCACCCAGATGATCCTGGACAACGATGGACGCATCCTGCATGATGGCTTTAATGAGCTGTTCGAATTACCTCCGAACGCTCCACTTGCCACGCCGTCAAAATCGCCAGCTCCAGGTGCAATAGAGAACAGAAACTACCTACGTCTTACCCGCGGTGCCGAGGATGTTGGATTCGCTTGTCTGATAGCCGATAGGCATTCTCGACGCCCAAAATATATGCAAGCGTTGGCTCTGAACCTGCCGTGTCTTTCGGGCCGCTGGATAGAAGACTGCGTAGCCCAAGGCCGGGTTGTGGACTGGCAGTTGTATCTGCTACCGGCCGGTGAATCGTCTTATCTGAACGGAGCCACAAAATCAAGGATGCTTACACCTTATCCAGCCTCGGAGGCTCGGCTTCCCGAAGTTATCTCTGCGCGGCCCAATCTCCTGGACGGACAATCTGTTCTTATCGTCATGGGCCGCGGCAAAGCAGACGAGGAACGAAGGAAGGCGTATTTGTTCCTGACATATGCCTTGGGTGCTTCCCGGGTTGAGCGGGTCCCAGATGTCAAGTCCGTGCGCACCGTTCTCGACCAGGAAGGAGGTACCGCGGACAAATGTGAATGGGACTGGATCTATGTCGATAATGATGAAAAGGCATCGGCGATTGCGACGATCCTTGGAGCTCCTCTGTCAGGCTCGCAGAAAACCCAATCGACCCAGAAGCCCAAGAAACGCAAGCGAGCGGAGTTTACGGAGTCGATCAGCAGCAACGGCGCCGGTTTGAATACCAACGTCAAGATAGTCGGTAATGAGTTCGTCTGTCAGAGTCTGATTCTGGGAAAGTTGTTTGATTGAAATGCAGTGCCAGACCTAGTCCTGTTACTTGAGCACTGGCCTCAGATACTCACTCTCCTTTCAATTTCGCGGTTAGCAATGGTTCATGTTGTCATGTTGTTGTGATCAACGGTGTATGTGCATGGGATGGCAAAGGATTTCTTGTGTTCGAGGTCGATGGCGCGATTTGGAATAGATACCCTGTGGCTTCATTAGTTTGTCCGGATTATGTTGTTGAAATATAATAAGATTGAAGATTTGCTACATCTCAGGCGCATGTGTACATGGAAGAACAACTTGGTAATTGCAGATATCTTTCTATAATACAAAAAAAGCAAAACACCGAGGGATTCCGTGATTGTGTGACGCAATCGAATGCATGTGTCGTAGATTAAGATGACAGTAGAAGAGGCGCGGGGTGGGGAGATAAAAAGTTTGAGACATGCATCCATCATCTTTAACGGCCACCCTTGCCCTTCTTCGCCGACTTCTTGTTCTTCAGACTCTTCATCTGAGCCGCACGCTGCGCCCGAGCCTGTCTCTTCCTCCACGCCATCCATCGGTTATTGCGGTTGTACGGCTTGGCCGTGATGCCAGCCTTCTCGGCCGCGCGACCAATCTGCCAATTGGCCTGACGGTACATGTATCCCGGACGCAGCTGGACTCCGGTGGCCGCGTCGGCGGCCTGCACACTCGCAACCATGGTGCCGTCCTCTCCGGTCGTGGCCACCAGATCCGACTGAGGCTCGACGGGCACGTCTGGCGTGCGGGCAACCGCAACGCGGTTCAACTTCCGCCGGGTCGGGGCGTTGCGAGGCGTCGGCAGTTTTCCGTCCTTCTCGAAGACAACCCCGATGTACTTCCGCTCCGAGTGTCGCTCCGGGTCGAGGTAGTAGCGCACGTAGCCCGCCTCGGTGGCGTAGATGGTGTGGTCTCTGCCAATGGCGCAGTTCTCGCCGGCAAACCATTTCGTGCCGCGCTGTCGGAAGATGATGCAGCCGGGGACCACGTATTCGCCGCCGGTGCGCTTCGCGCCGAGACGTTTTCCGGCCGGATCACGGGAGTGACGGTTTGCTGCTCCCTGGGTCGCGTGGGAGGCATGACGGACGTGAGACAAAGGGAGGAGAGATTTGGAGAACGGCGAGGGTGCGGAGGTGGTTCGAGGTTGGAGGATGGATGACGAAGGGCGAGAGATGGGCTGAGCGGCCCGAAGAGAAGGGGCAATTGCCCTCTCCAGCACCCGGAACGGGGCCAGCAGTCTGGGTTGTAACATAGCTGGGCTTGTGTGTTTGTGGGGTTGTGTTGGCAAGTCGAACGCAATGTCGGTGCTGGAGCGAGTTCGAGTTGAAGCGGCTTTTTTTCTCGGCGCGGATGGCCTTGGCGGCGTCACGTGCAGCGGGCGCCGATGGGATCGACGGGTATAGACAACTATCACTTTCCCTGCGATCTATACTACATACTACTCTACTATCCCGATCACTTCCTGTTCCTCCCTCGCTACTTGAGGATCTAGTTAGTCGTCCCGGGTGCACTGTGAGCATCGAACCCGGATCTCTATTCACGCCATTATCTGCATTCCCCGATCATCGACGATGTTGTCAGCCTGGATCAAGACCCTCGGGGCTTGGCTCCTGTTGGCCTCGATGGCCCACGCCCAATTCCAATTCTTTGAGCACATGTTCGGAGGCGGCGGTGGCGGAGGAGGAGGCGGTCGTCAGGGACATCAACAGGCTTCTCAGAATGTCCCAAGCGACAGCTCTCGGTATCAGAATTCATGGGAATCAGGTAACGTGACCCACAGCCCTGGTACAGCCGAGTCGCATCAAGTTCATAATTGACTAACCTGGACCTGCGCAGCCACCTGTGATAAATATCTCTGCCCTGGAACTCTTGCGTGCGTCCATTTCCCGCATCACTGCCCATGCCCTCACTCGGACGTCGAAGAGAAGGTCGAACTCGGCGAAGGAAGCGCCGTCTGCATCTCGAGAGGCGGATATGAGCTTGGGGAAGCTTCACGGAAAATCGAGCTGGCTCGGAAGGGACTTTTGTGATTGTGTCTGGAGCGATTACGAGAATTCGTCGAGACCAGTGTTTATGGGCATCGTTGTACTGAGTATGTTTATCTTGGATTCGTCCTGAAACAAGTGGTGTTTGGATAGCAAATGATTATTGTATAACGGCTCAGACACTTTGGGTTAAATTGTATTCCTGCCTAAGACTAGAGTAGACCAATCTGTCGAAGTCGACCACTGCCCCAATCAACACTCTACACCTTAGATGATATAGATGGTTTTTACCGCCACAAGAACAAGTTGGCTGATGAAGAGAAAATTTGCGACACTCTCAAGCCGTTGCCATTGATCCCGAACAGTTCAGTAGGATTCACGTTGAACAAGGCTGTTCATGTTCTGCTTGAGGACTTCGTACTTTCTGGCTGCTTCTGCGGGAAACCTTTTTATCTCCGCTTAAGTCCGCCGCTCCGTCATAATTTCGCACGCCACTGCGCGTTATTTCTTGCTAACATTCAAGTCTTGATCAACCCCGTTCCGATCCCCTACTCATCTACCTTGTCACCTAGTTAATTGGTAACGACTTTATAACGAGAATTTCAGTTCACGATCTGTAATGTGGAGTGCCACGCTCCGCCAGCCACCGGCGCGATGGATTCGGGCGCCTGGCCGGGCACTTTCGAGCTCTTTCACCAGAGGACGCATCAGTCCTCGCGGCCCTCGCAATTCCATACGCAGGTCAGAACCGCTTAGAAGAGAGCGAATACCCGCGAACGCAGAAACGAATGAAACCGGCTCTTCCAACCCCGAGTACGACCCATCGCAAAACTCACTACTTTCTCCCGTCCATATACCCGAGGATCCGCAGGCCGTGCTCAAGGAGACTCATCCAGCGACGGGGATATTGGCCAATTCTGGGCTAGTGGTCCAGCGACAGCTGGAGTTGATGAATGTGATGATGTTAGTGTTGTCTCTTTACCGTTCAATATCAAGCCTGTAAACTAACTTCTTGGTGTTATCTTGCGACAGCGGGTTTGAACAAGCCAACAAGTATGTGATCATGGATGCAAACGGAAACCATATTGGGTATATGGCAGAGCAGGAGAAGGGCATGGCAAGCATGATGGCTCGACAGTGGTTTCGCACACATCGAGGCTTCGTGACGCATGTGTTCGATAGACATGAGAATGAAGTGCTTCGAGTACGTATTCCGCCGTCCGTTGCGAGAGAATCCCCGTTCTAACTCTGATCATTCCAGTTTCACCGTCCTTTTTCCTGGATCAACTCTCGTATCCGAGTATACAACCCCCTTGACATTGCAGCCGGTAGCAACTCTTCCACAAGTGTTCAACCGGTCCAGCCAGGTGCACTGGCACAGGCGGCAGAAGCCTCAAATGCTCGAGTCTCGCCACTAGGATTTGATGAAATGCGTGTGGTCGGGGAAGCCCAGCAACAGTGGGCGCCGTTACGGCGGAAATACAACCTCTTCACCTACCACGCCTCGCCGGACCCAGCGACGGACATGCAAACACAGAGTTTGCCCCTTTCACAGTCGGGTCTTTCCGGCGCGCAACAGATGCAGCTTACACAATCGACACACAACGGGCCAGGACAGGGTGAATACAACCAATTCGCTTATGTTGATGAACCCTTCTTGTCATGGGACTTCGGTCTTCGTTCGGCGGATAGCCGCCTAATAGGATCAGTCAATCGCAATTTTGCTGGATTTGCTCGGGAGATCTTCACGGATACCGGTGTATACGCCCTGCGAATGGACTCGGCAGCCCTCGACGCTGAACAAGCAGCTGCACAAAACAATGCTGTTACGGGCATGACTCTCGACCAGCGTGCGGTGATGTTGGCTACGGCGGTCAGTATTGATTTTGACTACTTCAGTCGTCATAGTGACTCTGGCGGCTTTGGTTCCTTCCCTCTATGGATCCCTGGATTCGGTGGAGACGCTGCTGCTGGGGGTGCGGCCGGGGGCGCAGCCGCTGGTGAAGCCGGTGCTGTAGGGGAGACCGCCGCAGGGACGCTGGGTAGAGCCGGCGCTGCTGGAGGCATGGCCGACAGTGCGGCGGCTGGAGCTGCAGGCGCAGGAGCCATGGCAGGATACGATGCCTTATCTAGGGGCATGTCGGCGGATGGTCAGTCCCAATCCGCTTCACCAGATCAGCACCCGCCGCCAATGGATCAACAGTCGCCGACTTCCGGGCAAACAGGTCCCTACGGAGATGTTTGGGCCGAAGAAGAAGATCCTTGGGGCCATGGTCAGGAGGATCCTTGGGCCGACGACGACCTGGGCGATGGCGGCGATGACGACTTTTTCTAATCGGCGTTCAGACACGGTCAATTATACTGGGCCTTGCCTATTTTCTCCTCTCAATTTTTAGATCTTTCACCTAATCCTAATCTGAAGGTCCCAGTCACACCACCGGTAATAGACAGAACCTGCGACATGGAAAGTGGCTCGGTGCGCGGGCAGGGCTATACGTACAACATCCATAGGATAGGAGTACAAAGAGCAAGGGGCTTGGTCTTGAGCCAGTGGCGTCCATATATTGTGCAAGAACTGGATGTCAAGACAAAGAAACGTTCCCGGGCTCTGGTTTGGTGCGGACCTTATCTGCTAACAACGAAAGAAACCGCGGCCGTGCATGAAACACAGAACCTGTTCTAGCCGAATCAAGATCTTGCGTCTCTTTAGGTGCTTATGCACCAACAGCATCTAATTTGTCCGCGGTGATCCCTTGGCCTGCGGGAGTCCGCTTACGCTCATTGAAACATTGACGGGAGCTGCTTACGGTGTATATTATAGACAGTTTAGGGTAGAAGATATCCAAGTCATTTGGCTTTTGAACAGGGGCTTATATACCCATGACGTAGAAAGTGAAAGGAGATTGCATTGATCTGTATACTAGCATGTAGTAAATAGTGGTTAGACCCAAATGACGTCGGGCCGATCCCCCTCGGCGGGACTGACAAACGCCGCTTTTCCTCCGGTGGCAACAACCCTCTTTTTCCTCTTCTTTCTCCTTTCCCAACTTTTCTCCCCTCAAACCTCATCTTCAAGACATCTCTTATCTTTACTCCACTACCACTCCGCCCCCGATTGATCCCCGATTCAATTCCATTCGCACCGCTCAACCAACCTACGCACGGATTATCCCCGCCTCGTCTTTCCAGCACCACCTCAAACCGGACGAATACATTCCTCATCATGTCCTCGGTCGCGCAGAAACGTCTTTTCCACGAATACAAGAACCTCTCGACGAATCCCCCCGATGGAATTACGGCTGGTCCCGTCACCGAAGATGACATGTACCATTGGGAAGCCCTCATCCAGGGTCCCGAGGGTACGCCTTTCGAGGGCGGCGTGTTTGCGGCCGAATTGAAATTCCCCAAGGATTATCCTTTGAGTCCACCGACGATGAAGTTTCTCGGGGGCGGTGTCTGGCATCCGAATGGTGAGTTTTTTTCTTAATTTGCGCAGATAGGGAGGGGAAAAGCGGCATATCTTGACTGACGATGGATCTTTCTAGTGTATCCCAACGGAACCGTCTGTATCTCCATCCTGCACCCTCCCGGCGATGATCCCAACCACTACGAGCACGCTTCGGAGCGATGGTCGCCCATCCAGAGCGTCGAGAAGATCCTTATTTCCGTCATGAGCATGCTGGCCGAGCCCAACGACGAGAGCCCTGCCAATGTGGAGGCCGCAAAGATGTGGAGAGAGCGACGGACCGAGTATGAGCGCAAGGTTCGCGATGAGGTCCGCAAAGGTCTGGGATTGTAAAGCTTGGGAGGGAAGCGAGACCTTCTTCGATTCCTTTACTAGTATTCCTCCCCCGTATATAGGTCGCCCGTTGTGTGATCGCCTGGTGCGTGGCATAACTTTGGTCTGGGTGCATTGATGCGACATAGGCGTTTGTGGTGCATGTGTTCCTAAAGCTTTCAATTATTCGGTGGTTCGTCTGCATTGCTGATAAACTGATGCTGATAGAATCATTGATGGGTTTCTATCTACTTCTTTTCGTTCATTGCCTAAAGCTAAACTGGTTCTGATAAACTACATCCCACGAAGACGGATGCTCTCGAGACCTGGTAGCCTTCTCGGGACCTGACTCATTGGTCTACGGTGGTCATCTTCTGATCAATCCATTCTTCAATTCCACCGTCTCGGTCATAAAGGATCTCCAGCTCAGCTTTCAGGTTAAGCATAAGCATCTGCTGTAACTCCGCACGCCATTCAGGCTCGGGCCCATCCGCTGCCCACACCGGATTGCTTGAGAGCATGGCGATACTCTTTTTCCGGTCCCTCGGCGTCAGTTGAATGAGTGCATCATCTCCCAGTGGGCTGGCGCCTGCCGCGACATCGGACGTGCGCAGCCCCAACCAGCGCAAGCATGGAATATTTAGTCTTGCATTTTCTCGTGTATGCGCCATTGGGCCGTATTTATAGGTTGACATGATAGCCATGCCGTCGGGGTCGCTGTCAACCAAGGCATAGAAACGTAGAGGGTCGTCCAGCAGTCGTCTACTTTCTGACAACTGCCGGACAAACTGACGCGTGCATAGGTCCGGATAGCCTTTCCCCTTGGACTAGTTCAATAGCCACCGTGAGAATGGGTGATTTGAGGTCTGTCTTACTGTGATCAGAATCCCTTTTCCGGCCGCTGCTCTGGTGTGATAGTCATTCCTGGCTAACCGGCGATAGACGGCCTAGACGGCTTTGAGAACTGGGTTTACCGACCAGATATCTCATTAGGGAATTTACCTCTTTTTCCAGAATCAGCACCCAATTGACACCTGAAGTGTCAATGCTGTCTATATCACCTATCCTCGGTATCAAAGCGTCCTAGATGAATCACTCAGCTGTGGGAAGGACAAGAATGGCCGATGCTATTGACCTTGTCAGGTGCACAGCCGTCGATTGCCATATTAGCTTTGGGTTTGAGCAGAAAATGACCCGTAACAAGCCCTTTCGCTGCTGCCTCCTTTGGTAGTGGTGAGTACTAGGCTCAGTGAAGCGTTCGCATTGAACATGATAAATTACCACATTCAATGACGTCCGATCCACCCCAATCGTACGAGCCAGGTCGTCAATGACAGTGTCAACGGCTCTCTGGGATCCGAAACACGCTGGATCACTGTAATAGATGTCTCTGTCAAGGCATTGGCCGTCGTCTCAGTAGACAGGTCTCTCTCCGATCTAGGAAACACCAACCTTTTAGAGATCACCAAGCCTGCGTGAATTGCTTCGGTGATGGCTGCGAGAATACGAATTATGATAGCTATTGGATCATTGAGTGTCTATAAAAGCAATTTGGAACAAAGATAGTATACTGAATTTCCAGGCCTCATGAGCGTCTTTGCCTGGCCAGGTGTAATTGATAGTAGGAGATTGCGACTCGTCAGTTTCCAGGGCACCAGTGATGGTATTGATATAGCAGGACTTCCTTTGCGGTTTTTGGCTTATCGATATGGCTGGTTGACCATTTGGCGACGACAACTCATGAAGAACCGCAGAGATGGTGGTAGCAATATAGTTCTGTACTGGGTCGTTGGGGGCTGGGTCTTCCTGGTGAAGGGAAGCCATGGATGGACGGGAGGAAAAAGAAAAAAAAAGGCAAAGAATTTCGAACAAGCAATGTCGCCTCAACTAGCTGGGGATTTCACATTCCTCCCACACGGATCTCATAGAGAAGAGAGAGAGGTTATTATTTTACGATCGATATATTCTTCAGCCTGCCCCTGATGACTAAGCGGGGCCAGACCGATCCCCGGATCTTCGCCAGGTCGCTACGAATGATCCTTTCTTCCTTGTCACCTTGCGCCCACTAGAACCGACCTCACTAGGAAGGACTCGTTTGACTAGCCTGCTCTACGGAGGACAATTTGTGGACTGGGCTTTCGAATATGGCTGGCGACCACATTGCCCCTTGGAGAACGGCCGCGCAAGGCCATCTAACCCTTGATGCCAACGGGGACCCCAAAACAGACTATTCTAGATGGCGTCTACTGGATGACCGCGGCCGCCAGACCTGGCATTATCTTGAATCAGACGAGGAGAATGAACAATGGCCTCAATCAATCGCTGACAAATACTTTTTGGGTCTTCCTTTGGTAGGATGTTCTCTTCTAGACCCACCCCTTTCCTTGGACTGCTTTGGACCAATCTAACACTCTATGTTAGGACCTACCGGCATTGCCAAAACCCAAAACTCCGTTGCAATGCGCCGAGAATGGGCTAGAGTTCTTTTCCAAGCTTCAACTCCCACCGGGGAATTGGGCCTGTGAGTATGGTGGTCCGATGTTTCTGCTTCCCGGAATCATCATCACCTGGTATGTTACCAACACGCCGATCCCCCCGGAATATGCGACGGAGATCAAAAGGTATCTCTTTGCTCGCCAACACCCGGAAGATGGTGGTTGGGGCCTTCACATTGAAGGCCACAGCTCCTGCTTGGGCACTTCTTTGAATTATGTCGCTCTGCGCCTGATCGGCACCAGTGAAGACGATCCTCGAATGATCAAAGCGCGTGGTCTGCTACATCAACTTGGAGGCGCCATTTATAGCCCGCATTGGTCGAAGTTCTGGCTCAGCATCCTTGGTGTCATGGAATGGGACTGCGTCAATCCCGTCCCTCCTGAGATCTGGTCTGTCAACCTCTCCCCCCTTTCTAGTACACTGCTCTCATCCATTGTCTTTGTCATCTTCCCTTTCCTCCATAGTCCGCGTCTATGATGGAATCCTAACTCATACTAATGACCCTGCTCAGGCTTCTTCCCAATTGGGTTCCGTTTGCTCCCTGGCGATGGTGGATTCACATGCGTCAGGTTTTCCTGCCCATGTCGTATCTCTGGTCCAAGAAATTCAGCCATCCTTTAGACCCACTCACCACGCAACTGCGGCAAGAATTGTACACCGAACCATACGACTCTATTGATTTCGCAAGCCACCGCAATTCGATCCACAAGGCCGACAACTACTACCCTAAAACCTGGCTTCTGAACACGGCAAACTTACTTCTCGTCAACGTTTGGAACCCCTACCTCCGGTTCTCGGGCCTGGTGCGCCGGGCAGAAGACTGGACTTGGGAACTTATCCGCATGGAAGACGAGAACACCGATTATGCCGGCCTCGGACCCGTGAGCAACCCCATGAACATGGTGGCTTGTTATATTCACGATGGTCCCGATAGTTATTCGGTCCGTCGCCACAGAGAGCGCCTCCATGACTACATGTGGATGAAGAATGAGGGCCTGCTATCGAATGGTACCAACGGTGTCCAGGTGTGGGACACTGCCTTCATCACGCAGGCCATAGTTGTTGCCGGGTTTGCGGATGACCCCAAATGGCGCCCAATGCTTACCAAGGCCCTGGAATTCCTGGAGGACCATCAAATCCAAGAGAATGTCCCCGATATAGAGAAGTGTTACCGTCAACACTGCAAGGGCTCGTGGCCCTTCAGCAACAAGACGCAGGGGTACAATGTTAGCGATTGCACTGCTGAGGGCTTGCGATCCACTATCCAGCTCCAAGAAATTCACAACTACCCGAAACTGATCTCTGAGCAGCGTCTGAAGGATAGTGTCGATTGCCTGTTACTGATGCAGAACCCTTCTGGTGGATACTCCGAGTACGAGGTCACCCGAGCATCTCCTAAGATTGAATGGCTGAATGCCGCCGAGGTGTTTGGTGGCATCATGATTAGCTACGACCACCCGGAATGTACCACCGCCTCCGTAACAGCACTCTCATTGTTCAGCAAGTTCTACCCTGATTACCGCGCCGACGATATCAAGGCGGCCAAGGAAAAGGCAGTGCAGTACATCAAGCGCGTTCAGAGACCCGACGGTAGTTGGTACGGATCCTGGGGTATCTGCTTCACCTACGCCGCCATGTTTGCCCTGGAAAGTCTGGCGAGTATTGGCGAGACATACGAAACCAGTGACTACTCTCGCCGCGGATGTGAGTTCCTCTTATCGAAGCAGATGGAGGATGGAGGGTGGGGGGAGTCCTACCTCAGCAGTGCAAACCACGTCTACACCCACCATGAGCAATCCCAAGTCACCCAAACTGCGTGGTCGTGTCTTGCCCTGATGGAAGCGGGATATCCACACAAAGAGCCACTTCAGAAAGCCATGAAACTGCTCATGTCACGACAGCAGCCGAATGGAGAATGGCTGCAGGAAGCTATTGAGGGAGTCTTCAACCAATCCTGGTGAGTTTCCTTTTTTGTGGTTTACTCGACAACCCGGAAGACTGAAGCTAACTGAGCTGCAGCATGATCTCTTACCCCAACTACAAACTTTACTGGCCTATTCGCGCGCTGGGGCTTTACAGTCGCAAGTTCGGCAATGAAGAGCTCTTGTGAAGGATGGCTGCTATGCTGCAAGAATAGCACGATTTGCGGGGACCTCGGTCTTCGCGTGTATGTATATGTATCTTTAATTAATCAATGACATGACACCTTGGTTTACTAATTCCTTCAACGATAACCGCATTATCTATTCACTCACAGAAAGCTATGTATGTAGTTAAAAACTGTAAGGTTTTTTAAACGCTGCTCTAGACATCGTTGAAGCGTGGAGATAATGAGAGCAACAGAGAACGATAGATAATCATTTCTCGTCTCTCGCATACTGAGTTGAGACTGGATGCCTTGGTGCCTTACTGGTAGGCCAGGTCAGGTGACCGAAACTTAAAACAACCACAAATTTCACATGACCATCTGGGCGTGGTTGAAACCAAAGATAACAGAAATTGTATGGGTCAAAACATGTGTACGCCTCTCCCAACATTAAACGCTAAAAAAATGACCTGAAACCTGGGGAGCTGGCGAACAATGTGCCCAGCTATCTCATCCAGCTTTCCTTTTTGCGATACCATGAGTATTACGACCGTAGGTCCCGATCAAGAGGAGGCAACGAGCTCTCCCTATCTTTCCTCGAGGTCGAGTTACCTGCCTCGGTGGGCACGTGGGCGGTCAACCGGGAAGGTATCCCCGCAGTTTCCCAATCGAAAGCGATGGAATCAACATTTCGTTGCGGCGGTGCTAGACAACAGAGCTCGTTCGTCTGTTTGACTCACTCTTCCCTGTTTGGCTTCCCTGACACCTTGGAACTTGCTGCCTGTCGCACCCTCACCGTCACACTCTTGCTTTTCTTTCATAGATTGAGCTCCGTGCGGAGTCATTTGTAGCGTCACGGAGCTAGAGATACTACAAATCCGACAAAATGAATTCCGCGTCGCTAGGAGACAAGGCGCTCGCCAACTCCGACTTTCCCGATGCAATTCGATACTTTACCCAGGCGCTGATTGAGCTTCCTCGTGCGCCGCCATACTACATCAAACGATCCACCGCTTTCTCTCGACTAAAACCCGCGGACGGTGGGCCCAACTATTCGGCCGCTCTACATGATGCCGAGATCGCTCTGACGCTTGCGCTGGAGCGTGGGAAACACGAGCTTATCATGGCCGCCCAGATGAGACGAGGTGTCGCGCTATATCAGCTGGGACGGTATGGGGATGCCGCGTTCGTGTTCGGGACTATTCAGGCAAAGACCGCTGCGGAGGATGAGAGTGGGGACAAATCGGAGAAGGTGAAGAATGCTATGGCTGGCGCAGCCAAAAATAAATATCAGCAGGAGCTGCCTATCTGGACGCTGAAAGTGAAGAGTCAGCTTAACAAGCTGGCCGAGGGGGACGAGAAAGCTGCTGTGACGGTCGTTGAGTATCCCACGGGTATCCAAAGCCCTAGCGAGAAGGAACTTAAGAAGCAGCTGGAGGCATTCAAGTCGGGAAAGGCTGGGGACAACGGTGTTCTGGCGCCGGAGAAGCATCAGGGCTCGACCGACGCGGGAGCTGCTTCTTCCGCCTCGGAGAGCAAGCCGGTATCATCAAATGCTCCGGCTGCTCCTTCGGTTGAAAAGGTCAGACATGAGTGGTATCAATCTAATGAGTCCGTGGTCGTGACCCTGTATGTGAAGGGAGTACCCAAGGACAAAACGAGTATCCAGCTCGCGAGCGACTCGGTATGTTTCCCACTCCACTTCCGCTGTTTCAGCAAACTCCAAGATACTAATCAGTGCAATGTCAGGTTACCGTTGGATTCCCTCTTCCGTCTGGCGCTGAATATGACTTTACTCTCGATCCATTGTTTGCCACTATCGATGCTGCCGCATCCAAGGTCTCCGTAATGTCCACCAAGATCGAACTCTCATTGCGCAAACAGACGCCGGGCCAGAAATGGAGTGCTTTGGAAGCCACGTCTACGGACGTTAAGATATCCGACCGGCAAGCCGCTGTGAGCTCTGCACCATCCAGTAGCGCCGCGCCGATCTATCCTTCGTCATCTCGCAAGGGACCAAAAGACTGGGACAAGTTGGCATCAACCTTAACGGAAAAGAAGACCAAGTCCGGGGACAAGGGCAAGGGCAAGAAGAAAATGGCGACAGGCGATGGGGCAGCCGACTCTAAGAACGATAGGGCAGGTAATGAATCGGACGGTGGGGAGTCGGTCGACTCGGATTACGAGGGTGGCGACCCAGTCGACTCTTTCTTCAAGAAGCTGTACGCTGGTGCTGATCCGGACACTCGCCGTGCCATGATCAAGAGTTATGTTGAAAGCCAGGGAACATCTCTGAGCACTAACTGGAATGAAGTCGGCCAAGGCAAAGTCGAGGCTCGGCCTCCCACTGATTGAAGCGTCTTGACTTGGAACAAGGCGCTTAAAATATTACCGGAGTTAGCTTTACGGGGTCATCGTTGCTTTTCTAGCGGGTGTTGCATGTGGTCGATATCCTTCGTTGCTCAAGTGAGGCAGGCCAAGGGAAGCTAATAGAATTCCTATTTCTGTTTCATCCTTACTTCTATGCCACACATGTACGTGCGTGTACTGATCACACAGAGCAAAATAATTTCAAATCTGAAGAGCTTAAATGCTGAGTTGGTCATTTCTTAACTCCAAGTTAGATCAATCCATCCGTTCTAGATAAAGAAAGCATCAACGTTTCGCTGATTATTGTGCTGTCGCTTCTTCTGAACAATGGGGGTTTCATTTTAATAAGGCTAGGGCGCCTGACAACTACCCTGCCACATCGCCCTGACTCGCAGGTTGATTCTCGATGTATCCAGAATCCTGATACAGGAAGAACTGAACAAAAATGCACATGTCGAGGAACAGGGTTCCCAGGCTGCCGATCAGCCACGACAAGTTCACGAGAATATACCGGCCATATAACGCCGAGGCTTCCCCGGGACGACACCGGTTGGTCTGTTCCGGTGAGCCACCATGACAGACTGGAGAGTAAGCGAGGATGGAAAGGACGTAAGTCAGATTTCCGATACAGGCGAACAAGAAAAAGAGAAGGGAGACGCCTTCGGTGGACTTGCGCCGGTAATTCAAAAGGATCTGCGGTAGGCGCGAGCCCAGATAGAGGACGGCACAGAAATATCCAAATACTTGGCCTAATGTGTCGAATGACAGGGGAGTATCATCTGGCGGCTGTTCTTCGCCCTTGTTCTTGGTGGACCCCGGGCTGACATACCAGCCTAGTATACCGGCCGCACAGACCAGCAGGATAGCAGAGAAGTTGAAGAGAATGGATTGGATGGCAGATACATGGCGTGCAGTTGCCGTCTGCTTCGGAGAAGGCTCGATGAACGGGGTTGCTGGAGATAGGTGGGTCCCGTCGACCGAGGGATGGAGGATGTCTCGAAACGTGGAAGACGTCGCCGAGTGTCTTCTATAATCAGAAAGGACGGGTGGTTGGACGGTAGAAGAGGAATGGCTAGATTGGTCCTGGACGCCATTTGATTGATATGAGTCGCCATTTGGCTTCGAGGAAAGGAGAGCGGTTCGCTCCGACGCCGGGGCTGAACTCTCGGCGTCATCCTGCGCAGCAGAGGGAGGCTGGGATGGCTCGTCCTTCAGGGTAAAGCCTCGGTAGTAGAAGCATTGCCCTAGCAGTACAATATCTGCTAACGTGTAGTAAACAGCAAGGATGATCATGGTCGGCAGAACGCCTTGCAACACGGCTCCTAGAATGTTGAATACATCGCCAGCCAGCCAGACGACGAGGAAGAGAAGCGACAAGCCATCTGCGGAGCCCCGACGAAAGTTTTCGATTATCTGAGGAGAGAAAACGACAACCCAACAAGCAATTGATATAGAACTGTTTCATTATTAGCAAGGATAGATTTATCGATAGCCCGCTAGGGCAAGTAAGGTAGTTAATGCACCTACCCACAGATCCCGCTCAATGCTTCTAAATCTAAATTCACGGTCTGGGAGGGAAACATGACCGATGTGGATGGACTCACGAATTGAGAATGTTGTCCCCAATTCGATATTCTGGCTCTCGAGAGATTTATGACCGAGGGGACGAAAAGCTTGCAGCAACTCAAAAGGTTCGAACAATGACGTGCAGCAGCCTCCCGCGGTCACGTGACAGAGTCCGGGGAAGTCCAGATGGAACGATCGACATCACTCGTTACTCTCCTTTTCTTTCGATGATCGATCTGGCTGGCCTGCAACAGAAGTCTATGGCGGATGGATTTTTACCTCGAGCATTATTGCTACTCCGCACAGAACAATTATCTGACAGGCCTTCTCTATCCGCCTGTCCCCTGCCACCACATGATATTTGAAGATTAGTCATCTATCAATCGATGATCTCACTTTCTCCCGACCAGGATTTCCTCTCTCGATCCTACTTTCTTCTAGAATTTAGGTAGACGTCTTTCGACTATGCGTCTTCAATGACGACGCCATCAATTCGCATTCCTTTCACCGGCCCGTTGCCTCCGCCGATTATCGTTCCTCCGTCCGCGCGCACCGTCTCCGGGGCCGTTGATGCTCTCTTGTCCTTCTTCGCCGCACCACCGTCGCCATATCTCCGCGGGGTTGATGTGGGAAGACATTCGCAGGCGGTGCTGTTGACGGGTGCGGGAATATCGGTAGCTTCTGGCTTGTCCGACTATCGGGGCGAGAACGGCACGTACATCACAAATCGAACCTATCGACCAATCTACTTCCATGAGTTCCTGACGCGGCATGAATCTCGCAAGAGGTACTGGGCCCGAAGTTTCATCGGGTGGCCAGGCCTGGTAAAAGCGAAGCCGAACTCAACGCACTGGGCCATTCGAGATCTGAGCGCCAAAGGCTACATCAGTTCTGTCGTCACGCAGAACGTCGATTCCTTCCATTCCGCGGCCCATCCGGACCTCGCCACGGTGGAACTCCATGGCTACTTGAGATCGGTGGTTTGCACGAGCTGCCGGAACCAGTTCTCCCGTTCCGAGTTTCAAGAGTCGCTGCAGAGGCTCAACCCGGCCTGGGCGGAGTTTCTAGCCCGGATGGTCGACACTGGGGCACTCGACACGGACAACCCGGAAGAAAGACGACGCAGAGGCCTGAAGCTCAATCCGGACGGCGACGTGGACTTGGCCGAAGCCCCATATTCCACATTCAGGTATCCGTCTTGCCCAACGTGTCTAGAAAAACCGCCGGTACAGGCGGATGGAACCGTGGGCAGAGTGGATGTCGAAAGCGACGGCGCTTGGCTACCCTCGTCCACCGCCGGAATCCTCAAGCCGGCGGTGATCATGTTCGGAGAGAACATCGATCCGGTGGTGAAGGCGACTGCAGAAGAAGCGATCGATGATGCCGGCCGGCTACTTGTTATCGGTAGTAGCCTCGCCACCTTTTCGGCGTGGCGGCTGGTGGAAAGGGCGTATCGGAGAGGCATGCCCATCGGGATTATCAATCTGGGGGGAGTGCGGAATGAGTCCGTGCTTTTTGGGGCAGGAGAGCAAGACCATCCGGTCGGATCCACCTACATTCGCTGCAGCCTCAGTTCTGAGTCGGTGTTGCCCTCCGTCGCGTCTCAGTTGCCATCACTTGGGCGCTTATAGATGGTACTATATACTTTTTTTTTTTTTGGAATATACATACAGGCATGATCTGGGGGTTCTACACGCCGCATGGTTTGTTGGGTACAATCTAGCGCTTCTATGTTCTCTTCTAATTATAGATCGACCTACCAGGTAGTACCTTAAGTCCTTAACTACGGAGTATCTCTATATAGATCGGGAATGCAAGGTAGACGCCGTGGCCGAAGAACGACCGGGCTTTGGTGGGCCTTAGGCGCGGGGGTGGATACCGGGTATTGTACAGCCCGGTAAGTGTATGGTACTGTGGTAACTAGGTATGGAAAGTATCCAGTCTGTCTGCCTTCCTGCCTGAGGTGTAAAGTTACCGGGCGGTATGAGGAAAGAAGTCAGCGCGCAGGAAATGCCGCGGGGTTCGCACTCAGCACCGATCAGCGCCGACTTGACATGGACAGTCGCAGCATCTTAAGAACCCCGAGGGATCCTCACTTGCAGCAAACCACCTCCGCCTATCGCGACATTGTCTCCTCGCTAGTTTCCCCAAAATCCTTCCTGTTCTCTCATCCCCGCCCCAAACCCTCGCCTGCCTCGCCCGGCCACTCATCGACAATGGACAAGGCCCAACAACCCAGCTCGTTCCAGCAGCTGGAAAAGGTGCGTTATCTCCGACTCCGCGCCTGCGATCTAGTGATCCACCGGGCAAGAGACAGAAGGGGAGTGAGAGAGAGACAAGCTAACGTCTGCCGCGTATGGTGTCTCTTTTAGCTCGGAGAAGGAACTTATGCTACTGTACGTTGTCTCTATGATGCTGACCCACCCACTTACCCTTCTCCGCCAGCCTCTGACTATATCGGGTTATGACCATAGGTGTTTAAAGGTCGGAACCGCCAAACCGGAGAATTGGTGGCCCTGAAAGAAATCCATCTCGACTCCGAAGAAGGAACGCCGTCGACCGCCATCCGAGAGATCTCGTTAATGAAAGAGCTCAAGCATGAGAGCATCGTTTCGCTCTACGATGTGATCCATACGGAAAACAAGCTCATGCTGGTCTTCGAATACATGGACAAGGATCTGAAGAAATACATGGACACCCGTAACGATCGGGGCAGCATGGACCAGGCGACCATCAAGTCGTTCATGCACCAGCTGCTGAAGGGAATCGCCTTCTGTCATGAGAACCGAGTGCTTCATCGTGACCTCAAGCCGCAGAACCTCTTGATCAATAAGAAGGGGCAGCTGAAACTGGGAGACTTCGGTCTTGCTCGCGCGTTTGGAATTCCTGTGAACACGTTCTCCAATGAGGTGGTGACCCTATGGTATCGGGCCCCGGATGTCCTCTTGGGTAGCAGGACATACAACACGAGCATCGACATCTGGTCTGCTGGGTGTATCATGGCAGAACTGTACACCAGCCGTCCGTTGTTCCCGGGAACCACGAACGAGGATCAGTTGCAGAAGATTTTCCGTCTGATGGGCACGCCCTCGGAGCGCTCGTGGCCGGGCATCTCTCAGCTTCCGGAGTATAAACCGAACTTCCATGTCTATGCCACACAGGACCTGGGCATAATTCTGCCGCAGATCGATCCCTTGGGACTTGATCTGCTGAACCGGATGCTACAACTGCGGCCCGAGATGCGAGTCAGCGCGCACGAAGCCCTACAGCACCCGTGGTTCCACGACCTGCCTCAGCTGCAGGCTCAGTTGCAGCAGCAACAACAACAGCAGCAGCAACAGCAACAGATGGCCGGAGCGTACGGTGGAATGGTCCCACAACAACAGGCATATTAGTTTCTTAAAGCTCTTTGGTCTGTCTGTTTCCCTTTCTTTGTTTGATATCTATTTTTCTTTTTCTTTGTCTTTCTTTTGGTTCTTTTTTCTTTCCCGTCTCCAGTCTTCTAGGCCCTAATCTGGTAATTCATGTTATGATGGATTGAGGGGCATGATGCGTTGGCAGGTTGAGAAAGGAGGAAAGCGTGGCGTTTTGATCGAGGCAAGGGTATATCGAGCTCATCTTCTCTTTGTTTTCGCGTGATTGACATTCTGGCTGCATACCTATCGGTTTGTGCATAGGTGAAAGTCGGCATATGAAGAAAGCGACATAACATTATGATTCCCCTGCACAACTGCACATACCTGTTTCGTTTACTCTTTCTCCTCGCTCTCTTTCTCCCTCTTGAAATTACCTAGCATTTCCTTATGCGCAAAGCGCTGAAGAACTCCACCAGGATCTATCACGACCGGAGTGAAGAAATGTGAAAGATAAAGGGATAATTGAAAATGGACTGCTCGTCAACCGGGATGGGCATTCTATCACGAATAATGCTCTCCCAGTCCAGATACGTCATGGTATGAATGACTGGTGGACGTGGAACGACTCGTGGCCTCGAGGATTCTTGCTCTGCTCCCCCTTGACCCTGGTTGACTCATCCTTTCTTTGATCGATGCTTCGGATGTGGTTGTCAGTTTCAAGGTAGATCGAATGTCTTTGATTCAATCGGGGAGAAGAGAGGATCTATCCAATAATACGATTTCATTGTCGCTGGTCACTCAAAGAATCGGCCTTTGTACTAGCACACTAACTCCCATGCATTTTTCAGTATCTCTTTCGTGGGCCCTACTCTACTCCTTTTCGCATGGGACAAGGATAAACAAGCTATCCATTCATGGCAAACGTCTACAGTGTCAAAGAATGGCCGGTGCCTGAACAAGCTTAATATAGAACTCCTCGAAGGGTTTACAACGAAAAGAGAGAAAGACTCGAATCAACGAATGATTCCTGAAACGGGCGACTGAACCTTTGTCGACATCGAACGAAGCCGCCATCTATTTTACCCGTATACTTCCTCTCACTCTCTCAGCTCAGCGAACAATTCAAAGGTGATGATGCACGCTTTCAAACTGCTTTTGTTAGGAGGGAGGTAGGCCCGTCCGTTTTCTTTGTCCTTGCGAGTATCTTTGACTCCGACCGCTGTTGATGAGATGATATGTGATGCAAAGTCCTATTTGCTTTGTATGATCGAATGTGCTAGCCACTTTATACAGAACTAGATATCTCCTTTCCACTGGGTCATTGAATTCATGTATCTTGGCTGTGACTTCGAAGATCTCTGGACTAGCAGGTCAAGGGAATTTGGCCCTCGTTCCTCTGTACTAGGACTGCCTCACGCACTATGGTTTGGGAATCATGTCGCCGTCAGAACGTCAGCTATATGCGATCTCGATCACAGAACGGGTATGCTCGGCGGTGTCTCTAGCAGCAACCAGTATCATCATTGTCTCCTTCATCTGTTCTAGTTCCTTTCGCAAGCCCATCAACCGCCTAGTATTCTACGCCTCTTGGGGCAACATCATGACTAATTTGGCCACCGTTATATCTCAATCGGGCATTCATGCAGGCCTAAATAGCCCTCTTTGCCAGCTCCAGGCATTTTTGATCCAATGGTTTGTGCAGTCCGCGTCCTGTACAATTCCGCCATACTGAACACCAGTGCCAACTAGGTTTATGCCTGCCGATGCGCTATGGACTCTTGCCATGGCCTGCAACGTCTACTTGACCTTTTTCCATAAGTATGACTCGGACCAGCTCCGACGTTTGGAGTGGAAATATCTTGCGTTCTGCTATGGATTGCCATTTATCCCAGCCTTTGCATATTTCTTCATTCAAACCGAGGCGCGCGGGAGGGTATACGGAAGCGCCCTAGTAAGTTCTCTGGACTTTGCGGTCAGAGTCAGTCTAGATATTAATACTTGATGTAGATCTGGTGTTGGGTTGCGCCATCTTGGGACTTCCTACGGGTTGCCGTGTTCTACGGCCCGGTCTGGTTTGTTATCTTCCTGACCCTCGGAATTTATGTGCGCACAGGCAGAGTGATCTATCAGAGAGAGCGACAGCTTCGCGAGGTCGACATGCTCGATTCGAAGGCGGATTGCGAGAATCTAGATGAGCCGGTCTCTTTGAAAACGATCGAAATCCGCATCACCAGCGAGGCGGCAGCCCCCAATGGAACCTCCCGAACAGTCGCGGAGAGCTCGAGCCCAATCTCATCGCACCATCCTCCCTCGCTCTATGGTTCATACTCGGTCACTATCGAAGGAGGGCAGAGCAGCGCGTTTCCGCTGAAGCCGCTGAGACCTGCAAAAATCCAACGCCGCCCAATGGCGGGTGAGGCTAATTCTGCAGCTTGGGTCTATACCAAGTATGCGATGCTTTTCTTTATTGCTTTGATCATCACCTGGGTGAGTACAATGGCCATCATCTGCCCATGCATTGTGACTGACAGAGATCACGTTAGGTTCCGTCTACAGTCAACCGGGTTTATGCTCTCGCATTTCCTCATTCATTTAGTTTTGTCTTGAACTATCTATCCAGTTTTGTTCTTCCTCTGCAGGGCTTCTGGAATAGCATCATCTACATATTTATCTCCTGGCCTGCCTTCAAGTCCGCCTTCCACAGGCCTCGACGAAGCCGTTGCTCACTCCGTGCCAGTATCGGTCGTTACCGTGATCCTAGAACTGCGAATAATGCTGCACGAACTTACTATTTGGGTGGAACTAGTAGCACCCAGCGATTGACCGCTTAGCAGGAGTAGATCTGGGCGTTGTCTCCGGCTCATATTTGTTTCTCCATTCATATCATGAATGTTAACTTAGATGAATCCAAAAACTACGTGAAGACTTCATATTACCATATCGATAATAGTACTCTCTTCATGAGGAACCTGAAGCGAACTGGGATATAGGCAGTTGTTCACATTCCCTGGATCTATACAAGCACGTGACCGAGCGCGTCCTCCACCCGCAACGCGCGCCCCGATTGTTTCTCGCTTTCGCTCCAACTCCAACAACTGCGCTCTCCCGTCATCCATTCCACCCCACCAAAGAAAGGAAGAAGCCCGAACGTCGATATCCGATTCTAGACCATGGCAGAAGAACGTGGTCCTTCCCACCCTGATCCGTCCCGATCGGCAGCTTCGCCTTCTCCCCCGCCTCCCGCCCCCATTCCCCTTACGCCAGGCCCGCGCGCCGCCGTTCTGCAGAAGGTGTTCGACCAGGCGCTGGCTCGCACGGTTCGAGCGAACTCATACGCCAACTTCTCGGGGTGCTTCCCAACGCCGGCGAAGTACGTCCCGGCGAGTTTGGAGTCCGTGTGGAGACAGTTGAACGCGAAGTTGGAGGAGAGCGCTCGCGCCGAATTCGATGACATCGTGCGGGAGAGGGACGCGGTGCGTCAATTGAACGAGCTGGATAGGTTGGTCGGGGAGGCCATCCACAGAAAGGAACACGGTCAAGGAGATGGTGACGTCGCGTAAATGCCGCCCTTTCTTCCCTTACGTCTCAGTTCTGCAGTTCTATCTTGTTCGTGTTGGGGACCTTGACTGACCATGTGATCTTACTTGCATTCAGTGCCCACACTTTGTCGCCGGATGAGTTGTACCGTGCTCACCTCGCTCCCTATCTACACGAGACGCAGACGACTCTGGATTTGAAAATAGAAGCTACCCAGGCTGAAAATGCAGAGCTCGCGCAGCGGGTCCAGGCTCAGAGAATGGAGATCGAGAGCTTGCTGTCAGGCCTCGAGTCGGTCGTTTCCGACCTGGAAGGAGCAGCGGCGGCAGCGACTCAATTCTGTGAGGAGAATGACCTACGAAAAGAAGCTTTGCAGATGGACGGGGAAGTGAAGGCCAGATCGGACATCTGATTGCAACGAGCATTCGGTGTCTACTATTGGTGAGAATGGGTATATATATTTACGACAGCAACGCCTCCATGTCTGTAGGCATCACCCAACCGTCCTCCACCATGTCTTCCGCGACCACCATCAGTTCTTTGGGCGCGCTGCGTTTGAGCTGATCCACCTTTTCCTTTTGACCGTTCATTGCAGCAGTTATGGCTTCCTTGCAGGTCCCATCCCGTTCTTCGTCTGCGGCCCCGTCTCTTCGAGCCAAGGCAGCCGCGCCCCGATAATATGTTTGAGCATTCTGCAGGAGCAGAGCGGAGTTTTGCTGCGCCATGGCAAACTCCCAGGGCGGCATACCTAGCCGCCATCGGTTGACTTCTACATCCCCTCTAGCCAGATGGATCTTGGGCAAATTTTCCGCATCCGGAATCTTAGAAGCCTTGGTCAAGCCATCCAAAGCCGCCGATAGTGATTGCCACCTCAGCTTCAATGATTTCGCAAACATTTCAGGGTCATGGGAAGGAGGCAAGTCTGTGACCGCGGTATTGAACGACATTAGCGCATCCGCTTTGCTGCAGAGACCATCGGGATCCGCGGATAGGTCCAATTCGGGAGCGAAAGCACGTGCAAGTTCTCCATAATACGTTTCAACATCTATACGCCCGCCTCGGTACAGTACTTCAGCAAGGGCACAGGCGAATTTTGCACGGGCCAGCGAAGCGTCGTACGTTCTGCTGGAGCCATCAACATACGTGGTGATCTTTTCCTGGAGAAGGTCCGAGGAGTAGCCCTCTACCCAAGCAAGCCCGACACCCGGATCAAAGGTGAGCAGGTTGCAAAGGGTGGTGAGTGATTCCAACTGGGCCACGGCCGTATCCACAAGCGTGTCTTTCGTCACCGGCTCAATCACGGCAGCCCATTGCTCTTGTTGTTCCGAGGTCTTTGCTTCACCTGCATCATCCATCTGCTCTTCTGTGGGTTGAACGTCCTGTGTGGGTTGATCCAAGACCCCGGATTCCATCTGTTTGATGTGCTCTTGCATTTCGGTGTACTTCATTTCTTGAAGGAGAAGGCAGCGCTGGAAAAGTTCTAGGGCTTCCTGGAGGAACTTCACGGCTTGGTTCAATTGTTCATCGGCGGGGCGTTTGGTATCGGTGATTGTCTCCGCAAGACTCGTGAGGACTTGGGCTGTGTTAAACAAGACATCTGCATTGTCCTGATCTAGGACCAGCGCTTCTCTGTGCGACTGCAGTGTTGTTTGCAAGATGTCGCCCACCGGGGCGGGCAGCTGAGCAGCCAATTTGGGATGTTGGGTGATTTCGTACTGGACTCTCGCCCTAATCTATAATAAGCTTGACGGTTCCTGGTCGCGGATGGTGGCAGTGTGCCGGAGCGTCGGCGACTTACTTATTGTATGCTAGATCGAACGCTTGAGGGTGCTTCTTCAAGCCCTCATCATAGGTCGCGATAGCGCGCATGAAAAAGCGCATGGATTTGGCGACATCTCCGGCCCGCCATTTCTCTCCCGCTTCTTCCTGTTCCACGCCGACTACAAAAGCGCATGGTTATTAGCGAGTAGGCACGAGGTAGAAGGTCATCAAATGTTACCGGCTAGGAACTCATCGGCAGTCTCCGGGGCCTGTTTTCAATTCGTCAATTGGGCGAAACAATGATAATCAAACACGTAGCGCAAGATATAGAACCGTAGATCTAAAGGGGTATGGATTTACCTGCTGCGAGGCCTTCTTCTTGGCCTTGGATTCTTTCAAGAAAGTCTTGGGTTTCGGCATGACGGAATGATCGTGATTTGCGATTCCGCAACAAAGGACGCCTCACGAACGCAGTCCGAACTAGAGGGAGGAGTACTCAAAGAGGTAGATTGAGAAATACTATTTTTGGCGTGGATCTTTCAAAGTCGAAACACGAACAAAGAGAAGGGATAAAAATTAAGAAAAAAGAAAGAAAAGAAAAGACAATGAGGGGCTGTAAGATAATGCTGGACTTTGGAGACCGCCTTGTCTACCGCCCGAGTAGCTTACAGATAGGTCGCGACTCTGTAATCTGAATATCAATTCTGTCTGCACTCTGCAGCTAAGAGGGAGCTAAGACCGACTAGAGATTTCTTAGAGTTAGGCTGTTTCAGGTGTTCAGGTGCCGAAGAGAGCCAATTGTTTCGGGTGTTGCTGATGCTCTGCAAATTGACTGTGCACTATGGATGACTAGGATATACTCCGGAGTTACAGCGAAGTATGGATGACTTCACTGGTTTGCCACCGCGAGAAGCTCCTCGCTGCTCTTCCATGGAAACGGAATTTGGTGTCCGCGATCGGCTCGCGTGGATGCCAAGCCATTCCTTGAGGGATCAACTTCTCATGTTCTGAAGGTCATACCGCACGTGGCAGTACTCTATAGACATGGGTAGAAAATAGAAAGGAAAGAAACGAACAGAAAAGAAAGAAGATAAAAAAAAAGAAAAAGAAAAAGAAAAAGAAAAAGGAGAATGGTATGATGCATTCACCCGAAGTCCCAAATGAGTTCTCCTCTTTTCCAGGCCGAGCGCCGATGATCGTCATACGAAAGCGTCCTCCTCCTGTCCTACCGGGACGGGCGCACCCATTCCCAAGTCCCAACATTCCCCTGGTTTCGCGTGGCCGAGTTTTATCAGCTCTTGCAGCGCCTCCGTGACCCACGCTGTCATCCCCCGGCTCTCCTGAATTCGGTCTTGCATGTCAATCACCGCCGTTGCCTACCTCCTTGGCTCCGCTCAATTTCTACTGTCCTCAGAAAAGATAAAGAAATTTTCTCAGAAGTATTACTAGTACGGAGAAGACAGAAAAGGTCCTCTCCATTCTCCTTGCAGATACCTACCTACCGCCCTCCACCCACATCTTCTCTTGTCGGCCAATATCTCTCTTCCCGCCTTCAAGGTACGTTGTCGCTGCTTTGCCTCATCAAAGTTCTTTCCCTAAAAAAAATAATAATAATTATACCTGGTTGGTGGTACCGGCATCTCTCCTCTATTCATTCTGTCAGTCCCTCTTGTCCGACTGCTTAAATCCCCGTCTCTTTGCCATCCCTCTTCCTGCTTCCGTTTGCCTTCCCCAAGTCCTTGCCCTAGTCCAGCTAACCATTTCCACTCCAGAATCGTTCGTGTGGTTTGGTATCTAGTCAATCTTACGCCCGCCGATTCCATTGAGCATTTTTCAAATACAACCTACATCGGCGATACCTTTGGTCATGGCTAGACATACTTCTCTCGACTCCGAAAGACCCATCATGACTCAGTCCGTGAGTTTAACCATGCCCTGCACCCGTCACAACGTTCTTCTGATATTGATGTAGACCCGCACATCAAAGAGGTTCTCAACCGTTAGCGGAAGCCCTTCTGTCGCTTCTTCGGACCGCACTCTAGCCAACCTGCCCAGCGGCGACCCCCGTCTGGCCGAATTCCACAATCTACGCGACGGACTGGAACGACTGGAGAACAAACCGCTTCAAAAGCAACGCTTCGTGCCTACCGCCGAAAAGACCGACAACCTGGACAGACTGGCGCTCGGCGCTAAGGTCGAACGAGCACTAGACCGGCGAATGACCGGCCAGGATGCCGTTATGCGAAAGCCCGTGCTGGATGAGAAGGCGGCCCTCGAATCTTCGGCCTCCCCATAAGTTTTATCAGCGACCTGTTCAATCTTGCGCATGTCCGCCTACAAGTCGACTCTGCCATGTGATACCTCTTTTTCTTTTCTTTTTTCTGATTTCTTGTCTGGGTTGCCTTGCCTCGGATCTTTTCTCAGGGTTGCTTCTTCTCTCTTTGATGTTCATTGTAATCTCATGTCGATCTCTCCGTTTTGGCGAAACCTACGAATGAGTTTGATACCTATATTGACTACCTGATGAGAAGCATATCCTCTCATGTCCATCATACCCCTCATTTTCGAGTTAGTCGTTGTGTTTCCAACCTTGCCACGCATCGAAGCATGCTCTCTGTTTCTTCGGCTTCTTCGTCTTCTTTTCTTTTCCTTTGGCTGTTGGTGATTCTACTGTTCCAATGTGTTGGAGGCTTCCGTGCTTGTTCCACGAATGTATCTATCGAGCTACCTACTTAATCGCAATGTCCATAGACGTTATTGTCCTACACAAGTACTTCGCCCAGACACGGACCATATAAGGGGCCACCGCACCGGCTAGGCAGGCGGTGTCGCTCGGCCCGCGCGTTCTGCCGGACTTCCCAAACAGGATGGCGGCACCGCTAAAGGAAGGTGCGCAAGGTAGTTGGGGGAAACGTCCGTCCGATGGATTTCGCACTTCTCGTCTCCTCAGCATCACCTGCTTGCTTGCTTGCTACGGCTATCTACAGCTAATCTTCCCTCCTCCCTCATTTCATCGGACTTCCTCATTCATCGCTTCCTCTCAATCGATCTCTCAGACTTCTCAATCTTCCTTCATCCCTCTTCTTTGCCTTTCTTCCGCGAATTCACCTGATTGGAAATCGCACAAGAATCTTTCCTGTCTTCATTTCTCCTTCAACAATCTCAACGCGACCTCGGTGTTTCCGGTTAATCTCGTACTTATTCCTCTTTTTTGCGTCCTGATCTACTCTACAAAGACCTTGACTTTTTCGTTTTTGTTTCTTTCTTAAATTTCCATTTAGCATTGTGGGTACCCTTTGGCTATCTTCAGTCCTCACGCCCATCGGTCCACACATTGTCTTCCAATACTGACAAACGAAACCGTGATAGTCAAGCGAACCGGAAAAAGCTTCGTCTTTTGCTAGATTCTTCGTCAATATTTTTTTTTTCGCCACATAGAGAGACCTCATTGATATAACTTCTCGAGTCTCTTTCAACTTCCTAGACTTTTTCTTACTTTCCTTTCCACCCTTTTCTTGCACAATGGCCGACACAACTCAAGCTCCCATCAACGGCGGCTTCCCTGCGCAACACGCCTATCACGATTCGTACAGCCACGCACATGTCGCCGCCACCAATGCTGCCAACTTTCAGCCTGCCCAGTCCTCTACTCCCACGAATGCCCTCCCTGAACAGAAGAATGGCATTTCGAAGGACGAGGTTGGCTGGTACTTTGTCGAGCAGTATTACACAACCATGAGCCGTAACCCAGACAAGCTGCCGCTTTTCTATGCTCGACGCTCCCAGCTCGTCTTCGGTACGGAGGCCGAGTCGGTCCCAGTCGCGGTCGGCCAGAAGGTGAGCTTACTCAATTCTATCCTTTCACCCTTCGCCTTCATCATGTTACTGACTGCCCCATGTTTTTGTGGTTAGGCTATCAACGAGAAAATAAAGCAGCTTGACTTCCAGGATTGCAAAGTCCGCGTCTTGAACGTTGATTCTCAGGCCTCTTTTGACAACATCTTGATTGCCGTCATTGGCGAGATCTCGAACAAGTCGGAGCCGTCTCGTAAATTTGTGCAGACTTTCGTGCTCGCGGAACAGCCTAACGGTTACTACGTGCTCAATGATGTGTTCCGGTACTTGGTTGACGAGGAGGAGATTGTGAACGAGGAGACCGCCCCGGCCGCGGCTCCGTCTGCTTCGGTTGAAGAGCCGGCTGCTGCTGCTGCTGCTGCTGCTGCTGAAGAGCCTGCGCAGCCCGAGCCCGAGTCTGCCCCGGCTGTCGACGTGCAGGAGACCGAAGCGCCTGCACCCGAGGTGGAGGAGAAGGCCGAGCCGGTCCAGGAGAACGGCGACGAGGCGCAACCCCAGGAGGTCGATTCCCAAGTGAATGGCGCCGATGCCGAGATCGTCGAGCCTGAGCAGGCGACTGCCGTTGCAGAGGAGGTTGAGGCTGAGAAGCCGCCAACCCCCGAGCCCACTCCCGCCCCGTCTGCACAGAAGGAGGCCCCCGCCCCTCCCAAGGAGAACGCGCCCCCGGCCAAGGCTCTCCCCAAGACCTGGGCCAACATCGCATCCAAGTCCGGTGCTCCGGCTCCCGTCGTTCCCTCTATCCCCGCTGCTCCTGCTAAATCTGCCCCCGCTACTGGCTCGCCCCAGCCGGCCGCTGCCGCCCCTGCCGCCCCCGCCACTCCTGCGCCTGAGAACGTTCCCAGCCAGCCTCCTTCCAATGATGGATCCGGATGGCAAACCGCCGGTCATGATCACAAGAAGACTCAGTCCCGTGCGGGTGAAGAACAGCCCGTTCTTGCTTACATCAAGAACGTGAACGAAAAGGTGGACGCAAACCTGCTGAAGCAGACCCTCACCCGATTTGGCAAGCTGAAGCACTTCGACGTGAGCCGTTCGAAGGTAAGTCCTCATTCCGTCATGATCACTTTCCCCTGATGGTGCCTAAACTAATTGCTGTTTGTAGAACTGCGCCTTCGCTGAGTTTGCTGAGCCCGCCGGTTACGCCGCCGCCGTGGCTGCTAACCCGCACCAGATCGGCTCCGAGCAGATCTACGTCGAAGAGCGCCGTGCTCGTGGCAATGCGTATGGTGGAAATGCCAATTACACCGCCGGTCGAGGTGGTGTCGGCCGCGGCCGCGGCGACCGTGCTGGCAGCCAGGGCCGTGGCGGCTTCCAGCGCGACGGACGTGGAGGATTCGCTCCTCGCGGCCGCGGGAACGTCAAGAACCGCAACCAGCCCCAGGCTGCCTAGATGATGTTCCTTTCCCATCGTCGTGGAATGAATGAACTTGAAGAAAACAAAAGGAAAGGAAAGAAAAAGCAGAAAAAGAAGAAAGATCAAGACCCCAACGGGGATGTGAACGTGAAGAATGAGAAATATGAAGCAAAAGAATGAAAGAAGAACAAAACACCCGGACACCGTCAACAATCTGACTCATTATTTTCATCTTGATTGCCTTTTCCCCCTTTCATCCTGGCTTACTGCAGCATACTGATTTGGATGCTTATTGTGAACCAGGACATGTATTACTCCCTCTTACTGATAATGACATGTGTTATGTGACCCTTTTCCCCCTTTTTTCACTTTTTTATTGAACTTATCCTTGAACTGATTCGACAACATGGTTTTATTTCTTTCCTGTTCTTTTTTTTTTTTACATTTTTTTTTGTCACAGTGCATATTAGCGGTTGGAAAAGTTATTTTCTTTTCACATTTCGTCACTGGGGTTCGGTCATTGGTGCATCCTTGCCGAAGTTTGCTTCTATCACTGTGTTGACATGAACATTTCCTGCTCTTTCGCATAGCGAGCTTTATGCCCGTGTTGTTACTTAATTACTTTGCTCTCTGCTAGGGAATGTAAATGGATCTGGCCTTGTTTCAAGGTTGAAGGGGTTCTTGACCACGAGCGTACAGATATAGATACAGATACAGACCACCTACAGTATACCTACAGTATACCTACAAAGTACAATGTACAGAGTACTCCATAGGAGTACCTACCTGTAGTACTCCGTAGAATCTTCTGGCGGAGACGCAGGCGGAGAGTCACGGGGTCCAGCACGGGACGGTGTGCAGGGACGGCAGCTGATTGGCCCCGCGAGGGGTGCCTGGTGGAGCGGAACGTTCTAGATGGTCCGCCTCAGGCAGCCAGGCCACCGGACGACCGAACCGGCTTTGGAAGGACCGGCAGAATGGCAAAGAAGGGCGGAGAGTGTGGAAGTTGCTGGATCGCCGTAGAAACGACCGCACCCAGAGTCGGAAAGAACGTTAAGTTCTCCGCCCCGGCAGTTTTTTTTCTCCCCCTCGCCTTCTTTCTTCTCTTCTTCATTCATCTCTCTCCCTCCCTCCTGCCTGTGATCTCTCTACCTCATCACTCTCCATTCCTCTGATCACCTTTCTCTCTCATCCATTGACATCGTTCTCTCCGTCTTTTCTTCACCTTTAACGACCTTGTAAGTACTTTACCAATACTCTCACCGACCCGACCCTCTTTCCCCCCACCTTGGTGCGCAGATGCAGAGTACGCAGCATGACCAGCAACCTCGCTTTGAGGTGTCTGGGATGAACGGCGGGCTTCGCATCTCCAGCTGTATCTTCTTCATATTCCATTCCCCATCATTCCTCTCAATAATCTGCTTTTCGGTGGATCAAAACTGAATACTCAACGCTAACCCGTCCTGTGCTCGTACAGAATTTTCACTTTCTTTCGTTCATCATGTCTGAGACCTTCGAGTTCCAGGCTGAGATCTCTCAGCTGCTCTCGCTGATCATCAACACTGTCTACTCCAACAAGGAGATTTTCCTGCGAGAGATCATCTCCAACGCCTCCGATGCCCTTGACAAGATCCGCTATGAGTCTCTGTCGGATCCCTCCAAGCTCGACTCGGGCAAGGATCTCCGCATCGACCTGATCCCCAACAAGGAGGCCAAGACCCTGACCATCCAGGACTCCGGTATTGGTATGACCAAGGCTGTACGTACCATCCCTGTTCCTATCTCTCGCTCAGCCCTTACTAACTTCGCACCTGTAGGACCTGATCAACAACCTGGGTACCATTGCCCGCTCTGGCACCAAGCAGTTCATGGAGGCTCTGTCTGCCGGTGCCGATATCTCCATGATCGGCCAGTTCGGTGTTGGTTTCTACTCTGCCTACCTCGTCGCTGACCGTGTCACCGTCGTGTCCAAGCACAACGATGACGAGCAGTACGTCTGGGAGTCCGCCGCCGGTGGCACTTTCACTCTCACCCAGGACACCGAGGGTGAGCAGATCGGCCGTGGTACCAAGATTGTTCTCCACCTCAAGGATGAGCAGCTCGACTACCTGAACGAGAGCCGTATCAAGGAGGTTGTTCGCAAGCACTCCGAGTTCATCTCGTACCCCATCTACCTCCACGTCCTGAAGGAGACCGAGAAGGAGGTCCCCGAGGAGGAGCAGGAGGAGGCCAAGGAGGAGGATGACGAGAAGAAGCCCAAGATCGAGGAGGTCGATGAGGAAGAGGAGAAGAAGGAGAAGAAGACCAAGACTGTCAAGGAGAGCAAGATCGAGGAGGAGGAGCTTAACAAGACCAAGCCCATCTGGACCCGCAACCCTGCCGACATCACCCAGGAGGAGTATGCCGCCTTCTACAAGTCTCTGTCTAACGACTGGGAGGACCACCTGGCCGTCAAGCACTTCTCCGTCGAGGGTCAGCTTGAGTTCCGTGCCATCCTCTACATCCCCAAGCGCGCTCCCTTCGACCTCTTCGAGACCAAGAAGACCAAGAACAACATCAAGCTCTACGTTCGCCGTGTCTTCATCACTGACGACGCCACCGATCTCATCCCCGAATGGCTCAGCTTCGTCAAGGGTGTTGTCGACTCCGAGGATCTGCCCCTGAACCTGTCTCGTGAGACCCTGCAGCAGAACAAGATCATGAAGGTCATCAAGAAGAACATTGTCAAGAAGACCCTCGAGCTCTTCACCGAGATCGCCGAGGACCGCGAGCAGTTCGACAAGTTCTACTCTGCCTTCAGCAAGAACATCAAGCTCGGTGTCCACGAGGACGCCCAGAACCGTCACACCCTTGCCAAGCTCCTCCGCTACCAGTCCACCAAGTCTGGTGACGAGGTCACCTCTCTCACCGACTACGTTACTCGTATGCAGGAGCACCAGAAGCAGATCTACTACATCACCGGCGAGTCCATCAAGGCCGTCGCCAAGTCTCCCTTCCTGGACAGCCTCAAGCAGAAGAACTTCGAGGTTCTGTTCCTGGTTGACCCCATCGATGAGTACGCTTTCACTCAGCTGAAGGAGTTCGACGGCAAGAAGCTCGTCGACATCACCAAGGACTTCGAGCTTGAGGAGTCCGAGGAGGAGAAGGCCGAGCGTGAGAAGGAGGAGAAGGAGTACGAGGGTCTCGCCAAGAGCCTCAAGAACATCCTCGGTGACAAGGTTGAGAAGGTCGTCGTCTCCCACAAGCTCGTCGGCTCTCCTTGCGCCATCCGTACCGGCCAGTTCGGTTGGTCTGCCAACATGGAGCGTATCATGAAGGCCCAGGCTCTCCGTGACACCTCCATGAGCTCGTACATGTCCTCCAAGAAGACCTTCGAGATCTCCCCCAAGTCCTCCATCATCCAGGAGCTTCGCAAGAAGGTCGAGGCTGATGGTGAGGGCGACCGCACCGTCAAGTCGATCACCCAGCTGCTCTTCGAGACCTCTCTCCTCGTTTCCGGTTTCACCATTGAGGAGCCTGCTAGCTTCGCCGAGCGCATCCACAAGCTCGTGTCTCTCGGTCTGAACATCGACGAGGACACCGAGACCACCGAGGAGAAGGCTGCCGAGGAGGCCGCTCCTGCCGCTGCCGCCGGCGAGAGCTCCATGGAGGAGGTTGACTAAATGCAATTCATGAGTCTTTGATTTGAATGGAAACGAATGTGACTGCCTTGACGTTATCTTTCCTTCCTTTTGTTTTTAACGACCTCAAAGAAATTGTTCCGGTGATATCCGCAGCAGGGGGTCCCACGATCACTGGGCGATATTACTTAATTTTTGTTTCCCCTCTAATTGAACCGCCGGAAAGATGGTTTTGATTGACGACGTGAATTTCATATTATCTTCTTTATTTTCGGCGTTTTGAGCGTTTCATAGTATTATCCTAAAAGTCCGAGAGATCTTTCATTTCCATATTACCAGGGATTTGAAGAGTTGCGCCGGACGGGTAGATCTTTTTTTTCTTTATCTCGAATGAAAAGCTTGCCCTGTTTATTTGACTTCTACATCACTCCGTAACTCTGTAGACTAGTATGTATACGCAATGTAGCACGGCAATTGTACCAAATAAACCATAAACCGAAGGTAGCAGTCATTAAGTATTAGAGGGCTAACCGCTCTAGATGATGAAGACTGCGCAAATACCAAAACCAAGTAACTCTGCTACAGAATCAACCGTATATGACGACATTTTTGTCAAAACATGGTCCATGGGGCTGGCTCACTACACGAAAACAAAACAGCACAATCGCAACAACACTAAAAGCAAAGCAGATACGAGGGGGGGGATCCGGCAAAGCAACAATAAATCCCACCACCCAAACGGGTCGATTAAGACAAAACGCCAGCAATGGATGTTTCTTGTGTAGAAGGTGTCTTTCACCTTCATGCCTCGAAAACCTACATAGTCCAACTCGCAACTAATAAAGAAGTACGAGGATAAACGAACAAAAGGGCAGGATGCATAGACAGCTGGTAGGGGGCAAGACTAGTCAATGGGACTGCACCAGTCCGACAGATTTCGAGACGGCAATCCCCAGGACTTCGCAAGCCAGAGGGCCAGCCCTCCTACGACCCCAAAGCTGCCCACGATCTGAACGAGGGCCCACCCCCGCTGTTTGAGGCTCTCGGACCACTTGACGAGACCAAGTGGATCCTGGGGACTGATTCGTGTGAGATGATACTCGACGTTCTGCCCGGATTGTGTCCGAACGAGGAGAGCGCCCGCTTTTTCCGTAGGGGCCCGAAGGCCACAAAACCCCGGGGTTTGCGTGATGGGCACGAGGGTCCCGTCCACCACGCACTCGCCCAGTCGTTCTGTCAGCCAGACGGCACGTTCTCCGCGCGCTATGGCGGTGTATCGTTCTCGTTCGTTCTGGAGGCTTTGCTGTAGGTCCGAGGCCCAGCGCGCCAGCTGAACCTGAGCCAGTTTCTCCTCGTGGCGGGTACAGTCTGAAAGTCGGGCCATAGTATAACTGGGGATGACACGACTGCCAGCGCCGGGAATGGAAGGCATCGGGCCATTCTGAACCGTACTTTGCCGTTGAGTAAGCTTTTTGGCAGCCAGATGCCGGATCCAGGCCATGTTCTCGCGGTCGAACAATTTTCGGGTCAAGAGAGCCAATTCCGACGCGACCAAGGGCTGGACATAGTCCGGGCTCATCAAGGTGCTGGCATCCATCATGTCATCATCACAAGACTTGGCGGACGAGGTAGCAAAGGGCAGACGACCATTCACTTCATCAGTATCCCCTGAGAATCCATCTCCGAAAAGAAAGGGTTTAACGCCGGCGTCCTGCGCCTTACTGTGAAAAGCGGATTTGAGGGCGCGAAGCTGGTCAGGACCTAGGAGGTCAGATTTGGGGATTACGGGAATGACATTCGTCCATTCGCTGAGCTTGCGCATGCAATCAATATCTACGGAAAGTGTTTCTGCCAGCGTGTGAGCCTCCGACCCACCTGATTGATACACATGAAGGGCGCCTACCCTCAGAGATGAGAAACAGGATGGCATCCACCTGGGCACCGCCATTGCCTGCTAGCATGTTTTGGAAATCGTGGTTAGGACGGTGAAGCGACGCTATCGCCCGGACAAGCTGTTGATGCATGTAGTGAATAATAGCATCGGTCTGTCCTGCACGGGTCGAGGAATTGGCCGATGTGTCGACAAAGCAGATATTACGCTCCAGCACAAGGTCACCGGTACTCTTTCGCCGTCGCAGAACACGCGAGTCTTCCAGGTCCGACCACCAAACGGGGTACGGTTTTGTACTGGCATATATTTCCGAAACGGCCGGTGGCAGGCCATGGGGAACGTTGGATCTAGAGGGTTTCGAGGGAGGGGTGGGGGAGGGAAAGGGATCCACGTGAACAATATCCTCGCATGTTTGGACAATAGCCTTGACGAGGGAGGTCTTTCCGGAATCTGGTTGTTCTGCAATCAATACAGGACCTGTATACCCTGGAGAAACACCGACCCACGGGGGGTATTTTCATACTCACCAGGAGGGCCCGCTATGAGCACCTTTAGGCGTCCCATAGTCTTCCCGTGGTCGGTAAACGGTCTCCGGCTAGGCATCCTGATACTGGGCATTATTAGCTGGGAGGTACTGTCGGGACCCACGCCGGACGGCGGGCGGGGGTCATCGTCCTCCTCCCCGGAAGCAATTGCCTGGCTACTCAGATCATCGGTGATGGAGATTTCGTCCAGATGTCGCATGGATTGGTTGGAGATTGACTTGGGACTGCTGGGAAGAGAGACCGGGTCATCGGGAGTGTCGAGGTTCAGAGGCGTCAATGGGCGAGGGGAGGTCGGGTGAGAGGAGGGCAGGGACGGTTCTCGGCTGGTGAGGTGGAACGAGTCGAAGGGGGTAACGGTGGATTTGCGACGAGCAGGATGAGACGGTAGGGGAGACAAAGGATCGGAAATGCTTTGAGCGTGCTCAGGCTCCCACTGAGAAGCGACTAGGCTGGTCTGCTGGACGGTCTCTTCGAGACTCTGGACGCCATACATGCTATCTCCCGACTCCAACTCATCGGGTGGAGTTTCGCGGGCTAGAAAGAACGTCGCGGGGGCAGCGCTGCGGGGATCGATCCACCGCTGGTCGGGCGAGGAAGACTTGCGGGACTGTGGTAACGCGAGGTCTGGAACGGGCGGCCTCATGATGGACAGCGAGGAGGGCGAAGTCAACCCGAAGTAGACGACAGACAGATGGTGTATGGAAGTGGAAAGTTGAACACCAGACTGAAGATGGGGATGGAGGAGGATGGCCTTATGTCATGTCACGTTATCAGGTCACGACTTCACGACTTCGAAAGTCACGACCCCGCAGATTTACCGTACAGTAAAGGGACTCCGTATAATACCGGAGTGGGACGCACCGGGGCGGACTATTGCCACGCACGCCTTTTCCACGGTTGCTCCTTCTGCGCCCAAAAAAAGGTACCTTCGTCTCTCTTCCGATTCGTTTTCTTCCCTCTTAATTAACCCCCTCGACCGAAAAGACTTACCTTAGTCTTAAGTCTCTTAGACCGACTGCAAAGACCGACTTACCTTCCTAGATCGATGTCTAGCCCATCCAATCAGCCCCCCCGGCTGAAATCGTATTCTCGCTTCTCGCTTCTATCCTCCCACTAGTTACTTCTCTTTCTCCCTTCTCCCTCTTCTTCTTGCCTTTGCGCTTCTTCTTTTCCATCCGATCCCCGGTCGTGGAGGGGTATCATTCATTTTCTTGATATTCACGGTCAAAATCCTATCCAACAAAACCCCTCCCCCACGCACCGTCATCATGTCCGGCAATCTATCTAGTTACCAATAATCCTGCTCTTAATCTCTTGTTTTCTTCTCCTGTCGGTCGTCTTCATTGATATTATCTTCTTCAATCGTTTGTTCTTTTGATGACATTGACTTCCCCGATATTTGACATACCGAGGCTCTCTCTCTCTCTCTCTCTCCCCGACGGCAGGAGAAAATCAACAATTTTGAAAAAAAGAAAGAAAAGAAGAAGAATTACCGGAGGAGTGAATTACTAAAGATATTCAAGAGAAGGGCAGGGTGGACAACCGACTAGAACCCTGAGCGCAATCTCCCAGAAAAAAGAAGCAATCGATCCCAATGGAACAAGATCATCCGTTGTCCTGGCCGGACGTTGCAGGCCCCGGTGACGATGAATTCTCCAATTTCCTCGAGTTTGGAATGCACTTCCCCGACCTCGAAGGGCAGGGCTCCGCCGATCCTCATTCCCAGCGCTCGATCGCCCATCCTATCTCCATGCCTGCCTCCACCGCTCCGTCCGCCCAAGAACAGCTCGTTCGAATGGACACCGACCCTATCGCTACTCAGCCGTCGTCATACAATCGCGCCATGGGAGATTATTCCGTCGGGAATCAAGGGCAGCCGCAGCTTGCCATCTCCTCGTCCTACTCCTCCCCCTTAACCCCGGCCTTCATCGCCCAGAAGCCTGCGTTCTTCCAGCATTCGCAATCGCAACCGCCTGCGCAGAACCAGTCGCATCGCCACTCCCATTGTCCACCCGTGACGCAGCCATACATCCCTCATGGCCAACAGGTGATCCCGCCGACTCCCAACAGCATTGAACTTCAGGGCAACGCGGCCACGTACCCCCAGCGCATAGAAGAAAACCAGGAGATGTACGACCGGTATGCTCGTCTGAACGAGGAACAGGTAAGATGCACCGTGACTCGCCGGTCCGTTCATTGGCGTGCGTATGGCTAATGCACGCGCCCGCTTCCACCTAGGCTCTCTACACCCCCCTTGTTTCGCCCGCCATGACTCCGCTGGAAACTCAATTTCGGCTTCCGGAGTACACCATCCCTGGGGAGTACTTCACTCCGCTCACCTCGCCGGCCCTTGAAGCCCAAAATGCGAACTCGAACGGCTATCCTTTCCCGGCCGCCGCCCAGTTGTCCGACATGGGATTCATGCCGTCGCCGGCCGACAACGCCATTCCTGCCTCGTCTGCCCCCTCTTCCCCGGGCTTGACGCGCAAACATCGTCGCGGAACTTCAACCACCAAGACGTTCTCTGCCCGTGCGAAGAAGCAGCAGTCTCCCTCCGTGCGGCCCCAAACGCGGAAGAAGTCCCTGTTGAACATCAATTCCGACGAAGTTCTGAACGGCCTTGCTCAGGACCAGGGAGACCCGAAGAATCGACCTTTAGGTGGCAGCAGCCTTCGATTCGGAAGCAACGAAAGTTCTGGACAAGATTCCGTCTCCCCGGAGCCCCTCTCTGAACCCTTGATGCCTCCGCCAGCCCTCCCTCCGGCTCGAAGATCCCCTGCGGTTGGCCCGCAGTCGGAGACCAGCGAGCCGGCTACTCCAGCTATGTTAATGCGCATTTACCGGTCCCAACCCAGTCCCAATGTAGCCCCTCAGCCCCCGGGCCAGATTCAAAACGGGCCGTCCGAGTCGCACGACGATATCATGGAGGATGTCGTTCTCCCCGAAGCTTCCACCCCCGCGGCGCATCTTTCTCGTCCTCGAGTCAACCGCATTGACACCTCCATTCGTACAGAGCCGGCGTCGCCGGCGACGTCCGCCAGCATTACCCCGGCTCTCGAGATTAAATCGGCCTCGAACACGGAGCGAAGCGCCGGTTCCCTCGCCCCCAGTCCGCGCGCCATCGCCATGCCTTCCCCCAGCGGACCGGTAGCCAAGAAATCGGACACGCCCAAATTGGGTCCCTCAAATCGGAAACGACCGAGTCTCAGCTCGACACACGCCAGTCCCAATTTGCGCCCCAAGATCAGTCCCAGCATCCAGCCTCTAGTCCGTGGAGACGGTGTGTATCCCAATGTTCTGACTGGCACTTGCGCTTCATTTTACCTTAGCTAACGGGTGTGTCGATCGTAGGAATCTCGGGCGAGACGTCCGCGCTGTATCTAGCATCCAAGTCCAACTACCAGCACATCTTGGATGGCACTCTTCTTCCCGGAGTCTCTTACCCCGAGACTTTGGCCGAGAACCTGAGTTCCAAGCGAACCAATCACAAACTCGCCGAGCAGGGTCGTCGTAATCGCATCAATAATGCGCTCAAAGAGATCGAAACCCTCATTCCGGCGGAGTTTTTCCACATGAAAAATGCCAAGGAAGAAGCCCTATGTAATGCGAAAGGGGTGGATAAAGAAAAGGAGAAGGCTGGAAATCAACAGGTCAGCAAGGCCAGTACGGTGGAAATGGCCATCGATTATATCAAAGCCCTCAAGCAAGAGCTCGAGGAGACCAAAGGCAAGCTGACCGCAGCTGAGACCCGGCTCGAGACCTCCAAAGCCACCGGCGATGGAGTGCCCGGTTCTGAGAGTGAGTCATTAAGCAAGTCCACCCAGGGAGAAACAGGCACCGAGGGTGTGAAATAGAATGACTCTGCGTGGCTCTTGAGGCTACGTGCGGAGATGCGAGTGCGCTCTTGTGGGATGCATCTTCTCTAGAAAGAGAGATGTATGTTACGCGAGATGTTTTACGACTCCACGTTTGAGGACAGAATGTTAATATCACGACCGGAGAGGATGTTGTCATTTCAATTCTACATGTATAAATGGGGTGGTTAGCTTTTGATATTCCCACTTGGTTCATCTAATTTCATCTTAGGTCTCCGTTTTATGTGAATGTAGCTTTCGATTGTCTTGTTCTACTATATACTACGGTGCTACTTTTATTTCCTTCATTCCCCGGTCTTCTGCAACTTTCTCCCAAGTCAGAAACCTGGTAGACCGTCAAACGCCCTACGCCTGGCTGTTGACCACTGAATCTATCACCGACTTTTGGATCCAACGCATTACCCTTGATTAATGATATCTTTTTTTATATTTCATTGCTCGTCATACGATCGTTTTTAATAATCCCTCATGACGGCCACCATCTCATCCAGCCGAGACACTTCCCCTATCAACAACGCTTCTTTAGCCTTCCACTGCTCTAATAGGGTCAATTCCGCTTCGGACAGATACCGCTCCTCGTTTCCTTTCACGTCGCTGCGTTCAGTCTTTTCCAGAAACTCCTTCAATCGACTTCGCTCGAACCGCAGGCGCTGTAGGCACCTAGACATCGCCTTGTAGGTATCTTCCAACACACTGTTCCGGATGCGATCCGGATCGTAGTACCAGAGATAGATTGTGCGCGAGGGCTGTCGTTGCGCGTCGCGCGGCACCTCTTGTAGATCCACGAACCCTCCCGCTTGCATGCTCGCAAGGACCTGTCGCAGGTCTTTGAACGGTAGGAGACTGATTTCCTGGAGTCGCTTCTCGTCCAGTTTACCCTTGGCGTGGAGCACGCGGATCACCCGCAAGGCGACGTCGCCGTACCGTGCTTCTATCATCCGCTCTAATTCGAGATGGCGTAGCTTGCGGGCTAGGTGGCGGAATTCGACGGTCCAGCTAATCAGTCCTGACACCATGCGCTTGGAGGTGAGGTTGAAGGGAGGCTGTGCGAGAAGAGAGAGGTGTTGGTCGACTTCATAGGTGCGGTTGCCCCCAGATTGTAGCCCGTTTGGCCCTCCACTATTAACATCGTCATCCAGCGGTCGTTTGCCGCGTTTGTTGACGGGTTGAGGAACTTCCATGGGACCAATGGACCCGGCAAGGTCCAACCGGGGATCGACATCTTCACATACTGCTTTGAGGAGGACCGGGGCTGAGTACTGTTCTCCCTCTTCGCCTTCGCGGGGTATCTCGGTGGTATCCCGACACTGTTGTGTTTGATATTCAATGCGACGGAGAAGGCATTCATAGACCTGGACGGTTGCTGAAGACGAATCATGCTCTGCGAGATCGAGGAAGCGACGATTGCGGAGAGCAACGTCAAGCTTTTCGTAGTTTACGCGGACAGTGATTCCGGACTAGGGTGATAGGTCAGTGGGCACGCGCGCAAGACAAGGAAGAAAATAAACGAAAGAAAATGCAAGGATTCTAGAGGGGCTGGTAGTCTCACCTCCATTGGTATTGTGTCTTCGCCCATCTCGTCATCAGACCATTCATTCTCTTCTTCCTCTCCCTCCTCGTCCTCGTCAACCGCAGCGTAGTCCGACTGAGTCTGCCCATTGGCAGTTGTGGAGGCTGCATTGTCATGCTTTCGTTTTGCTCCTCGCGGAACTCCGTTGAACATCAGACCACGAGTCAGATCCCCATCTAGTCTCTCCCGAAGCAAGTTGAGTGTTCCCTCAAGGACCGTTTCCTCGAGTTTTTTGCCCTTCATAGCCTTTACATCGGGCTTTGACTTGATTGCGCGCTCGATGTCCAACACGTTATCAGCGTAACTTTGGAACTGCGCTTCCCTAACCCGCGATATGTAACCGTGTCCCGCCAAAGCCTTGAGCGTCGGATGAAGACGAGCGGGTCGTTCAGAAGTCGCATGCTCGCCATTGGCTTCAGCTGTTTCATGCGCATCCCCATTTTCTTCGGCGGCGGCTCCGTTCGAGTCGAGAGGTTCAGGCTGTAGATCGGGGAGCGTTTCGAGATAGCTCACTTGCGCGTGGCCGAGGTAAAGGATAGTCGACATAACCTTCGCTGCGTAGTTTCCCAGCCGGTCTTCTATAAACTCCACAATCTTCCCGGACCGGACAAGGTAGTATGCCGACTGCATGTTTGGTGCGTAGTACGTGACGCCTTCATCGAATGAGGTGTAGTGGTATATAAGATGTTGCTGGATCATGGCGGCAAGACCATGGTGAAGCTGACGGTCCGAAAGACGAGAGTAGTATTTCAGACGGGGGAGGGAAAGTCGATCGTAGCGAAGGAGGGTCGAGAAAATGCGCTACCGGTCACACATGGAAGTATCAGCGTGAGAGGCTCCCCGGCGGGGCCATATTGGTTCCAAGCATACCGAGAAAAGCTCGCCAAAATTATCCTCAATGAGGAGCGTGCATAGCTCCGCAGCATACTATGCACCCTTGGGTCAGCAGCTGGAGGGGTATATGAACAGGAACAATCAATCGGGTGAAGATCGCATACTTGCGAGGTCATGTCGGAGGACCTTCTAGAGAACGCCGCGACTCTCGAGATTCTCTAGAAGAGGCCGTAAGGGTCACCGGAGCTGGGGCATAAGGGAAGGCGCCGACAAGATGAATTCGTTGAATTCGTGCAGATGCTCAAGGACCGGCGATAAGAAAATCGCCGGCGGCTCACGTGGGGTCATGTGATGTCACGTGAGCAGGCCGAGCCGGTTCCGCCCGCGCTCGCCATTTGGGCCAATCAGACGGCGAGTAATCAGGCATCTTGAAGCTTTTCAGACATCGTTTCCAACCCGTCCGCCGACTGGCTCTCTCCTCTCCTCCTCCTCCCCTTCCCCCCTCCCCCCACCACCATTTCAATTGCTGTCAAGCCTTCCGGCTGTCCTCATTCCCTCTCCTCCAATTCTTTTCCGACACATGCGATGATGCTATCGCGGTCTGCTTTCAGCCGAAATGCGCCCCGTGCGCTCCAGGGTGCTGCCGCCAGCAGCCGTCGGGGTATGGCCTCTGCCGTGACTCCTGGTCTTCAGTACGACGTGTCTGAGTCTGCCGGCGTGAAGGTCGCCAACAGAGAGGTTGCCGGTCCTACGGGCACCCTCGCTCTGGTTGCTAAGGCTGGCCCCCGTTACCAGCCTTTCCCTGGCTTCGCCGATGCCCTCGAATACTTCGCCTTCAAGGTTCGTCCGCCCCCGAACACTCAATGGCAGCGCGCTCTGGCCCTACTACACCTCCTGATCACACGGAATCTAACTCCTTCGCTCAATTGATAGACTACCCTCAAACGGTCGGCGTTGCGGATTACTCGGGAGGTTGAACTGCTGGGCGGTGAAGTTTCCTCGTCACACTCGCGTGAAAACATTGTCCTGAAGGCCAAGTTCCTCGCCAATGACCTCCCCTACTTCGCGGAGCTGTTGGCTGAGGTCGCTTCTCAGACCAAGTTTGCTGGTAAGTCGATGCACGGCATTGATAAGTCTCCGCAGTCGAGCAGGATGTGTCTAACCTGACTTTTTTTCCCGCCTTCCCTTGACAGCTCACGAGTTGGACGAGGTTGTTCTCAAGCTTCTGAAGTACAGACAACAGGCCCTTTCGGCCAACCCCGAGGAGCTCGCTGTTGACGCTGCCCACGCTCTGGCTTTCCACCGTGGCCTGGGTGAGACCATCACTCCTTCTCTCACCGTCCCCTTCGAGAAATACCTCTCTGCCGAGGCCCTCCAGGAATACGCCCAGCAGGCCTACGCCAAGTCCAACATCGCCCTTGTTGGCAGCGGCCCCAACTCCGCCGACCTGTCCAAGTGGGTTGGTGACTTCTTCAAGGAGCTCCCCAGCACTGGCAGCGCCAGCCAGTACTCGCTGAAGCCCTCCACCGCCTCCAAGTACTACGGAGGTGAGCAGCGTATCTCCTCCAAGGCCGGCAACGCCGTTGTGATCGCTTTCCCCGGCTCCAGCGCTTTCGGAACCTCTGGTTACAAGCCCGAGGCTTCCGTCCTCGCTGCCCTTCTCGGCGGTGAGTCCACGATCAAGTGGACTCCTGGCTTCTCGCTCCTGTCCCAGGTCACCCAGGGCTTCTCTCACGTCCGGGCCTCCACCAAGAACCACACCTACTCCGACGCCGGCCTGTTCACCGTTACGCTTTCCGGCAAGGCCGACAAGGTCGCGTCCGCCAGCAAGACCACCGTCGACTTCCTCAAGAAGGCCGCCGCCGGCGAGATCGCCAGCGAGGACATCAAGAAGGCCACCGCTCTGGCCAAGTTCCGTGCTCTCGAGTCTGCCCAGACCCTTGAAACTGGCCTCGAGGCCAGCGGATCCGCCCTCGTCCACGGTGGCAAGCCCTACCAGATCAGCGAGATCGCTCAGGGCATCGACAGCGTCACCGAGGCTCAGGTTAAGGATGTAAGTCCCCTTGGTCTCATTCGATCGAATGCTTTGTTGGAAACTAACCCGCCATTTCTTCTTGCAGGTTGCCAAGAACTTCCTTTCCGGCAAGGCCTCCTATGCCGCCGTCGGAGACCTCTTCCAGCTCCCCTACGCCGAGGACTTGGGTCTGACCGTTTAAAATGTAAACCCTACATACTTAGACTGGCTTGGAAAAAACAGCGTCAACGCCTTTCCCCCTCCACCCTTATCCCTTTTTCTCATGTGTCTAGATCCATCTTCGCAGATATCTTTTATTGTTATGTGGCTGTAGCTCGTTGTGTGGCTGTAATACAACTGTACCTTACTCGATCTGCTCCCGTCTTGAAGTTATGATCTCGATGTAGTAGTAGTAGTATTCTACGTGTTGGAACTGTCCAACTAACGCCTAGTTTTCGGTTACGGTGTAGATAAAGAACGCATTGTAAGACGTGACAGGTTCTTGGACTTGGTATATATATACTGGGGGAGAGATAGGTCCATACCCGGTCATACCTACATTGGCATGCGAACAGGATTAACGAGTACTCGCGATGTGCGATTTAGATGCAGGGATCGGGTGCCATAGATAAACGAATCCGACGGGAATGACCACGAATACCTTTTTTACTTGACTTATTTCTTGGTTCATAGTCTTATACATAGAAAGAGAAAGGTCTCCCTAGGCGGCGGCAAAATGCTTGGCAGATTGCACCCCAGGCACCCAACACATACACACTGTGAAAGTCTTTACGGAGCATGTCCTCAGATTATGTGGCCACTGTGATCTACGGTGATCAACTGTTGGTTGTATCCTTCAGAATCAACAGATTGCAGGAAGATCTCCGTACATTTCATTGTGAGAATGTGCGACCTGGTCTTGGATACGCACGAGAATGCTACCACAAAAACCATCTATAGTCCGACGAGTCCCAGAGGGAACAATGTCCAGAAAAGCAAATAGCGTGTCCAGAGGGACAATGTAATTAATTATATTCATAGATAGCCCGAACAGACTATGACTACTAGAAATTCAATCGGACGTCTATGTTTCGGACGCCATATGCGGCCACCTGTGCCTGCTGCCCGGCTTGTCTCGATTCGTGACCGATTGATATCCTCCCCGATCATGTGTACAATTCAAAGCCGCATAGCAGACCACGCATGGCGGAAGGGTGTTTCAAACCTTCTCTAGTGCTTCGCGGTGACTTGGTCGCCGGTCAGTTTTTCGACGGCTTCCTTGGCCCTATTCGGGGTAACGGAGACCCACAGGTTAGCACAACTGACATCCTCGGTAATCACATGGGAACTGCCCACAAGCCAACTCCGTCTTTTCTTGAACCGATAGACGCGATCAATTAAAGGCCTGGAGATCGGCGGGGAAAGAAAAAGTGGGTTTGAGGGGGTGGAGAGAGGAGAGGAAGATGAGAACTCACATGTCACCCAGCGCCACCATGCAAACAGTCTGCCAGATGCCCAATCCCACACGAGGGGCGACGCCACGGTACAGCCCCTTGATGCCGTTCGTGTCGTAGATGTACTTGAAGGTCTTGCCCACGGTGAGGTTCTTGGGCCGGTTAGGATCCTCGGTCTTACTCTGCATCTCGACGCGGATGACTTCAATGGGCTGGTTCCAGGCGGAGAGACCACCGCCTAGGCCGGAGGCCAGGATCTTTTCAAAAGCACCCAACTTCTCTCCCTCGGTCTTGTTCGTGACCTTACGGATGGCCGACTCCGCCAAACGGGAAAGACCGAATCGGGATCCCCAGTTGGTGGTCTGACGGATGGCGACCGCATTGACACCACGGTTAATGCCTCGGATACCCTCTTTGCGGTAGATGTCCGCAAAGGTCGCGAAAGTGCTCGGGGGTTTTACACCCTGGGCGGCCATCTTGTGCTTGGTGATTTCGACGGTCTTCATACAGGTACAGAAGCCCATGGTCGCGTACGCCTGGGCAATACCACCGGTCATACCACCAGTGATACCAGCGAGGAAGTCGGGGGCACCGAGAACCTTGGCACGGAACTCCGCCTCGGAGGCAACGAAGAGAAGGACAGCGCCTTTGGTGGAGGCCTCAATCCAGGCCCACGGAATGAGTCCTTGATAATCTGCAGGATTATCCCACGTCAGCTGTTGCACCCCACACTAGTCCGGTAGTCGGAAGCCGGGGGATGTCACTTACAACCGAGGATCCCGCCACGACCCCATATCCGACCCATAGCGCCGGCGAAGCTGTCGCCCCGATTCGCGGCCATGGTTGTCTTGATCACTTCCAGCGGCTTATTCACATGTCAGCAAGGTCCGATACCCAAGAATCCGGGTCCGAGAACGGAATTACCTGTCCCAAAGAAGTGACCCTGTGGTCGCGTGTTAGCACATGGCAGGTACGACAAGAAGGAAGCGTTCTTTGTAGGGAGATGGTACTTACTCGAACATGTTAAGCCCAGCGCCCACTATAGTGAGTATACCATCAGCGCCGATCCATCGTATCTACCACGTTCCCCAAGGGGAGGGGAGGAATCACATACGCAACAAGTTGCTGAACTTCACGGGCTTCTTCTCGAGCGTGGGGCCAGTAGAGGCCGTTCCGGCAGTAGTAGTAGACATGTCTGACCTTGGGGAGCACTGAAAGGGGCCCTGACCAAGGGATGTAGGGGGCTTCGTAGCTTTAAGGGATCACAGGAAACGGAAGGGAGTTGGCAGACTAGATTGGAGAAACCAACAGTCCGGTCGGAATTAGAAATGGAGGAAAGTGAACGGGGATTGGACGGAAGCAAGTCAAGATGCGATAAGCGGAGGAAAGAGAATGGGAAGGAGGAAAGAAACGGGAGAAGGAAGCGGAAGGAAGGGAAATATAAAACAGAGTACGAGAAAGGTCGGAGGACAGAGAGCCTGGAGCAGGCTGAGCAGTACACCGTAGATGCTATACTAGCAGCTTAGCTAGCAGGGGAATCAGGAACTTACGGAGTAGATACGGAGCACTCCGTAGGCGCTAAGACAAAGCGCCCTGCTGGGGACGGGAACAACGATCGCCCGGCCGACAGCCTGGCGGCCTGGCGGCCTCAGGCGCGGCGGATTCTGCGACTCGGAAATCTAATTTTACCACAAGAGAAGAAAACAAAACAATTGGGGCGCGACTAGGCCGATTCCGGGCTGGCGGTGTGGTTGACCCGACGGAGTAAACCGGGCGCTCCCAACAAGTTGGCCTGAACGGTTGAGCGGACTGTTTTCTACGGAGTACATCCCAGTCCAGCTTTCCCCCTTTCTTCGGGCTCGGTCCGCCTCGCCTGAAAAGAAGGGAAGGATCGTCTGTTGCCGTTGCCGACCCGCGAGATGTATGGAGTTACGGAGTACGGTAGGTATGTAGTATGTACTATTCCTGAGTACTCCGTACGGGCGACGGAGTGTTCCCTACTGTATGAATATATTCTATAGTCAAGCATCTGTCCATCACAATGGAAATGCACCTCCGAAACCCTCGTCCGTCCCCCGTACTTTCGGCGCATTCCCTGAAAACCGGGGTCGGTTCAATCTACCGATCCATTGATCGATGGGCGAAAAATAGAAAAATCGAATGTGCTGACTAGGACCCGCTTGACCCCAAGTCCTATACTATATCATATGGATAATGGTACTGAAACACTCAACACTCATCTCGTCCCGTCTAATTATGGCGAAGAAAAAGGAATTCTTTCAACACAAGAAAAATAATACAATATAATATTTAATCATAACAAGATACATCTCCTCCGTCTTTTACAATTCATGGAACGTGTTTAGAGCTTGGCACCGACCAGTTTGGCGTAGGCCTCAGTGCTGAAACTCTTGGGGCGCTCGATGGGGGCACCCAGAGCACGGTCGATGATCAGCTGGGGAAGAACACCAAGGGCGCGGGAGACACCGAACAGGACGGTGTAGTAGTTGGCCTCAGTCAGGCCGTAGTACTGCAGAAGGACACCAGAGTGCTAAACCAAAGTCAGCATTCGTTGCAGCTCGCTGAAAGATGCGGGCGTTGGGGAGAGTGTAACTTACGGCATCGACGTTGGGGAAGGGGTTCTTGGTCTTGCCGTGCTCAGTCAGGACGCCAGGGGCGATCTTGTAAACCTGGCTGACCAGCTTGAACATAGGGTCATCAGGGAGCTTGCGAAGGGCAAACTCGCGCTGGGAAACGTAACGGGGATCCGTCTTACGAAGGACGGCGTGGCCGTAGCCAGGAACGACCTGACCAGCGTTCAGGGTAGACCACAGGTAGTCCTTGATGGCCTGGTCGCTGAGGTCGTTGCCAACGGCGGCCTTCATCTTGGTGAGCCAGTTAAGCACCTCCTGGTTGGCCCTATTGAAAACGAACAATTAGCCATGCCATTTCTTCTCGATGGTTCACACACGCTTTTACAACTTACAATCCGTGGAGAGGACCAGCCAATCCGTTCAGACCGGCGGCGAGAGAGAGCATAGGGGAGCTCAGAGCGCTACCGACAAGGTGGGTGGTGTGGGCGCTGACGTTGCCACCCTCGTGGTCAGAGTGGATGGTGAGGTACAGACGCATGAGCTCAACGAAGTCCTTGTTGTCGCCGAAGCCGAGCTGGTTGGCCAAGTTGTAGGAGTAGTCCTTGTCCTTCTGGATAGGGGCGACCTTGCCGTCCTTGAAGACGTTGCGGTAGATCTTGGCGGCAATGGTAGGCAGCTTGGCAATGAGGTCCATCGAGTCCTCGAAAGTGTAGTTCCAGTAGTCCTTCTTGTTCATGCCCTTGGCGTAGGCCTTGGCGAAGGCAGACTCGTGCTCGAGGGCAGTGACGGCCAGCGAGAACTGGGACATGGGGTGCAGAGTGCTGGGGCAGCGGTCGATAAGCTCCTCAATGAACTTAGGGAGATCGGAGCGAGCAGCCCATTCGGCAGACAGGTCGCGAACCTGCTGCTCGGAGGGGACTTCACCGGTCAACAGGAGCCAGAAGAGACCTGTAGTCCATTAGCAACGCGTTTTGATGGATTCAATGTACCGGTCCCTGTCGGTTGACTTTTCCTTACCTTCGGGGAGAGGCTCCTCGCCACCGGGGGCCTTGGGGAGAAGTTCCTGGCACTCGGGAATCTGGCCGATTTTTAGACGAAATCTAAATGGCATAGGCAGAGCTAAGACTTACGGTGCGGCCACGGAAACGGATACCCTCCTCGGAGTCCAGAACAGAGCCCTGGATTTCAATTTAGCCAGGGTTCGTAGAGAATTGAGATCAAAGAGCCAAGTAGTACCTCCCAAACCAGGGCCTTGATACCACGGGCACCACCGTAGGCCTGGTCAAGGGTGACCTCGCCAATCACCTTGTGGCCATGCTCCCTACAAGTGTTCGAATAAGTGGTTAGCAATGATGGTAATGTGTGACCCGAGGCAGGACGGATGCGTACTTCCTGAGCTTCTTGACCTTCTCGAGCTCAGCGGGAAGCTTGTCGGCGAAAGTCTCCTTCAGGGACTAGATCAAGAGCATACGAGGTTAGCAAAGGTAGTAAGGACGGTGGCCGAACAATCCGAAGGGTGAACATACCTTGGCCTTGCCGGTAGAGTAGCAGCGCAAGCCATTCAAGGCAGCAGACTGGACAGTCGGCTTGCTGGCCAGAGTGGTGGACCGAATAGCGGAGGTTCCAAGTCGCAATGTGGAGGCCATGATGATTGAACAACCTTGGGGATGTGGTTGAAGAGTAGAAAAGGAGAGGAAGGAGGATGGGGGAAGAGGTAAGAAAGAAAGAAAAGATGCTAAGGAGACTCGGGAGAAGCTCTTGGGACGGGCCTTTTTTTTCCATCTGGCCGTAACGGTACAGCCGGTACGCGGATTGTACGGGTAACGACCGGCAACGAAGACTTGAGGTCGGGATCTTGTACGGTACGGTAACGCCATTCCCACCGCGTCCGCCCGGTCTCCCGAGAGATTTTTATTCTGTCATCGACCCGCACACGCTACCTCGAAGGTACTTCCAGATACTCCGTACAAAGACGGAGTACGGGGTAACTGGACGAATGGCGTAATGGGCACTATGGAATTTCACAAGGTACATTGATCGAGTACGAAATCCTCTACTTACCGAGAACACGGTATTCTGTTAAGCAAGTTGAGCAAGTTAAGCCAGCCCTCCATACTCCATCCAGGCACTTCTTATTACGTAGCCTTTGTAGGACGTAGAGCCCTCAGATCACGGTGGGATCTTATCTTCGGAATTCCGGAGTCATGGACAGCTTAAATGAGCCGGATATCTACGAGATATGATCCTTTCTTTTCCTAACATTGAACCAGCACGGGATATTATTGACGATCTTCGGCGCTCCGTAAACGGAGTAGTGCTAAGGGAATGACGTCGGCAGACTCGGTACACGGCCAACAATCGCTACTTTCCATCATGCTCCATCATAATGTGTGTTCCTATGGAGTGGTTATGATAACCACCAACAGGTGGATACTCAGGAGTCAGCATGCCGGTGTTGGGAAAAAGAGCCTTTTATGTTGACATGCTCAAGCACCCGTACTCTATAAACCCTAGATATACTCCGAGAGCCTACGGAGTATGCAGAAATATTCTTGCAGTGGAACCCGGCCCTCACGGCATAACGATTCATGCTGTGTACCTACGGAGTTAGTAGTTTAGCCCTTTTGATTCACCGACGGTGCTGAGTCAGTCCAGCCCAACTCAGCCCCCGTGGCGCACGTGAAACCATGTGATCTACTGCGGCCTGAGGCCAAAGACTGCCCGCTCGGGACTAGCGGCGGTAGGGAAATTTTCCCTCACCTGACCTCCTCGCCAAACTCCTTCCCTTTGAACGCCTCCTTTCTTCTTTTTCCAAACCGCCCTTTATCATCGAGTTTCATCTCCTTTCTGTCATTCACCGCGTCGCCCACATCGTAACTTCATCATTTTCACCTCACTCACCTGCCTGCATCATCTTCCCAGCTCTTTTGACATCTCTCACCTTTAGCTCGTACATACGTGTACACGTGCTCGTTCGCGAGTCGCAACGCTCTGGACACGATCGCTTGGCTGTGCTCCAGCTGTAGGCGGGATTCTCCTGTGGGTGCCTGTGTACGCTCGCAAGTCCGTAGTGACACGATCAGGAGTCCGCTTAAGACATCACTTTTTTCCATACGTTGGGAGGCCAAGATTTTTGAGAATCTTCTGATATCTCACTCTTAAGAAACCATCACAATACTCTATCAGCACTCAGTACGGGATCCCCCGGTAGAAACGGCCTGATCCCTGGTATCCTCCGGCAGCCGGTGACCTCTATCTATCGGAGGCGATAATCAAGCACCCTTGGACCACATTTCTTCCGTTCTTTTTTCCGTACTGGAACCGGGTTACCAACCCTAATAATACTCCGCCCACCATGTCTTCTGCTGTAGCAGAACTGGATAGCTATCTCCAGTCTATGCTTGCTCTTAAACCCCCGGGTGTTTCGGGTTCTAAGATCAACAGTATCACCTCGCTTTGTACGGCGAACGTTCAGGTAATGCATCCCCATCCCTCGAATCGAATCGCGCTGGACGAAGGGGGGCGACCCGGCTAACCGTTATTGTCCGCTGCAGAACGAATCCGTCCTCATCCAGAAGATCTATACACACTTCAAAAAGACACCAGGAACACACAAATTGGGCGTACTCTATGTCGTAGACTCTGTAACTCGACAGTGGGTAGAAGCAGCGCGCAAGGCAGGACAGCCGCCTGGCAGTGCCGCTCCGGACGGAACCTTTGCCGCTGGCGTTAACAGAGTGACCGAATTATTACCTGTCTTGATGACTGATATCATAAACAATGCTCCCGAAGATCAAAAGGTACGCTCTAGATGCAATATGCGAAGAATCGTCGAATTTCCACGAGACTTGCGGTCATGCATAGGGCCAGTAAGACGCGGTGATCTCTTCGTGGATCCCGTCCTGGCCTTTATAAGTCTTGATCTACGTATCTCCCGCTATATACTCCCCATTCTCTGCATAGAACCGGCCCCGTGGCGAATAGTGCAACTTACGTATTGGCATGTGTCTTCATATAGGAAAAAATCAGGAAACTGGTTGATATCTGGGAGCGTGGATACACCTTTCCCGCTCCTATGCTTACCTCCTTCAAGGACAAACTAAATGCGCCCGCATCGCACAGTAAGCCCAGTTCCCTCTCTTTTTATTCTCCTTCTCATCAAAGCAAACCCGCGATGCTGGTTGAGAATGTTTCTCTGATGTGTCATAGATGTGGAATCCACGACTCCTGAAGGGTCTCCGGCCCCGAACTATATCCCGCTTGGAGGTCCGCAGCAGCAGCAGCAACAACAGCAGCAAGCGGCTAATGGTGCAAGCTCGTCGACCCCTGCTCAATCAGCCCCCGACACCTCCAGTATCCTGAAGGCCCTGGCGGACATGGCTAAGCAGAACACCGCAGCGCCGGCGCCGGCGCCGCCAGTGGCGCCGCCGACTAACCCTCTTCATGCCCTGGGCCAGCCGAGTACCGTTGCGCCTCCCATGCCGCCATCCGTAGACCCGGCTTCCCACCCTTCCAACGGGCAGGCTGGCGTAAATCCTTATGCTGCGGGAGTGATGGGAACGCCGTTCGCGGCTTTGGGGAGTGTCCCCGGTGCGAACCCGGCGCTGGTCCAGCCGCAGAGCCAGAGCCAGACTCCCAATCCGCTGGGCGCCGCGCCAAACCCACTGGCGGCGCTACTGCCGCAGGCCACTGCAGCACCGACTCAGCAGACGCCCTCGATGGCGCCGGATCCTCTGCAGCAGCAGCTCCAGCTGTTGCAGGCCTTGGCCGCGCAGGGAATCCCGCAAGAGCAGTGGCTCCCCGCCCTGCAGCTCCTGACCAACATGACAGCCGGCCAGGCGCCGGGCGGCTTCAGCATGCCGGGCCAGAACGTCAATGCCAATGCCTGGGGCCCCCGTCCCGACTCGCAGGCACGTGACTTTGACCGCGACCCGCGCGACTTCATGCGCTCCCCGCCCGGTCAGTATCACCGCGGTCGTTCTCGCTCGCCCGGCTGGGACCGTCGTCCCTCCCCCCCTCGTCGCCGTGACAGCCCCGTCTACGGCGAGTATCATGGCGACTCGCCCGGTCGCCGCGCCGGGGATCCGCGTGGCCGCCGCGCCAACGACTATCGTCAACGCAGCCCTCCCGGCCGCAGACGTCGCTCTCCTTCCCCCCGCAAGGACCCAGCCTTGCCTCCTCCCGGCAAGAAGATCATCGAGTGGGACTATTCTATCGGTCAAAACAACATCAAAGGTGTGTGACCCTGACGGAATTGTGGCCTCCCTCCAACGACCCCCCCCCCACAAAATGGCTAACCCTCCAACCCTGCGCAGTTCTGAGCCGTACCCTGTTTGTCGGCGGTGTCACGTAAGTTCCTCAATCGCTATGGCATCCCTAAATTCCATCGTTCGTTTCCACTAACTGCACTGGCCTTCAGGTCCTCGGAATCTGCCCTTCGCGGGCTCTTTAGCAAGTTCGGTATCGTTCAGACCTGCATTGTCAACATCGACAAACGTCATGCCTTCATCAAAATGATCAGCCGCGAAGACGCCATCCGTGCTCGCGACGGCATGGAATCGTACAGGTCGGGCGAGATGCAGCTTCGAGTAAGTCCCGGAATTTCCTTCTCATACCTCGTACGGAGTGCTGACCGGTTGCAGACTCGATGGGGCGTGGGATTTGGTCCGCGTGATTGCAGTGACTATCAGACCGGCATCAGTATCATCCCGATTGACAGACTCACCGAAGCAGACCGTAAGTGGATGTTGACCGCAGAGTACGGTGGAACGGGCGGAGCGCCTATAGACTCGGGCATGGTTGTGGAAGAGCCGGATATCGAGATCGGTGCCGGAGTTTCATCGAAAGGTTAGTTGTACCTTCTGCGGGCCTACCCCGGCGTCGAAGCTAATTCGTTATATAGCCATCAGTCGTCGGATTGCCACTGATACCGGCGGTAAGCGTGGCCCGGTGTCCTCTCGCTCCCAGCAAGATCGTTTCCGTCGCCCCGAGCGTGAGCCTCCGACGGGAATGGGTGGTGGCATGGGCGGCGGCCACGTGGATCGCGAAGTCGCCAGTGCCAATAATGTCGGCGTGCCTCCCACAGTGCCGAGTTTCGGGTTTTCAGTCCCCATCCCCGGCATGTTTCCCCCTGGTTTCATGATGGGCGGAGCGCAGGCTGGCTCTGGTGGCTCCGCGCAGCCCCCGCCTCCTGGCCAAGGAGGCAATTGATTTCCACTCCAAGGGAGGCGTGTTCGTAACTCTTACATTCGATTCTTGTCTTGCTACGTGAATTCCTCCGTTGTCTATTCTTTCTCTCTCTCTCTTTTTTTTGTTTTCGCTTCTGCTGTAAATCCTCTTTCGAACTGGGAACTTGGCGTTTGAGGTTCAGGACGGTCTCTTAAAGAAGGGTGGGGTCTCTTTGTGTCTCAAAAGGGGTTTTCTTTTGTATTTGTTTTTACTTTCTCAATTTTCCTGTTTGTCTCTGCAGAGGGACTTATCGTGTCTGAGGCTCTCAACAATCTGTGTGCTGACGTGCCGCTCTCTGTTTTCTTGTTTCTGTACAAAACATAAGACACTGTTTCCTTTTTCACGTCCTTGGATTTGGGTGGCCTTGTGGATTTATGTGCTGCATTCTTTGCAAACTAGCAACTCTGTCTTCTGTATCTGCCGTTTCCTCTGTCAGTCGACCTAGTGTTATTCAATTATTCTTGATACCTCTGTTCGGATTCCATGGCTACTGCATAATTCTATATCGCCACGTGTAGGAGAACCGTACGAAAGAACTGAGTAGGACACTGGCGAATCCGGTCAGGTCGTGGCCGCGCAAGAGACATGTGTTCTGGGCAAGGGAGGGCCGTGGTGATCAAAGGGAAAGAAAGTGGGACTTCCATATCATCAGATTTGTAGGAAGAGAGGGATCAGCAAACGGCCAGACACTGGGTAATTTACGGCATTGCAACCACCTACAGGAGAGACAGACTTGGAAATATTGTCATTACGGTTACTTCTGCTTGACTGTCGATACAGGAGAAACTATGCCAGCGGACTCAATAGGATAGAAATATATTCAATTAGACAGTACTATAACACAGGGGATAAATGCAAATATCTCGAAGCGACGATTTCACCCAACTCCGTGCCAATGCCCAAAACAGAAACAATCACTTGATAATATACAGAATTGATTTTAAGAAAAGGCAACCATTCGGCACAACGCCCTTCATGACTCTCTATTCGACCCTACGCCGGGAACAGCCCTGAATGGCAGAGATGCCCTTTTCTGCTCCTGATCACTTTCCCGCAATGTGCGATAGAATATCTACCGGAGTTTCAGTCGGTGATACCACTTCGTGGTGGGTGCGGTCGTTTCCCACGACTCATTCTCAAGTGCGGTGCGACCGGTATCGATGTCGGCCTCAAGAGGACGCACGAAAGGAGTACGGTAGACAATTTTATGGCCCACATACAGCACCACGAAAAGAATCAGACTGAGGTAGGCAATGAAGAAGTCGGTCACGCTGAAGGTTGGGATGAAGGCGGTGAACCCTTGAGTCAAGATGATCAGGATGTTGAAGAAAAGTCCATACCAGGCATACCATGGCTGCCACACGGCCTTATAGGGAAGAAGATCACGAGAGATGTTGCGAGCCTTCAAGGCACGCATGAAAGCCAGGTGGCAGGCATTAAGCGATGACCAAGTGATAAAACCAGCAACACCGGCAATATTCAGAAGCCAGTTGAATACCGTGCTGCCAGCATTGGAGACGTTCATGAAACCAAGCAAGCCAAAGGCGGCGGTAAATGCAACGCCGAAGTACGGCACGCCTTGCTTTGTGGTCTTTTTGAACCAACGCGGGGCAAATCCTTCCTGGGCCAAGCCGATCAGAATACGGCTCCCACTATATACGTTTGAGTTGGCAGCAGAGAGCACCACCGTCAATAAGACTGCGTTGATAATGTCGGGCAAAACCTTGACACCGGCCAGCCTGGCAGCGATGACGAAAGGCGAGGAATTGGCATCGTTGCCGTCGGTGAGGAGGTCTTGGTTGGTGTAAGGCACCAGCAGGCCGATGAAGAAGATCGTCAAGACGAAGAAGAATAGGATACGGTAGAAGGTTTTGCGAATGGCGGAGGGGACGGTCTTGCGGGGGTTTTCGGTCTCACCGGCAGCAATACCGACTAACTCGGTCCCTTGGTACGAAAAGCCAGCCTGGATAAGCACCGCCCAGAAGCCCACAAACTTGGCCTTCGAATCGGGCGAGATTCCCTCGTACGGCGAAAACGGACCGGGGTTGACCCAGTGGCGAAATCCGATATATTCCCTTCCACCGGCGCCGGCATCGATGCAAATTGCAAAAATCATGAACCCAACCACCGTGAGTACTTTGATGCTGGAAAACCAAAATTCCAACTCTCCGTAAAAGCTGACGGGCAGGAAGTTCAAGAGGGTGATGACGACCCAGAAGACGGCGATGAAGATAGCGATATTGATGTCCTTGTCCCAAAACTGTATAATCAAACCCGTGGCCGTCAACTCGAGGGCGAAGGTGCTGGCCCAAGAGAACCAATAGATCCAGCCCATGGCAAACCCCAGACTGGGGTCAATCAAGCGGGCAGCATAGGACGTGAAGGCACCGGGAATCGGAATATAAGTTGCAATCTCTCCCAACGAGGTCATGACGGAGTACACGATTGAACCGACGAACAGATAGGCGATGAGCGCACCGACAGGGCCCGCACTGGCAATCGCAGTACCACTGCTGATGAATAGACCTGTTCCAATTGTACCACCTAGGCACGTGTCAGCATTTGATAGTCGGGTAACACACCGGAGGGAACAGGTGTTCTAGACCTACCAATGGCAATCATCTGCAAGTGCCTGCTCTTCAGCTTCCGCTTCAGATCAGGTAGCGGGTTTGACTCGCGACTTGCGCCATGTTTCTCGCAGTCCACGTCTTGCAAATCCGGCGACGCGTTGGTAGAATCGAACTGGATGGGTTCCTCGTTGGGCATCATGCCCTTGTCGCCGGCAAATTTTGGCGTGCTGTTGACCTCGTCCTCAGAGGCCATGCTTGGCCGTCCAACAGTCCAATTGGTATCAATGAAGAAGCGTGGTGAATGAAAGGCGTCGGGGAACCCGAGGGAAAAAAAATGTGTCAAGGTTGTGAGGAAAGGCGAAGGCGGCTCCACCAAACACGCTTGAGTCACCACCCAGGGTTTTCTCGATTCCGATTCTCGCTCGCCGTCTCTTTGGAAGAAGGGATTGGAAATAGAGTGTTGGATAAAAGCCAAGAAAAAATAGAAAGGAGAAAAAAGGTACTGCTCCGCCGAAGTACTTTTCCTGTGGAGTAGAGAAACAAGGTCGATGATTTATAGCAAGGAAACGCAATTGTCCCCTCTTTCGACGGCCGATATACCAGCGATAGAGCGAGTGACGAATGATAGAGACCGAGATAATGCAATTATGTACTCAGGACCGGAAGATGTTATGTAAAAAGAATGACTGAGTTGAGCGGAGGCCGGCTATCCTCAGGCACTAACTGAGACGAATGCAACGTTGATAGATGATCGGCTTTGAAGTAAAGATCAGTCTAAGAAAGCATTGGATAGAAGTATATACTCCTCTTTTTTCTTGCCTTCCCCTCGTTCCTCGCTGCCTGTCTCTGTCCCTCTCTCTTTTTTTTTTTTTTTAGGGTTTTTCTTTTTTTTTTTTCATCCGAATTTTCCATCTTCCACGAGGGGGATAGGCGAATCAGCGGGGCGGTTGACGAAGTGGGCCGGCCATACTGAGTGTAGTATGGAGTGGGGAGGAGAAAGATTTTTCGCGTCGAGTGTCGAGTCGGCGAGTCGGCGGACTCGCCCGTGGAATTCTATCGGCATCAGATCTGGAGCGTGCGGTGGCGGGAAAGACGAACAAACGGTTTTGCCGCCGGAGAGCCCCGAATCGAAGGGCAACATCTTGCCAGTGGCGATGTTCCTTTGAGTGAGGGCCGAGGACTGACTCGTGTGTTCCGTAAGGCGGAAGTCCTCCCCGCACGTGATCGTAGAAGTGAATCTTAGTAACTGCAGTGCAGTCCACTAGTTAGTTAAGTCAACTACTTATTATTAACTAATTCTCATAAATAGTTAATGCTAGTTAGTATTATTTATTTTGGTTGCGGTCCATCCACGACCCAATGAAGTAATGATCTCTGATATGAAGTTATTATTATAAGGTCCACAACCGGACATATGCAATGGTAAATAGTACAATTCGAACACCAGGGGTATACGGTTAAAAACATAAGCCATAAATGCTCACCGCGACGGCAAGGATCATGTTCAACAGGAGATGTTAGAAGGGTAATGAGAGTGATGGAGGAAAGTCCGGGTCGTCGTCCTATGGGTTACCATCATGACATCTTGACCAACTTGGACGCATGGCCCCACGTCCTTGTGTCACTGTCATCATCGAGTGCCAGCTGCCGACAGAAAACCTTCAAGGAACCGCGGCTATAGGGTCGTTTAGACGCCAACGTGGGCAGAAGTTTGAGGGGCAGGCTTCGTACTGGGAGAGCTCGATCTGGATCGCAGAGCGCCAAGAACGGAAGTCACGGTCGTGGCCACGAACAAAGCCCTAATTATCCCCAGCCACGTTAGTTGCAGTCGACAGATGTCATGGACGGGGGAGGTGCATACCACTCGAACGCCCCAAACACCGTCGCCGCTTGCGCCGAGTTGCAAGCGCTCCAGTGGCAGTAGTCTGGGGCCGGCAGCAAAGCACCCAAAGCAATGAACCCGGCAAACCAAAAGATCATGGTGAGCACCTCGACGGCCGGGATGACCAACCGATGCGCAAGGTTGGGAAAGTACACCGGGGCGAGGGCAAGATAGGGAGTTGCAAAAAATGCGGTCCAGATGCCATTGAAGAGCATAAAATTAACGGTGTCGCTACCCCGGAAGAGGCTGATGACTATAGAGGGGATTTAACAACCATAAGTCGATCAAAGACCCGGCGACGGGTAGAGGAGAGGGAAAGGTGTTTACGCACTATACGCGGTCAAGCCGAGAACAATGATGGCGAAGATGACCTGAATGACCCGAACGGGATAAATCCAGGGAAAGTTCCAAGCCATGGCGAGCTTGAATAGGTAATCTGTTTTTTTTTTTTTTTTTTTTTTTTTTTTTTTGTCTGGTGTTGCTCGTTGATATCACGGACGGAGAGAAGTAGTAGTGTCGGGGGTTCGACGATGGTCAGGGAAGGTCGAAAGGGAGACTGCCTTAAAAAGCAGGATAGAAAAAAGCATCGTCATCACCAATTTATTAGAATCCTGGAATATCGGGGGATACGATCGTCACCCGAGGCGCTCGTATGGAGAGCGTCATTGGCTTGGGAAGCTTGTGATTAACGCGGCAGCCTTTTGAAGGTATGACGACAAGCGCCTCGGCGGTCTGCGCTGGCAGTCTGGCATGGCAGTCTGGTTATTGTTATGAATGTACATCCTACCGTGGGAAATTCTGGACGATCCATGTTCAATCACGCCATCCTGGCTCTCTCCCCATTTCCCCGCGCTCAAGTCGTCCTCACTTCTTCTTCCCCTCCTGCCATGACAGCCCGATTGCTATTTCTCACGTCGTCATGTCGGATTCACCGCAGCCTCGCTTTGAAACGCTACAACTCCACGCCGGGTGATTTGATCCTTATGTCTAAAATGACGGATTCTACATGCTAACTCTGTCTTCTCAAGTCATGAACCCGACTCGGCCACCAATTCCCGGGCAGTGCCCATCTACGCGACTACGGTAGGCATGCGCCGGCCAGAGCAACCCGCGCCTGAAGCTAACAGTCTATGCAGTCGTACCAATTCAATGATTCGGCACATGGCGCCAGACTCTTCGGCCTTAAGGAGTTCGGCAACATCTACAGCCGTATCATGAATGTGAGTCCTGACGGAACCTGCGTCCAGTTCGGGGTTGACGCGGAGTCACTCACCATTACGTCTTCCCTAGCCGACGGTGGATGTTTTCGAAAAGCGAATTGCGGCCCTGGAAGGGGGAGTGGCAGCCGTGGCAGCCTCCTCGGGACAGGCCGCTCAGTTCATGGCAATCTCGGCGCTGGCGCATGCTGGCGACAACATCGTGTCGACCAGTAACTTATACGGCGGCACGTATAATCAATTCAAGGTTTTGTTCCCGCGGCTGGGAATCACCACCAAATTCATCCAGGGAGAAAACCCGAGCGACATTGCCGCTGCCATCGATGATCACACGAAGGCCGTCTACGTCGAGACGATCGGAAACCCTCGCTACAACGTACCTGACTTCGAGGCAATTGCCAAGGTCGCTCATGAAAAGGGCGTCCCGTTGGTGGTAAGTACCGACCATAACTATAGAAACCAAACGAGGCCACTGCTAACCCTCTCTGACTGGCAATGACTAGGTCGATAACACGTTTGGGGCTGGCGGTTACTTCTGTCGTCCCATCGATCACGGAGCCGACATAGTCGTTCATAGCGCAACCAAATGGATCGGGGGTCACGGCACCACCATCGGCGGCGTCGTGGTCGACAGCGGGAAATTCGACTGGGGCAAACACGCCGCCCGCTTCCCACAGTTTGTCGAGCCTTCCGAAGGCTACCACGGCTTGAAATTCTGGGAGACCTTCGGACCGCTTGCTTTTGCGATCCGGGTCCGCGTAGAAATCCTCCGCGACGTGGGGTCGGCACTCAACCCCTTCGCCGCGCAGCAGCTCTTGCTGGGACTGGAGACTCTGAGTCTGCGTGCCGAGCGCCATGCAGACAATGCACGGGTTCTGGCTGACTGGCTTCGGAGCAACGAGAACGTGAGTTGGGTGTCGTACCCCGGATTAGCAGACCACCCCAGCCACGAAACCGCCCGGCGCTATTTGCCGCGCGGGTTTGGCGGTGTTTTATCCTTCGGGGTCAAGGGGGGCGCGGCGGCCGGTAGTCAGGTCGTCGACGGCTTCAAATTGATCTCCAATCTTGCCAAGTAGGTTTTCTGATCTTTTAGTCCGCAATTCCCCGACACGTGTGATCGCAGGACATTCCGACTAACCAGACCGACGCAGCGTGGGCGATTCCAAAACGCTGGCCATCCACCCTTGGTCAACCACGCACGAGCAACTGACCGAGCAGGAACGCCTTAATTCCGGGGTCACTGAGGACGGGATTCGGATATCGGTGGGCACCGAGCATATCGACGATATTATTGCGGATTTTACCCAATCCTTCCAGGCCGCAAGGGGTGTTCAGGCTGAGTAGGCACTAGCCAGCAGTTACTCTGTACTTCGTAGTTAAAAGCAGCCGATCTTGAATTATGGGTGTGGGGTATGCATACAGAATAACGTTGAAATACCTAAAAAAAAATATACTTCTCAACCTTCAGGGACGGACGATCCCGAATGAAATGAAATGGTCCGCGTTCACATGAAACCCCGGGCATTAAGGATAAACCTTGAACCCAACGTTCAACATGCTGGGCATTGCACTCCGTAGGTCCTGGTCCTCGGCATCATCTGCCCCAAAGTTAAGGGGAATCCTTTCCCCCCGGACGGGGAAATGCCGAGGTTCGTTTTGTGTCGCGTGGAGGCGAAAAGCCAACCGTCCGCCAGTCAGCGGCCTTCCGGGACCCGCATGCTTTGCATAAGTGTTGATTGTTCACGGAGTCGCCGGTCCATCCTGGTCTTTCATACTTCCTACTTTCCCTTTCCTTCTCTCTCTCTCTCTCTCTCTCTCTCTCTCTCTCTCTCTCTCTTTCCTTCTCTCTCCACCTTATACACCCTTGGTTGTAACACAACTCATCATCTGTCTTCACTTATAGGGTTGTGTTAACACATTGGTGAGCTTGCCTGGAGTTTTGCGCCTCCATCCCCTCCCTCAAAGCTTTGGATGAACTCGGGGCTGACTCGATCGTCTCTGCGATAGATTATGCTTTTCGCTCAACAACCGCTGCATCTCGCTCGGGCGGACGAGCTGAGACAAGAACCCCCCAAAGGGACTCCTTACTCCGTCGCCCTGCCGGGAACCGAAAAGCCCGGTAGGAGCAAAATCTATCGCGCCCACAGCGCCCAGAAGGGACTTGTGAAGACGTTGGATCCGCAGGTATGTGCATGGCTGGCACCGCCTGGTGTACATTGTGTCCCCGTGCTAACCGACGCTCCGTTTCAGGTTCTCACCGCACACGATGCATTCGAGTCAACCGCTAACCGGGTTCCCAAAAACCACTGTCTCGGATGGCGCCCTTACAACCAAGATACCAAGACTTTCGGCTCGTACCAGTGGATTGACTATCAGACGGTCCAGCAGCGGCGCTCGGCCTTTGGTGCCGGACTGGTGGAATTGCATCTGAAGCACGACTGCCACCGTCCCGGTCAATATGGTGTTGGTCTGTGGTGTCAAAACCGCCCGGAATGGCAAATCACCGGTATGGTCCCTCCCTTCCCTCCCTCGATGACGGCGTGGTGCTGAATTTGGCATCGTAGATCTCGCGTGCATGTCCCAGAGCCTCTATTCCGTTTCCATCTACGACGTTCTGGCCCCGGATGCTACCGAGTACATCATCAACCATGCGGAGCTTCACTGCGTCGTGACTTCGCTGCCACATATCCCCACGCTGCTCAAGTTGAAGCCTCTGCTGCCAAATCTGAAGATCATCGTCAGCCTGGATCCCATGGACGCCGGTGAACAGGCCGGCCATTCGAAGCGAGCTCTCCTCGAGTCTGTCGCTGCCGGGCAGGACGTCGCCATCTACACGATGGACCAGGTTGAGGAGTTGGGCGCTTCCGCCAATCGTCCTTGCAAGGCCCCCTCGCCTTCGGACATTGTCACCATCAACTACACTTCCGGGACGACCGGCCCTCCTAAGGGAGTGGTTTTGACGCACGAGAATGCCGTGGCCGCCACTACGGGTGCTCTGGTCACGGTCCAACAAGCCAAAGGCGATACGATGGCATCGTATCTTCCACTTGCACATATCTACGCGCGTTTGTCGGAACATGCGGCCTTCTGGGCGGGCGCTCGGATTGGGTACTTCCATGGCAATATTGTGGAGCTGGTTGACGACCTGAAGATACTGAAACCTACGGGGTTCATGTCTGTGCCTCGTCTATACAGTCGCTTTGGAAACGCAATCCGTGCTTCGACCACCGAGCAGCCCGGCTTCAAGGGCGCGCTCTCACGACACATTGTCTCGACCAAGATGGCAAACCTGAAAACCCCCGATTCTTCCAAGGCTTCCGTGAACCACGCTTTGTACGATCGCATTTGGGCCAAGAAGGTCGCCAGCGCTCTGGGTTTGGAACGCACGAGAATCATGGTTTCCGGCTCCGCGCCACTGGATCCTTCGCTGCACGACTTCTTGCGTGTCGCTCTCGGGGTGGATTTCGCGCAGGGTTACGGTCTTACCGAAACCTACGCCATGGCTTGCGCTCAGGCCCCCAATGACCTCACTGCCGGGAACTGCGGCCGACTCGCCCCCTGCACGGAAGCTTGTTTGGCCTCTCTGCCTGACATGGATTACTCGGTCGATGACAAGCCGTACCCTCGCGGCGAACTGCTTCTCCGGGGCCCCAATGTTTTCCGCGAGTATTTCAAGAACCCGGAGGAGACCGCCAAGGCGATAACGGAAGACGGGTGGTTCCAAACCGGCGACGTTTGCACCATCGACGAAAAGGGCCGCATCGTTATCATCGATCGTCGGAAGAACGTTCTGAAGCTGGCCCAGGGCGAGTACATTTCGCCGGAGCGACTGGAGGGTGTCTACCTGTCCGAGCTGGGGTATTTCGCCCAGGGGTATATTCATGGCGAAAGCGTTCAGACGTTCTTGGTGGGCATTTTCGGAGTGCAGCCCGACACGTTTGCGCCATTCGCTAGCAAAGTGCTCGGCCGGACCATCAGCGAAGCCGATATCAAATCCGTTCTGAACAACGAGAAGATTCGGGCGGCCGTGCTAAAGGATCTTGAGCGCGTTGCTAAGAAGCATAAGCTTGCAGGATATGAACGGGTCAAGAACTGCGCGTTGATGATCGATCCGTTCACCGTGGAGAACAACCTGCTAACGCCGACGTAAGTGGACTCTGTGCTCTATTACAATTTAGCGGACATTGTACTAACCCTTGCTTTCCCATCCTCTAGTCTGAAGCTGAAGCGCCCTCCGGCTGCAAAGCAATACCGTACACTCCTGGATGACCTCTACACCCAGGCGACGGCGGAGCAGTCTAGTCCTCGAGCCAAACTGTAGATATACGAGTTCCCTTTGATTTATATATTTATATATAATTATTTATTTGTTCATTTTTCGTTTATGTTTATATTATAGAGATTGCTGGGAAGGGGAAGGCGGGAGGGACCCTTCGGGGACTCTGTATGTGTTGTATGTACATACCTACTAACTAGTTACCGTTGAGCGGAGACACTGAGACAGATCTCGTAATCTAGTTCTAGTTCGATTGTGCATTGTAGACATGAAGATTATCTTTCTTATAAGTCTTTTGGCTCCAAGCCGCTGCAGGCTGAAGGCTGAAGGCTGGCGTAGACACAGAGGGACGGTCGGGGTTGCGGCCGAGACTAAAAGTGCCTAATGCCGCATGGACTGGAGGACTCCAAACCGCCGCCGTCTTTTGTTCCATCTGCTCTCCCTCTACGCCAGACTCTCTCGCTATCCTCCCTTGCGACCTTTTAACCCATCCACTTCTACCATCTAAGGAACGATGGGCTCGCTAACCCGCTCTCTGCACGTGTTGCTGCTGTTCGTTGCCGCTACCGCAACGCTGGTAGCTTCAACCCTCACCGTCACCATCCCCCCTTCGACTCTGCTCCCCAACCCCAACGCCCTGCCAGCCGGGACACATGCCACTTTGACCTCGCTCCCCTCGTCCGAACACTCCAAAGATGATGCTGAGGCTGTTGCCCACCCTCTGAGCGCCTCATTGACTCGCTCCGGCACCTTCGTCTTCCGGTCTCTCCACTCGTCCAAGCCCCAATCCTACTTGCTCGACATTCGGTCCGCTGAATATGTGTTTGCCCCCTATCGCGTCGACGTCTCCGCCGACGGCGTCGTGCTGGGCGTCTGGGAAACGTTCCGCGGAAACCCCTGGGACAATCGTGGCGCTGAGAAGTTTGTCGTCGATGCTGCTACTGCCGCCTCCTCCGGTGACGTGACGGTGGAAGCCAAGTTGCTGACAAGGAGGGCTTTCTATGAACAAAGGTCTACATGTGAGAACACAACAAATCCTGCGGGGTTTTGTCAACTCGTGAAAATAATGTCTATGCCGGAAGCTGACGGATTTGAACTCTCGCCTCCCCAGTCTCCCCTCTGGCCTTGTTCAAGAACCCCATGATCCTGATGGCCTTGGTGGCCTTGGGCTTTACGTTTGGAATGCCGAAGTTGATGGAAAACAGTGAGTTCTTCTTTCTCGAGTCCCCCTTGTTCTCTGGCCCGTTCATAGCCCGTTCTCCTCGATGTAGCCTTGCTAATGAAGAATTGCACCCTCTGTAGTGGATCCCGAGATGCGTGCCGAATTCGAGAAACAGTCCCGCAGCTCTCCCATCTCCGGTGCAAATGCCATGGCCAGTGGCGGCAGTGCCCCGGGGAATTTCGACCTTGCGGGCTGGATGGCCGGCGCAGCTCCCCGAGCGGCAGCAGGCGCGGAGACTGCTGCATCCCCAGGAGCGTCGACTGGCCGAGACGGCGGCGACTCTACCCGCAGGCGCAAATGAGTGCCGGCTGGAGATCGAGGGCTGAAAACTTGGCTTAATCCAGTGTCGATTGATCTACAGCAAATATGTCTTATTACTTGGCCAAAAAAGATTTGAAATACTAAGCTTATATCCCAACCATCCATCTGCTACTCCGCGCGTGCGACATCATTTGGAGAAAGGAGGGGATCAAATTTGAGGAGATAAAATAAAAAAAACAAAAACCATAAAGACAGAGAGCCTTTCCCACCGGTTCATACTGATACACGTCTTTCATTCATAGCACTTCGTGAGACCGTTTCTGAGGCCGAACAGACGACGCAGGATTAGAAGTCGCCGCCTCCAAAGTCATCACCGCCGCCATAGTCATCGCCACCGCCATAATCGTCATAATCGTGATGATCCTCGATTGCATCTGCTAGTAAAGCACCGCCAATCAACCCTCCACCCACACCCAATGCCGCAGCACCCGCAGTTCCCATCCCCATTCCCGATCGGCGCGGCGGTTGCTGTTGCATCGCAGGGGGATAATAGCCTCCCTGCGGCGGATACCCTGGGTATCCATATCCGACGGGCTGGGGCGAGTAGCCACCATGGTATCCTCCTTGGGGATAGCCATATACCGGCTGCTGCTGCTGCTGCTGGTAGGGCATGGATGGAGGGGGTCTTCCAAACCCGGCGCCACTGCCACCCGCACCACCGGAGGTCTTCCCCATCAACTTACTCAGGAACCCTCTGCTGCGCGACTTCTGTTCCGGTGCAGTGTTCTGCACGGGCGTTGACGCCGCAGAGCCCCGGTGGCTTGATGACAGTGGCCGCGAAGCTTCCGCGTAGTAGTCCGCCGCGGCGCCGGGGTCTTGGTTACCGGGGCTGTTGGCCCTGGCCTGCGCCTCCTCTTCGGCCTGTAGTCGAGCGGCTAGGCGAGCGTCGCTATCCAGAGTGCTGTTTCCCGGCCCCGTCTGGTTGTACGGGTTATTAGATCCCAGCGACTTCTTCTCATCCACCTTAGGAACCGTTGCAGAGGGGTCTCCGCCCGGTGCCGAGTCATCGTAAGACGGCGGCGGCTCACTCGGGGCCCCGTGCAACTTTTCTTCTTCTGAGGGACTGGTCTCGGGACGTTCCCATTGGGATTTGCCAGTGCGCAGGTTTACAAAAAACCTAGGATAATCGTTAGCAAGCCGATAAGGATCTCCTGGACTTCGCGAAAGGTCTTACCATTGCTCATACCGGGGCTCAAATTGAGCCTTCCATCCTTCCGGCACAGATGGAGGCGGAGGCCCAGGAGGCGGGGCGAATGACATCAGTCCTGTTCTAGTCGAGGCGAGGGATTTTATCTGGATTCCCCAAAGATGCTGGCACGTTTCAGGATTGAAGTACGAATCAGATGGATGCGCGTGCTGGAAACGGAGATGAAGATCTGTCTGGGAGGAGGAGAGGGGAGATAATTCTGGAGTACGGAGTAGTTGACTGCCTAATATATCATGCGTATGTAAGTCAAGTCCGGAGTAATACATATTGACGAACTCGGTTAGTGCGCGTAGCCACCGTGGCAGTGCCCGGTCCACGTGATGGTCGGTCAACTAATATTATCTAGTAGTAGAGTATGTATGTACAAGACACATCCACGCGTATCGTCGCTACGCCACCGAGTTGACATGAGCCCCCCCCCTTTAAACAGCATCATCATGAATGTTCGGGTCAACAGTGTGATTTGGTGGCCACCAGAAATCTTCACCAAGCGCCTCTTCTAGTTCTTCGGCACGCTCGTCTTTCAAACTGCGAACTTCGTCAAATGTAAAATGATCGGGAGAACGGCCGAGTTCCATCCCAGGCGGAACGTCTACAAGCTCCTCGCTATCTGTATCCCCGGTCAGGTCGATGATGTCACATTCCATGTTCACAATTAGAGGCTCGCTTCTCCGCGTCTTTGCTCGCCGCTCGAGCTCGCCGGACGGGACCGTCAAAGGACGAGGCTGGTCTTCGTCATCGCTGCACAGATCGATGAACTCATGAATGATGGGAGCCCGGTTGATGGAGTTTGCGGACTCGTTCCTCTTTCTCTTATTCTCGCCTTTTCTCAGATTCCGGATACGGGCGAGTTGAATCTGTGCCTCGACGTCCCTCCTAGCTTGGTCGTCTAGCTCGCTGCGGTACTCGATGGGGATCCCGTCAAGCTGACGAATCTGCAGCTCCCTTTTGAGCTGCGTTCGCGCAATATCCTCGCTTGGTGTTCCTTCCGGTCGAGCCCAAGCAGCAAAAGGCCCAGTGTAGTGAGGACCTTGTCCAACTCCATATACAGGGTGCAAGGAAAGCTGACCAGACGCTAACAAATTGCGTCCAGCTTTGACGCCTGACTCGGGATCCGACTCGTAATCTTCACAAGCCAGTTGAGGAGCACTTTCGAATGTGAATGACCGTTCGTCGGTGTTGAAAACAGGCCCCGATGACAACACGTGAATGCCGCCAGCAGCATCCCCAACCAAAAGGTTTGATTTATCGTCTGAAAAGGCTGCACACGTTATCTCTTCTTCCAAACTAGCCGTATCTTCAACGAGTGCATCGTCCTGAGATTTAAGGATATTCCACTTTTTGAGGATACCGTCCGATGCCCCAGTGTAAAACTGGTCAACTCCATTTCCCCACAATGCCACGGTCACGCCCACATCTGCTTCCTCCCTAGTGAGGGTCTCGTCGGTTTGATTAAGGGGCCCGCCATGCGGCAACTTGAGGACAAAATCGTTGTTTTTGCGATAATCCCAAACATACGTATTGCCATCGGTACAGCTGGCTGTCACATAGTTGGAGTTGACAGGGCAGAATGTAACCTCGTTGATATCCAGGGCGGGACAATCAAACTCGTAAATCCCCCTTCTCGTTTTGAGAGGCTCGTAGTGGCGGACGACGGACCCGATATTTCTCAGCCCCGTGGAGCTCCCCGTGACAAAAGCTTCCGAGGTCGGATGCCACTTGATGTCGAAGATGTTTTGGGAGTTGGGCGAATACTGCACAGGAATGGCCTCCCCTTCTCCAACACGCCAGACTGCAAGATGACCATTTTGTGGGATCCCATCGTCACTTTCAGCCAAGCCAGCAAGCAGCATGTTCTTAGTGGAGGGAATAGTTCCCCATGCTAAAGATGTCGGCACTAGTTCAAGGCCCTTCTTACTGACATGTTCGGAAAGCCCAAGAGAAGTGTATGTAGACTCCTCGACATTCCACAATCCAATGGCATGCGTTCCAGTGGCGAGCAGATTAGGTTCAAAGGTCGAACGAGCCATCACGAGCACTTTGGCATCATGCCGGAGGGTTTTATAACATGATGCTTTCCCCCCACCCAAATCCCACAGCTTGACCGTATTATCATAACTTCCTGTAAACAGAAAGTCTTGGAACCATTGCACAGCCGTGACGCTCATGAAAAGCTGACTGTCAGTCATTGCTCTATGTGCACGTCCTCCAGCCGGTCGAGGGATGCAATGGTCGGGGAGTTCTTCCAAGCAACTTCGAGTCAAATCACCGATTAACAGGTTATTCCTTCGGTTATATTCCATATTGTGCTCATCGCACTGCGCTGTGGCACCGGCTGCAAATCTTGTTCCGTCGGGTGACCACGCCAGCGCTACCACATCATTCGAAGCCCCTTTCCATTTCTTGCAGAGCCTAAAATTGCTTGCAACGTCAGAGCTGATTTTTCTGTTCACGCTGCATCCCAGTTCTCTACTTTGCAATAACTGGGCAAACCTTTGAGAGCCCCGAGGACGCCTGCCGTCTGACGAAAGTTTGTCAGGAGATGCGATGGCCTTCACGACACACGGAATTGACGGGAGGCACCCGGTTTTAGCATCTTTGAGAAATGCATCAATGTCGCTATGGCGGCGCCGGTCTATTTTCGAAGCACACTGTAGACATGCGGCCAACCTGTGAATTTCCTCGACCCGGTAACCATATTGACCGCCACAGTTTTGTTCTTTTTGCTCTAGAACTTCTGCAATTAGGCTTTTGGCTTCCTTCTTGCCCGGGGATTGCAATAGTTTCAGAATCGACGTGCTGTCGCCATGTACTCCTTGGCTAGAGAGCACGTGGGAGAGTTTGTATATCCTCGACAAATTCCAGGTAATATCGTCAGACACTGCACAGCTGGACAGGGCTTGTATGATCTGATCGACGAGTGATATTTCTGAGTTTGCAGTCCTCTGTAAGCCGTGAAGTGACATCAGCTCTAACACGGATATCATCTCATCTTCACCAAAATCAACGTGGAGAACGGTCTCGGGGCCCTTGATAAACCTTCGGGCATACTTTGCAGGGTTCACTTCTGGAGAGTAGCATGCTTGCTCCAAGTCCTGAAGCTCAGCCATGGTTTTGAAGCGCGACTTCACGATTTGTAGTCCTTGCGAAGAGAAGATTATTGTGAGCGTGTGATCGGGGGGCTTGGCATCCTTGTCAAACGCCCTGGATGGCGAGGCTGGTATCGATGGTGGGACTTGACGATGATCTGACTCTTCCTCGGAATCGAGATCAGATAGACGCATTGGCTCATAATAATTGGTGGGCCCAGATTTAGATCGACCGGAGCGCCGCGTTCCTGCTGTTTTGTGTCTCTCCTGGCTTATCTCCAAGTCCGATTTGGGAGTCTGCTTTGGTGAGAAGGAGCGCTTTCGGTCACTTCTAGAAAGAGTAGTTGCGCGCTCATGGCTAACTTTCAAGTTTTCCCTCGAGGAATTTGGGTGTGTAGAAAGCTGGCGCTCAGGGAGACAAACTGGGCGCTTTGAGACTTCTTTGGGCGTCGATTGTTGAACCAAGGCGTTGTGTTTTCTTGACTTCCCCTCCGACGTCAAGGTCTCAGAACTTGCACATATTGTTTGTCGTGGATTGGGAGAACCAGAGTCTTTCTTCTCCAGGTGATCAGATGTATTATGCGAGACCACACAGCCTTCTGAGCCACCACCGGCGTCATCATTCTGAGGCTCATGGGTCTTATGGGATGAGTGCTTCATGAATTGAGATAATAGATTCTTAGCTTCTTCAATTATCGAGGTACTTTCAGATTCGATTTGCCCAAAGTGATGTGAGGGTCCAAAGCCAAAGCCTCGGTTTCTCATATTTGAATGTTCTTGGGACATGCTCATAGGCATATGGAAACCGATTGCCTATGTTCGTGCTCAGACAAACATGAGAAGAGGCCTTATTTCATCACAGAGTGTAAGCAAGATCTGAGTGAAATCTGAGCGTTAGCATTAAACCAAACAAACTAGGAAGGAGGGAATGAGGGAACTGTATATACCAGATCTTTAAAAGAAAAGGCGTCTGAAATTATTATTGAATTGTTTCCACGTCTTGACGTTACACCTGACTCTAATCAATTGGCTGGCAAACCTCAAATGCCGGCAAGGTTGGATGATCCATACCTCAGTATTAGTTGAACAACGATCATAGAATAGGCCTGGAGGATGGAGTGACGAGCACAGGTGCCATTTCCAAAGGTAAGAGAGGATTTGAATGGTGGCTAATGTTAGAGCTTAGAGGACGAATTCAAGGCGATGATGGTATCTCTTTGAGAGTACACAATCAATTTCTTAGTGATGAACTCATAAAGAGATTGCGCCCTTCAGGTTTCAGTGACGGGGAAGTGAGAGCATAGGAACAGAGAGGTGCCGGAAGTAACCAATCTTATTGATCATTTCAAAGTTAGGTTGAATTCTTGAACGGCCGTCCAGTCTAACTCACACAGAATTCCAACCTAGCTAGGTAACAAGCTGTAGTCGGATACTTTGGTGGTAAACTTGTAAGTTCTGGAAAGAAGGATTCAGATAAGCAGTGGCTGTGAAGGTGATAGAGGTGGATGTGAGGATCTGGTCAGTGTATAAGTTGCTTGGCAACCACGACGCGTGAATCGCGATCCTCAAGACGTGTTCCGGCTATAATTGCGTCAGGTACTTATCGCCTGAAGCAGTAGGCGGTCCAATGCCGCCCGCCTGCTTATATCAGCTGCTTCTCCCCGTGCACCCACCGCCTTTCCGCATCATTTTCAGCAAATAGGCAGAAATTGTAACAATTTGAATTTAATTCTATGTATTCTACTGCCAAGCCTATATACGAGTCCGTAGATTTGAGAAACGAAAATTTATATATCTTTCAGTATACTTCAAGTAGATTCTTCTGTTTGTTCGCAGCTTCTTTTGCTCCTAGTTTCTCGTTTTGCATTTTCCTTCATATTCGAGGCTCATTTGGGGATAGTCCAGGTCTGGTAATCGGAAACTTCTGCGTCATAGGTAAGGGCCAGGAGTAGCGGTGGTGTCAGTTGTCTTTAGACATTCATTCCAGGATATAGTGGTCAATGGAAAGCAATAACCGACAGTATAAGGTACTGTACAGACGTGGTAACCTGAAAAAATATACATATTCGCAAAGTCTCTGGCATGGACTTCTCAAAAAAAAAAGGGGGAAAAAAAGAAAGAAAGCGTGACCTCAACCGGATACTTGTGAATGGTTCACTCTGAATCTTGCCGTGGCGTGATGGAATGTAGCCCGGAGATGGAAAGGTTGAGCGATTCTACCGGGAAACTTTACCTCTCTTCCGGACGGATACCATAGCATCATAGAGGACATCTTTGAACGCGAACAAGAATGCTGCAGTGATAGCACTCTGCGTCACTTTTGGTCCAATCCCTGCAAGAAAAAGCCCAGTGTCAGCCAGGGTCTTACTCAGAGTCGTAGAACAGGCCTCCACTTACCTTTATACAATCCCATGTATCCCTCCTCTTTGATGATCTTCTTGACGCTTCCATTCAGACTTTCTTTGGGACCGTCCTTACTGGCAACGTGCATCCGACTTTTGACCGTAATGTAGGGGTAGGTTAAAGAGGTTGCCAGAATCTTCCCAAGAGCCCCCAGATAGAAGGCGTCCTTCGGCGTCATGCGCCTGCGACGCTCCACCAGATTTTTCAACTGTTCGAAAATGGTGTATTGCAAGATTGGGTTTATAACAAGGACAAGTGCCGGAAGAACTCCGGCAAAGAGAGCCTTCGGGCCCTCTTCTCGTAGCAGGCTTATTAAAGTGGCAATAGTAGACGCCTGCGATCCCTTGGAGGGAGCACCGGGTAACGCCTGCTCGTCTGAATCAGACTTGCGAGCCGTCATTCGGGTGTTCACTACCCAGATTGGGTTGGTGAGGAGCACCGTTGCACTTCCAGCAATTGCTCCTGCGATCATTGACTCAATGGTTGAGAGCTTTTTAGCGGCACGACCGCTCTTCACCGCCGCCTTCTCAAAGGCTGAGCGTGTCCATTCGTACCAGTAGTAGTATACGAAGTTGGTGACGCTTATGCCAAAGAGCGCAGATCCAAGACCAGAGTAGAGTCCACTAACACCCTCCCGTTGGACAATGCGGCGAATAGCATCGGCGGTTGTAGAATGAGCTCGCTTGGATTCGACTTGTGCTCGGGTTGAAAGCGTGATAAGAGGGTACCTACAAGATAACCCGTGTTAGCAGTGTGCCGAGGACAAGATAGCTGGTGATGGAGGGCGCACGTCAATATCATAGAAAGTATTCCCCCACCAGCGCCAGCCAATGCATGTGCTATGTTGTCGCTTTGTTGCGCTGCAGCCGATGCCACAGCTACCTTATTCGCGCCGTCAATCTTCGACTGAGACATGATAAACAGAACAATTTAGAAACAGGTATTGAGATGCCCTAGCGAGCTGTCGTTTTATCTATGCCGGGATTCGTTGTTCTTAGGAACGAAGTTGAAGTGGCGTTAGTGAAGATTGGTAGAGACCAGGGCTCGAAAATAGCGTGTTTTGGGAGTAAATCACCTTGCATTAAAGCAGGAGAATACTGCGAAAAGCGAAGAGAAGAGAAAGGAAGATAAAAAGGGGCAACTGCTTGGGCACTCGGGGTACGAGAATGATTCGGCTTTGGCAAGCGGGCGACGATTTTCATGACGTTTACCGAAACCTGTGCCTCGGCTGATGTATGGATAAAGAATGCAAAACTTAGGCCTTTTGCAGTTAGATGCAACCAGCACTGGGCCTGGGTGGGTTAATAATGCAGCTGCTGTGTATTAGTTAGTTAGTTAGTAGTTAGCTCCCGGCCAGATAGATATGTTTACAGAGTACTTCAAGCGCACTTTCACCGACCAGAAGTACATTCAGGACACTTCCGTGCATCAGGATCTCTACTATACAGGAAGTAGGATATTCGATACAATGTATTGTATATACAGTAAGGTATTTTGTAAGCACTGTACAGTAAGGTACAGTATCTTATCTTTCTTTACAAGCAAGGTACCTAAGGTAGGTACTGTATGTTATTTCGTAATGTATTGTATGTATGTATATATATGTATATACGTAACGTGACTTGACACATGTGATAGTCGTGATCGGTATCATGTGAGTGCCCGATAAGACATCGGTCTCTGGTAGAGCTGGGGAGGAGTTGTATCATCGGCTCGCCTTCTCAGCGTTACGCTAGGTAGGTATGTATGTACATGCGTTTTGTTTACACCCCCTTGTCCATGGAATGGCACAAATAAAACCGAAGCAAAATTCACGAACTAGTGCTAAATACATCACCAGATCAGTATGTCGGCGATAGTCATGTTTTTCTCCATTACTTAACCCGGGTAAGGTATACGCAGGAAGTCCCACCAGTCAAGATGAACTCGCGAAAACAATATTATCGGAGAAAACTAGATCGAGGATGCTGTTTAAAAACGAAGAGGGAAAATAAAAAGAACAAAGACAAGATATTGAAGCGCAACACGAACAAGAAAAAAAAAAACTAAGAATCCAGTGATAAAAGAGGCAGTAAGAAAGAAAAGAGAAACATAGAGGAAATGACAATAGGTAGCACCACGGTTGTACGCGATATTAAGACAAAATCAACAAGCCGTCTAAGCAGGGTGAAGCATTTGTGCTCATCACCGATCATCACCCCAGATCTGAAGCAATTCGTAGATATCATCCTTGCCATATCGGGTTTCGTACAATGCCATTCGACCAAAGGGAGCTAGCAGATCAGCCATTACCCTGGCGGTGTGCTTACACACCTTCGATGGATTGCACCCGTACATAGCTCAGATTAACAAGAACTTAGCAGCAACCACCTCCGGATCCAGATTGAACACCCTGGCCTTGCCCAACCTGTACGGTAGGCTTGTTGTTGACGGTCGCAGTGCCCATGCGTTCCTTGATCTGTCTTGCCATCGTCAAGAAAGCCTGTTCAACATTCGAAGCGTTTTTGGCGGAGGTCTCCAGGAACGGGATTCCTAGACTATCGGCAAATTCCTGCAACGACATCCTAGGTCAGTGCTTTGCCATTCTCATTTAAGAAAGCATATATTTTCAAAAAAGTATGAAGACGGGAAGGGGGTAACGACGCACCTTTGCCACAGTGTATTCCACAACCTTCTTGTCCTCCATATCGCTCTTGTTGCCCACAAGCAGCTTGTTGACGCCTTCAGTGGCATAGCGGTCAATTTCCTGAAGCCACTGTTTTACGTTATTGAAGGAGTCCATGTCAGTCACGTCGTATACGACACAGATTCCGTGGGCCCCGCGGTAGTAGGACGAGGTGATAGTTCGGAACCGCTCTTGGCCAGCGGTATCCCACTAGGCTCTCCGTCAGCTATCAAGTGAATCCCTATTCGGGTAACGGGATTCCTACAATCTGGAGTTTCACGGTCTTGCCATCAAGTTCGATGGTCCGAATTTTCTGTCACAGAACAGTCAATATCAACGTGGGCTCGTCATAGACAAGGAGGGAAGTAGAGGAGAAGGGACATACGAAATCGACACCGATGGTAGAGATATAACTTTCCGTGTAGGTGTCATCGGCAAATCGGAGGAGCAAGCAAGACTTTCCGACACCGGAATCTCCGATAAGCAGCAGCTTAAACAGATAGTCGTATCTGTATAACTTGTTAGGGAGCAAAGTCGCGGGAGTGTGATGTGTTTGTTGTCCGCCGAAGAGATAGAGGGTCGTGGAGGAGGGGGGGGGAGTACTCTAGTCAACCGGTGAAATCAGCAAACGAGTCTCTCCAAGATTCCGAACAGTCCATTCTCCGCAGGAAATGAACAATAAGAAGGCATTATGGAGGCCGTACGTGAATGCAGGGTAGCAGAAAGAAGACTTACCACTCGGGATTCATGATGATCGGAGTAGGGATGCTGATCTGTTGACAACGGCAGAGTATTTACGGACTGTCGGACAGCAAGAGTAGCCAAAAGCGAGTATCAGTATGGGCGGATTGTATTTGCTGATTTGAGCTGAAGTTGAACGAGGATCTGAAGGTAGGGGAGACTGGTTGTGTCTGTCTACTTCGATGGAAACTGGCTGGAGTCTTGAAATGGCGGATGCGTTGCTTGAGTGCAGGAGAGCAGGCGAACCCAGCGTGCAGGTTCCAGCACTTCTTAGTAAGGGCGGTGGTTAACTACGCCTGTGACCGTTTCACGTTCACCCCGGGACCCCCTGATCGAGCCTAGTGCCCTTTGAGTACGTACCTCATATTGTACGGTGTAGAGGATATCCCTTGACGGTCGCAGTCCCTTTGTTTAACGCCTTCTTCCAGTTTCTTTGCCCCCCACCCCCTTAGTTTACTTCCCTGTTACTCTCTCGTTCGACTTATGCTGGAAAACAAGTAATTATCCGCAAAATAATTAGCCATTCATTTTAATTAATAAGGTGGATTTGAAGTTTACAAAGGTAGTTAATTCTTTTCTCGTGTGCAGAACAGCCCTACTTAGTAGGCAATAGTTAATACCAGGTACATGACACGGTCATGGGTACTCTGACCTTGTCAAGTGATACTGCGTAGAAATCTGTACTAACAATGGAAGCTTGAGATAGAAAGACAGAGACCTTGGACTCCTTTGGATTGTTTGCCTTAGGTACTATACTCAGTTGGGTGTCAAGAGGCAACTCTAGCCTATCGAGCAAGATATCCCCGAGCATCAGGCGTATTTATGAGCTTGAAGCCACTCCAAAACCAGTGCCTCGTCCCTTTCCTTGTAGCGCGCATTCGTACGGATGCTATCCGAAACAATGACTAATGCGCGGTCATAGGCACTCGTGTCCTGCTTCTCGAAGAATGAAGCGATGTCAGAACCAATCTGGTGGTCTGCAAATTTCGAAAGCCCCATCCGTACAAAGCGCTCGAACACAACGTTATTTGCTGACAGTTGCGACTCGACCATTTCCCAGTTGTTTCTCATGTATTGCCAAAGAAGGTGCCGGGCCTTGGAGTTTGCCGCCAGGGAAACCGCGCCGTTGTGTACATCCTGGATGGCCACCTTGTCGGAAAACACGAAATTCAGATAGTCCTCGACGAGCTCCGCGCTTGTAGTCCGTCCAAGTGCCGCTAGACAAATTTCTTTGCCATCTACGGAATCGGTCTGAAGATATTCTTCTTTGACTGACATGTACTCGTCCCGGCCACCTTCCGAGATCGCAATGCCAAAGATTGCCGAGCGCAAATTGGTGTGGATAGCACTCTTGTCTTCTCCCTTGGCCCAGAGTTGGAAGCGTCGTTTAGCCTCCGCGATAATTCTGAGTTGTGTGAGTCATCTGAAGAGGTATGGATGAGTAATTTAACATACCTCTCATGGCCTGCAACGCCAGCCATTCCAATCAAAAGCTTCCGGAGCTGAACAGTGAGATAGTCTTCATTTGGTCCAAATTCCCACCCAATCCGTTCGACTGCGGGGGATACCAATTCGAGGGTGAACCTCTTCAGTCCCTTGGCCACCTGTTCATTCTGCGCAAAGACCGAGCGTAAATTGGCGAGGGACGAGGAAATTTGAGACCAAACCCTTACGATATGTCAGTTTTCACTCTGGCCGCATTCTGCGTAAATTTAATTTCCGGCGAAGGGAGGGGAACTGACAGGTAATTGGTTTCCTCCTTGAATCCTTCAAGGAGAGCCAATAGAGCTGCGGTCGTGCCCTCTCCAGATGTAGCAAGGGCAGCGGCATCGCCAATCAGGCCGATTTTATCTTCAGTACTCAACAGCCCCAGAGACTTTCCCAATTTTGATAGTCGATCTGCCGGGTAATTGGTTCTGAAAAAGCCCGAGAGGTCCTTGTTGATCTTGTAGAATGTATCCTGTCCAACACCCTGAACGGTGGCAGCCTTGGAGGTGAGAGCATCCGAGTTTACATCTTCCATTTTTGGGCCTGACTTGACCCCAAGTGGAATCCACCACGTTGTCTCATCCTCCTCTGGTTTCGCGTCTCCCGATGACAAAAAGCGATTCTGGCGGATACTTATCTGTCCTGGTTCTTCCGCAACGGTAACGACCGGGAATCCGATTTTTCTGATCCAAGGGTCCTCCACCACAGTGTTAGAAGGCAACGATAGCAAATGCCAGTAACATGAGACGTACCATGAAGCTATTAACGTCCTGATTGGAAGCTTTGCTGAGGGCCGACCAAAGATCATTGGTCGTAGCATTGCCTACGGATTAAATCTTGTTAATAAACCAAACTCGTTTGAATTTACCCTCATAACCTTGACTTACCGTAGGCATGGGCCTTGAGGTATAGGGCCACTCCTCGAAGGAATGTCTCCCGACCAAGATGATCACTCAGCATTCGGATCACGGAACTTCCTTTGAGGTAACTGATATGATCGAAAATCTGGTCCACCTCCAGGGCATTCTTCACGGGGACCTCTATCGGGTGAGAGGCGCGTAGTGAGTCGAGGTGGAATGCTTGTTGTACACCTTCAGCCTGCGTAATTATTAGTTTCTCATAAGGAAATGTCGATGTTACCTCGGGAATTTCGTACGACAAACTGTGACCATATATTCCATTCTGTGCATGTGATTAGATGAAGCGAAGTCAAGCTGCAAAGGACGTTGGGCGTTACCAGGGTAAAAATGATCGACAGCCAGCCAGCCGACCCAGGTGGCGAAACCCTCATTGAGCCATAATTCATTCCACCAGTCCATTGTCACCAGGTTACCGAACCATTGGTGAGCCAGCTCTGAATCAATAGCGGTGAGTAAAAACCAGGAACGAGCAGAGCAGCTTGGCGGACTGGACTAACCGTGTGCCACAACGTAAGCAATGCGATTCTTGTACCGCGTATCAGACTTTCCTTCGTCAAACAGGACGGCAGTAGTGCGATACGTCACCAGTCCCCAGTTCTCCATGGCACCCATGGCCTGAGAAAGATAAGTATTCATCGAATCAAGGCTGCAACAGAGCCACTCACAAATTCATGAACAGCAAGTAGATCCGCCTTGGGCAAAGGATACTCAATCTCAAAGACTTCAGAGAAATAGTCCACAGTGCGGTGAGCACACTCTAAAGCAAACCGGGCCTGATCTTTGAGACCTCTCGTCGTGTAAACACGAACAGGGATGCTCTTCCCCTTGTACTGGCGTTGCGTCATGGCTTCAACGTATTCGAAGTCCCCGACGGCCCAGGCAAGAAGCTTTGTTGAAGTAGTTAGCTCTGACCGTGACGGCGGCGGGACCTTTCAGTATCGACTCACATAAGTGCTCATCACAGGAGTCCTTTCGAACGAAACAAACTTGAGGTTAGGACGGCTACCCTCCCTCTCGGACACAACGGGCATGTTGCTAAGAGCTGTCTGTCCCGTGGGGATCTCAATCTCGAAATCAAAGGTAGCTTTCAGGTTTGGCTCGTCAAAACAAGGAAAGGCCCTACGTGCATCGCACGATTCGAACTGGGTGCTTAACATATAGTAGAAATCGCCTTCCTTGGGGGTATCGGCACCCGGCTCTGCCACCGGCTTGTATTTGGATCGGTAAAAGCCAGCCATGGCACTGTTCATAGTGCCTGTGAAGGCGATAGACAACACGATGTCGGAAGGGGTGAGTTCATTTGGGAACTTGAAAACCACACGTTCCGACTTTTTGTCATACGCGATATCGGATGCCAGTGCTAATTTGGCTCCTACAGCGGGGTCAGTAAAGTGATACCCTCGCCGAACTGGAAAACGACCATTACGAACCATCTTTTCCCAAGACCTCCACATTCTGAACCTCGATCTCTTTGGAGTTCAGTACAATCTCCTTGGTGGGACGGGTGACTCTGGCATCTATCTTGACGGCTCCCTTGTAGGCCCAAGAACCACCAAGCTCAAGATCAAACAAGGATACATGATAATTGACGGGCGTCACCCTGCAACCCAGTCAGTAGCCGTGTATGAACCAGGGACCCAGCCCCCCAATCTCAGAGGCCGCTGGAACTGCTCACACGTCGGGGAGAATTTCTCTGTCTTTTGTGGCCATTGCACGTATTTCCGAAGAGCAATGCCTAGCAAACGAGTATGGAACAGCGAAAGGGTTGAGCGAGCGGGTTGAGCGAGCACGCGACGGGAGAGGAGGACGGCGGGGAGAAGGCGAGGCGCGCGAAAAGCAAGCAGAGGAGGAGAAGAAGGAGGGGGAGGAGGGGCGACGGAGAAAAGACGCCGGGGGACCGCGGATTAATGCCTGAGTGGTGGTAGCTACGCCCGGACGCTTGGTTGACGTGATGCACCGTCTCCCCCACATCTGCTGGAACAATTAGTATACTTTCTAGGAGGGGCAGGGGTACTGAACAGGCTCCCTACGGCTACTTTCGGATAACACAGGCCGGCGGAGTTCTTAAATCCTAGATCCTGGACTCTGGATTCTAGGACGGAGAGAGGACAACGGGAGAGCCAGAGATCGCCCGCGGGAGGGAGCTTGGACCCTTTCCCGACTGGTTTCTGCCGGGACCCTGTGAAGTTCATTTTATCAACTACCCATGACTTTTATAACTACTCGATGAACACCTGATCTTTTCTCTCTCTCTCTCTCTCTCTCTCTCTCTCTCTCTCTCTCTCTTGCCTCATTTTCGTCACATCCATTCCCTCATCCATCCCTCTTTTTCAAACCATCACCGTCATGGCAGATTCCGACGAAGAGTATCTTGGTGAGGTTTCCGAGGACGAGAACGAGGGCAACCTTCATAATAGATCGCGAGGGGATACGGCACCTCGCCCAAGGAGAAAGAGGCAGCGCGGAGGCGCGGAATGGGAAGTCTCCCGGACCTGGGAGTCCTTGGTGGAGAGCGCAGATGGCACAATCAGCTCGGCTGTAGACGGACTTCTTGAAGCTGGAAAAAGGAAGAGGTAAGCTTTGCGGAAGAGGACGAAAAATACCCTGATGTCTAGCAGTACAAGAAGACTGCCTCTCCATTCGGTCAATGAGGCTGAATTCTCTTGCTTTCCCTTTGTTTATTTCTTGCTTGCAGGCTTTTGAGGGACACGACGCCGCTACAACGAGGCATCATCCGCCACCTGGTTTTAATCCTCGACCTATCGCAGTCTATGTTGGAAAAGGATCTCCGACCGACGCGATATCTTCTTACGCTCCGGTACGCGCAAGAGTTTGTCAAGGAGTTCTTTGAACAAAACCCAATCTCACAGCTTGCCGTTCTCGGTCTGCGCGACGGCCTTGCGACTCGCATAAGTGACATGAGTGGAAACCCTACGGAGCACATCAGTTCGATACAAGCTCTAAGGGATCAGGACCCGAAAGGCCTTCCTAGCATTCAAAATGGGCTTGAAATGGCTCGCGGTGCTCTTTTGTACGTTTCGCCCCTGTATCGGCGTCAACAGCGACGTTAACTGCAGACTAATGTGTCGGTTCTACTATTGAAGTCATACTCCAAGTCACGGCACTCGCGAGATTCTCCTCATATTCGGCTCCCTCCTTTCCTCCGATCCTGGCGATATCCATGAAACAACAAACACCCTTATCGATGATAATATACGGGTCGGTATTGTCGGCCTAGCCGCCCAGGTCGCCATCTGCCGCGAACTCTGTGTGAAAACCAATGGCGGCGACGACTCGACGTATGGCGTTGCGCTCGACGAGCAACATTTCCGGGAATTGATGATGGATGTTACGACGCCGCCCGTCACATATTCCCAAAAGCAGTCCACAAGTTCGCTCCTCATGATGGGGTTCCCTTCTCGTACTGTCGAAACATACCCGTCTCTATGCGCGTGCCATTCGAAGCCTTCTTGTGGAGGCTATCTGTGCTCACGATGCAACAGCAAAGTATGCGGTCTCCCTGCCGAGTGCCCCACGTGCAGCCTTACCCTAATTCTGTCAACACATCTCGCTCGGTCATATCATCATCTCTTCCCTCTAATAAATTGGGTCGAGGTTCCATGGTATCGAGCTTCGCTCAGTTCTGTATGCTTCGCTTGTGGCGTACCCTTCCCTCCTGTACCTTCCGAGGAACAATTACAAGTAGCGGAGAGTCAGAACAAGGGAATGAGCATAAGCAGTCGCTACGAATGCACTGTTTGTAGGAATCATTTTTGCATCGACTGCGACCTCTTTGCCCATGAGGTCGTGCACAATTGTCCAGGATGTCAAAGTCGGACGGCCAGTTCGGCGAATGATGATCTCCCTAAGGAAGGGTCTAGTCTAGATGCAATGGACACCTCAGCATAGTAACGAGAAATCATAAGGTTTGAGGCCTTTATGTATGTATACGTACACGAGAAAAATGAAAAATGATACGATGATGGGTCCTGATCTATCGCCTCCTTATAAAGCCCTCTCGACCCGCCCGCACACCCCGCACGTTTTGCCTTTGTCAGAACTAGTTCCCCACATACGTCAGTCGACTCGGCCTCGGCTGTGAGTTTATTTCCTTGCGATCTTGAAACCTCTACCCCGTACACAACCACTGCAACCGACCAAGGAAGCAATTCATGCCGCAATCGAAAGTCGATTTCCCTCAAAAACTGTATCTTGCCGTCCCGCCCTTTGACTTGCATCTTTGCCCTTCAAGTTGATCTTTAGCGTCACTCTATGGACTCTCAGCCGCTCTCACAATCCCCGTCGAGTCAACCTCCAGGCTGTACTCCGGCGCACGAGGACACGGTGCCGAGGTTCCAACCTTCGGCAATTGAACAATTTGAGAAGCTGGGCTCGTACCGGTTTAGTGATGATCCTGAATTTTCTCAAGGCTTATCGGTGATACTCGGTCACCCTGATAGACCTGTGACTGAAACGGAACTCCTCCGCGAAGATGACCTAGTCCTACAGGCGAAATGTTTTTACTATTCAAGGTAGGCCTTTTCAAATGATCCCACGGGTGAAGGGCTTACAGTGTTAATACTCCCTTCTCTTCTTCTCCAGAAAAGAGAGGCTTGCGGAGCCGTTGAATTTCCAAGATTATAAGGCTTGGCTACAAGGATCGTCGCCTTCAACAAGATCTCCAGGTTCATGTGAGAGTAAGGCCATGTCCGAGCAAATAAGTCCTCGCACAAAGCAGGATTCGACACATACACAGGGGGACCCTTCGTATCCCTCCTCGTTTGCACATATAGTCGATCTCATCACCTCCGGCCAACCGATTCCTGGTATCCAGCAAATTCCAGACACCGTCTTAATGGGCCATGATACCCCGAGTACCAAGCCAAAGAGACGCAAGCCGTGGGAAAAGGAGAGTCACTGAAACTCTCGATTTGCACGATGTACAAGGACGAATGATTTTCTCCCATGTCTCTTGTGCATTGAGGCGAGGTTGTGATTACTCGGGACGGCTGTGGCTACAAGAGCGTGACGGAGAAAGGTATAGAGTGAGATATCTCCCTTGTACAGGCCTCGGAAAGCTCCATAAAAACTGTTAATTTCGCTGTATTAAGGGGAATAATAGTATCAACAGGTTAGGAATCGGTCAGAGATGGGACATAACAGATGGTCATCGATAGGTAGACTCGCGACACGTAGTACTGTCTCTGTAAACCAAAGCTTCTCCATAAACAACCCACACTTGTAACTCTGTCTGTACTCTTGTAAAATCTCTACCTCCTAGCAAAATATTAATTGCCTGTTAATAAGTCGACACAAGGTGATAGCCACTGATAGCTCTTATCCTTCACTCACCAACGCACATTATAACATCTTCGTATTCTCCCAACCCTTGTTGAAAAAGGCAGAGCTCAGAAGAATCCATGGCATAGATAGAGTGAGAGATCATGTTCGCGTTCGAAATTTTAAATAGAGAGAAAGAGAATGTCATGCTATGCATGCTAGGATTGGAACACCGCTTGTCCAGGGTCCAGGTATAAAACACCGTGAAGTCTGATTCGCAAAAGACAATTGATTCGTTCCTTAGAAGGCAGAACGGATTTTCCATAGGCTTCCCTTAGCGGAATGGCGGATAACCGGGATTCCATTGATTTCCGCGACCAAAGCGTGCTCCATGTTGTCCTGGCACCTGGAAGCGGTCGTCGCTAAAGTTGTTGAATCGGCCTATCTGTATGCCCGCACCTGGCCCGGGGCGTGTTGCATGAGATGGGTTGCAGCATAACATGGCTACGCGTGAGCCGAATTTCGATCCGCGGAGTGAGACCATGTGTTTCCTGTGCCCATGATTAGAAGACCAGCATGGGCTTGGAGGGTGAGGGGCATTTCAGAGTGTCATTCCCATTTCGACATAGCAAAGGAAGAAAGTTCAAAGAAAAAGCACTTTTGGATACCTTATATGACTTGCTACCAGCTCACGGTGATGAGGTGCAGCATTCATTAAAATCCATTGAATGAGATAGTTCCCATATTGATCACCGGCAACTGCGTTATCTTAGTACCAGAGAAAAAAGAGACCAGGGCTTTTGAACCTACTGTCAATCAAAGGCATTCTCGGTCGATCGGTACGTCCGGTGCATACTCGGGCAAGATAACGATCCAAGAACTCAGAGCCCCCTATCTTCAGACATTTCTCTACAATCTTTGACGCGAATTGATCCATGCTGTAATCAACTGCCCAGAGAACAATGTGCTCAACAGCACGGTTTTTGTCGTGAGGTGCACCATGCTCACATATGTGCTGAATGCACCAGTTTCCGAACTGTCCATGAGCGAGTATATCAATTTTCGCAAGCACTTCTTCAATTGCTGGGCGCTTTGTACGGGTCAGTCTTATGGTTGTTATATTGAAAAAAAAAAGAAAAAAGAAAAATAGGAAGTAGGGAATCTTGGGAGTAACTGTACCTTTTCATCCTCTACACAGTTTTCAAAGATGTTCTGGACCACAAGACTTCCAGTTTCTCCGAGAGCAACTTCATGCCACATCCCACGCAGTGCATCATTGACTTTGGCCATGATTTGTGGAGGCTCGCCGCTCCAGCGTAATTCAAAAAGTTTCTGCCAGACATGACAAGCGTATCGGTGGATTACTGTTTCAGGAATTCTCCGTAAGAGTTCATGGACCATCATGGCTTTTGGCTCCTCGGGTACGCAGTCAAACGCCTTTTGGATGACATGGCATCCAAATGGATCCATGCTAAGGCTTAGCGTATTGCCCTTGATCGCATTAGCGATGGCGATTATTTGCTCTGGGGTTCCATGTTCGAAGCATCGCTGAACCAGGAAGTTCCCGAAACGGTTGATCATGAGAGGATAAGCCTGGTGTACGATGGCCTCTATGATCTCGTACTTTTGCTCCACTGTTCCAACTTTGAGTTTTTGTTGAAGAAAAATAGAGGCTTGCTGGTCGTTATTGCAGACAATCTTATCCACAATATATCTCCAATCGCAGGAAACATTTTTGTCCAAAAGCCGTCGATAATTCAGGGGCTCCAAGGGGGAAATGTAAGTATGGGCGGGCGCCCCTCCAACCTAAAATGTCTAAGTTACCATGCACAATAAAGTGAAACACAAAAGGATCAGATTCTACCAAGACTCACCGGTGAGGATGTCCATGGTACAGCACCCGTGTTCGTGGCCGAAGTGAACTCAGCCGCCGTTGGGGAAAGCGGAGTACCAGCCGGTTGTTGATGATACGAGGGAACTGGATATAAGCCGACTTGCTGATAAGCAGTTCCATGTCGGCCGGGTGGTGACCTAGAAGCAGGATTGTTTGGAGAGCCATTCGTGAATGTGCCCCAGGGAGAGTTCTGCGCTGGGAAGCAAGATCCACCACGGTTGGACTGGGAAACAGGCCTACGTGACCCGAGACCTGTTCCCTGAAGGTATCGAGCCTGCTCCCCTGGAAGTCGTGTATCAAAATTGGGCCCGGATGAGCTGCTGGAGAACACCCGGTGGGAATGAAGAGAGGCGTTTCCAGGAATGTTGGGGGTGTGAATTGTTGACGTGCCCCATAGACTGCTTGATTCTTGGCTCAATGAGCTACAAGGAACTGGCAAGGCATCCCCGTAAGATTTGTCGGGATTTGAGGCATTGGAGCCCATGCTAAACGAATGTTGAGTTGGGGAAATCCAGAATCTCTGAGCTCTGCTGTATGCTCCAGCGGAAAGAGCATCCGAGATATCCGATTGAGAGTCATCTTGTCCAGTCCACCCGTCCAGCAGTTGGTTGAATGGCGGACTGGTTGCGTTGAACGCGTTTTGTAAATGACTGATCGTCTGCTCGGTCACTTCACGACCATTGAAGTCCGCTTCAGAAGGAGGGCCAAGGGCTTGATCCAAAGTATGTTTGATCACACGGGTTTGAGCCAGCTCTTGTTCTTGCAGGGCGATCTTCGAGTTGGCAGCAAGCAGTTCTTGCTTCAAGCGAAACACTTCCGAGGCCCCGGTCTGTGTCATATCTGGTTCAGCGGGATCTATTAAAGTAGATATATCAAACGGCTTGGGTGTGGGAGTGCTTGGCAACATGCTAACAAGCTTGGTGGCATCCACATAGCCCTCTGGAATTTCACTATTGCCTGTGAGGACACGCTTTCCCCCGTCGGAGCAATCTTGCTGCTCAGGTATCTTGGCGAAAGCTTCCAAATCCACAAAAGATTTGACACCTGTCGACTGGGGTCTGGGAGAAAGTTTGGCAAGCAGTTTCTCCATTTCAGAAGCCTCGGGGACTATGTTGGTATTCAAATGGTCCAACTTCTGCTTCTAGGATTGTAAGTCATGCTGAAGTTCTGGATGTTTGCAAGAGTCTGACCTTGTTTGAGGGGTTATCTCCAGCCTCACCAGCCACTGGTTTGAAGTTCCCAAATTTGCAGGACAACAAGGGTTCAAGGTGGCCGCCGGAGCCGGCCAAACTCTTCTTGCTCTATGAGCAAAGAATTAGATCAACTCAGGCTCCGACATTCATGACTAGCTTTTTTGCAACAACTCACCGATCCTTCGCAGTCAAATGATAAGCTTCTCTCGTGGGTGCTCGATTCAATGCTTTCATCGGTCAAAGGCATTCCTCCCTCGAAATTCTTGTGGCTAGCATTTGGGGACCCTGTTGAAAATAAAGACATTTTGCACAGATTGATTCCAGAGCCTGTCTTTGATGGATCCAGGAACCCAATGCTGCAAGAGCAGAAACAAGAATCGAGAGAAGCGGGAGAAGGCTGAATTCAGGATGATTGTGAGACGTTACAGTTTCCAGAATCCAAGTTCAAGCAGGCTTGTTCATGAACTGAACAAGAAGAATTAAAATGCGGTCATAAGTGAAGAGATAGGCCTGATCTCGTCGCAGAGTGAGCCTCGAGATAGATAAGTAGTAGTTAGAAGAGAAGATATCGGAAGTTTGAACATTCAATATATTATTTCAGAAAAATAGATCTTGGGAACCAGAAATAAAAGGACTAGGAAGTAGCAATGGAGAATCCCAACAATTGCCAGGAAAAGGGAGAAAGGGGAGGGGAAGGGAAGGGGGGAGTGAGGTCAAGTTGAAAAGGAAATAAGGAAGGAACACCTGATTCGAGTCAGCAAGAAGGGAGCTGTCAAGAGTTTCATTTGGGAGGTCTCCACACTAAGATCAATTCTTCAAACGGAAAAATAAAAACCGAAATGAGTGTTTTTAAATGTAGGCATAAATACCAACCGTAGGTTTCTGGCGTTCAAAAGCCCGGGTGCCTTCAGTGCCTACTGCTGATTACCTACTAGCGGGTGGCATCAGGTCGGCTTTATAAAAAGAAAAAGAAAAGAAAAGCAACCCCTACCAAAGCATTGTACTACGAAAAAGCAAATTCAACTTGCGTAGGACGCTCGATTTAGTTAGGTCAGGCTACTTCCAAGGTGGCTGTGGATCTGCGCGTATAAAGGAACCCGATGATACTTGCCAGAACTTATCAAAATGCCCGGCAGCATAAAGTCCAGCATGACCTTTCCAGCGGCAGGCATCACTCAGTATGATAAAATCGGGCTGACCAACTCCAGTTAGTGTGGGAACAAGGCGTGCAGCTTGTTCTAGGCCGGATATATCTGCCCCCCATACCACAAGCTCGAGTCGTTCGTTCTTCAATGGACGAAGAAAGAGCGCGCCCATTCCAGCCTCGAACTCATAGCGGAAGTCGATGCGTTGTTGATCCCCTCCAAAGAGATCATGTTGTCCAGGGCCAAGATAGTGTGGTCTCTTAGATAAAACCAATTGATCCTCGCTCACAGTAATTGGGAATGCCTTGAGTTCCGAGTGCGGTAGATCGTTTCCTAGCGCAAGAGTCAAGATATTACCGTCTATCAGCCGTCGGCCTTTGTGGGCTGCGCGGGAAACAGTATCGTTGTATCGAATCGTTAAGAATGAATCTGCACCGAAATATTGCAAAAGGTTACGGCTGATTTGAAGTGCGATGTGCTCAACTTCAGGCGAGCACGAAGCGATTGCGAATGGTCCTTCCGAGTATAGGATAGCATCCATTGCACCAAGCTGACGACCATGTCTTTGAGCTAAACTCATCCAGGCGTGGTTTTGGGACAAATTCCATTTTCCGCGTGCATCCTTGAAAAACCAGGTTTGTTTGTTCTGATCTATGTTGATCTCGAAGGGGTCTTTTGCACCATCAAGTACCAAGGAAGTAGGCAGTTCTGTACGGTCAGGTTTGCCTGAAAAGTGGAAACGATGTATGTTTCGAGTCTTGAGATACCACACTCCACTATTGATGTCTCGTGTAACTTCTATTTGGCCATCCACATCAGGCGATTGTAGTTGATCAACATAAATGCCACCCTTGGATGACATATACCCACAGGATGGTATGGTCACTGTGAATGAAGTGGGGATCTTCGAGAGAGATTCAGAACGAGCATGTTCATGGTAGAACCTCAATAGGGCCGGGGATGTCATCACTCCTTCATACCAATGGTTTTTCCCGACTAGTTCCTCGTACTCGGACGGCCAATGTTCTTCTCCTAGTAGCTTGTGCATGAGGCGAGAGTGATATACCGGGACATTGTCATCAATTGCGCCATGCTGCTGTAATACTGGGATTCCAGCGAGGTTGCTCAGTAGCCGTTCATGTTTGAAACTGGAGCGTGACTTTTGAAGAACTGAGAAGAGCAAAGGCTCAGATTCCTGCCACATGGTATAAGGTACGTAGTCTACCATATCAGCAAGATAGCCGCTTTTGAGTCAAATATCCAGGCACATACTTTCTATTGACGAATATCCCGACACGGGCGCCAGGGCAACAACGCTGTCGGGGTAGTGAGTGGCAAGATACCATGCACCTTGGCCTGTATATGTTAGCGAACGAATAATTAAATTGGATTGGATATTTTGATGGGGTTCAGACCCCCGTTTGAGTGGCCGATGACTATCCAACTAGAATGTGATAAGTCCGGTCCTTTCCAGGGAAGATTCTCTATCCATGATGGGACTGCGTCTACGGCAGCCTTGATATCAGAAGAGCCCCAAGAGTCTGAAGTGATCAGTAATTGCTATTGTCCATCCTCGGTGAAAGCGTAAGTTTGAGGGTAAGTCTTTCCAATGAAGCGAGGCTTCAAAACATTAGGAAAAGCAAAAGCAAAAGCAAAAGAAATCCTGTAAACTCACGCCAATCATCACCACTCCAGGAGGTGACACCGCTTGGAAACAGCATCCATGCGCAAACCCCATACGCGGCATCCAACATTCGGCGTACTTGCATGCTATCTGCTTCGAGCCCTGCGCCATGGAGCGCAATAATGACCGGAAGGGACTCGTTCCCTTGACATGACTTTTTTGGTGGGGCGCGCAATATGGCATACGAGACGATGTTCGCAGGGTGTAGATAGGTAATCCTTTGAGCCTCTGATAAGAGCCTTCGGGGTAAATTAACCCTGAACGGCCGAGTGCATCGAATTTGGCTATCTCCTTTTCGTACTCTAAAGCATATTTCGGCGGAGACCTCATTTGTCGGAGTATGCCCGGCACGAATCTGGAATACAACAGGCCTGATCTGGTATGGAGATAGATGTGAAGTCTTCTCGATGATAAGTTGGAGTTGGTCGCCCTATCCAGCTGTTACTTTGGTTCAGAACTTTGAAGATTCCTCGAGGTACCAACATCGGAAGACTCGATGGAGAGAATTTCGATTGGATCAGGAACGTTGTTTTGTACATTCACCGATGCCCACGAGCTGCCCAGCGTTCCATCGGTTAATTCTGGTAGGATCAGACTGTGTTCATCCACGGTAAGATGATCATGGCGTATATCTGCTTCCATTGTGACCTCAATGGTGGGTTCTCCTATACCGCCCATTGCCCGAACATCACGGACTAACCGTAGTTCTAACACATTATCGCCTGGTGGCAGGCTTAGAATGATGGGCACTTTATGATAGCCATACACATCGCCGCCAAAATGTCGTTGACCGTTGATGGAGAATTCTAGTATTCCTTCAATAAAGATAGCAACATTCTGGTTGGTTCCTTTGTTCAATTTCAAACGACCGCGCGCCCAGGCCTGATATTGCAGACCAGGCCATCCATAAACGGAGCTAAGATGGCCCCAGTCTATGTCAGGGAATTTCACTACTAGCTTGGCTTTGGCTTGATCCGAAAAGGCCGAGGTGTCAGCTCTAAGCAAACCCCATTTAGCAGTTCCGTTGACAGCAAGAGCACTGTTGAATACCGCACTGGTATTGAATGGCAGCTTGGAGAATCCGCCCTCGATCTCTAGCGGGTCTGCACCCCAGACGGATTCTGAAAATATACGTCGTGATAGGTCAATTAAGCTCGTTCAGTATACGATTAGAAAGGTGCAGGCGCACCACTAACCTCGTGTGCCGCACCGAAACGGACCGAGAACTTGCCAGTCCTCAGAGTACGAAATCTCTGGAGAGCCTTGACCGGGCAGGGCTTGGTTAAACATCCACTGGTTCATGAAGCCCAAACTGGCTTCCTGAAAACTTGCTGCCAATTCGAAGACCGAGCCTATTATAGGTATTAAGAAGAGGTATACCAGGAAAGGTTCCATGTTGCATGGGATTCATTCGACATGGGTCTTGGTTGTCATGGCGGAGTATGTTACTTAAGCTAACTCCGTTGGCAATTCCCTAGTCACGTGTGATGGGCTCAGTGTGCATAAGGGGGGGTAAAGACAATATAACAAAACAGAGTACCTAGGTTCTATGCTAGGTAGTCTAGCCGGGTATCTAGGGTACATATATATACAGATACGGGAACTTATGTAAGGATGAAGATAAGCAATCCACAGCATATCCATTTAATCGCTGGTTAACCCTGAAAATTGATATACTTCGTATGGAAAGTCAACTGATGAGAAGAAATCCCCGAGGGGTCTGGGAAACTAACAAACTTCTACGGTGTAACTATGGTCGCGGCTCTTAAGTTAGTTAGCGCGACTAGGGATTCGTCATCCACCACCCACTCGGCGAGTCGGCCGGCCGTAACTGCTTACTTACCTCGATACTGGAAAAGGCCGCAAACGTTACTACGGAATGGATACCTGGGTTTCAATTCCCAAACCCCTCCTAAATCGATTCTCTAAATCGCCTCGCCCAAATAATAGAGACTTACCTTCGCATACGCATCGAAGAATTAACACCGTCTCTTTATCCGACTGACTGTCTGGGACTGTTTGTTTTAAAACACCAACGCCCAGCTTCAATTCTTGATTCAACTACAACGCCACTTCCAGCATAGGGGGAGGATTCTTATCTTTCTGGCAACCGGGGAAATGACAACAACCACCGTAACTGGCTCCGGACGACGTGCATCTATACGACAACCAGAGTTGCAAATACCAGCGAAAACCTCTACCTCTCAATCAATGACCAGCCCGGTGGACAAATTCCCACCATTCAATGATGATCTATACGACACAGCGGCGACGCGCGAACCACAATACCCAGCCTCTTCTATCAGATACACGCAAAGTGACCGCTGGGAACCGCGGAAAGCGAGTTATGCCCCTCAGGAGATCAGAAACTCGAGGCACAAACCAAGGAAAAGTATCAGTGAGGCAATCGGCACCATCAGAACACGCAATGCCAGTGTGAGCGCCAACGCCCAGGAATTGGCACAGGCACTTGGAGCGCCGGTCTCGTATAAACTGATTGTAAGGTTATCGGTCTTATCTACCGGATTGTGGCTAATTGTTGTCTAGGTTCTCTGCGTCATTTGGTATCTAACCTCCGCCGTCACAAACACATCCTCAAAGTCCATATTAAATGCCCTCCCAAAACCCATCACTCTCACGATTATACAGTTCGCCTTTGTGTCAATATGGTGCCTACTACTCTCTTATCTTGCAAGCGTGATTCCTTGGCTCAAACACCATGTACCGGCTCTCAAGAATGGCCTCCGCTATCCATCACGACACATCATCGGAACCACATTGCCGTTGGCAGTCTTCCAGCTTGCAGGTCATATACTTAGCTCCATGGCTACTTCACAAATTCCCGTTTCACTGGTGCACACCATTAAGGGACTGTCACCCCTTTTCACTGTCCTAGCATACCGCATGTTTTTTCGCATCCGGTATGCTAAAGCCACTTATCTATCGCTTGTTCCCTTGACCTTAGGGGTCATGCTTGCTTGTTCCACCGGGTTCTCTACCAACTTCTTTGGCATAATGTGTGCACTACTTGCGGCTCTGGTGTTTGTTTCCCAGAACATATTTTCCAAGAAGCTCTTCAACGAAACGTCTCGAGCAGAATCAGAGCCTCAGTCCCCGGACCGACAAAAACTAGACAAGTTAAATCTGCTTTGTTATTGCTCCGGATTGGCCTTGATCTTGACTTTACCGATCTGGATGATCTCAGAAGGTTATCCTCTCATCTCGGATTTTCTACAAGATGGTGTCATCTCTCTATCAGGCAAAAAGAATTCTTTGGACCATGGGGAGCTCTTCCTCGAATTCGTCTTCAACGGCGTGTCACATTTTGCTCAAAACATCCTGGCCTTTATCTTGATATCGATGACATCGCCGGTGTCATACTCAGTGGCGTCTTTGGTCAAAAGAGTCTTTGTCATTGTGGTCGCGATTGTATGGTTTGGCAACTCCACTACCTATATCCAAGCTTTTGGGATTCTTCTCACTTTTCTCGGACTTTACCTCTATGACCGCAATAGCCACGATGATGTGGCAGAGCAAAGAGCCAAAGCCGACCACTTCCGCGCAAAAGAGGCCATTCTTCCCTTGAATGTCTCCACAGAAAAGACATGGAGTACCGGTGGGTACGACTTCTTACCTGCGAGACAAACGGGCCAATCCACTCCAGACGAATCATCGTCCATCCCAAGTCATCCTAAAAAAGAGGACGATCGACCTGGCCGTATCCGCCCGCGGGGAAACAGTAGTGCTCGGAATTGGCTCCCCCCCGGCACTAAACAAGAGACAACCTGGCACCCAAACGATTCCTAATTAGTTCTCCCTGTCTAACCCTCGCCGATCAGTTAATCAAATATCAGGCTCTACAAGTGTATAACTGGTTTATCATAGTGCGGGATGGATGCGATACGACAGCCGCAGGAAACCTATCCTTATAACCGTGGGAAAGACATACATAATGGCTCGCTCGAAACTATGTAAAAACCCAATGTACTTCAAAGTTCTTTAATTCGACGACAGGCCCCGCGCCCGGAGTATTTATCGGTACTATGTTGACACCATGAACACAATTACAAACGAAATGAGGAGTCTACGTGGGAGCTGTATAGAATGAGTGTCATGTAGAACTCAAGAAATTGAGAGAGCATGTTTTGAATTTGTTCTGAGTGGGTATGGAAAAGAAAAACTTGGTGGGAGTGTTAGAATGTTGCCGCTGTCAGTAAAGAACTAGACCTTCATCAGACAAAACCATGATCATCAAATGAACATGGTGATGGCCCTAAGGAGCTCCAGCTCAGGGCACGGTTTTCTTGGGTCATGTAGCAGAGGAGGCAGGAACAGAGGAAACCCTACCACCTACAATAATCAAGCCCGTGAATGAGTTTGGTACGGAAGAAGAAGAAGAGGAAGAAGGGGAGGAAAAGTCGGGAAAAAATAAAGAAGTAATGCTGCTGAGTAATCGGACAGTGGAAGGCGCGCTGGATTAGCTGTTTCCCCGATAGCCGAGCCAATCCGCAGCCGGCAATTTGCGAGTGACGGACCGGTGTCGAGCAAGAATCCGAACGAGCCAAAAGTGCTCTTCAAGTACCCCGGTTCCCAAAGCACGACGCCTGATAACTCCATCTTCCTCCCTCCTAACCCCCGTATTACATATTTTCTTTCCTTCAATTCGCCTGCCCTCCAGCATGCGGCCGCAGTTGTATCGTGCGGCCGCCCGGTCTCTCCGGGTCCCAAAGGTCAACAATTATCCTAGGACCTTTGTTTCGACAACCCCTCGCTCTGCTGAGGTGGAATTGACAATTGGTATGTCAAGGTAGTTCTGCAGGAGGCTTTCTATGATTTTGCTAATTGTTTCGACTTCAGATGGAAAGAAGGTCTCTGTAGAAGGTAACTCGAGCTTTCAATTGCGCGATTTTCGTCGCTCGTTAGCCACTGACACCCTCGACAGCCGGTTCGGCCCTTATCCAGGCCTGTGAGAAAGCAGGCGTGACGATTCCAAGGTACGTCGCTATATAACCCAGTCGTTTTCCATCGCTGACAGTCTTGAATAGATATTGCTATCATGAGTATGCTACACCTCCCCCTTTCCAGAAAAAAGTTGCGTCGTGCCGGCAGCTGCTAACCACAAACATAGAAAACTGTTAATCGCAGGCAACTGTATGGCATACTGAAACCCCAAATTCATCTGGCAATCGATTACTAACCATATCATATTAGGCCGTATGTGTCTGGTGGAAGTCGAACGTGCTCCTAAGCCCGTGGCATCATGCGCCTGGCCTGTACAGCCTGGAATGAACGTCAAGACCGACTCGCCCCTTGTGCATAAAGCGAGAGAGGGTGTTATGGAATTCCTCCTCGGAAACCATCCTCTTGACTGTCCTATCTGCGACCAGGGTGGAGAATGTGACCTGCAAGACCAGTCCATGCGCTATGGTGCCGATCGGGGGCGTTTCCATGAGGTTGGTGGCAAGCGTGCTGTTGAAGACAAAAACATTGGCCCCCTGGTAAAGACGTCTATGAATCGGTGTATCCATTGCACCCGCTGCGTTCGATTCATGAACGATGTTGCAGGCGCCCCGGAACTCGGAACAACCGGCAGAGGAAACGACATGCAAATTGGAACTTATCTGGAACAGAACCTCAACTCTGAGCTCTCTGGCAATATCGTCGATCTCTGTCCTGTCGGTGCCCTGACATCAAAGCCTTATGCTTTCCGTGCTCGCCCTTGGGAATTGAAACACACTGAATCGGTTGATGTCCACGACGCCCTGGGATCTAACATCAGGATAGACACCAGAGGCATGGAAGTCATGCGCATACTTCCAAGGCTGAATGATGATATCAATGAAGAGTGGATCAATGACAAGTCCCGATTTGCTTGCGACGGCTTGAAGACTCAGAGACTAACCACACCCCTGATCCGAAGGGATGGCAAGTTCGTCCCAGCAACATGGGAACAAGCCTTGACTGATATTTCTTCGAACTACCAAAAGTCACAGCCGGGAGAAAACGAAGTGAAAGCCATTGCTGGACACCTGGTAGATGCGGAATCCCTCGTGGCCATGAAAGATCTTCTCAACAAACTTGGCTCGGATAACTTAGCTCTGGACCAAGCAGGTGGCGGATCACCCATTGCCCATGGCATTGATGTTCGCGCAAACTACCTTTTCAATTCTAAGATTTACGGAATTGAGGAGGCCGATGCTATCCTTTTAGTTGCAACAAATCCACGCCACGAAGCCTCTGTCCTTAACGCACGCATCCGCAAGCAATACCTTCGCTCTGACCTTGAGGTCGGATTAGTAGGGGAAGAGTTTGACAGCACCTTTGAATACGAACACCTTGGCGCCGATGTTTCTGCTCTGAAGGCCGCTCTTTCCGGTAAATTCGGCGAAAAACTTGCTTCGGCTAAGCGACCCATGATTATTGTTGGCAGTGCTGCGACCGAGCACCAGGACGCGAAGGCGATATACGAGACCGTCGGTAGTTTCGCGGAGAAACACTCGAACAACTTCAACACCCCAGAATGGCAAGGATACAACGTTCTTCAGCGTGCTGCTTCACGTGCTGCTGCCTTTGAGGTTGGATTCACTACACCATCTCCCGAGGTCGCCCAGACGAAGCCTAAGATTGTCTGGCTTCTTGGAGCCGACGAAGTTAGCCCGAGTGATCTTCCTAGCGATGCGTTTGTCATCTACCAAGGGCACCATGGTGATCGCGGTGCTCAACTGGCTGATGTTGTTCTTCCCGGAGCGGCCTACACTGAGAAATCAGGCACTTACATTAACACTGAAGGTCGTGTGCAAGTCACTCGCGCGGCCACTTCTTTGCCCGGTGCCGCACGGGATGATTGGAAAATCATCCGCGCCGTCAGTGAGTTCCTGGGTGCGCCGCTTCCTTATGATGACATCGAAGCTCTTCGCGATCGAATGGAGGAGATTAGTCCCGTCATGCGCAGATATGATGTCGTCGAGCCAACCTCGTTGAGCTCATTGAGCAAGGTCCAGTTGGTCGACCAGAACAAGGGCATCAAGCCGACTGAAACACCTTTCAAGAAAATCATTGAAGACTTTTACTTTACTGATTCTATCTCCCGAAGGTATGAACCACCCCCGACTTGTTGACTCGTTGAGTCGTGTTGCTGACCAACTACACAGCTCGCCCACCATGGCTCGCTGTTCCGCCGCTAAGGCTACTGGCAACCCAGAAACGAACTTTATGGCTGCTGGTGAAATGTCTCCACAAGCTTTGTATGGTTAAATCTTGAAACCCCCAAGTGGCTCTGGTCCCTTGGTATGTGCTAGTTATCAATTGGTCTAGGCGTTGTTGTTTTAACACCTATTCTCCGGCCCCTTTTTTACTCCTGTTTTCTTTGCCTCCCTTTTCCCTTGTTATCAGTATTACTATTTTCTTTTTTTTTTACCTTCCCCCCCTCCTTTTTTCATTACCGTCAGTTATTGTCTTCGCTATCTCGTTGCCATGTGCTCTAACCGCCCTCTGGTAAAATATGAGACATGATTAGTGGCCAAATCTGTACATAACATTCAGTTAAAACCAGTTCCAGGGGTATGCGCAAGTTCCTTGAATTTTTTTCAAAATAAAAAAAGCTTGTTGAGGGGTCAAACCTTAGTCAATATGTACATTTCGTCATAGAGGGCGGCGCATGGGTATGTAACGTCCTCTCGAACAAGCTCAATTCTTTTGCGGAGACAGTATGGGCAAACTGTAATACTGGGGAACCTGGCAACTCATAGTTCATCATCGTCCGTCTCTCCTGCAGATTCCGCATTGCCTTGAGCACCTTTTCCGGGTGGCATTAGCCCGGTGGCTGGAAGGCCAACCTGTGAAGGAGTCGCGGCACCGTCGTTAAAGGCAAGGTAAGCAGACGAATTCCTAGCATTCACGCCGTGCTGTTTCTCCACGCCATCGTGGGCCGATGACTCCCCGTCACCGACGCTGCCTTCTGTGCCCTCGTCCATTTCTCTGGAGCTTTTCTCGTCCGAAGCGGAGTCCGTCTCCACTTCTTCAGAAACAGCTTTTCCTTCTGATCCACTGTCTTCGGGGCCGCGAGGATGACGCTTCCCCAGGGGTTTCTGCTGGGAACGGGCTTGATGCTTGGGGGAGCTTGGCGTCTGGATATATGGATCTAAAATGCCATACACAATCGATATTAGTCAGATCTACTTACCGCCGATATCATACGGAGTACAGTCAAGTCTTACCCGTTTCGGGGTCTGGTTCTGCGGTATTCAGCAGTCTATGTTGGTTGCGAATCTTCAGCTTCTTCTCGTTTAGCAAACGGACAAGGTTTGCCAATAATCGTTCTTCATGTTGCTCCTTGGCGGCAACTAATTGCTGGAGTTGATCGTTAAGCTGATCAATCATATGCTCAGCAGCGCAGGCACGATCCTGGAGTGCACGGCAGCGTTGTTCAAGGGCATTTGAACTAGCGATCGCCATACTACACCAATCGAGAAGTTGGATTTCTTGCTCATCGTCTTGCATTAGGGTCACGGATCCAAGCCTTTGCTATCATTCATTCGTTAACCAAAAGACGTCGCGTGTGGTGATCTCCACGAGCACATACAGTGATTCCTTCTATTCTCTTACGAATGCTGATGACCAACTCCTTGGGTGCGCTGCGAGACTCACAGATCGTAGCTGACGATTCGATGCCATGGAACGATCTCATGTCGCCAACAGACTCTGTGGCCTGCCCAAAGATATACCAGACAACTTGGGCCCATTCCTCATCACTGCCGTGGTAATTCTTGGCACGTAAATCCTTCAAGTGGGCTCGCCGGACTTCAGAGCCTTAGCGGTTGGGAACCATGCAAACGTTTTGGCGGTATACGACTTACCCGTCTGAGTAAATGGATTCTCTCCTTCTGTCGCAACTAGGTCTAGACTGGAAGCAATGCGATCGGAACTAGCAACACGAAGGAGCACGGATGATTCAGGGTGGTCAGATCTGGGAATGCGCAGGACACGCATTCCCGAGTGAGACTCGGAGGGTGGCGGCACGGTATTCATAATCTGCAAATCGTGATAAAGAAGAAAGAGAGTAAACTGAAATGGGAGGGTATCTATATAGAAATCGCCACAAGAATAGGCAACTAGCACCAACCGTTGCCTAGGTAGTACGGAGTAGTAGGTAGGCGGCTGTTCATAGTTCGGACACAACAACGATCTATACCTTAAGGTACCTAGGTACCTTACCTCTACGCGTATGACTACCTATGTACTGTAAGTAGTACAGTACAGGTACTCTGTACCTTGGTTCAGTACCTAAACTGCCCACCCCTTTTTGCACGTATGTATTTACGTATATGAGTAACATAAGATATCTACCTAGGTACTGTAGTAAGTAGGGGTATCACTTTGTAGATACTACCGCTACGAGGTAAGGTACCTGCCTATGTATATTGAGAAATTTCGAGTTCGTAGGAACTGCCAGGTACCTTAGAGTATAGGTACTGTACCAGGCAGTAGGGCGTATTGTCATGGTATTAAAGATAATGCCGGCAACTGCTCTCCGCCTGACCAAATCCCTCTCTATATTCATTATTAACGCTCTCGCCTCTCGGGGGAATCTTGCCAGCCACCAAAACCGCACGCGAGCACCTGCACGTCGCTCCGAGTCATTGGAGCTCGTGTCTACTTCTCTTTCCCCACGGGCCGGTCCCCGCTCCGCAAGTTGTCTCTCCTCCCATCGCGGAAAGACGATTCTATCTCTGCCCGTCTCCCAAACCGACGTCTACATTGCTAGCTGCATCGTCCACAAGCTATCTCCTCGCAAAGGGGGAGGAAGGATAATCATAACAAAGAACGCAAAAGGTATTGAGGAAATATCTTCCGTCGATGCCTTGGCCCCGGTGAGGACCTCCCTACCAGCAAAATCGTGAGTCGTCTTTCCGTCTGTCTGGTCCGACCAACATGGGATGACGTTCCCCCGTCACTGTGAATCCGACTTCAACACTAGAGAGTTCTGAGCCTGCCACCCGGAGGATTGGGTCAGACGCCCGAGTAACCTCTGAACGACTGTGTACACATCCAGCCTTGCCCCTATACAATGGATTCATTGACTTTTCATCTGCGGCGTGGCGATGAGGAGACGATCGAGTCTTGGGACGACGATGGCGATTTACAATGCTTCGAAGATATCCAACTGCGCACCGCGTCGAGTGCTACATCGGTGACAAATTCGTCTATCCGCCGCTCTGGCCATCGGGACTCCATATCCTCGCGTCGCTCCGCTCGCTCCGATCTCGACTCTACCGCCGGTGATGATGAGGACTGGCAGGTCCAACTATTAGACAATGAGGAAGCTGTGAACGAGGAAGCTATTGCTTCCGCCAAAAGTGCTGGGATCCCACTGCCTGCAAACGTCCCCAAATCGGCCTTGGTTGGGGGTACTATCAAGCGCCTGGGGCCCAGAAAAACAAAGCATAAATTTGTTGATGATTGGTCTGACGACGTGGAATTCCCGGGCCCCGATACTGTCTTGGAACTAAAAAGTCCCCAGGCTGTATCCTTCCCTGAATCACTCCAACAAATTAGCTCCGCGGCAGCAAGCCCGGTCAAAACTTCAGCTTCGCCCTTTTGGAGTGATGATATCGCGCTACGATTGCAGTCATCATCATCGACTCACATAGATATGTATCGAGAGGACGAGGCTGGTGATGCTGATGATATTCCAACGATCAAGCCTGCGAAGCTACGCTCCCCACAAAGAGCAAGTGTCCTCCATAAACCGATGCCTGGTAAGGAAAGCAGCATGGCCGGTGCTCCTGAGGAGAATTTCGAGGAAGACTTTGATTTGCCGCCAGACAACTCAATTCGGCTTTCTCCTCTTAAAGCCACGGCAGGAACACAAAGCCCGTCTCCCGAAGACTTCGATATGGAATGGTCGGAGGGGAGCATTGGGGTTCGAGTTGGGGGCACTGCAAGAGATCATCGATCAAACCCCAGCTCATCGATCTCGGTTGTCAGCCCCAGTGCGTCAAGCTGCCTAACTGCTGAGAGCGAAGATGAAGGCTTGGACGGACTCGTTATTCCCGAAGGGCCTTTGGACCTGACGATGTCAATGCAAAAGCGAGTCGGGCCCAGTACCACTGCTATGGAGACTCCAGAGTCGAAACAGGCCAGTCAAGATACGGCAGATCAGGATGATTTTTTTTCTGGCCTTGAGCTGGAAGGTGGTGATATCTTTGATACCAAAAAACTCTCGATAAATCCAAACATCAAGTGCAAAGCTGACCCCGGGAGTCCAGCTCGACGCTCGGCAACCACCCTCACCTTCACTAATACTACAGTCTCACCGAAAACGCGAATTCCGCGTCTCTCTAATCACGACCGTCAACATTCGACACACCTGGAAACTGTCTCTGAGAGTGGTGCACCCCTTTCGAAGTTTCGGACGTCGCTCCCTAAAACCAGTGGTCACTCATCGCATTCTTCTATGTCCGGCATATCTTCCCACGGAATATCACTGACTTCTCCGAACTCCCTGAGTCCCAGTCGACGAGTCATTGCTAGTGCTAGACTGCCCAGGGACTCTGCTAGTAGCGAGCGCACTATCACCGGGCGCCACTTACTAAAAACAAAACGATCATTGCCTACAATACGAAACTTAAGCCCAACGGCTTCTACACCACCTCTTCAAAGTCCACGCCAGGACTTGACGGCGTGCTCTGTCAGTTCAAACTCTCGATCCAAGACACCTGTTGACCGTGTTGGGCATGAAGCAAGGTCGCTGCTGGGCCGTAGATTACAGGCACCTTTTATTCCAGCAGGAGCATCAGAACATCAGTCACATCATGCCAGCGTAAAAAGCTATCGGCACACCCGACGCGCAAACTCGGACAGCTCGCAGGAAGCAGTCGCATCGCAAAGCCAAGTGTCTCGTCTGCCGCGCCCAGGCCGCTATGAAGCACTTGGACATAACACGAGTGACTCGGGGACCCAAGTCACGGCCGCCAAGCGAACACTCACTCGACCAACTCGGCGGCGGAATTTTGGGGATGGTACTGAGCTGGCATCATTCGACGATCTGCCGACGTCCTCAACCGCAGAAAGCAAATTCGTCAAGCATCCGTCTGGACGAGGCGCGCCGAGGTCTCTCAAAAACAAGCTGGGCCGGAGTCAGACCATCCCATCGAGAACAGACGTGCCGCAGCCAGTCCTAGGTACTCCAACTCCAGCCAGATGGTACGACCAGACGCCCCGATTTGCTCGCGACACCAATGCTTCGAGAAATGCTAGAGAACAGCGCATCGCGTCCATGACGTCCGGCTCCAAAAGTCGGGAGAACAGCGCGCTTGTCTCTCTGAGCTCGAATTGGAATGCTCAAACCATCTCGCGTGTTCCTACGACTCCATTGTCCATACGAAGCAAGAAAAATAGAACTGCTACAATATCCGGGAGCAAGCCTCATCTGATAAAACCCTTGGGTACGGGGGTCCAAGAGCGCAAATGTAAGCCATATATCTCTGCGTGTAACAACCTAAACTAATGCCTCTATCAGCTGTGAATGGCATGCGTTACAATCCTGTCACATTTCGCTGGGAAGGAAATGAAAGCCTAGCGCAGGATTTCGATACCGATTCTCCTCAATCTCCAAAACCTGCACCGGCACTAATCACCAACGTGGGTGCCATGCAAAATGTGCAGGTGGTTGGGGGGATGGTGTTCGATCCGCAGCGCATGTGCTGGCTCAAGTTGGCGCCGCTGCAACCTGGAACAAAAGGCTTGGTGGCTGTCCAGGACGAGGACGATGTTTTTGCCGGCCTCGGGAATTTGGAGGAAAAGTCCGGCTCTATGCCACCGCCCTCTGGTGTTAACGACGACCTCGGTCATGTCGTGAGCGGTGACGATCGTAGTTGCGGGGACTCCTCAGACGAGTGGCCCATTACAGAAGAATTCGATGTTGGACCGGAGTTCATTCGACGTCAACGTGCCGAGGAAGAGAAATGGAGACGCAAGGTCAACAAGTGGACCGACTTTGATCGCATGAAATTCGGTGACAGCTGGAGATGGGCCATACGAGACTTGGTGGGATTTAACAGCACTCTGAGTGTTCAGGGACTTGGCGGCAATTGATCGAGTCGACCTCTCCCCTTTTCCTCTCAAGAGTGGAGGGGGAGGAGAGTGGCCGGTGGTATAGACACATATATGGACATGACGGAATGTGGCCTATTGGTCAAACAGTACCAACTTTAGTGCCTGACTTAATGATATATGAATAGATGTTATCCAAGACAATGATGGTAATACAACTGAGCTATGCTGGGCCTTGTGCTGGAGCTTACGATCAAGAGAAGCAGCGTCCAGGAGAATTGGAGAAGAGGCGAGAGCAAACGGTACCTACCCAGACAGGGCTACCTCTCTCTGGTTTCCGACTGTTCTGTAAGGGGAAGCAGCGTTGAAGCAGCTTCTATAGCATGTTTTAAACGGGAAGCATTGCTCGCAAATGATTAGATGATTCTGGTTTGTTTGTTGGTAGTACAGCATCGCCTACCTAGGTACCTACAAACGTACATGTACATCATGTATGTACAGTACATACCTTAGTACCTAATTTAGGTACTACAGGTAGGGCACGCAGGCCGTACTGGGAGGTGCCTAGGTACCTCTCCCGTACATCCATGGCCAACGCATCTCGATACACGGCCGGTCAGCCCTTCCTGTTTACAGTTAACTACGTGGTACAGATTAGTCAGTCGACGCGCACTTGTCCGGTCAACCTCTCATGCCTCCCTCTTCCCTCACCCAAAATGCCCATCAATGCACAGGGACCCAACAGCCTTAGGGCTGCGTGGCTCCATCACCGAGCCCAGCTCAGGTGATGGATAGATACTCCGTCTGGGAAGGGGGTTGGAAATCCTGCAGATCCCGATGAGGTTCTTCCTGGAGATGTCCTGCATGCACATCTATTATTGGCCACTGGCGAGGTCCCCAGGGAAGATTGGGGGACTATCTTTCCCGGGCAAAGCCTCTCTCCTGTTAACAGTAACTGCTACCAGGCTTGTTTTGATACAGAACTTGATGTTGGACTGGTGGATCTGATTGATCTGAAACCAGATCTCATCCGGCGCTCGTTGCCCACAACGAACAAATGCCATTGATTGCCCGACCCAACTAGATTTGCCAGTGCAAATACCGCTCTTTTTTATAGCCTGCTCCCAACATATATCGTGTGTATATATATATATATATATATATATATATATACGTGATTTCAAAGGTTCCAGTTCATATTTCTCCCGTTGACTGCTTTTCCTTCCTTGACTTGGAAATAGAATCATGTTTTACCTCCCACCCCCATTTCCCCTCCCACGCCATTCTCTCCTTTGCGCTGGTGCCTTCGTGACTTCGAGACCTTGCTGACAATGTATTTGTTTGCCATCAATATTGCTACCACCGCATACTATGCCAGGATTATCCACTCTGCTCTTATTCAAGGAATGTTTGATGCTTGATCCTTGTCAGTTTCACGAGACTCTTGATTGCTTCGTGTTCTCACTTTTCTTTTCCTCCTTTCTCTTTCGAATTTTTCCCCCCTGCTCTCATATTCCCACCCTTCTTTGCACCGTTCTTTTTTCTTTTCCCCCTCCCTTTAGACGCCCCCCCTTTTTGCCCGGGCTTTATCATTGCCATCCACATACCGACAGCAAAACAACCCAGCGCTTCTGTACTTACAACAAGTCTATTACGGGAGCTTTCATTAAACTCATTCTCGCCACCCCAAATGCCATTTGCTGTTAGTTACCATCCATATTTCCTTTTTCGGGATTCCTGTATGGGACGAGGTAACCTAGCTGATTGTTCAGGGATTCAGTCAGTTCTGTCTGCCTCCTACAGACATGTCTGTGGTTACCTTGCATCTATGATGGTTAGGGTGTCATGGTCTCATGCATATTAGCTAGCGCTCTTTATGCCAGTCATACTTGGCCTCTATGAGAGTTGGTCGAAAGCTCCTGGCCTTTTAACTGGGCCTGGCGTTCCTATCTTTTGACGCCCCAAAGTACTGCTCTGGGGCCGTGCTTTTCTCCTAAGCTCTTTTCCTTCTTATATCTCTTTCGTCTCTCATTGAGACCCAGCTTGACTCTCACACCTCCGTGTTGTCTGCTAGGCTTTCTTGCACTGCAAACTTGGGCCTCTCTTCGAAGAAGCCTCACGGCCTCGGGTCTTCTATCATCTTCATACAAATTTGGTTTCCTTCCTACTTCTTGGATTTACCTGTGGCCATTTACTGCTAAATCGGGGATCCTGGGCGTGACTATCAGCTCTCCACAAAAGTCAAACCAAGGTCGCATTGTGCATCATTTACTTTGCAAAATCCGCGCAAGCCAATCTTCCCATTCGTCTCTTCTTTCCTGATCCCCCCATTCCGTCTTCCGAATATCCCACAACTCCGCATTTACAATGAGTGGCTTTGGGAAGCGCGGAAATGACGGTCATGATAACTACATTATGAACCAACAAATTGCGTTGCCTGTGCCCTACAACCAGGCTGATGGTCATGAGTTCAGTGTAAACGAGCCAGGGACCTACCATTTCCAGCAGCCGTTCCATTCATACAACCCCCATTTCACGTCTCCGTATAACCATGCGATTATCCCATCTCATATGCATCACCTGTCTTCACATCATTCGCCTGGGCATTCAATGCCGTCAACGCCTGAGCATGCAGCCCTGCAGCATCAGCCAGTGCAGTATTTGCCCCAAGACCGCTTTATCCAATCAAGATACCTACCCCTCCGTGAAGCACTTGGAGAGAGCGACATTGAAAGCCAAGATTCTCGAAACGAGAACACCATGCTGTCGGAACCGGTCATTCCACAGCTAGATGGCTTCCCCAATGTTAGGGAATTTGATCAATTGATGAAAAGGTAGAGCTTACCCAGCCCCGGCTGTTACCACTGTTAGAGTGAATTGGTCGGAAAAGAGGACTAACAAAATTCTATTCATCCAGTTATGTTGATGATTTGTCGGTAAAGAAACAGGACAAGGCGCTGATTCATGCGAAACGTGCCCGGAACATACGGACAGTTCTTCTGGACCCAAAAGATACGGCCATAGAATCGGCTCAATTCAGGTATAGACTTCTCTGCAGCCTTGACCGGAACTACCTGGCCACCTGCCTTCCTTTCGTTCTATAGTGGATGAGTTCAACTATGGTTCATTGCAATCACTAACGAGCATTATGCCAAACAGATTTTGGGTCAAAAAAATGTTCAAGCTTCAGCCAATTGGTGGGATGAGCTCAGATGTTCGCGCCTTCTGACTACCCCTATGGATTTAACAATTCGATGCTGATTTCCACGTACATCAAATAGTGCGGCAAGATGATCTGTCACGAAGGGAAGCCAGTTGCTATTCGAGAGAAGCTTTTTAAAATTCTCACTAGAGCACACCAGCAGTGCCAGCATGGTGGAAGAGATAAAACGTCGGCCCAAGTCCGACAGATCTATTCGTGGTAAGTGGTGTGAAAGATCCCGCATCCCCTCCCAAACCCGGTTTATGAGATACCACACCTATATGCCCCCGAGTCATTGTGCTAATGGTATACAGGGTTCCAAAAGAGCTCATCTCACGCTTTGTCAAGATATGCCCAACTTGCCAAGTGCGTCGAGGGGGTTCACGATTAACGCCGCCAAGTTCAAGGAGAGGTTCACCCCGTCTCACCAGTATGCCGCGTTCCCCAAAGCTCCCATCACCTCCCATATCAAGGCGGGAGTCCACTTTCAATGGCCAGGCAACGGCGGAGAGATCTCAGCACGACTATTTTCATCAGCTCGGTAGTTCCAATGGCTGGATGGATAACCATCGGGATATACATGCACGACAGATGGGTCCCATGCGCTCTTTCAGTTCAGGTACGATGAATAATATGCCGAGCTCGGTTCCACCCACAATAGATCCCTTTCATGCAGACATATCAACCCCCTCGTCGCAAGTCAGCTACAATTCAATGTATACCCCCAGCCAGGGACATGGTCATCATTGATGTTTTCATTTACGCGGCTGTGGGGAAAGAGAAAACAGAGGGAAAAGGAAGAAAGGAAGAAAGGAAACAGAAACAGAAACAGAATACGAACATCCTACAGGAGCACGGAGGAAAGGGGAAAATCTACTAATGTCTGAATTGTTATCTTCTTTATATTTTCGCTATTATCAATCTTACTGCGTTAGGGCAATAGCTGCCGTTTATATTCTCATACACGCGAATTCCTTTTACTCTCGAGACCAGGGCCGCGCAATCGTCTCATCGAGCCTAGCAGTCTTTAGCAGCCAGGGGGGGTTGAATGGATGTCTTTTGAGGTCGACCAATCTTTTTGTGCCAAATAAAAATACAAGAAACCCATGTGTTTCACTTCCTCCAAACCCACTTGTTCCTTTCTCGTGCCCAAAATCTTTCAGATCAATCCAATCCAACTGCCCGGTGACCGTTCAAACGGGCAACGAGAACTTTTTACCTTTCATAACCCTGTCGTTTGTTAGTCCACGCGTAGGGCAAGGACGCGGGGGGTTCCGCAGGAGCTCTTACTTGTTGTAATAGATATAAAAGAAGTCCGAATACAAGAGCGTTTGGATAATCCCCGCAATTACGGGAATAGGTTGGAAGTACTGCTCAGCGAAATACCGGTAGATCCAATTAGGGATGTAAAGCGCTCGATATAAGCCTAGGGCAAAGAGATAATGAGTCGTGATAGTATCCGCCTCCCCGGTACGCTGGAGCATAAACAGCTGGGGTAGGATAGCGATAGACTCGAGCCAGATTGAGAACGTCCAGAGGATCTAAAGACGCGTCAGCGAGAACTCCAAACTAAGCGGGAAAAAAAAGAGTAGGCCGAGGTCACAGTACCTCAGAAACTCTGTAGTCATGCGGGAACGCGATAGCTAGGAAGGCACTGAAGGCTAGAAGATATTGGACTTTGAAAGTGTCCAGGTTGGGATCATGAGTTGGCTTGTAGTCGTTCAGCATTAGGTAGATGATGTAGGCCGACGAGCCAATGAACAGGATCTTGAACGTTGTGTTGTAGAGAGAATCGGTGAATGCCCAGAAGAGATCTATAATAGTTAGGGGTAAGATGCAATCGAAACTCAAAGGGGCAATCTCACCGAGGTAGCGCGTTACGAACACCATCAAATACAATGCCTGCGACTTGAACGACAGTCCAGAGCAACTCTGTGGTGGCAGTCAGTCCGGGGCGACCGGGTGAACAAAGTGGGAGGATCAAGTTACGCTCGAAGACTTCATCTTATGTAAAAGGATGAAGATGGACGAGAGATGGGAAAAATCCGCTGGTGCCATTGTTAGCTCGGATAATGTGGTCAAGAGGCTCATTAATGAAGAGCTCACCTAGAAGCCTGAAGATGTTCATGATGCCTGTCTCGTCTGGTTTGGTAGATAGCGTTTGCGTAATGGAACTCGTTCAGTTTAGGATCGAAGATACGCGATGCTCGAAAATAGAGGTGGTCCGATGATAATGATAGTCCTCCCAGCAATCGCCATGAATGTTGTGTCGATCTGTGTCTGGGATACCCGGGAAGGGATGCGTTTGTTATTTGTCTTTGCGAAGATCAATGTTGACACGAAGCCTCAAGATGCGCGACAAGGCGTGCAACGCCCCACCCACGCCACGCATGTGGTGAAACCCCCCGTCTTGCGAAATCAACCAAATCGTGGTTCGAGTCCTTGTTTTACATTTCCAATCGAGTCAAAATTCTTGCTCTTTTCAATTTGCCCTCTTGACAACTCGGCCAGAAACATTACCAAGTCGCATTCTATACCGTTCAGTTACGAAAGAACAATTGCTTCATTCATGACCCAAACAATCCCAAGCCTAAAAAATTCCTCAAAAAATAGCCGCACCATGCATGCTTTCGCTGTCTGTTATGCACTGCAAGTGCCCTTCCGCCAACTCGCTTTTCAAGGCGCATATAGAGCTTTCCCTATCCAGTCTGTCCCAGTCTCTTAGACCCATCCGCTTTTGCCTTTGGCTTTCCGCAATCTGCTCGAAAAGTCGCATCTTGTCTACATCTAGTTGTGATAGTCGCTTCTCCATGTTAAGCTCCACACTAGAGGGAAGCAGCCTCCCTCCAGGAACAATTGTGCAAAGACCCGTAAGATGGTTGGTATACTTGGGGGTACGAGGGTACGCGGGCGCTGTAACGCTGTTTTGCCGGTAGGCATGAGGGCGATGAACTTCGGCGCTTGGTCCGGTTGGGACATGACTAGTGCGTGGACCGGAAGGAGGCATATTAGTATGGGGAGTCAAGGGTCCGCGCCGCATTGTGGGAGCCGCAAAGGTATTCGTGTCTTTGAAGCTAGCCCCCCCTCGAGGACGCGTCGGCGCTGATAGCAAGGAAATGCTTGATCCCCGGTTTTGTGAGGGTATAGATTTGGCACCATGCGAGGGACCAGATGGAGGCGATTGGTTTGGCAAGGCGCTGTGTGGTGTCTTCAAGTGACTTGGGATACTCGCGACATTGACTTGCTTGGATCTATTGCTGTAAATGTCGGAAGGATGGCCTTGATCAGATTTTTCAAGATCCATTCCTCGCGCTGTGGATGTGACACGGTCCTGGCTAGGAACAGGAGCCTTCTCTTGCAAATCATCTTTTCGAAAAGACGGTTCGCAAATTTGAAGAGTGGGTGATTCGCGCGGGTTCTTAAATGGCGGCTGCCGAGTTGTAGGAGCAGCTGGTGATCGTCCTCTAGAATCCAACGCGGGAAGTCTGTCTGTAAATGGCGATGAGCGTCTAGAATTTGAACCAGATCCGGGGGCTGAGGTGTGTTTTGAAAAGTTACTACGTGGAGACAAAGAGCGCCGTTTCTGAAAACGATGGTCCTCGAAGAAGCGATCGCGGCGCTCTTGAAGGGGGCTCCGGGAGCGGAGAGATACTGGTGGGCGAGGTAAACCTTCACGGAGTGAGCCGCGCCTCGGACGTGAACTAGACCTTGGAAATTGCTCGGCGGTGGGCAGTATAGAACGTTCTCTCTTGTCAGTTCTTAAATCTTGGCTGGTGGGCGTGATCTCTCGAGATCGACTGAATGCCGTACGGCCTCGAGAGAAGTCTCGCGAGCGACTCTCCGTGTATGGCGACCTTGGGCGCCATGAAGTGTGCACAAGCGCTCGCTCCCGCCTAGGAGAAAACCTTCGCGGAGGGGAGCACGTTTTGTTGTAAGAAGGAGGGCCAATGTCCCTGGCATAGTAGGGGGGGCTTCGGGATGAACGACGCCTAAAACCCGGTGGCGAGCGACTTCGCAATCGATTATAAGGTCGGCTTGAAGACGGAACCCAAGTATCGGCAACTCGGCGGGGTGATCGATTTCGCGGCGATCTACTGCGTCGAATATAGCCTCTAGGTGCTGGACGATAACTTTCCCCTCCTCGGTGATCATCAAACCTTGGACAAATTGTTTAGTTGCAGGAGACGAGCATCACGATGTAAACCGTACCTTCTATTGCGGTCCCAATCCATCAAGGAGTACTTGGAAAATGCCACTGATTCAAGGTGCAAGGTAGATGAGTCAAGCCGGTCAAAAGTCTTGCTTCTGGTTGTTACTCTGGACGTGGACGACAAGTATATTTGCGCAAGATGTTCAAAGGTCGAAGAGGCCGGCAAATGTGGACAAGATCAGGTCTGATCACGTGATGGGGGTAGGGAGACGGGGTCTCTGCGCAAAACATTTACAAGCATAGAGAAGACCGTATTTGTGAATTGTCTAGCTACAATGTCATTAATATAAGGCATCTTTATGTATTAATTACTTCTCTGGATCAAAAATGCGGTGCCCAGGTTCCTGGCACCACAGGGCTAGGCGGCGAATAGATCACGTGATACAGAATCTTGTCCCGAGCTGTTTAGCGCGCGTGCAAAAGCAAACTACCCTGCTATCAGAATCTCAACATCGTACCGCAGAAGATCGTTGCGAATCACAATAAACACCAACCAGCTCCTACGAGTGTCAAGATACTGCAATTGGTTTATCATCCTACGGGTGCCGCAACAAATACCTGTTCAATTTGGGAAAGACTCGTTCGTTCCGGCAATGAAGCCGAGCAAGAACCAAATCAGAAGAGCAAGAAAGAAGGCTCTAAAAAATGAGGTATTTCTCTCGGACTTTTATATAACTTCAAGAAAATCTGACATTTTACTTGACAAGACTCCAGCGCCATCAGCTGTTACGCCCCAAACGAACCTTGAGGCAAAGGGACCTCCTGCTACGGGTTCGGTGAATGCGTCCGGGCCAGATATGATATCCATAACTGAAGATGACTCGACAGACCCACTATGGGAAATGTACAAGAATGTCATTCATAGGTTTGATGAGTCAGGGGGGGATCCGAATGCAGATGGAGGCACTGACAAACCGGAAATCTATTTCGACGACGACGATGAAATACCCGACGAGGAAGAAGAAGAAGAGCCGAAAATATCCAAAAAGAAGCGCAAGGAACTCAACAAACTCTCCGTTGCTGAGCTCAAGGCGATGGTTCGGAAACCTGAGATAGTGGAGTGGACGGATACCTCAGCACCTGACCCTAAATTACTCGTCCACATCAAGGCCCACCGCAATGTTGTCCCCGTTCCCTCACACTGGTCACTCAAGAGAGAATATCTATCATCCAAGAGGGGCATAGAAAAGCCGCCATTTGCGTTGCCTAAGTTTATCCAAGAGACCGGAATATCGGAGATGCGAGACGCTGCTTTGGAGAAGCAAGAACAGGCGACTTTGAAACAGAAACAAAGAGAAAGGGTCCAGCCGAAAATGGGAAGGCTAGATATTGACTATCAGAAACTATACGAGGCTTTCTTTAGGTTTCAGACGAAGCCTGAATTGACACGCTATGGCGAAGTTTACTACGAGGGCAAAGAATATGAAACTAATCTCAAGCACCTGCGACCGGGTGAGCTCAGTACGGAGCTTAAGGATGCACTCAATATGCCACCAGGTGCACCGCCTCCTTGGTTGATAAATCAACAACGATACGGGCCGCCGCCTTCGTACCCAGCACTGAAAATCGCGGGTCTGAATGCACCTCCACCCCCGGGTGCCATGTGGGGCTATCATCCAGGAGGTTATGGAAAGCCCCCAGTCGATGAGCATAACAGACCTCTATACGGAGGGGACATATTTGGAGTATTGCAACCCCAGCAAACTGTGCAGCAGGGCGAGCCTGTGGAAAGGGACCTTTGGGGGGAACTACAGGCTCCCGAGCTCTCCGACGACGGTAGCGAGGAGGATGAAGAGGATGACGAAGAGGAGGATGAGGAATCAGGAGTTCAGTCTCCTAGTGGACTGGAGACGCCGAGTGGGTTGACGTCCGCTGTCCCGTCCGAATATGCTGGGGCAGAGAACGTGGCGGGTGAGTTTGACGTGCGCAAGCATTACCGAGGTACCCAGACCGAAGAATACACAAGCCACAAAAGCGCCTTTAGAGTTATCCCGGAACGACAGGCGCATGTGCAAGGATTTTTTGGAGGCGACAGAGTGTATGATCTAAACGACTCCCCAGGAAATCTTCCTGTCCTTGGTGCCGAGGATCAAAATCGGAAGCGCAAACAGCCCGGCGATGTTGATGTTTCCATGGACCCAGATGCTTTACAGGCCGGAGATGGATTTAGTAAGGAAGGTATACGGAAACTTTACGACAATCAGAGGCAACAACAAGACCATCACGGTTGGGGGTTCCAGGAAGATTTGAGCGACATGATTGCACATGAAAGCCGGAAGAAAATGAAGAAAGATGAAGAAAGGCGAGGGAGGCAATAGGTAGTATGTGGCCCCTTTCTCGCCTTGTTGAAAGTGGTCCTGTATTGTATACGGGCTTTGGTAGATGTCCAGGCAAATTTCCTGTTTAATGCAACGCTACACTGGCTGTCTTGTTATCTTATTTGCCTAATTCAGTTGCTTCCATTATGTCTGTCGCCTTTCATCCTGTATCTTTGAGTTCTGCAATTAGCAGACCCAATTTCTAGGATGACGGCTACCACCCTGAAAAATATGAAATAAACGGCGCCGTCCGCAGACGACTACATGTATCACGGTGTTACTGAAGTTACTAACAAATCGTAGTATTAATCTAGCAAGAGTTTGTTGATGGTATACGTGTGAGCAGAGGCGTGATGGTGGTCGCCATGTGAGAACCCCAACTGGATTGCTTCAATATAAATAATCTTACACTTGGCTAGCTATGCATGTACATCAAAAAAGAAAAATCCAGATATGCTTGGTACGTACCCACCACCTATATGCGCTTAATGTGAAAGGTACCATCGTATAAGATCATGCTCATCGTAAGCGTCTTGCCGTCGGAGCAGCAATCAGCAATGCTTTCCCTCCTGAGATTTCTTCGCATGGATAACTTTACCAATCAAAGGTTCATTATTCAGGGCTTGTTCTGCGGCTTCATTTCCTGCAACTGCTTTACTCGGCCCTCGGCCTGACCCCAGATGTTTATCTGCCCACCCCCAGCCAGTGAGGTATACCCCTATGAAGAAAATTTGTTTCCCACCGTCTACCTGGGCAGATGTTCTCTCCTCAATGTATTTAAGTTTCACACCTTTCCCCATTATTTTCCGAGCAAGGGCGTCTTTTGCATTCAAAGAGTACTTATGTGGTCCGGCATCTGTAAGCTTCGGCATCCACAGCTGTCTCAACCACCTCTCGGCCATGATATGGCCATTTGCGGGGTCGGACAGTATGATCGCCGCCACGTAGGATTCAAATATGTCCCCCATAGTTTTAGTCCACCGTTTAGGCTGACCCAGATACTCTTGTGGGATGTTTGCCCTGCTATCAAGACCGTACTGTATTGCATACTGAGCAAGACTCTCATTTTTCACAAGGAGCTCTCGAAGCTGCGATATTTGGCCTGAAGGAATCATAGGAAACCGATCCCAGATGAGTCGCGTTGCTATGAGTTCAATCCACGCGTCGCCTAGAATTTCAAGTCGGTCATAAGTCGCTCCGATGTCACTGTTAACACCGGGGTGTGTAAAGACGGCTTTTTCGAGCATCTGATCCGAAATTGGTGGTAGTGCGGGTAGACTGAGCTCAGCGGTGTTTGTACTCGACCCTTCAACGTCGACAGGCTGGCCAGCGCTTCGGCGATGTCGCTGGACCAAGGATATGGCATGAGACAAGGCCATATCTAGATCAAAAGCCGCTTGTTTGATAGGTGGAGAGGTTCCGTCGACACCTTGTCCGCGCTCTAAATCACGAACAATATTCCTCACATGCCCGAAAACATTATTTAGGCGATCTTCGATTCCACTTTCGTCCCTTGAAGCACTACCGAGATGCGATATTTCCGATGAAGATCGCTGGAGATGAGTCATAGGCTGTCAGCACAAGAAACTATAGGTGCAGACTGATATATGTTTACCCGTCTCTTCTTGCCATCCTTGACGGTCGTCGGAGCTGTAGACTTCCTTTTTCGGTCCATTGGTGAGGGGGCAAAACAGTTGATATTAATCACGTACGAAGTACAAGGGTCGAATCTGAGCCGGAGGCGAGGCGTGGGTCACGTGCGACGGGTACCTTTATCGGCTCATCTGGCTCCTCGAGTTTGCTCTACCACCATCATAACATAGCAACAGAATGGCGACGTATGGCCGAATATTAGAACTGGCGAAGGTATGCACTCAGGAATATACCTATTAAAATCGTCTACTGATCATCTTGATTTCTGTGTTGCAGGCACAGTGCCGCGTGTTTTCACATAATTTCAACCCACAGCGTTTACGTTTGGGGAACAAGGTCCTTCGACAGCGCTTACGAGGCCCGGCACTCGCGTCATGGTATCCTAGGAAGACAGTTGCCTTTCGAGACCTGCAGGATACCTACAAACAGGTTGGCTTGACGGCATTTGACGAGGCCGAGGATGACAGAGAAGAAGCCATCCAAATGTAAGCTCGCCATTTCCCATGCAACTAGGACAAATCTCACAATGCACAGTGCAAAACTGCGTGGAAAAGGACGACCCAAGAAGAAAAGAACAGCAGCCGGTAAGATCTAATTCTGATATGTTCTTGCTCGACAGCCCTTGCTAAATCCCAACCAGAGTCGAGATCTGCGAAGAAGAAGAAATAAATATTACATGAGGGCGTTTTATTGATACATTTTACTCGCTCTTAACTGTTAAGTCTGTGACTCCGGGTGTGTTTTTTAATACTGTCGCCTGGATAAGGCCCGATGCTTCACCCAAGTCAGGATGAGATATCTGGCTACTGTAAAATAATTTTCTAGATGTATACCATTCAAATTACATGAGACCTCTTATCGAACCTGTAAATAAGTATAGTAAAAAGGATAATTAGATTCTTTACTAATCTGAAGATATTCTACAGAACTTATTATAAGCATTCTAGTAGCCTATAGATTTAATGTGTGACGGCCTACAAAGGAGCTTAGTAAGAAGATAAGTTTGTTTATAACTTGTAGTCAAGCAATTTTTTTATAAAGAAAAAAAGAACTATTTAATAAAAAATTTTAAGATTTTTACATATTAATGAGATTTGATTAAATTTTTATTTTTAATTATAAATTATTTATAAAGATATTGAAGTCTTTTTTTAATTATATTAAAATATTTTTTATTGAATTAAAATCTTTTTTAAAATTCTTCTAAATAGATAATTAGTTATATTATATATTGTCACGTGAAACAGTCACGTGATGTCAGGTGATCAGGGGTCATACAATTTAAATGCCTCAGACAAGAGAAAATGAAAAAAATCGATAAAGAATGAATGAATTCCTATTGAATTGGATTGAATCGACTGCTTAAAAAAATCAGAATTTTGAGATGATTTGACTTCATATTTATAGACATTTTTCAATGCATAAAATAATGAATGAATAGTGAAAATAATGCATTTAAGTTTTGTTTTGAGATTTGCACATCTATATTAAATTTATTTTGGTTTGAAATAATATTATTTTTATACAAAAAGATCTTAAAATGTTGTTGCAGCGCCGCTTACTGACCATCTGTCAAACCCTAGGATCCGCCTAAGCTGTGTTGTGTTATGCTGCTAGGATATAGTTTAGGCTTCTGGTGATCAGTCTGACTGATCTTAGAAATGAATAATATTTATTTGAAGAGCATTGTTGTTTTTGAATGACTGAAAGTTATGTTTGAAAATTAAATCTGGATTTCAATGAATTAATTTGATGATTGAAAGATTTTTAATAATTAAAATAAAAATAAGATTAGATTGATACGTATATCTTTTTATAATAAAATATAAATGAATTGCATTAACAATGTAATTTTTATAATTATCAAAAACAATAATTATATTGAATGTAAAAAATTAAATAAAAATTATTTTAAATATATAATAATAAATGTTTTTATATTTTTTTTGAATTTTTTGTAATTGATAAAAAATATATTGATATACAAATTATAATTATATATTGTTTATTTATATATCACATAATCACGTGCAATATGTGTAAAAATCCAAATATATATAAATACATATGTATTATGATTTTTAACGTTTTTGTTATTTTGATTTAACATTCAAGATATGTTCATTAAACATTAAAATAAACAATGAACATTTTTTTATTATAAAATTTAGTTGATTATTGTTTGTCCGATTTTTGTTTAATATAATTATTTTAAATTTAAATAATTAATATTGATATTGTAACATCATTTTCTTTTTTTCAAATTTTTATTTTTAAAAATATAAAGATTTGATCATTTTTTCAAACAAATGTTCATTAAATATTTTTTTATTTTTTTAATGTCATTTCATCATGTTTAAATATCGCATTAATAATATATTAAAAAAAATTTCAAGATTTTTTGTTTTTTTTTATAATCAAATTGTCGTTTGTCATAATTAAATAAAATATATTTTAAATTACAATTTTTCGATTTTCATACAATATAAATATTGCTTTTTTTTAATAAAAAATATATTATAAATTAAAATTATTATTATTCTAAATATATTTTTTGCATTTATCACAATTATATTTATTATCGCGATTTTCATATCGATAATGAGTAAACATTATTAAAATATATAAAAAATAAAGTTATTTATGATTTATTTATAATTGATAATAAATTAAAGTTATTATAATTTAAATTTAAATAATTACAAATTTGTTTGATTGAAATTTAGATCAAATTGATCAAAATTTTAATTTATTATTTTTATTTGCGGAAACAATAAGAATTCTTTAAATCAAAAAAAATTAAAATGTTAAAATATAACGCAAAATTATTGCAAATTTTGAATAAAAAAATAATAATATATTTTAATTTTTTGCGAAAATTGTTCAATTGATTGTTTTGTTTAATAATTTTTTAAATTTTATTTAAATAATAAAAAAGATTATGCAATTGTTTTTTTTAAAAATTTTTTTGATTCTTCTATTAATAATATTATTAAATTAATTAATGATATTTTATTGAATTTTTAATAGATTATTAAATATTTTTTAAAATATTGTAATTTTTTCATTTTATCAAATAATATGATTTTTTTGATTTTTTTATATTGCAAAATTTTTTCAATTTTATATTTTTGTTTTATATTGTTTGCAATTTTCACATTTTTTTGCAATCTAGACGTTTTCTGATGCAAATTTTAATAATAAAATATAAAACATTAAATATATTTTTATCAATTCTAATAATTTTAAATAATAATTAATTTTTCTGATTTTTTTGTCAATTTTGAATAATTTGATTTTTTGATGATTAAATTTTTAATTTAATTATTTGATTTTGATATTTTTGCAGAATAAAAACATTTTTTTTAAATTAAATCTTTCTTTATAATGTTTATCGTAATAAATTGTTATTTTAAAATTAAAAAAATCGATGTCTCTTTTCATTTGTGTGTGAAAATATTTGAATATATTAAATATTTTTTTTGTTTAATTGTAATTGATATTCTTTTTTCGATTTTTTAATTAAAATAAAATTATAATTATAATTCATGTAAAATGATGTAATTTTTATTATTAAATATATTATATTATTATATACAAACAATATTATAAATAACAATTTTGTTCAATCATTTTGTTAATAATTTATATAATGTTTTAAATATTGTTTTATTATTTGATTTATTTATTTTGTTTGACCATTTCTTTGTGAATAATATGTTATAATTAATGAATGATTAATTTTTATGAGATCTATAATTGATCGTTAAAATTTTAATGTAAAAAATTTATTTTTATTTGAAATGATTTGTTGTGGCATTCCGTGTTATATATAATAATGTGTATAATCAATAAATAAATTATGTTGTTAATTGTTGTTGTGATTTTATTAAATATAAAATATATATATTTTGTTAGTTTGCTTGTGATAATAATAATCATGTTTCATTTTTATGATTTGAACAAAAATTTTATGAAATTTATTATAATTTATTTTCATAATTTCAAAAATACATTCATTGATTGCATTTTTTTGTAGGATTGATATTTTATTAATTTGTTTTTAATGCAAGTTTTATATTTTTTGATGTATTCTTGTATTTTCTGTTTAATGTTAAAAAAGTAATAATTTTTCAAAATCTGTTTTATAATCTTTTTTTTTCAAAATAATCATATAATAAATTATCATAATATATCGCAATAATCTTATTTTTTATATATTCAAATATATAAATAAATTTATGCATATATATTATTTCTTTTTTATCTGTGATTATTTTGTTATTGTTTTTTAAATTAATCAAAATTTTTTAAATTGACATGTCATTTTTGATTATTTTGATAATATTGTTGATTAAATTATTATTAATATTAATTGTTATTAAAATTGAATGTTGTTTATTATATAATAATGAATTATTTTTATTTTTTTTTTTTAAAAAATTATTGATTTTATAATTCAATCAATAATCTTATAATTTAATTATTAATTGAATATATTTGTTTGTTTATTTGTTTGTTTATTTTTTGTTTTTTTTGCAATGTTCAATTCTAAAATTGAATTGTAATAATTTTTTGATTATTTTATTTGTTTTTTGATCAATTTTTTGATTGTAATAAAGAATGTGAGATTTTTGTAATTTATTTTTATTAAAATTTAATGTTGAATTCTTTAGAAATAAGTTTTTTATAATTTGAATATTGTTATTATAGTTAACATTTCTTGTTATAAATATTATAATTTATTTTTGTTTAAATGAATTTTTGCGAATAAAACGCAATTAATTTTATTTTTTTCATCGAATTAAACATCGATATTATGAGGCTCGCATAATTATTAATATATTATCAATAATAATTAATTAATTTTGTGAATTGTTAGATTTCTTTCAAATTTCTTGATGTAAATTAATTTTTAATTATTTAAATTTTGTTTTTTTTATTTATATTTTTTTAGTGAATATTTAATATTCAAAGAACTTTATTTCATAAATATAAAATTTGCATTTTTTAAATTTTAATTATAATTTAACAATGTGTAACTTCTATAACATTTGTTTTATATATTAAATGTGTTTTTTTTTAATGTTTAAGAACATTAAAATATCATTTAAATATGCGATAATGAATGTATTGAATAATTTTTTTAAAATTTTGTTAATAAATTGGTGAAATGACATTAATATGTTAATTAATTTAAATAATATAATTATATATTTGAAGTGTTTATATTTTGTTTTAAAAATTGTTTTTTATTTATTTTTTTTATAATTCACAATTTGTTATATGCGTCAGTAATGTTGAATTTGATAAATCATTTTATTTTCTTAATTTTGTCCTAAATTTCTAAAATGAACAATAACAAATATTGATTTTTGATTATTTGTTTATTTAATGATCGATAATTTACACATAATTATAAATTTTTATTTTTTTGACATAAATAAGATTTTGTGTTTTGTTAATAATATTAATGATTGAATATATTTTTTTGTCAATTGTTTGTTAATATATTGTTATAAAATTTGTAATTTTTTTTTGATATTGAATAAAGTTTTTTATGTGTAATTTTGTTTTTATTTTTGAATAAGATATAATGATTGTGTTTGTCATGTTTTGATAATTTAAATTTTTTTAATTATTTGAAAAATCTTTGAAATCTTTTATAT